ATAGCATATTATAAAGCACGCCGGCGTCCCTGGTCGGCCAGCGATGAATTTTCGCACCGGGAGGGCCCGCCGCGCTTTACCAATTGTCGAACGCGCTTTGACTGGTAGACTGTGTCGCAGTTTCAAGCATTAAAGCCCATATACGAAGCTCCGCCATTATCGGCGAAGGAGGCGATCTACTAAAAGCGTCTAGATAAGACTTCGCCGTCGGTGGAGGAGACGATCAGCCCATTTAAGATTACTGACGAAGCCTCCGCCGGTAGAGAAGACGATCTACCAAGACGCCTAAACGGATGTCCGTTGCCTCCGCCGTCTCTACCGTCCCCGCTACGGCATCGAACAAGCTTACAGACAAAGCTCTGCTGCGAGGTGATCCGCTAAAGCGCTAAACGGCGAGCCTGTAAAGGGTAATTGCTCTAGGAGCTCTATCGCGACCGCGCCAGGCATATAAACCTGTTTAAACCGCTTTTATGTCGGGTTTAGGGTTTTTGCATATAAATTGGGGGTTTGGTTTGGTCTACAAAGCTATAGACAGTGCTCCTCCATTTTATACTCGCTCTTGGCCCAAACGGGATCCCGCTGCCGTCCTTGCTACTTTCACCACGACATCTAATATCCAAGCGTATAAACGAGCTCTACCGCCGGTGGAGAACGCAATCCGGCAAAGTCCGCCACCGGCGGTGCCTAAACGGAGCCCCCCCATCTCTCTCGCCATGCAATGTATCGACAACACTCAAGCTTACAAACGAAGCTCGCCGCTGCTAATAGACGCTATAGGCTTATAACTCTTCAACACTCGTGACTTTTCCAGCAAGGCGAAGCTCCGCGGCCGCCGGGAGTGCGGAGCGCACACATTTTCCCATTACTCCAAGATGCTGACAGCCTGCTTAGCATTTATAATTACCACCAACCGGGCTCTCCGTACATGTCTTATACTATAGCAGGAGTTTAAAAGAGTGCGTGTTTCGCTGTAAAGCTCTTACTTAACAAGCATTTATGCTTGAAGATGCACGTATTACATCGTCTATTTAGCATGCGCCGTGGAAACTGGAGCATCGAGCTTAAAGACGCACCATGTGCTTTATAGAGGACGGAATGCGTACATCTAAGGCGTGTTTGTCCGGGTAATTGTCATCGATCTGTCTATACTACTAGACCTTACGACCTTGTCTCCCTCGAGTAATTTACGCTAACTTACCGAGATGTCTACGTTTCAACTTAGAATTACTAAAACAACCACATTTCAGCTTAGAATTACCAGAATAACCACATTTTAACTTAAAATTACCGAGATGACCATATTTTTACAGTATCTATAACTGAGATGGCTACTTTTACAGCGACGTTTACAAACCTCGTAGCTCGTTCATCGCTTATCTAGCACTCTGGTCCTTCTCCTCATTCTCGCGACGAAGTTGCCTGATCCCCTCTCTCAGGTCATCTCACCAGCAACGACGGCGAGTAACCGCCACCAGGCTAAAGAGCAACACCGATACAGTCCATCGACCTGTAGCACCGACGCTTACATCCAGTGATATTTCCACACTACCAGCTAAAGATACAGGCTCTCCGTGCCTTCGGTGCTCGTCTAAACCTCCGGCTGAAAATCTGGTTCATGCTGACTGCAAGGCACCGCTTCTTCGTGACGACTTCCAGTGCTTGGCTCAGGCAATGGTGTAGAGCATGCGCGTGCGTAGTCTCCGAAAGTGATGCTGATGCTCGTACGAACGACTTCAATAAGCGGGCCTTGAAGTAACTGTTCGAGGACGGCAAGTCGAGCATCCTTTTCCACCAACGCTTGTACCCCTTGTAGAAGCGAGGGTACCAACGCGCGCTGTAGGTGTTGCTTCAATCCTTCGATTTCCCGATCTCGGTCGCTGGGACATCGCTCGACGTCTGTGGCTGTCAGCTTTTCCAGAGCGAAATGGTCCTTACAATACTTACAGGGAGAAGGGATTTTATCGGCATTAGGAAACAGTATGTTGTAGATGTGTCTCCATTTCTCTTCTCCGGGAGCCATTCTTCCCCATTTCTTGTTCTTTAGCTCCCGCTCTTCTTCAAGCGTGAGCAGTTCATCCCGAGAAGGTCTGTGCTGTACGATGCACCCATTGGCGGCACGTGTGTGTCGATCCAGTGCGTTGATATCTGGGAAGCTTTTAAAACATCTCTGGCATCGATTGCTGGCTCCGTGAGTGCGGTACAGGTGTTCCCTTGAAGAGTCAGCAAGTACTCGGTTGGAGGGCTCATTTGACTTACTTCAGTCTGGGAATATGAGAAAATCCGGGATGAACGCAAGAGTTGTTTTTCGCTTTTGCCCACCGCTTGAAAAAGGGACAGGCGAACTTGTACGAGCGTGTCGAGGTTCGATCCGTGGCTGACGCGTTGAATTCTCCCCTACCATCTTCATAGTCTTCTTCAAAATCCCCTGGTTGCCTGAGGGCTAAAGCAAATTCGTCCGTCTCAAACGACGTGCTGGCACAGGTATCTCCAATCACCACCTGTTGATCTGCAGACAGTTGAGAGTCTGTCTCCAAACCGAGTGCAGTAACGGCAAATGATGGCCTTTGGTCAACGCCGCAGCCACTGAGCACTCGATTGTGGTCAAACTCTAGTGCAGAGTTGCTGTAGTTCGTCTCTCCAGTAATGAGTTCAGCAGGTGTACAAGCGGAGGCGGGATGCATCTCGTGGCGGGTTGATTCACTTCCACCCACACAGACAGCAGATTGCGGCTCATGGGTTCCCTGCCAGTATGTACTCCAGTCGCTCTCGTTACGTCCCCAGGATGTCTGCGGCGCGGAAGTGTGTGAGAGTTCTTCTGAATGTACCGTGAATACATCGCTGAACGTTGCGGCAAGAGCGGGCATACAGTAACCCGGTTTGACTTTCGTGGGATCCATGCGCATGACGCAGAAGCGTAGTTGATAGCGGCCAGGGGTCCTGCAAGATAGTTCGGGAAAAGAATAGGCCCCATGTGCGTCTTTGGATGGGGAGCCCGCGCTGAAAACCCGGTGGTGAGGCTGGGTTATTCCGTCGGAGTTCCAGAGTTCGCAATAGACTATATTGTAAGGATTCCTGAGCTCCTTGTAGTCTGTGCGGCCGGTCTTGCAGTTGGTGACAGAAAGCTGGACTTTCGGTGGCGGGGTGATCATGATTCGGGATTCCGGGCTGGCTTTGACAGCACTGGGTTGCTGGCTGATGAGAAGCTCGTACCAATTTTGGCTGCTTTGTTCGTCAGTCGACATCAGAGGTGGGACCAGCAAATTAACATACCTCGGGGATGATTCCGGGATGCTGCAGCTTTCAAAGGATTGGAGATTCAACGCATTCGAGGCTGGCGGCAGAGAAATTGAAGTCGATGGTGCCTTTTCGAGCAACAGTTCATCTGGATAGGGAGAAAGTGAAAAGTCCGGTGTGACATCCAGCCCCAAGGGATCATGTGAGAATGACGGTGGGGACGGAAAATGCGGTTGGCCTTCATAGCTCAGTGTCGATGAAGAGTGGTTTCCTGCATGCGGTGGCGCATACGCCTGATGGCTGATATCTGCCCCCACATGGCAGCCATCTTGTGCAGGAGGTTGCCATGGTTCTGGGTCACCGTTTCGCCCCACGTCCATAGCGGGTAGATTGAGATCCATACCACCATGTCCGGGTCTGATGGGAACAAGCGAAACGCAGGCGTCGGCTGGTATAAGACGACGAGGAAAAGGCCCTCGAATGGAGCTTTTACAGGACAAAAACGCGCAGACGCGTGCTGGATGCACCGCGCATTCTCATATCATAAACGCAGGAGGAAACGTGTTGGTTCCATCCACCAGGTTGTGCAGGACAGCCTGCATGCGAGTCTGAAAAAAGTGGGCGGGATTGTAAGAGATGCAGCATCCATACCCGGTACGAGGCACAGATCGGTACCGGGAGCAAGGGCCTGCAGATGTGTACGACCTGTCTATGCACTCACAACCCGGTTTTGGATGTGGTGTTACTGGTGAGACCTGGTGCACGGTTCGATGCGGGCGGCGGCAGGCAGCGGGTGGTAGGCGGGAGAGGGGTAGGGGGCTTATGATTCGCCTTTATAAAATGAAGTTGTGATTGCTCGCACTGGGAGAAGATGCAAGGTCATGAGATGAGGCTTGCCCCTTTGCAGACTCGCATGTAGTATCTTGCCAGTAGGGGTGACCATCCTTTCCGGTGCTCAGATAACTTTCAGATGACTGACATTTGGACGATCTGCCAGAAAAGCCAGGCAGCAACGTCTGTTTGATGAGGTGTGTGACACCAAGCTGTTCCGAATCCAGCGACACACGTCTCACTTCGACACAGCCTCAAGGTCTGGCCAGCAGTGACATGTCAGTTGCCGTCCATAGTCGTGTTTCTGGTCAAGCGAGCGACAATTTCCGGGCCAGCGCGTCTCTCATCTGCCAGACGCTCGTAACGTCACATCCACGATACCTGAGCTGGCACACTCAGCCCTGTGAACGCGATTTATCACAGGATCCGGGTGTAGCTGACTCAATCTTGGTATTTCTGAAGTCAAGCTTGCAATAGGTGTAATGCTGCTTGATCGGTGAACTCTCTCAGGCGGTTGCGAACTCAACTCGGCGGTTCATTTACGTGTGTGTTCTGGGTTGAAAAGTCTCCGAAACGCGTACGGCTCTGTAATGCGTCCGTGGTGGCCAGATGGGCAGCATCGCCTCGCTACTTCCTCAGGCTGCAAGCTGTCACATCCGACGTTATTGCGGGTAGCGTCTCCCATCACTCTCAAATTCTCACCATGATTCTTGGGTTAAAACTCAGGCGTCCGCGTACGTAGGTCGGGCTCATCGTCGGCAATTGCGAGAGGGTGCTGGGTCTGGGCGGAGATAGATGAAATGTGCAAGTGTTGAGCGAAAAGTGATGTCACGTTCGCCTTGGGAAGGAGCGGCTGGCTGAAATACGGAAGGAGCAGCCTCGCTTCAGCGCGCGCGCCATCTTTCATGTCGTCAAACCTGCATGCTAATTTACAACTAGAGTTTCGCCTTCGCGGTATCCTGAGCGTGTGAAGAATCTTCACGAAAACGATAGACGACGTCTTCAAAGCTGCCTTCGGGGAAAATGTACAGCCATTTCAGCCTTTCCTCACCACAAAAGACCCCGTGCTCGGCATTGCCCGGGATCCAGATCATCATGCCCTCAGAAACCTTCCGTCTCTTCCCATCAATCTCTACTTCTCCAGCTCCGGCGAGGACATAGTAGATTTCAGCTTGCTCGTGCCGATGGAGGGCAAGTGAGCCGTTCGAAGGACACACTGCAATGCCACCACTGAGCGAGTCGGTTGCGGTAGCTGGCGCAGACAGCAGAGTATGCCAGGTGGTGTTGCCTCGAGCCGACTCGGCAAAGGAGCTTGGTGGCGTCTCGGAGACTTGGTGGGATCGAAGGAACAACGGCTTTTGAGATTTTGTGGCCATGGTCAAGGAATGAGGTGAGAGAGCCTGCCAAAGGAACCCCTTTTATCCACAAAGCAGTGGATGTGTTTTCCTAATGAGGTATTCAGATGCACATCGCCGGGTGGCGAGCTGGTGTGTTCCGAGCCAATGGCGAAGAGCGCCCCGCATCATCTCCGCAAACACAACGCCATCCACCTCGGAATCCAGACATGTCATCGCACGCTGACGGAAGAACCCGTGCCAGACTCGCGTGCGATCGCTGCCGGTAAGCCTGAGCTTGTCTGTATGGAGATGGAAGAGCACCGATTCACCCGTGGCGAAGCAAGAAAAAGGCCAAGTGCCCTGGAGAGCAGCCCGTATGCTCCTTGTGCCGGAGACTGGGCCAGCCCTGCACATATGTGCCAAGAGCGGACAATTTTCGGGACTTCAGAGTCTCCAAATCCCCCGACAGCCGGACGGTGCGTAGCTGCGACTCCGGCCAGGCCAATGCTAACAGGCAGAGCAGCAGGAGGAGCGCTTACGCCGATTGGAGAGCAATCTCGACCGTATCAGTGGCCTGGAGTCAAAGATTGACCAGCTCTTGAGGTAGCTTCCCTGCCATTACCGAGTTGATGACGACATTGACGTGTAAAGTCAACCAATTGGCTCGCCTACGGTCCCAACATGGTCGCACGATGAAGCACCGCTGTCCGAGCTGGGAAATCAACGGCGAGAGCCAGACACTGGTGCTGTGCCGCCAGACCTGCTTGCCTCTATCACTGACATCTACTTCGACCGCTGCGAGTGTCAGCCGCTGCCCTTGTTGGTCCGATCCACCCACTTCCCTGATGAAGTAACCTTTGGGATTGTCGCCGTGGCCGCACGCTACTCCACACATCCATTCTTCAACCAAGAGTCAAGCCCGGAAGTCTTCAATCGAAAGGCTCGCACCATTTTGTTCAAGGCCCTCGAGACCAACGAGGCGACACTGTCAACCATTCAAGCCGCCTGTTTAATCTCCCTTGCAGACTATCTTGGTATGCAGCACATTTCCAACAAGGCTCCGCACGCTAACCATACTTCAGATGGCTTGACTCAACGCGCGAACCTTACGGTTGGCATAGGGATACGCCTTGCATATTCACTGGGGTTTCTGAAACCGAGAGCTCTTGACAACATATCCGAAGACGAAACCATCTCCCGTTGCTGCTGGTCGCTTTTTGCCTTGGAAAAGCTATTCTCTTTAGCATCTGGAGAGCCTGTACCTCTATTGGACGAGAATCATCTGCCGAGATATCCAACCTCACCAGAGGTACCGCCAAGCGCGAGATCCAGTCTTGGTTCAACCTCCGAGACTCTGGTCGACCTCGGCATCATTGCATATTGCCTGCAGCTCACAGTAGTATGGGGCGAAGTAATGAAGCACGTCATGAAACGCAAGCGGTCTGGCACTTCCCAGATTCCCTGGGCTGCAGACTCGGAATACAACCAAATCATGTCTCGGTTCTTGGATTATGAGGCTGTCTCTGTCAACCAACATCGATGGCAGCTTGTAAACTTCCCGCAACAGGAACCGGCCGACCTCAAGACGTACAGATCATACTGGGTTTCGTGGCTGCTCATGCAGTTTCTTTTCCACTCTTGCTTGGCGCTGCTGAACCATCCCGTACTCTTTCTCGCCGGGGGTCCACCGACTTTTGTACAGCTCCCACCGTCATTTGCACAATGCCTCTCAAACCATGCTCAACTCCACTCACGCTGGATAGCCCATTTTGCAGACATTCTCCGCCAGAAGGGCCTCGAGGTCACTGATCCATTTTTGGCATATGGTGCATCCATCGCTGCGACGATCCACGCTTTCTATGCCGGCTCGAAGAACGAGGACGTCTCTCTGCGGGCCAAAAAGGACTTTTTCCTTTGCCTTGAACTGGTGAGAGGACTGAGCGTTAAACTACCTTCTGTTCGGTATCTTGTAAGTCCATCCCTTGATTGTAGAGCGGCATTTGGTGACAGTCCATCAGGTCCACCGTCTTGAGCAGCTGCAACAGAGTAGCCATGCGCTGAATGGCTTGCCCGGTGATCACGAGAATCTGTCTCGAACCACTTACGCAAGCATATTCTGGTCCATCGTACAGTACTCAAACCCGCCCAAGGTTCATGAGAGTGGTCAGAATGATGTGAGCTTCATCGAGCCGCCTTCTCAAGGCCAATTATCCGATGACCTTCTAGCCGACTATCTTGGAATTCTTCCTCCATTCTCTTGCCCGGATCTCGTTCAGTCATTCGATGAGTGGTCAATGGGCAACCTGTAGCTGTGAGCCGGAACTCGGATGCGGAGGCGCTAGTCCGAAATAGGAAACACGGCCCGGATTCCGTGCTGTCCCTTGGCAATAGACCAATTAAGCTACCTCCGGCTGCAAAATCATGAGAAAGACACTGCTTCTTTGAGAAATCCGGTCCGTCCAGTGTGAGATATATGTATGAAGTGTGTCGAGAAAATGTTATTGACCAAGTCCCCTCATTTCGCAGACAATGGCTCCCTCAACACAGCCCAGCAAGGATGATCGCGTCGTTGTCGTGGGCGCGGGAGTCTTTGGCCTTTCAACTGCTCTGGAACTATCCAAGCGTGGATATCGCAACATCACTGTACTCGATCGTTACCCACCTCCAGCCATCGACGGATCCAGCGTAGACATTTCTCGAATCGTCCGGAACGACTACGCTGATCCCATCTACGCTCGTATGGCCAAAGAAGCAATGTCCTTGTGGGAATCCGACTATCCGGAATGGTTCCATCGCTGCGGATCCATCCTTCTGTCTTCAAAGGACAGCAAGTATGTCTCCAAATCCCTGGAGAATCTCAAACAGACATCCCAGACCTACCAGGAGTTCAACGGCACACACGAGCTGAGGAAACTGTTCCGTGGCTTTCAAGGCGACATCCCAGGCATCTCTGGATATGCTAATCCCGTCGGGAGTTGGGTTGATGCTGCAGGATCCATAGGCGCAATGGCCAAAGAGTGTGCCCTCCGCGGAGTGAGCTTTGTGACCGGACCTAAAGGCACTGTGCTCTCGCTGGATACTTCTTCTGATGGGCAGATCCGGGGAGTTGTTACAGCAGATGGACTTGCCATTCCCACCGATCGCCTCGTCGTTGCGACGGGTGCTTGGACAAACCAGCTGGTGGATATGAAGAAATCCGTTGTTGCGGCCGGTCAGCCCGTCGGCTTCATTCAGCTTACTGCGGATGAGGCTCGCCAACTCTACAATGCTCCGGTAATGATCGACTTTGACAACGGATGTTTCACCTTCCCCCCGACGCCAGACACGCATGTGCTCAAGATTGCTCGGCACGGATGGGGTTATGGGAGACCGGTTGAAGTGAGCCTCGGCGGGCGCGACAAGGAGATCGTCTCCTCTCCGGTGCTGGAGCGACGCGGGCGGACGACCTCATTTCTGCCAGCAGATGCGGATGAGGGGTTACGCGACGGACTCAAGAAGTTGTGGCCGAAGTTTGCTGATCGTGCGTGGATCAACACCAGACTCTGCTGGTATTGTGACACGGCCAATGGCGATTTCATCTTCGACAACCATCCGGACTTCCAAGGTGTCTTTGTCGCCACTGGCGGGAGCGGACAGTAAGGCTCTCCCACCCATGTTGTTGATGGAAGCTGACACTACGACAGTGCATTCAAGTTCTTGCCGGTAGTTGGAAAGTATATTGCAGACTGCTTTGAAGGTATAGCTGATGCCGAGTTAAGGGAGAAGTGGGCGTTTAGGAGTGGGACGAGTCCCGATTTCGTTGGGGATGGGAGTAGGGGAGGCCCGAGGCGTCGAATGCTCAGTCCAGCTGAGGTCGCGAAGTTGTGAAGGTTAGGTAGCCCTAAACTTTGCTCTGACACTAAATCCGGTTTTCTGCACTCCCCGCAATCCTTCCCACAAGGCCGCGCGATCTCATTGATTGTTGATAAGCGCGACTAAGAAACGTTAAAGATCGATTGGATAACAGGACTATATAGCAGGCGAATAGGCACTCTTGATCCCTGTATCAGCTCACAGTTCGCCGATCATGGCTGGACGGAAAACCGTGTCAGATGTACGCCCTAATAATGTGACGAGTAGCTAAATAGAGAAAGTGCTGAGATTAGTCACTATAAGCGATGCAGGCAGTTTTGGCCCCCATGTCGGGGACTTGGCCTGCAGTAATTCGTTCTAGGCTGAGGGCTGCAGCCATGGGACCCCTGCTCTGCCGCGCCAAATGGTCCACTCCACGGTTGCGGCTGAGGAAACGCCAAGAACCCCAGCTGGGTCTCCAAGGCCGTGATTAGGCTAAGGGTCCACGGGCCTTTTGTTTCTCTGGTCCGCCCTGAACTCTCTTTTCCTCCCGCACGTCGTCGGTAGCCATGCTGTCCACCAGCGCGCGCGCGTGTGCTGTCGTCCTGCTCGTGCGACTGCTGTGCGTTGTGTCGGCGACGAGCTATATCTCGTCGTTCTCGGATGCTGCTTGCACCCAGCTGCTCAATGAGTGGGGTATGCGCCGGCCCGCCCTTGTGCTGCAGCTCTCGCGCTAACGCCTTGCAACAGACGGTCCAAACGGCTATCCCAATGGCTCGTGTACGAGCATACGCACCAAGGCTCAAGGCCAGGTTGAGAGTTTCATGATCACTGGTTTGGATGAAGGATGTTCTGGTGCCGCCACCCGTTTCTCGCTTTTCCGGCGCTGCTGACCGGACCTAGCCACTCTTTACACCAGTGATGGCGAAGACATGTGCAGCGAAAATGCCATAACTTTCCTGGCCGATGTGCAGACCTGCTACAACTCTTCCTGGGTCTACTACAGCATCGATTCTTGCACGCCAGGCGGCACATCCTACACCCGCCCGTCCAGCTCCGATTCGGGCGATAACAGCACGCTTATCGGTGCAATCGTTGGAGGTGTCATCGGCGGCGTCACGCTTTTGGCACTGATCCTTCTCGTCCCGCTGTTCTTCTGCTTCATCCGGCCGCGGCGAAAACTCCTCCGCGAACAAAAGGCCGCACTTCAAGCCTATGAGCTGCAGCTACAGCAGCAACAAACATCCCCCAATCAATCCAAAGAGCCTTCAGCCTTCCACATCCCCGCAGAACTCGGGCCAGGCCAACCGAAACATGAGCTTCCGGAAACGACAAAATCCCATCCGGTCGAGCTTTCAGGTCCATTCGACCGCAACATGTCGGATGAGGAGAAGGGCCTGCATATGAGATAAGGAAGAAATTCTTCACTCTTTGCAACCATAATTTCCCAGGACAGCATGCTCAACTCACGCCGGCCGCTGAAAACGACGTGCAGACGTAAAGTCCAGGCTTTTGCTGTGCCCTTTATTCGACGAGAAGAGCAGTGAATTCATGAAAGAATGAAGAGGAATCGCATTCGTAATGACGGAAGATTGCTCATGGAAATCGGATTTCCTTAAGATACGGTGATCCTCTTGACTGCAAGACTCTGGGGCCATCGAGTGGGCTAAAATTGTCAGACATGATCTTTGTTGGATAAGATCTGGAGCAGACGGGTATGAACTGACTGTACAGGAAATCACCGGCGAACATGACCTCGCCGTCAGTGTGAGGAGGTATTTGTTCGTTGCGGGGAATTGGAAAATTAACGGGAGGAATCACCAAGTGCCATTTCAATCTTGGCTCTCTAAACCTATGTAGTAGTCTCAGGAACTTACGAGTGTCTGCTGCACCGAAGGACTTTTCAATGGAATTTATCAAGGTCCCCTAAAGTCTATAAATTGATCCAAAGAGGCAGACTTGCACGTGACAGCTCAAGTGAGCGAAATACGGCTTTCATCTGTACGTCAAGTCAATGGAAGGAAGCAGATCATCTACGCATGATAAAGAGGACCTCAAGCTAGTTAGGCGAGTTCTGTCGTCTGATTGGTGCTTTCCACAGCGGCCCAACTCCAAATCTGGCGAATGACGCGTCACCGATAGCAAGTTTGGACAGCAGCTTGGTTATACTTACAATGCCATGTCCCCAGATCCCCGCGAGCCTATGAAGAACATTGTGTTAGCCCATCATGAAGCTCTTCGAGGCATCAGGCCTCATTCTCGGCTTGCTTCATTCTTCAGTCACCTCGGCTCTTGACGGTCGTACCACACCGCCACCTTTGCTAAACTTCTCATCACCTGCACCCTACATCTTCTCCTCTATCAACGGCTTGCTTCAACAATGGTCCAACTCCTTTTTCCCCAACGGCCACACTATCGCAGCCTGCGACATCCCTGCACACACATTGCTGTATCATGGCCGGCACGACGCGGACTTGCCACCTAGTCCGGAATGGCTGGCTTTCGATGTCGAAATGGCCTACGGTATAATGGGCAATCTTCCGGACTCGCGCATGTTGACGTATCGCACCACGCGGGCGGTCAAGTGCTTGTACTTTGACGGCATGTCAGCCAACCTGATGAGCGACGGCGTCGAGTCCCAGATGACCTTCTTATACGGCGATAGTGAAAGCATCCCATCTCGTCCGCACCCGGGAAGGCCGGGAAGAGGGCCACCGCGGCACGGTCCACCTCCAGAAGATGAGCCAGGACACGGCGACGGGGGACGGCCTCCATTTGGACACTGGAATCCTTTGGACGATGAATACTTCCGTGCCGAGGGGTTGTGCCGGTGGATCAAAGAGAACGAACTCGGCGGTCAAGGATGGGGCTTGGAAGGCATTGTACGGATGAACGCTGGGTTTGAGCTGATATGGTGCGATTTTGACTCGCCGTCGCTCCGGCTAATGTCGAATCTGAACGTATCGGCGCCGCGGATCCAGATGGAAAAGCGGACGACATTGGGAGAGTATGCACGGCAGCAACTGCTTGACTTAGCTACTGACCAAACGATCCTGAAAGGGGCAGCCAACGCCCATGAATCAGACTCCAAAGAAGGCCCGCATGGCCCAGGAATGACTGACCCCAGCGAACCGTTCCGCGGTGTCGCAAATTGGATGTGGTTCACCGCCGCAGCCCGACGATATGGCTTCAGCGGTAGTTCTGGGACGGGAACCGGGCGAGGTGAAGCTCGGGTCACGATTAACACCTGCGGTATCTTCACCTTCTATGACCCCGGCTTGGAAGACCACGATCGAGCGCGCATCGAGGACGAGCGAGCGTATCTAAACATTTCCGACCATGGGAGCTGGCACAGTCCGGAGCACGCTGAGACACGAGCTGTCGCCCTCGAGCAATTATTGCGACGGAGACGCTCGCATCGGCCTAACCACGTCAGCCAGAGTGATGGAAAATACATGAAAGATGCCATGGAACGGAGGATGCACGCTGTTGCTAAAAGTGACGGCGGCTTTTGCAGCAACATTGATTGGAAACTCAGCATGGAAGAAGTAGTCACCTTCTACGGAGCGAACCTCCGTAACCTGCTTCAAACGCTCGAAGAGATTCCGGAACCGTCGGAAAAGCACTGGCTCACCGTCCGCGAATGGTTGGAATCAGTGCGCGTGCTGACACACTGGTTCATGATGCCCTTTCTGGAGTATCCGCGCGGACCTTACACCAATGAGTCTTTGAAAGTTGACTTCGATTTCGATTCTCCGATGATGCAGGAAGCAATGGAGAGATGTCAAGGTCAATACGGTGCTGATGACATAAAGGAGCTTGGGGACGGCGAGAAGTTGCTTTCCTGGTCAATCGACGAAACGCTGGGCGGAATATGCCGTGTGCTTTTCAAGGTTGGACTGGAAGTGGAGTATGAGTGGCTGTCGTACTACAATCTGGATCCTGAGAAGCACGGCGATGACTCTTGCGAACAGCCTGTTCTGGGTACAGGACGCGAATGGAAGATGGCGGTCGAAGAACTGATGGCGTGGCTCGGATGGGTGGAACAATGGACGGGGTGTGAAGGTCCTTGTGGGCAAAATGTGAGTCCGTATATGGCCAGTGGTCGTTTCCCGACGCTAACAGATGGATGTCGCAGGAAATCTGCTATATACCAATGTGGCCTGCCATGTCCAACGGCATTCGAAGCCCCCGAAACTTTGTAAAGGAAGAGAGACGTCCTGGACCGCCGGGATGGGATATGGAAAGGCACCTATGGCAGCCTTATTGTACAGATGTATCAACATGGATGCACCCAGAGGCGAACGCAGAGCTTTGAGACAGGAATTTGCGCCGTAACGTCGTTACTAGATATCATTCCAGTAGACTAGAGATGATTTGACGTTGGCCAGGGCAAATTTGCGAGGTTCGGTGAAGAAATGTGGTGGTTGAGTGAAAAGTTGTGGTGGCTGACTGCTGGGCCATTTGTTGCGGCAACGACTAAACGGCCGGCGGCCAGCCTGCGGTGACCGGCGGTCTCCTCCGGCAGGCGCACATCCCACCTTCCGTATTGACCCAGCTCCAACGCTAACCACTCTACCTCGGCGTCTTGGCTATACTTCAAAAGCTCACCAGCGCCCACGCCAAACTGCTTGCAACCCACAGCTGATACGTGCTGCCGCACTTACTTTTCCACAGGTCGCCCTTCAATTCCACCCCGCCTACCCCGCCAAACCGCTCCCCGCCATGTCCTCCGATAACGTCGTTGCTGCTCCAGGCGCCGTATACAAGCGCGCCACCGAGACTGCTCAGTTCCTCAAGGAGAACGTGCCTGCTGAGCTGAGAAGTCCCAAGGTCGCCATCGTCTGTGGTTCGGGTCTTGGCGGCCTGGCCGAAACCATCCACAAGGAACCTGTATATGCGACGCCATACGCCAACATTCCCAACTTTCCCCAGAGCACCGGTGCGTGAATGTCCCCTGCAGCTCCGTCATCACCGAGCTCCTGTCGAAGATTGGAAAGACAACAGGATATCTACGGAGAGGAAGATGCGAGAAGCGAATATTGATGCGGCATGTTGGAGAGTATAGTTGCTGGACATGCGGGAAAGCTCGTTTTTGGCTTGATCGGGCCCGCTAAGCTGCCAGTCGTCCTGCTTGTCGGCCGCGCCCACTTCTACGAGGGCCACGCCATGGACATGGTCACCTTTGCTACGCGTGTCTGCAAGGTTCTTGGCGTGGAAACCATGATCGGTTCGTTCTGTCTCCCGCGTCTTGTCCTTGAATGTCTATCTCTAATATGCTTGAGATATGTAGTGACAAACGCTGCTGGTGGCCTCAACCCCGAATACGCTGTTGGCGACATCGTGTGCTTGAACGATGTAAGAAAACCTCTTGGCTCTGCATTGCCAACCTCCCCGCCATGCTCGGTCAGTCACAAGTGTGCAGCAAGACTGATAAACAACAGCACCTCAACTTCGTCGGTCTTGCCGGTTTCCACTCCCTCCGTGGCCCCAACGCCGACGAATTCGGTCCTCGTTTCCCACCACTCTCCGATGCCTACGACCTTGAGCTACGCCAACGTGTGCACAAGGCTTGGAAGAAGCTTGGTCTGGACAAGACTCAGCGAAAGCTGCATGAAGGCGTGTATGCCTTCGTTACCGGCCCCAGGTAAGTTATGCGTACGGAGAGAACCAGTCTGCTCTCGAACGCAAGCGTTGGCTGACGCCAAGGCAATCCCAGTTACGAAACGCGAGCTGAGTGTCGCCTGTTGCGCACCCTGGGTGCTGATGTCGTGGGCATGTCGACGGTACCCGAGATTGTTGTTGCTAGGCACTGTGGCATCAGGGTTCTTGCATTCAGCTTGGTCACCAACAAGGCTGTGCTCGAGGCTGGTCCTCGCGGTGACGACCCTGCCATCCAAGACATGAACAAGGCTGAGCTGGATGCCTACTTGAGCAAAGGCAAAGCGAATCACGAAGAAGTTCTCGAAGCTGGCAGAGAGGCTGCCAAAGACATGCAGGTAAGCTTTTCTCCGATGAGGTGGCATTTTCATTGTTTCAGCTGTGCTGACACTCCGTTTCAGGAGCTGGTGAAGCAAGTTCTATCTGATCTGGGCGCTGCATAAGGTAGCGAACATGGCTAGAGGCTATGCAATATGCGCTTGGGGGCCTTTGTCCCCATTGGCCTGGTGATCTCCCGGCGAGCAGGGTTGGGCATGACGCAGGGGTTGTCACAATGCGCCCAGCACAGCAGGCAGCAAAGATTTGAGCCCTCGGTTCCCCGCCAATGACGCTGCACTCTCCCTACGTGGATAGTCGAAGCAACATGCGGACGTAATGTAAGCTTTGAAATCGTACAAATACATCCAGACATTGGATCAAACTACCCACGTGGCTAGGGTGCAAGGTCTCTGGTGAAAGGGGTGAAGGTCAAGTTCTTTGCGACCCGCTGTGTTAGCGTCAGGTGACTGCAATGGGTGTGCTGAGTGAGGCTGTAACTAAACAGTCACTAGGACGCCGGTAATCATGAGCCGACACACACCCTGGAAGTGTAATTTTAATGTGTGAGCAACAGTCACCAGAATCAACCCTTGGAGATTTTGCCAGACTTCCTCATGGCCTTCACGGCCTTGTAGTGAGCCTTTTTGCCGCTCGTCTTCTTGGTCTGGATCTCGCCGTATTTTCTCTCGAACCTGCCCGAGCTCTTCTCCTGCTCGAGTACCTCTTCGACAAAAGTCTTCTTGCGATCCTTCTTCTGCAGACGAGCGCTGAAGTATTCAGTGGGGCCCTCGACGATGGTACCGACCTGCGAATACTCCGGAACGAAGTCTTTGCTGTTCTCCTTCTTGTAATGACGGTGGGGATCAAGCACGTTGCGCATCTTCAACAGCTGGAGGTCTCTCTTCAGCTCTGGAGTAAGCTCCGTCTTGGGCAAGTTGAACCACCGCTCTCCTGCAGTAGCCTTCTTCTCCTGTGTAAAGCCGAATCAGCATGGTTCGGGTGACGAACGTTAAGATGAAGCGGGTGAAAAGGTGTGCCGTCAGAGTAACTATGAATATAACTCTCAGTGGTGCAGGGAAAGTCCAAGACGGACTTTCGTGTCTGCTCAAGGAGAAAGATTGGGAATATTTTCCTCATAGGCGGTGCTGTGTGGAGGAGCGTGACGTACCTCTATTTTCCTCTTCTTGACAGCGACAGGATCCTCGACCTTCCGGATGTGGTTTGCCAATGCACGCTGCTGGTCATCGAGCAAGCGGGACGGATCCACGCGGGCAACCTCGCCGTTCATCTGGACGTAGGGAGCAGGGAGGCCGGGGGTATTGAGTCGGGGCAGCTTGATGTCGAGGGCGGAGGGAATCTGCGCCAGGGCGCCCGACGTGTCCTTCTCACGCGCTCTGACCTCAGCCTGCTTCAGCAGCATCTCGATCTGCTCGTCGGAGAGCTCGTCATCCTCCGCGAGGCCATGGGTGACTGGATGCGTTGGCACGTCCATGTTGGGCGGGCGGGTGCATGTGAGGGATCGCGAAAAAAAGTTCAGGACGGACAGGGCAAAAACGCGTCTTGGGCGGGGCGGAAAAACAGGGGTGCCGAGGCCGGGGTTCAGGCGGCGGCATTGGAAGAAGCAGCCAGAGCTCCGCCCTCCAGCACATGCAGCCATCTCTGAACGATCGCCATCACTCCACCGCGCCCCTCTGCATCGCAGTGATCCTCGATTCGCGAGGCCGTTGAGGCAGTCTAGCCCTCTCGAATGATGACATGCAAAATTTTCAAGCCGGGCCAACGCATCGCGGAGCCTGAGCATGCAGGAGGCGCGTCGAATCAGCGTGCGGGGGGCGCCATGGACCTGTGCCTACGAGCCAGTGACGTGCGGTCCTGGGGATCCGTCGAGGCTGAGAGCAGCGCATCGCCTGTTTCGCCCTGCCTTTCTCCGTAGCAATGGCAGGTGTGATAGTGATTTCAGCGGCATGGCTGAGTTGTCTTGTTGACGTCGCCGCGGCGGCACGGCTCGCGCGAGGTTAAGTAGCAGCGCGGTGCTCGTGGGCGATCTCTGCCGCAATTGCCAAAAAGCCATCAGTCGTGCCAGCCTCCCAGATCCGCCCGTCACAAGACGTCACCTGCGTACCGATAGGCCCGGAGCCACAGCCAGCCCCGACGCGCCAGCGCTCCCTCGCAGCGCATGCCAGCCTGTTCCCAGCTCCCAGCTCCCAGTTCCCAGCTACCAGCTTCCCCGCGGGCAGCAAGTGTTGCAGCTAGGAGATCGCGCACGTAGCGCACCCGTGGTTCGCCAGCGTCACAGCTCCCCCAGCCCAAGCCACACCCGATTCGCTGGCCGCCCGCTCCACCAGGGACGAGCTTGAGCCTTGAGCATCGGCCAACGCGTGCGCCAGAGAGCAACAGTAAACACCTCCAGCCGCACGCCGTCAACACCGCGCAAAGCAGCTCTCGCATTGCCGCCCAGCAAGCGCGCGAACCTTGGTGCCTCCGATCGTCGGCTTGCCTTCCCCACTTCCGTTTCTTTTGTGCCAACTTTGGCGTCACCGCATCTCTGACGGCTCCGCGCGTGCCTGCAACACCCACCCATCGCCTCTCCATCACCGCGCAACTCCACTCTCTCCGGCGAATCAATTCGAGCCTGACGCGCCTGCCCTGCACCCGCGTCCCCAGAGACCCGCAGACGCTCCTTCCCAAAGCGCATGCGACGAGCCTTGCCGCCATCGCGCGCGTACCCGCCTTAGCCATGGATCCCACAAATCTCCAAGGCCATGGCCAGCAGCAGAAGCTGCGCCAGAACTCCGCGCCTCGCCGGTACGACGGCCAGAACGGCAACCCGCTCTACGACCCTGCGAATGGCGGCCACTATGGTAAGTCGCAGCTTCCACCCTGCACAAGTCGTTGGGCAACCGGCCCGGCTCGCACCCAACTCTCTTGCTAACGCGCGACCTCACAGGTGCAAGTGCCAGCGTACGTCCTCCGTTTGCCCTGTCCGGGCTTCCACCAGCTCTGGCCGAGCTCGTTAGCTGATTTTTGGTTCAGATAGCCGCGCAGGGACACGCTCCGGATCCGCAAGTCTTCACTGGTCAATGGGCAAACGTACGGCCAACCCGCCTCCCCCCGTGTGCGAGCTGTGCTTCTAACCCGGTTGCAGGTCAACCAAGGCCTCACCGGCCAATACCGCGACATCCTCAACACGTACTGGCAGCAGCAAGTGACGAAGCTCGAGACGGACGAACATGACTACAAGCTCCACCAGCTGCCGCTAGCGCGGATAAAGAAGGTCATGAAAGCAGACCCCGAGGTTAAGATGATTTCGGCCGAGGCCCCGATACTGTTCGCCAAGGGCTGTGACATCTTCATCACGGAGCTGACGATGCGCGCCTGGATACACGCGGAGGAAAATAAGCGCAGGACGCTGCAGCGCTCGGACATTGCGTCGGCTCTGGCCAAGTCGGACATGTTCGACTTCCTGATCGACATTGTGCCGCGCGAGGAGGCATCGTCGCACAAGCGGAGCGGCGGGCAGAGCAGCGCAGCGCAAGCCTCGGCCAACGCGCAGGCACAGCCTGGCGCAGTCCAGCAGCAGACGGGCATGCACCCGCCACCGCACCCCATGGCGCCGCCAGACTACGGCATGGCGCAACACATACAGGAGCCCGACTACCGCGCTCAGCAGCAGGGCATGTTTGCGCCGGCGGTGCAGAACGACCCGGGGGCATATGGGCAACCGACACAGCAGATGTTTGACCCGTCCATCTACGGGGGCTACCAGATGCCGCAACAGGTAAATCGGCCATGATGCCTTGTCCAGACGTCTTCTGACTGCCCTTCCAGCAGATGTACTCTGTCGGCGGTCAACGGGCCCCAGACCCGACTGGGGCAGGGGATCCAAGTCACACCTATGGGGCGCACGACCCTGGTGAGGGCGACGCTGATGCGGAAGGAGACAGGGAAGACTACGTGGCGTAGTGTGTGCTTCGGCTTCATGTCACGTATATTTCGTAGCTGTTTGTGTATGTCTGCGGCCCTTCTAATGATTGCTATTCGCGAGGAGCGAGATTGGACCTTTCGGTTTGCATTCAGGCGGCATTGGTTACTTGGCTTGCAGCCCCGTACGCAGGGCATGTGCAAAGCATAGGGACGGTGGCTGATTTTGACGGCGGGTTTGCTTTCGGCAGGGAGGACGGGCATCGGGAAGTCCAGCCGGCAGGTCGGCGTAGAAGGGGAGCAGGCGTTTCCATCTCTGTAAGGCGGTCAAGATTGCTTTCTGCTCAGCGTGCCCGCCCGTGAATTCCATGCAGAGACACATTGCCGGCACAGGTGCCCGAATCATTCCGAAGAGTGGCAGGCCAGCGAGCTTCGCCGAGGCATTCGCGGGCCTGGACGAGCCCTCGATGACGTGCGTGTGAGAGGGGAGGGTGGGTATATAGCACGAGCAAGCCCCGCCAGTACGGATTGTCCACAAGGATTCAGCGCGGCTGACAGAGTTCCAAGCTACCCAGGTTGGTGTTGCCCGACTTCCCCGTCTTGCCAATCTCGTGCATCCCGTTGGTTGGCTGCTGTCGCGACCAGGGGTCCCTCTCCGCCTCGCGTCCCCCCGCCGTCCGTGCTTCGTTAACCCCTCCACCCGTCTCGTCTCAACAGACAAAGTCGCTCGGGATCTACTCTCCGACTCCAGTTCCTCCACAGCTCCTGCCCCAAGCATCTACCCCTCTCGACCCTCCACAGAAAGTGCGTCTTCGTCTGCGCGCCGTCTTCACTCACCTCGAAGCTAATCTGCCCTACGATCAAGCTCTCCGCGCACCCTTACATCCGGCAAAATGGTGAAAGCAGGTGGGGCTCCCCAGAGCTTCCGTGCGACCCGCGCAGAGCTTGCAAGCTGACCGTCACAGTCGTCGCTGGTGCCTCTGGCGGTATTGGCCAGGTGAGTGCACCCATCCTTTGATGCATTTCGCGTCGCTGACCTTGCTCCGCGCAGCCTCTGTCGCTTCTTCTGAAGGCTTCGCCGCTCATTGACGAGCTCGCTCTCTACGATGTCGTCAACACGCCTGGCGTCGCTACTGACTTGTCCCACATCTCTTCGCCTGCCGTACGTCCGCAACCCAGCCCCCACACACACATACAGAGTGCTTATGCTGTGAGCTAGAAAACCACCGGCTACCTGCCCAAGGACGATGGCATGAAGAAGGCCTTCACGGGTGCCGATATCGTCGTCATTCCGGCTGGAATTCCCCGTAAGGAGTCGCGGAGAAAGCACTGTGGGGCCAACATGAGACTGACTCTGCTTTAGGCAAGCCTGGCATGACCCGTGACGACCTCTTCAAGATCAACGCCGGTATCGTGCGCGATCTCATCCAGGGCGTCGCAGAGAACGCCCCTGATGCCTTCATCCTTGTCATCTCCAACCCCGTCAACTCCACCGTGCCCATTGCCGCCGAGGTGCTGAAGCGCGCGGGCAAGTTCAACCCCAAGAAGCTCTTCGGCGTCACCACCCTCGATGTCGTCCGTGCCCAGACCTTCGTTGCCGACATTATCGGCGAGAAGAACCCCCAGAACCTGGCCATTCCCGTTGTCGGTGGCCACTCTGGCGAGACCATCGTCCCGCTCTTCACCCAGGCCCAGCCCAGCGTTAACATTCCTGCTGATAAGCTCGATGCTCTCGTCAACCGTAAGTCATTTACGTAATCACGCTCGACCATCAGCTGATATGATGCGCAGGTGTCCAGTTCGGCGGTGACGAGGTTGTGAAGGCCAAGGATGGTGCCGGATCTGCCACTCTTTCCATGGCTTTTGCCGGCTTCCGGTAAGCTGTCGCCCAATCCTTCTGTCGCGTTCCTTGTTGACCCCGCTCCAGTTTCGCCGAGAAGATCCTCCAGGCCGTCAAGGGTCAGAGCGGGATCATTGAGCCCACTTTCGTCTACCTCCCCGGTGTCGAGGGCGGTGATGCCATTGCCAAGGTGACCGGCACCGAATTCTTCGCTGCCCCGGTCGAGCTCGGCGTAAGTGGACCAACAGGTACTTTCTTTCGAAGATGATACTGACTTTCCGGTTTTAGCCCGATGGTGCCAAGAGGATCATCGATGTGGTTAGCAAGGCCAATGACTACGAGAAGAAGCTGCTCGAGGTCGCGTACAAGGGTCTCAAGACCAACATCGACAAGGGCGTCGAGTTTGTCGTCAACCCTCCTCCCAAGTGAGTGGCAACCCCTCTTGCGACCCCTTACTGTTTTCCTCTGAAGAGATGGAAGCGGCAATGCGTCGACTTGGAACGAATTTCCCTTTTGCAGAACCCTAGAATGGCTAATGTATGGGAGCTGATTTTCCGGGCAGATAGGTTGTGATTTGACACAACCTTCTCAAACGAAATTCGGTATGACAGTGAAGCGAAGACCATGCAAGGGTGCGATACAAGGGGCATCTATAAAAGAAAACCAATATCCTGAGAGATGATTAGCACGTTAGGCGCAGCATGGCTATTATGAACATGGAATGGAATTGATTGTAAGGCACGCCGCCTTCATAAAGGGCAATACTGGTGGTGATTCTTCTACTCTATGTTCGCCGTGGAGGGTATGTTTAGTAGTAAAATGCCAACGCATTAAACAGAAGATGAGTGTGAAGAAGACATGCCCGTTAAATCCGAGGGAAAAAGTGTGGGGAGGGAGAAACGCCGACGCTATGAAGGGAAAAGTCACGGTTCCAGGACTCAACTCCAGGAGCTCCCTCCATCCTTTATATAGAGGACGGGTATGCGGCCGCAAAGGCTCCGGTCAGCGCGCCCGAGTGTGGCCTGAGAGCCACTCGCCCAATACAATGCCTGCACGGCGGGTTTAAATTTGCTCCACTTGCGGTTTTTGTGTGTTTTCGCTGTATCGCTCCCCACGCATTCCGATATCTCCCGGTTAGCCCCCGCATCTGCCGCTACGATACCTGACTGCCCCTTGTCTCCACGTGAGAGCAGCGGCTGAGATACGCATACGCGCCGTCGGCTAAGACCTTTCCCGTCTCGATCATTGCATTTCATCATCGTTTGGTGGTTGGATTGGTGGTGCCTGGTCCGGGGGGAGCGGGAGAAAGAAAGGGTCGGTTCGCTTAGTATTGCAACACGGTCGGGGGCAGTTGAAGCTTTTGTCCAGGACGCTTTCGTTGTTGAGACTATCGCACATTTACGTCTCTACGAACGCTCCAAACAATTCCCCACGTTGCAATTATGCCCTGTTGCAATACTAAGTGAACCGAGCTTGGAGGGATCGCGGCCTTTTCGGACGAGCGGATTATTCGGCGCGGGCCGAGGTGACATCACTCCCTCCCCGAGCTGTTACAAGTAGTAGTTCTCCGTAGCTGCTGCTGCTGTGGTTGCCTGTCCATACCAGAGACCGCTTTCGACACCGATCCAGTTCCCTATCCTGTTGCAGCGTCGTCTCCGAAAGGGGCGGTGCCATTGTTCGAGGAAGAAGGCGATCAGCGACTATGACTTGGCGCCTTGAGTGCGGATTTGGAATGTTGCGCCAGGAAGGCCTGTCGATTCCGCCGTGACAGTCGCGAGGATTCCCATGCTGGCAAGTGCGCCGCGGATGAGACCAGCGGGGAAGTAGAGGAACTGCTTTCGTTAGCGCGCTGCCCGTTTTGGGATCTTTGACTACCTTTCCACCGTCTTCTCGAACGGGACAGTAGCGATTGAGGAGTTGGAATTGGAGCTTACCGGTTGGGCTTTTGCAGTCACAATGTTGTCGCCGATTCCCCTTTCCAGGCTCATCTTGGTGAGGGGCTTGAAGTGTTGGTCGGTGAGGACGTAAATGCCGCGATGATTGGTCTTCAAATTATCGATTTGCTTGCGGAAGACAAGGGTCCAAAGGTCTTTGCACAGAAATTTGATGACATCGAGGGTTTCGCTGAAGCGCGGTTTGTCGCGAGAGAAGCTGTGGAAATGTTAGTTCGTGATTGCGTGGTGGAGAGCTTGATTGAGTATGAGGAGAGGCGGCGCATGTGCAAGAGCAGATGGATGGTGAGGGGATTGCCCAAGATCAACGCAGCAAAGCATCCTTGCGCTTCATCTTCAATTGCACGGTCCCTTGTACGGACTTCATGCCCCCGAGCTTGACCCAATCGAGCAGCAAAACAGACATACCGTTCAGTTATGCCCAGACCCACGCGATAGCCCAGTGTCTCTAAGCGATATAATACGGCATCCTTGTAGTCTTCCTCCTCCGCGCTGCCCACAGCGGCGCCCTCAGGTATCCTTGGAGTGGTCCCGCTCTTGGGTGTACCGCCATTCGTAATTGTGACAGCTGACGCTCTCCGACCCGCCGTGACGGTTGGATTACCAGGCGTCACGTATTCCTCCTCGCGTGCAGCCAGCTCGGCAGCCATACGGTAGGCCATGGGTACCAGCTCGATTAACAGGAAGTCCATGACCGAGGAGTTGATGTAGCCTGCGCCCGGCTCGTTCGAAGTGGGCGGGGGTTGCGCTTCGTATGACATGGTGGGTTATTATTATCTTAGAAACAAAAAAATCGTGCTGGCGCGTGCCGCGGGAAGCTCAACGCCTGGGACGTTTGCGAGCTATCTCGGAGCTAGGACGTGGGGGACTGATCGCAGGAGTGTCGGTCGATGACAGTCCTGGTCGAATTTGCGGCAAGCGGATGATTGTTCAGGGGACCGAGCGCGAAGTTAAAGTGCTCTGAGGGCGCCGGACCTGGGGTCGGTGTTGGAGTTTGAACTGGATCTGGGGAGAGGGTCCGGGAGGCTGACGTTGCGGTGCGGGAAGCGGACGGAGGTGCGCGGCAACAACTTTCTCGTGCCAGCAGCGGCGGGCGGTGAGAGGGAAATTGTGCGGATCACCGCGATCCAAGCTCGCACGACTTCGCGAGCATCCACCAACCCGCCCATCGCACCATGGCTGCCCCCGCATACGTCAGGTCGCCCTTCGGCGCCCTGAAGAGAGTCAAGGTCGGCATTGGCGCATCATCATGGCCGCTCCGGCTCCAGAAGTGCTGAACTGCCGTCCAGATATCACCTTCGACGGCCGTGCCGTGTCAGCGCCTCTACAACACCACGCTCGAGGCCTTCAGGTTATCCAACATCGATGTGGAAGAGACTGCAAAGTAGGAATCTAGTGATGCTGCCACACAGTCCCTTGCTGATCCAATCCAGGAAGCGCGGCATCCCGATGCCTCCCACCGAAGAAGTGTAAGACAAGCACCGCCGAATCGCTACTCGAACAGCACCGCAATCTGACAAACCGCAAGCCGCGACATGACCGACGCGACAAAAGAGGCGCTAAAGGAGCTCCGCCAGCCGCGTAACGTTGAAGCCATCTTCAAGCGGCCGCTTCGCCGCCCCGCACAATACGGCATTCCCGTCTGCGACCTGCAGCTTCGTACCTTCAGCGTGCGCAACATGGAGTTCTTCGCCGACTTCGCCATGCGCGCTGCCTACTACCTCGGCCTGCCCGCCAAGGGCCCCATCCCGTTGCCCCGCAAGATCGAGCGCTGGACCGTGCCGCGCGCCAACTTCGTCTTCAAGAAGTCGCAGGAGAACTTTGAGCGCATCACCCTGCGCCGCCTGATCCAGATCCAGGATGGAGACCCAGAGACTGTCAAGCTGTGGCTAGCTTTCCTTCAAAAGCACCAGTACCACGGTGTCGGTATGAAAGCCAATATTTTTGACTTTGAGAAGCTGGATGTCGGCAAGGCTATGGATGAGCAGGCACAGAAGGAGAAGGAACTGGTGAATGAGGCTTGGAAGGGCTTCGGTCGGAGGAAGGACGCACCCGAGCAGCCTGAGGAACTACTTGAGATTATCAACGCGGAGCCAGTGAGGAAGGCGGGTACGGATATGCCCATGGGCAGGACCGCGTGGGACAAATAAAAAAGAATACCCTCCCGAGATTGTAATGATACTGTAGATATACGGCGCAGGGGCAAGCGGTAGTTTGAAAACGGATAAGTACCTCCATCTTCACTACTACGATATTTGAGTTGCAGGGGAATGCCAGGCAAATGGGACGGAGGCATGCAACGTGGTTGCCTTCAGCTCCAATCGCACTAAATCTGCAAGCTGGGCTCGAATTGAGCCATTTGCGCAGCGGGATGTCATTGGTACAAGAGGCTGCTCATAGATATGCCGTTATCACGCACTATCTTTTGGTCAAATCAACATTGGTCCAGAATTGATCTCGTGATCGTAAAAAGGTATGGAGGATATGCAGCACTCATGTAACACATAGCATGAAAGATTGTCTATTATCTATGCTAGTACTGCACATCTATGCTTAGGAGCGGGCGGTCACTGCTCGTATCTATCTATTGTTGACTGTGAACACTTTGTCGACGGCCGCCGTAAAGGCCGACAGTTTCAACACCATGCCAAGTCTATCACGATAATCTCAATCTCTGCCGATCAACAGCTCCACTCCCAACCGCAACAGTCAATCAAAAGGCAAGATAGCATACAGCAAAGGACTTGGTCAGCAAATGTGATCTTTGTGGGCTCAGGCAGGCGTGGCATATCTAAAGTACTAGCAATGCATCGTGCACGTAGAGTGGACCTCAGAATCAGCAACATCATCATATATCACGTATCACCAGATGCATAAGAAGTCAGTGGAAAGACAAGGCAGCCAGACCCATGCCACAAGGATACCAGAGCCGAGCACCATTATCTATCCAGTACTATATACTCCCAAACCACCAAACCGCCCAACCACCTTAGAGTATAGCCCAGAGCTCTGTTTGCCCAGAAGACCTCAACCTCTCACTCTCTCCAACTATTTTCTGTAATTCTTTAATCTTTTTTTTTTGTATTTTTCTCCTTCTTTCTATGTGTTTTTGTGTTTTTCTGTTCTATATACAAGTGAAAGTGAAAGTGCAGGGGAATTTGGTACGGAACGCCCAAAGGAATTAGGGTATCTAGCTATGATGAAAGAACGCCAAAGGAAAGAGGGTATCTAAGTATAGTGAAAGTGCAAGGAAGGAAAACGAAAGCTATATATAGTGAAAGTGCAAGGAATAGGAAACGAGAGCTACATAGTGTGAGAGTGCAAGGAATGGGAAACGAGAGCTATATAGAGTGAAAGTGCAAACGCAAAACAGAACGAGGGATATAGTGCAGTGAATGTGTAGAAGAAAAGACAAAACGAAAGTGTATGATGTATCGGAACGCCCAAATGGAACAGGGAAAGATGAATGTCATAACGCCGAAACGCCAAACTCCATACAAATGAAACAATGCCTAGGAAACCAAATCACGCCGAAACGCCCAAACGCCAGGGAAAGCAAGACGGGGAAAACAAGAGGGGAAAAAAAGAAAGAAGAAAGGAAAAGAAACGAGCGACCACTTACCTACCACACCAAACCCATATACCTCTCTGGCGCCTGCGGCGCCGGCGACGACGTGAAGGGGTGGCGGCTGGGGAGCTCGGCCTCGTATTCGGCCGGCGTGTAGCGGGTAAACCCGCGCGGAAGGGAGGAAGGGGGGGAGGAGGCCGCCGATGCGGCGACGGGACGAGGCGGCTCGGAGGGCGACGAGCCGGAGGAGGAGCGGGGGCGGGAGCAGTTGCAACCCATAGTGACCTGTTGAAGAAAAAAAAAGTTAGTAAGTGTTCTTACTATCGCTGGGTGGTGTGCGCGTGGGGGTGGTGGCGGATTGGAAAGGAGCTTGGGCACGTGTGCTTGGGCTGGGGCTGGGCTCACTGTGCTGGGTGAAGAGAGAAGAAAAGAAGATCAGAATCGCAGACACCAGACGAGATTTTTAAAGCGACCCTGGTGGCCCCAGCGCTACTACGCCTCGTTTGTGCAGACTAGCACCGTGTGTGGAAGAGGTAGGGCAGTCTTGACCATATTCGATGAGAAAGAGGGCGCCTGAGCGAAGCTGAGCGAGCCTGAGGGAGCCTGAGCGGCCAGGTAGGCTGGGAGAGCATGTGAATTCTATCGTCAACAAGCCCCAGAGAGGTCGCTAATCGCATGAGGCATCTAAGCTTAGCATGCCGCAGCATTGGCAGCTTCCGCAGCAGCTGCGTTGGCGTGGGCTACGCCGGGGTGGAAGGCGCAGCCAGAGACGGCAGCTACCTCGCTCACCACCACACACGACGCGTCTACGGTGCCGCTCAAGGCAGAAAAGGTGCCAGGCAGGTGCCTGATCATCTGGAATCCAAGCAGCCCGCTCTGGGCGCGTCTCACCGGTCGAGCCTGCCTCGCGTCTACCAGCCAGCCGTGAGCACCGTCGAGATGCGACAACCGCGACACCACAAAGCTGCTACTTCGAGCGAGAGATGCAGCGAGGACGAAATAAGGGGACAAGGCGCTTGGAGCATTGAGAGGACGGCTGGGTTGCGACTTGTGGCCGGTCGAGCCCAGATGACTGCCTACGCATCTCTGACCCGGCCCGAAACAACGCACTGGTGAGCTTGCCCCATCTATTTCCGACGACCCTTAAACCTGCCTTTCCATCGGCCAGCAGAGAGCGAGCGCGGGTCCGCTGAGAACACTTCGCTGTGGATGCTGCCATGCAAGCCCGTACATAGCCTGAGGCATCAGGCTCCCACCCGGCAGCACATCGGAAGCTCTGGTCAAATTCTCAACACCGGAAGGCCCTCACGATAAGAGAAGAGGGCTGGCAATACCGATTAAAGCTATATACTGCCGTGTAACACGAGCACGCCCAAATCCGTGACTCGTGACGGTAATCCGCCCTCCAAGCCGCCTGAGAATCCACCGACATGAGAGAACCTAGAGATTGTCAGTTGCGGGCTCAGGGAGGACACAATATGCTGCGAGGTTGGCAGACTGTCTTCTTCGAGTAGTTTGAGATGCTCAAAATCGAGGACGCTGATTGGCTGGAAGCAGAACCCTGCCATTCCTACGATCTGCCCGAACGCCACCGACACGCGCCACGCTCCAACTCTAAAGCCACCTCGCCTTCGCATTGAGCCCTGTCTATTCTTACCAGAGTTTCTACCGCCCGCCAAGTCATGCTCGATGTATGTCGGCTTACACGCTGCTCGATGAAGGACTGCAAGGCTTTCATGACGGATGATCGACGGTCGGCACGCTGCGCGAATCACGCAATAGTTACCACAAAGACGCAAATTCCACTTTACAATGGTAGGTGCTGCGGCATCGCACAAGTTGTAAAATCGACACCGTCTTTGAATTTGAATCTCTACTAGCTACTTAGCTGTCGCAAGCCCTTCGTCTCCGGCCATGTTCCAAAACAACCGCAACCATCTTCCAGGAAACCAATCCCCAGCGCACAACTCCCCTTCGTCACCCTACGTGCGTCAAACCCGAGCGTGAAGTTGTTGGCGGCCAAGACATGGTGCGATGCAGTGTCGTTGGTGGAGAAGACTGAACTAAGCCTTCTCTCCCTTCCTCTCCCTTTTCGTCAATGCACAAATCAAGCCTTCCTGCTGCACAAACCACCTGTTTTTGACCTTCCATTCCCGCCCTTCGCCGCCCTCCAACTGCACTTCGAATTCACGGAGAAGCTGGGGTATCACCTTCATCATTTCCATCATCGAAATGTGCTTTCCCAGGCATGTTCTGCTGCCTCCGCCGAAGGCCAGGAAGCTCGCGTCCATGCGCCTCCTCTCGGCCTCGCTCGCCTTCAACCACCGCTCGGGCCAAAACCGCTCGGCATCCTCGAAGACGCGCTCGTCGTGCTGCGTTACCCACGCGTTGATGCCGACAATGGTGCCGCCGGGGATCCAGCGGCCGCAGATCTCGGCGCCGGCGGGCGGGACGACGCGCTCCATCAGGAGGCCGACGCTGGGGTGGAGGCGCATGGCCTCCTTGACGACGGCATCGAGGTAGGGCAGGTGCGTCGTGGCCTCGCGGTAGCTCACGAGCTCGCTCAGCAGGCCGGCCTCGTCGGCGGCGTCGATCTCGGCGACGAGGGTGCGCATCGTCTGCGGGTTCTTGAGCAGGAAGTAGATGATTGCGCGCAGGGCGATGGCCGTCGTGTCGCTGCCCGCGAAGACGTTGGTCGACAGGTGCACCACGATGTCGCGTGTCGTCATGCGCGGCGGCGCCGCTAGCCGCAGCGCCGACCACCGCGACAGCATGTCTCCCCGCGCGTCGAGCGCAGACAGCGCTTCTTCCGACAGGTCGCCGTCGCGCTTGAGAGACTCGGTCGACTCGGAGGCAACCGACGTCGAGAGAACCGAGTTGACGGCTTTGAGCGTGAACGTCAGGACCGAGTTCCACGACTCCATCGAGGGGATGAGGAAGGGGAAGAGCGGGTTGCCGAGGAGGAAGGGGTGCCATTCGGGGAGTTGGCCGCAGAGCGAGGCGTAAACCTGGTCAACGGTGAGCTGCTGAGTCAATTCGGCTTCGTGGGAAAGATTGCTGCTTACGAGAATATCGGCGATAGTTGCCATCATTTTGTCGACGTCTGCGCCTACCTGCAGGAAGCCTAGTTTCTTTGCGAAGCTGAGCTCGCCGATGACATCGAACGCGTAGTACTGCAACCACTGCCCAAGGTCGACGGGCTTATTCTCATCAACAAAGGACCTGAGCTTCTCCATGAACAATTTAGAGCATGAGTCGATGGCATCTTCCTTGGCCAGCAGCGAGGTCAAACTGTAGGCAGCGGCGATGGGACGCTTCTGCTCATGATGGTACTTCTCGTCTCTCGTTGAGAAGATGTTCATCTGCGGTTTCTTGTGCCAGCTAATGCTCTGGATTGGATAGAATGCAGACTACGAGCTGTTAGCATTTGCCGGGAGGCGTATCAAGGTTGCATACCTTCGTATAGCCCTTGTTCAAGCCGTAGATGTTCGCAATCTCGCTGGGGTCCCCCACTGAAACATGGTTTGGCCCAATCCTCACAAGCGGCCCGTACTTCCGGTGTAGCCTGATGTGTGTCCAGTGTGCCTGCCCCTTGGCGACATCGAAGAAACGCCAGAGCCCCGTGTATGCGGCAATGGTTGGGCCGGGAATGCCTCTCAGGCCAGGCCTGAATTTGTTGCAGAGCAGGCGAACAACGACTAGAGCAACTAACACATGGGCCCAATAAGCTCTCAGGAGCAGAGCAATGGTCCAAACCTGTTCCTTGGCCGTCATGATGGATTGAACCGATCCTGTACAACGAAGCAGAAAGAATATTGACTGCCGTTGATCTCTTGGACTGCCGGCATTTAAATACCGTGTTCTGGACAACGAATACGCGTCTCAGAGCTTCGCTGCCGGCAAAAGAAAGGGTTGGGGGCCAGCGATCCTGGGCGACAAGCAGCTAAGCTGCACCATCGTCTCGCCGAGAGCTTGTAAGCACCAATTGCGACTCTTTTCTACCCTGAAGCGGTTTTATCAGAAAAGTGGGCAGGGCAATATGCATCATTGGGCGGCGCATCTGCGGGAGGATTGCTTCCTAGTAGTAAGGCTGTGCGATATCCCTCTTAGGCCGTGAGGGCTGGCTCGCGAAGTGTGGAGACTGTCGATCTTTGCCCTTGACGCTCGTCAGCGTGCAGGACGAAAGGCTTCGTATGCATTGTAAGCAGCATACACCGGGATTGGATTCGGCTACCTTCTGAGCCAATTGTTGCCAGCGCATGCAGCGGCGATTCGCGACATGCTGATATTAATCCGTTCAATGCCGCCGTGTAGCCGCCCAGTGCGTTTGGAAACAGAGTCATTGACCAGCTCGTCTTCGGATCAGGCGACAGAATATAAGGGTTATCGGCAAGCGTCTTGGCCTCCTTTAGCTCGGGTAAATGGAATGCGATTTCATTGACTCGGTGATTACCGGGGAAAGATAGGTGGTTGGTGTTACACGAGCCAAAAAAAACAAATTCACGACCAGCAACAGAAGTTTGAAGGATAGCTCGTCACTTACTCGTAGTAGCAGAAGAGAACTCAGCTCTTGGTTTTTTCTTTTTTTTAGGGCTCAATTGAAGTCCTGAGCCGCCAATGATCACACCTAACAACTTTCAGTGCGCACTACGAGTTGAAAATGCGACTGTACAGTTTCTCATGCCTGCCCACCCACAGGTCCATGACCGGCACACTCTGCCCCGCATCCTCAACCTCGGTATCCCAAAACGTCTTCACCAACCCACTCACCCTCTCGCGAAGCCCCGCATCCGCCAGTACCGCCTGCGCTTGGTACGGTCCCAGCACGCTCGCCCGCACTGCCGCCGACGTCACCGTCCGGGCATGCGAGAAGAGGAACAAGTACGCCGCATCGTGTAGATCGACCCCGAGCACACGCGTCAGCAAGCCCCAGAGCGGCGCGAGATGGGCGTTTGGCGGGAGCGGCGTGGCGCTCGTTGCGGCGCGGAGCGCGGTTTGGAAGCGAGTGAGGGCGGCCACGGCATCGGAAACGTCGCCGCCATCGTCGTCGATGCTGGTTGATGTTGGTGCTTGTTGATAGGCCTTCTTGAAGCTGCGATCCCATACGGCGAGCAGGGCGCGACCCTGGGCGATGCTGGCGCGGCGGGCGACGGTGCACGGCGTGCTGGCGTCGAGGTCGTTGTCGAGCGTCTCAATGAGGTGCGGGGTGCGGTAGCCGGCTAGCACGTAAGGCAGGGCAGTGCTGGCGAGGGTGTGGAGGGAGAGGCGCAGGAAGTGGTGGAAGGCTGGCACTTGCGAGGCCGACGCGCTTGGAAGCCGATGGTGGGCTAGGTACGACTCCAGCCCGCTGCTGAAGGCAAACGAGCCTAGCGGCAATGCCGAATCGGCGAGCAGAAGGAGCGTGTGAAGCGCTACAGCAACACGTCAGTTTATTCTGGGTGGAATGGGTGTGGGAAACATGCCGGCATCACTGGGTGGACTGGGTGGCGGCGGCGTTAGCGCGCGCGAGGCCGTAGAGACAGAGTCGCTGGGTGACGGCGGGGGTTGCAATTGGCTTTTCGCATGCTTGAGGCGACGCTCGAGATCAGCTATCTCTTGTTGGAGAGCTTGCTGGTCGCTATCGTGAAGGTCCATGAAGGCGGCATGGCGGTCGGTGGAGAGTGGGGCGCGTGGACGGACGCATGCGACGCGGGGAAGCTGGACACCACAGCGGCGAATCTCCGGCACGCAGCAATCATTCATTGTGAAGAGAGCAAGACTTGTCAATTTCGTAACTCTGACTCTGGACTACCCGTCGGCCATTCCCTAGACCTGGATATGACGGGAAAGAAGTAGAAAATTCAATACGCCAATGCCGACATAAGAAACCGTAGTGATCGATGGACGACCCCATCCCAGAATGCCGTGTCCGGGTATCATAGCGCCGTAAAATAACCAGTGACCATCCAACCAAACCCAGACCCAATAGTATAGTAGTACAGCGACGCTCTGCAGCTAAAGCAGCGGTTGCGAGCGTCAGGAAATGTCATCGTGAAGTGCTGGTCGCACGGTACCGCAGTAAGGGTTTACGACGACTGGGTGCTGGCGGTCTGGATCTTCTTCTGAGGGATATCGGCGAACATGGCACCGCCGTTGGCGGCGTTCTCCATGTTGCGGGCGCTCATCTTGCCGAAGAGGGTCTTAGGCTTGGACCTGAGTGATGGCGTTAGCATGACTACGCCAATGGCAAGCAGAAGAGTGGGAAGCAGCTTACTTCTGGAGGCCGTGCTTGTTCTTGAAGGCCGCCAGCTTCTGGGTGGCGGGCGACTGGATGCCGTCGGACGGCGAGACGTACTTCTGCTCATCAATCCTGGGCGGAGGGTCGAACCTTTAGTCTCGTCGGATCAGTCTCGTTGATAGCGGGGATCGGTAACTTACTGGCCGCTCTTGAGGCGCGACTCGAGCATCTGGCGGTGGTACTCGAGCGACTTGGGCTTGCCGTCGTCGACCGACTGGCCGAGCTGCTGGTTGGCGTCGCGTTGGGCGAGGACGTTGGCAGACATTGCTGTAGAGTAGAAGAGTAGCTTGGGTAGTATGTAGCGGGTCTGGATAGTTTCGAGTGGACGGCGGAGAAGCGTGTTGGGTGAGCGAGAAGAGCTGTCTGCGGCGGAGACTTTATGGCAGGCGCCCTCGGCGGCGCGGCCCGCCAAAAAAGTTCCAACCGCAAACAAAGCGTTGACCCAGCAACCGCTTGACATCACCACCCGCCCATCCATTCGCCCTGCACACATGCAAACTCGAGCGTCGTAGTCCCCTGACTGGCCAACCCGCCGAAGCCACTCGGCCACTGCCTTCCACTTCAGGTCAAGCCGTCGCTTTCGCCTGTTCCAATCTCTTTCTCCAGCCATCGTCATGGTATAAGCAGGCACCCGGGCGATACGTGGATCGACAGGAACCCGGCCCCACAGGGCCGATTATACGTGCAATCTTGCATGATGAGATGAGCCTCCTGTCCGGCTGACTTTTTTGCCACCATTCGTCGGGCCATTGCGACGCTGTGCGATCGCCACCGTGGAATGCTGGGGAACTCGCTATTCCAAACACGCGGAACAAAGGCTCTTGAATGATCTTGGTTCAGCTCCGCGGAAACCACTAGCTGCTCACAGTCATTGCTTTGGTTGCTTCACTGGCTATTGCTCACCCTGGCAACCTGACCCTCGCTGGGGGGGAACGCCATGAGCCTCTCCGTTTTGCACTCGAGAATGTTTACGCAGTCTACTTTTGATCTGGCCTGCCTGACACATGGTTCGAAAAGGAGTCCATTCTTGCTAAGCCGTCTCGCCACGAACATGATACTTACTTTGAAGTATCTGCACCGACAGCCTGATCTTTGCTTCTCCTGTACGCGCAGGAATAATGGAGCGCACGCCTTTTGTGGGACACGTAAGGATGAAATAACCCTCATTCTACTGCGAGAATTGCTCTTGGTGTATTTGTTAATGGCTGTTGCTGTTGCGCTCACAATGACTGCTGTGCTACATACCTCCCGCCTGTTATTCCAGCCAATTCATCGTCCGCGTGATGATCCCGCGCTGGACGACTTTTATTTCAGATGCCAAGCACACGTCCGGATCTGCGAAGCTGGCCTCGCAGCATCTGATTCGAGCCTTACGTCGGTGTCAGCACTGTTGCAATATTCCGTTCTTTCCTGTAATGTGCGAGCTCGTGCGCATAGGAAGGCACCTGGTAAGGGTCTATGCTCAGTCAATCTAGTATATCTTCCCTCAAACGTCACATCCCTGTACCTCAGTTCTTGAAGACCGAAAGGTCACCACCGACTTTGACACTCCCCCCACAAGCACCTTCTTGCTAAGTCAACGTCAGATTTGCGTTGTACCTCACCAACTACTTCGGATTCTCATCCCGACATGGCGTCACCAACGCCACCACCGAACATCCACCAGACGGTTGGTGCATCTGGGGTGCTTGGTGCCATTACGACCCACGACGAACCAGTCACGCCATCGCCGAAGTCTGGTCAGATCATGACCGTAGAGGCATCTTCCTCACCTCCATCGTCAAGCAGCGTGCTTGAAACCCCGCAGCTTCCATCGCTAGGTGAAGATGCCCAGCCCAGGAAGCGCCAAAAAACCCTGCCTTTGGTGGATGCTTACAGTGTTGCTGCAAATGAACATGGTTCATTCCCATACTTTGCCAATGGCGATGTTGTCATCACCATCAAAGACAGCACGAAATTGCATGTTTGGCGCCTGCACTCCACTGTCATTGCCATTGCTTCTACCAAAATGAGGGAACTGTTGGCGCGTGCCGATAACCTGCAGGGAGAGGCCGACAGCCATCACTACCTGACCTTGGACGAATCCGTACCTCCTCACACCACACCCCTCTTGATCCCAGCTCGTGCGGACCAAATTCCGGAGGATGTCATATCAGAACACCAGGAATTTTTCGACCGTAGTCTCTTGAGCACTGCCACCGCCTCGAGTAGGGCTACCAGCGTCGTGACCACCATCAAGTCTGAAGACCAAGATAGCCGGAATGTGTCACAACGCCATGCCAGCCGTGCGAATTTGGACGCACGCATCCGGTCAGAGCTCTGCTCGGCCTACGACAAGCTCTTTCGTCACATGTACCACTTGCCTCTGCACCTCGGCACGACGGCCAATGCTCAGCACTGTCTGTTTCAAGCCGAAGTCATCGTCCCGGTATTCCGGGAATATGGTTTCCTCCCAAGTCTTCAGCCGCACCTTCGTGACTCGTTGTCGCAGCTCAGGTTTCAACTCTTCGAAGCAATCGCCAAAGACCCCTGTCGGTGGCTGAATCTTTCTATACCCTTAGAAAGTACCGTCATCTACATGGAAGCCTGTATACATCTAACAGGATCTTTCGATAAGATTTCCAAGCAAGACAAGAAGACCCGTATTCCACATGACGTGCTCAACAAAGTCAAGAAGAAGCGTGAACAGCTCATGCACGCCCAAGAAAAGGTTCTTGGCGAACTTTTCCGACTGACAATCCACGTGGAGGAGAAGCCCGTTACAATGGTTGACCAGATGGAGACATGGATTGCGGTACAAATCTTCAGGGACTGGCTTGCGAGAGAACTCGACCGAATCGAAAGGCAGACTACCGGAGGCAGCCAGCACAGCAAGGGTCTGGTCGCTTACTCTGACAATGCCTCCCCACCAGGCATTGGTACACTTTTACGCCGGATACACCGTGGTGGAGATGCGTACCTAGCCTACGACAAAGTCCTTAAAGATTTGAAGGAGAGCCATGAGTACCTCGGAAGCGAGTGGGAGGACCTCGCGGAGGACCTCCGCAGTCTCAAGAAATTTGCGTCCAAGGCGGTGGAGAGCTTGTGTCGCAACAATCTAATGCTCGACCCTGAGCTTCACAAGATCCCCTACCTCACCTGCGTGGATGTAGGAGTGAGGGATCTCCCGTGGCAGACTAACGCGGAAGGATCATGAATTTCGCGGTCCTGAAGGCAAGAGGGAGCACGAGGGCGGGGGACTCATTACCTTCACATGGAATAGCGAAGGGCTAAGAAAAAGAGGATTCCCTACTTTACACGGAGAGAGATGAGGCGACTGGAACTTGTATTTAGTCATCACATTTCATACACAGAGGAATTGCTTGCCGATGCACCTGACGATTACGTGCAAAACCCTAAGAATTCTACATCTTACGAAAAGCTATACGCGAATAAAATAAAAACCTAGAAACTAATCTGCAGCTACCAGCGCATGCATTGTGTAATTCATAGCGCAGCCAAAAGTCCACTTGAACGCGCTAACCCGGGTGTTATCACCATTAGCCCCTTATTAGATCCTTATTCTACTAGATCTTATAGTTCCTATAGAACGAGCGTCTGCATTGTGTTCTCTGTATATTTTGCTCTCTTGTGGGTAGACACTTATACACCTCTGATTGGCTATGTTCTTTTGGCAGGGCGAATTCTGCAGTTTGGGCGTGAGGTCCCTGGCCTTCGCGTCAGTGATGGATAGGCTTGGGGTAGCATCGAAATCATCTGGGTCCATATTTGGCATTTCGATAGAGAGTTCGTCAAGGATGGATTGTGCAGAGACGGTGAAGTTGAAGTCTGAGGAGGAAAGATTCACGGATCCCTGCACACACATCGAGCTGTCGTTCCAAGCTGCTGTTGCTACATCTTGCCACAGCTGCGACATGTTGTATATGTTGTCCACCGTGTAATAGAGTCGGCAGTTTGCAGGTTCGTAGAGGAACTGCAAGGGGACTGTTCCATTTTCCCGGATCTGATCTCGAAGGTTGAAGCCGGCGTAAAGGATAAACATTCCGGAATCCCAAGCCTGTGGGAGGATGGTTGTAGTATTGTCCGTCTTTGAACTGGCGAATTCGAAATCTTTGCCCAGTTCGTACGTAGAGTAGTCTCTGGCCCCGCGACTACCGCTGGCGTACTGCATGGGGCCGACTTCGGGGCGGCCGCCCATCACAATTGTATGCACGCCGGCTTGCGTCTTCATCATCTCCACAAACAGAGAACATGCAGATGAACAAAGGCCGTCGGTAAGCTTCAAACAGTTAATGTTTGTACCAAGATTCCTTTGACTCTCACACTTACAATGACGATGTCCTCGGGCAGCCATTCTCCAGAGCTTGGGGGTTTGTCGCTGCTATTGTAACTATACGGTACGTCACCAAAGGCGGACAAATCGAAGCTGTAATCCGAGAGGTTGTATCGCTCCTGTAATCCAATTTGCTTAGTGTTTGTACTCAAGCTGAAATGTTTTAAGCTAGAACATACGATTTCAGAAAATGCATCACCATTGAATGACCGTGGGCCGTAATACTCAGACCAAGAACTAAATGTCTTGTCTGTTTCTGCGTTCAGCCGATTCGTAATCACCCATTCATCCCGCGCATGCTGAAGATAAATTTCGGTCGCGGGGTCATTCCGATCGAGAGTCCCCCACCAATTTGTAGATACTTCACCCAACTCATCTGCAAGCGGATGGCTTCGTCTTCTACTACCAGCGAAAGGTTCGATATTGGGGAAAAAACGTTTGAAAGTGTCTATCGCCAGGAAGATGGCACCGCCCGAGTTTTGCTGGAGGTCAATGATCACCCGCGACATAGCGGCTGCACTTGCTCCATCGATGAAGGATTGCACGGCTCTGGCGAAGTTCTGGGAGTCGTCACTGAACTGATAGAATGATGGTATGCTGAGGACGGCGACGGAAATATCATGGAGGAAGTAACCGGTGACAACACCGCCATGGTCGATAGACAGATTTGCTTGCACAATATCGGCGTGGGTCGGATAGGCGTCGTAGCTATTGCTTGACCATGAACGCAGGTAATCTGAATCAGACTCAATGCTAGCCTGAACTTTTGTGCAATTGGAATTGTCGTATGATGCCGGGAGTAAGCCAAGCACGAAGAAGTTGTAAAAGTCACCAGGCGTACTAAGGGGCCCAGTGCAGCCTTGATCGTTGTAGAATGCCACCCAGGGAGTGGAAAGCGCGGTGCCATTCTCCAAAGTGAACGTCAGGTCTTCTCCCGGGTAGAATAACGCGGAGGTTGAGAACGTGTTCATCTCACCAAGGATATCCTGGGGTGGCCGGCTCATCAACGAGTTCCAGTCTGCGTGTGGCTCCACAAGGCCGAAGGAGTTTAAGGCCGCAAAGTCCGTCAAGAATCTGGCCGTCTCTTCCCCATTGATTGCTACTACGGGTGAGATTTCCAAATTCGGGTCATTCCGATGCGTGATTAAGTGGTCTATACAGATTTAGTATCGTTCTATGTTATGTGGATGGATGCGCACCTGTGAGGTAAACCTGCGGGGCTTGTTTGCCATCCATCGAAGCCGATGATATATAATAAGGGCTCCCAAAAGAGAAGACTGAAAGAATTCCCGCAAACAGGTTAACATGAAAGTCATGCATTGAGTGCACGACCTTCTGGATGTCCGTCTCAAAAACGAGCTGGCTTGTGTAGTGACCGGATCTGACAGCGTTGCGGATTCTCTCCAGTTCTACTGCGACGTCGGTAGGCGGCTGACGGTAGCCCTTGGGGGGATCTTTCAAGTAGGAGACCGTGCTCTGAAATTGCAGAGTCGTGTTGTAATAGTCAATGAAACGCAGGGCGACTGCGCCGTTGAATGGCACACTCCGAAGGCACTCGTATGCGTCTGAGGCGTAGAACAGAAAATCCCCTCCACAAATGTTAGCTTTGTGGAGTGGGGTTTTGGACTCGTAACATTACCGTTGTTTCCTGCATCGATGATTTTACCACAGATTGTCTGGTCAATTTCGGTACTGTTGGAAGATGAAGGCTCGTCCCTCTTGATCGGCTGTACAGCTGGGCTGCAGGATACCGACACGAGAGCAACGCCGAAGAGTGCAAGTATACGTGCGACTAGCATAGTGAAGCACGATAACGAAGGGCTGAATGAGAGGAGTGTCTATGGACAGGTTGAAAACTCCCGCTCGTAGTGGATCACGGCAGACACTTTATTTCATGTTGTATCGTGAGGCTCAGTCTCAGCTCGACCTCAGCTCAACCTGAATTCAACCTCAGCTCAACCCATTTCCGTGTTGAGAGAATGCTTGTGTTGAGCATGCGGCACATGCGAGAGCTATTTTTGCCTTCGAGGTTGCCAGGCTTACAGAGACAGCAGCCTTGATCAGGTTTGCCCAATGGCGTGAAATGGCGCAGGCTGAGGAAGGCTGTAATGTGCTCGGCTGCCTGGGCCCCGCCAGGCTTCGAAAGGCTGTGGTCAGCAAAGACATAAAAAGAAAGGTCGTGTGATTAGAACGCCACGCAAACAAGTGATGCATGTGATTGAGGGGCGGAGTTCAGCTTTGCAGTATACGAAGTCTTAACAACGACTATTTTACATGGTATTTCAATATTCTTGGTTATCTGAATGCTATTGGTCACGCATGCGATGTGTATTCACGTCCAATTGGACGTCACGAGCACCTGTTCTGATCATCGTATAAAGAGAACGAATTAGTAAGATGGCGCAAGCATGCATCGCGGGTATACACTGACCACCGCATTGGTGAGGGCTGGCATTTGGGGCCCAGTAAGAAGCCGCACATTCCACCTACACATGCAAGCCGGGTATTCATGCCCGTTAGAAGACCGGTGGCTGTAGCGGCAATTGTCAGCAAACGCCAACTGCGGGCAGGGTGATATTTCATAAAGCCGCCACCGCCAGCCATACCGAGCGTCTAAAACATCCGCTTTGACCCAGAACCTCTAATCCTCGCCAGCTGAAAGCTGAAGAAGATGACGCAGACACACAGCCCCAGAACAGCCTTGCCTCCGGACATCTATCGTGAGCTCTTCTCTTCTTTCTTTGAGTCAGATGAATTCCTGGCTTGGAAGAAGGCTGAGAGCAGCTGGCAACTTCGCTTGATTGGTGGCCCTGGTACAGGAAAGGTGATTGGCTGTCATCAATTTCTCGCACTTTAGCTGAACAATGTGTCATAGACCACCCTCGCCCACATCGTATTAGACGAACTCGAAAGGAAAAGCGATACCATGCCTGTCGCAGCCATATTCATCAGATATGGTTGTTTGCTACCCGCAGGTGAAGTTGTTGCGGACGTTTTGGGCAGTATACGTAAACAACTACTTCCTTGGAGCAGCCAAAGCGAAGAGATGGCGCCGAACGAGGAAACACTGGACCACAATCGCCAAAGCCTCAAAACAGTCTTGACACAGGTCGGGCACGCGTTCCTCGTTATAGACGGGTTGGATCATTGTGGGCATGAAGCATGGTTCCGCTTAGAGGAGGAATTGTCTAAGCTCAATAATGATGGTTTGAGCATCCTCGTTACCTCTAGAGTGCCCTTCCGAAGAAACACGACACAGTACGACTGTGACCGCTGCCCAGAGAAGCGGCCAGTAAAGATCTACTGGCAATGTCATAGCTGCCGTGAAGAGGACTATTGTGTATGTGGGAATTGCAAAATCGACGGAGACGTTTGTCCACAGTAAGTGTTACGCAAGCCTGTAAATACATCAAGTTCTGATCGGGATAGGCATGGTTCGCTATTATTCGAACCATATGAACACGTCTATGTCGACATCGACATCGAAATCGTCACACGCGCAGCCATCCAAGGCTACATCCGGTGGGATCTGGAAAGAGAGCATGGGGATCTTGGTCTCGGGTCTTCCAATGAGGTCAAACCGCCTGAGTCTTCCTTGTGCAAAGCCCTTGCAAGGCACAAAAACAGCAATGCTGCTCAAGAACTTGTGTCTTACATCACAGAGAAAGCGGACGGGGATATCACGCAAGCCAGGCTCCGGCTGGATTTGGTGCGGAAAGCAGAAACGGTCGACATGACGCAGCACACGATTCAAGGACTGCCCGGCAGCGTCATCGCAGTGTTCGAGGCGGGCATCAAGAGCATTCAAGAGCAGGAAGAGCCTTCCCGTACTTTGGGCCTCAATGCGATTTGCTTGGTGACCACTGGTCATGCATACCACGGTATCGAGGCCGGTTATTTCATGAAAAAGTTGCAGGCCTTGTGTAGTGTGGACCCGGAAAAGACTGCCAAAAGCTATTTCCTTGATGAGATCATCCATGCAAGTAGGGGATTCCTCTCTGTCTACTGGCATGCTAGGGAGGACGAGGAGAAAGTTCGTTCATACCATCATGACTTCTTCTACTACGTGCTGGAGGACTATAACGAATCTTTGAGCGCGGTGAGGAGGAACCTAAAGATTGATTGAGAAGTCTGCAGTTCTTGGCACTGTAAACCCCCTTTTCATAGGTAGTGATCAAATATTCAGAACCTCAATCTGCATTGGCTGGCTTAGATTACCCAGAAGTTGATCTTGTCTCTCGTAAGAGGGCCATCAGAAGATGGATCGACACCCAGAAATGAGCACATATTGCCCGATACCCCTCGGAATGAGAATGTTCCCGTCCTAGCAAAACGAGCTTCTTCATCCGTCTCTTCGAGCAAGATTCCCGTCCCGGAATAGGTTGTCTTTTCATTATCAGAGCTTTGTCCAGGAGGGAAGCAGGAATCTCGTAAAGGATTTTTGCTGCACGCGAGGACTGCAAGTTTCAGTTCCGTAGGTGTTTCTCTAGGATACTCGTCTGGGAATGCCTCAAAGGCATCGTCATCCCGTGTACCTGCCGATATGTCCAACGTCCAGCCCGTAGTCCGGTCCAGCATTCGGAGGCGGCAATCAACAACTGCCCCGCGCATCGCTATAGCGCGACCGTTCTTTTCTCCTGAAGCTTGTGGTCCGTTTGGATCGTCCAAGCTGCGAATGCGGCTCGCCTCGAAGCCGATGAATTCGCCTTCATGATTGCGTATTACGTAGAATCTTTTCTCGTTGGGTGAGCGGTCCGCCAATTTGATTTCACCCTTGATAGAGGCCCACGACCAGGTTGGATTGTGGCGAAGGTCTTCGGCACGGGAGGCGGTTCGACAGTCAACCACACGCCAAGCCAACTGCTCGTGCAGAGAGTGTTGCCACATCCCTACTTCGAACTCCTCCCCTCCCAAGTCATCGCCAACAAGTTTGGCAATTCCGAAAATGGCGAGAACTTTGTCACTTTGCTTGGTCAGATCGCATTTGGTGTAGCTGCGAACTGCTTGTTTCCAAAACTGATCCAGTGAGACGTCAGCATCTCCAGCGATGGAATCCCGGTTGATAGCTGTGATTTTCTGGAGCCTCAATCGCCAGTTTCGGTCCATAGAGGTCATTGTGTCGATAGGCTGGGGTAATCCGGAAGGAAGAGTCTCGCAGGCGCTGATGGAAGAACACTCCCAGAAGATCTGTTTGTGGGAGAAGTGCAAGATGCGTGGAGAGAGCATGCGTTCTGCAACTTCAGTATGAATCCTTATTCGTAACGTGTCGGATCACTTACCCTGGAACACCCATGCACGCGTATACAGCGTGTTCTGGAGTAATTGAGAAGCCCAAAGCTGGGCTGGAAGTACAACCCAGGTGCCTGGTTGCTCGAAGAACTGCGAGCCACTGTCGCTCTGGAAAGTTGCAGGAAATATGTCTTGTCCAGTCCTTTGGCGGAACAGCCCACAAGAGCTACCTTCGGCATCTGCAGCAGCTATGTTGCAATGCGAATTCCGGTAGATCTGGTGCATCTTGGTGCCTTCGATACGAAAGTCACCGCCTTCCCCTTGCACAATGCACAAAGAGTCAATCCAGATGTACCGAACACCCAACTGTCTTGTAACACGGACGGCATGCTGAAAGTTCAGCGGAAGCTCCTCAATACCGATCCCTTCGGTCATCAGCTGGTATTGGTTCGCTACCGTGAGGGTGAGGAAGTTGGCGTCGCCCCAGCGATGGCTCAAAGTGACATACTTGTCTACTTGGACGCCATCCCCAGTCTCGACGACGCGAACCATTCTTTCGCCGAGAGCTTCCACATCAACCAAGCGTTTTGGAACGAAGGGAGTCGCCGTGCTTTGCCGGCGACAGTCGGGATGATGGTGTTCGCATTCTTCGAACCACTTGATTATTTGGTTCCAAGCCGGCGGCGAATCTGTGCTGGCTCCGAAAGATGTTGCTTTCTGTGGTATTCCAAGGTCTATGGTGCTCAGTTGTTTTTCTCAGATAAAACACTCATGGGCTGCTAACCTTTGTTGTTAAACGCGTAGAATGTCCTCGTTGGTGTGACGATATCCTCTCCGAAAGACCTGAAGGTGATGACGAGTGAGCAGAGGCTCTCGCTGATTCTTGCAGATCTCCGCAAGCTCCAACGGTGCACTGGTAAGACCAAATTTGTAGGACGTGAGTGTAGAGTCTTCAGGTCCTCCCAGAGCTGAGCACAGAATATGCATCCTTCGCTTGCGGCTTCCTTTAGTTTCGAGATGGATGCTTGATGCTCGCCCCATGTCTGGTTGGATCTGAGAATGCTCGAATCACAAAATGCACAAATCTTGAACAGGCTGGCGTGGCCAACCGGGGAGGTCAGAGGCGGCATTTTTGGGATTTCCGGGGGCAACGCGACAAGCTCGGTGGGATGTGGACGAGGCTCTTGATAAGTAAAACGCCCACCACGTCGAGGGTTCGTTATCCCAGGAGCGAGGCTCAGAAGACCAGCCCAGGCGGGCGGGATGTGCAACCCGTACCGAACGGGAAATGCCGAAAGCCAGTAAGCCTGCAACGTGCATGTGCGTGTGTCAGCTAGCATGCATACCTGTGTGATTTCCATGTGAGGCGTCAATTCAGCCTTGCGCGGTTTTGCGATTGGGAAGGGTGCATTTGCACTAGGACTTGGTTGCATTGCAAACTGAATTATCTCCGCCTAGTCTCGCCAAAGCCGGTACTTTCGTACCTCGTATTACTTGGCGACGACGGTCGTTGGTACGATCCAGACGGTCCTTCTCCTGCGTCGTTTCCCCACGAATTGCCTCCACGTGGGAATGTCGAATAGCCTCCTCGATTGCCACGATTACCCGCCATGTAACCAGCAGCAGCGCCTCCCAATGCACCGGACCAGAATCCAGGCCGCCATCCTTGGTTGCCCGTGTTGTTGCTAGGATACGACTTCCGGTCGTAGGGAGGACGTGGAGTATAGGGTGGTGGAGGGTCGTCGTTGCCGCCCCAACCTCCGCCGCCGCCACCTCCGCCGCCGCCGCGCGGACCAGTCCAAGTATTCGGGTCCCCGGCATCCCCGCCACCAACGATGCAGGCTTTGAAGACCATCCAAATTATGACGCCAAAGAAGACGACCCAGAAAAGAATGGCGATGCCCTGGCTGATCTGATCGTCTTCGCCGGATCCACTCCTACCTCCCTTCCGGTGTCCATATCTGTCCAGCCCCTTGGGGGTAAGCATCAAGCGGTACTCGACACCGCAGCTTCCCTTGAGGATGTACGGATCGTCGGGCGAGTCATAGCCTTCGCATATGACGTCGGTAGAGCCGAGCTTGAATTCTTCGGGGAGGGAGGCTTGACAGGTCCACTGGATGTTGTCGTCGTCGTAGTCGGAGCCTGCGTTCTTGCAGCGCATCACATCGACTTCGTACAGGCCCTTTGCGTCGCCGCCGATGCATTTGAGCTGCGGGCGGGGTTAGCTGGGCGCATGGGTCTGACAGAAGGGGCTCGCATACCTGCGGGATAGGCGACACGCGGCGAGCGGTGGTTTTCTGGCCATTCCGAAGAGTGAGAGACTTGATTTTGGAGAGGAGGACGCTGTCCCTCGCGGCTTCGGCGGTTTCAGAGGCGGCCAGAGCCAGCAATGCTGGCGCAAGGAAGCTGGAGAGACGCATGGTGATTTCGGCAGTCTCCTCCTCAAACAAGGAGGGGACAAGTCTCGCGGGTAGCTACATAAATAAGCAGCTAGGCGGGCGGCAGTGGCGTTAAAGGACACGGTGGCTGAAGACGTCACAAGTCGACGAAGTGTGCCAGCGGCAACAGCAGATCGCCATGGGAGCTCTTTTGCGCTAGTCCCCAACTGGAATGGCGTCGCGGCCCTGGTCCTTATTGCGACCACCTGGTCATCGGACCTCTCAACTACACCTCCGCCCAGCATGAAGGAGAGAATAACGTATTTGCTGCATGTCGGCGAGGAGGGCTTCGATCCATCCAGGCTCACCGTCACCAAGGAAACCCTGGCCCTTCCTCCCATCAAAGCCGCAAAGGAACACCGCCTTACCCTCGGCCTCTCCGAGCTTCCGCACGAGGTAGCTATCCGTAGTCTCAAGCCACGCTGCTCTGCTAAGACTTTGTAGTTCCTACCTATCCTCAAACAATCTCACGAGCTTCACATCCGTTGGGCTACCACCCAACCCTACCACTCTACTCCACCCTACGTTTCCCGTCTTTCTCCCGGCCTCCATGTCTATTTCACGCCCCGCAAAGGCAAGAAAGCGTATGCCACCTAGCCCCGCCATGGATCCTGTTGCTGTACTCATACCCTCCAGCGATGACCTCTGCTCAGCCTTGAAGACGGCCTTCGGCAATGAGCTGAAGTGCAATACTCCATCGGTACATATTTCCCATCAAATCACATGGAAATAGTACTCATCTTCGCTTCTTAGGATACCTTCATTAGCACCCCAGTCATTTCAGAGCGCTTCGCCACCTCTTCGTTTGCTCAATATCACAGTCTTCTCCCGTCGTTGCAGCATCTTGTTACCTACATCTCGGACAAGTTCTGTACCAGCGACGACTGCAGGGCGAAGGCTTCATCTCTTTTGTCTGCAAGCTACATAGATTTTGACTTTGATGCCATCTCCAACGCCCTTGTTATCAACGCATTCTGGGCCGAAGGACCTGCTGAGGGTGGTCTTTGGAACGAGGAAGTCTCGCGCGGCCAGGCCGACACCATGGAAGTTGGCGTCTTGAACAACGAAGTTCCGCTCGAACCCGAGGAGCTGTCTCTTTCCGGTTTCCTCACCGTTGTCGGTGACGACACGAAAGCTAGTATGCAGCCCTCACTCCCGTTTTTAAACCATGACTGACGCATTCCAGAACCTACGCTCTTCTCCTTTCCCTCTCGCCATCACCCTCTTCCATCAACCGCACACCCCGTCCACCCCACTTACTATACCACATTCAACGAACCGACCGGCCTGCACCCGACTCTCAAACTTTCATTTCCTCGCCCAAAGAAAACCCTTATCCCTCCCGGGCCTTCATGTGTCTTACACGCCTACCTAACGCTCCCGTCAGCCTTCTTCCTCGACAAGTACCAGTTCTCCGATCCCCTCTTCCTTTCTTCCCACAACCTGCGCAACGTTTTCGCTCACGCAGGCGCCACCGACCTGGAGGCCCCAGACTGGGTTGTCCCCCAATGGGGCAGCGTTGCTCTCTTCGAGCTCGCGCACCCCGACCTCCCGGAAACTGCGGATTCCGCTTCGCCCGCTGCCGACCCCGAGGACGACCCGAACCTCGAAGTCACCATCCCCTTGCATATGCGCTATCTTCCGCCTTCGGCCAACAACTCCGGCCTCGTCGATGCCTCGTTGCCCTGGCCTGCCGTCTTCTGGGCGTGTTCGGCCGAAGAAGGGACCAAGATGAGCGTGAATCCTTTCGACCGCACCAATCTCGGCTACGATGGACTGTTCGGCAACAGGGCCATGTTCTACCACGTGCCGCCGGCGAAGGACGGTGGAGTGGGCGAAGGCGGGCTGGTAGAGACGCTGAAGGTGCCTGTGTTGGACCTGGATCGGGCGTGGTATGTCGAATATGGGACTGTGATTGCGGTGGTGCTGGCGACCGTGTGGTTGTCGATTAAATTGGGTGGCGTGGCCAAGAGGGCGGGTTTTGGACGAGGGCAGCCCGTGACTGCTGAAGGAAAGAAGAGCCAATAAATACTACCCAGCAGGAAGGGATAGCCATTCACATAGATTTAATGGAGGGAAGCCGATGTTCAAGAGCTAGCTTTCAGCCTGAACGTCTTATTCCGCTTTTTTGCAATTTTGCAAAAGGCAAATCATCTGGAAGCAATTTCTGTTCTAGATTAGAGATAAGGACGATGATAGAGCCATATCTGACGTTATGCGAGGCCAACTTGAGACGAAAGCTCACTCGTCTTTTGAGAAATAACCCACATCACCCGCATCACTCCCCATCTTGACCAACCGTTCCCTCATCCCCTCCGCTCTCTTCCTGGTGCCATCTTCCAACCCGGAGAAATCACATTCCCCAACCCACGATCCAATCCCGTGCTGAAGCACATTGCGCGCCCTCTCTTTGCTCCCTCTAACCAGTCCAACACTCCCATGCAGCGTCATCCTTTCCCTACTCTTGTCATACACCCCCCGATGCAAAATGTTGTTGTTGTAGAACACGCAGTCCCCCGGCTTCATCACCACGACCTTCATATCGGGCAACTCCTTCTCATACGGAGCCGCCGCCCTCTCCGTCTCCGTCCGCGCGCGATTCTGACTGCCAGGCACGACGACCAAACTGCGATCCTCGTACAGAGCCAGGTTCCACTGCGCGTGCAGCGCCTCGCCCTGCGTCAGCCGGCGCAGCTCCTCGTCGGGGCTCGCGTCGGCAGCGATGTCGTCGCGGTGCCACCGCAGCTCGAAGTCGTCGTCGGGCCGCACGAGGAGGTTATACAGCTCCATGACCAGCTCGTCGTCGGCGGCCCGCAGCAGCGCCTTGCACACGCCCATGACGGCGTCGCCAAAGTACGACTCGGCGAACGCCGCCGCGTCCGGGTTCGACGGGTGCAGCAGGTGCTGCACGCCCCAGATGCCGTTGGGCCCCGGCTTGGACGGCCACGGTGGGAACTGCTTCGGCAGCGTGCGGATGTACGGCCAGTCGCCCCGGCGCGCCGCTGCCGTGAGGCGTGAGGTTGCGCCCCTCAACGCCTCGATCTGGGCGGGCGATAGGAGCGAAGGGATGCGGACGAAGCCGTCGCGCGCCAGGGCGGCGCGGAGTTCATCCGCTGGCGGGATGTTTGGGGCGCCGTAGCTGGTCGTCGTCTCGGTTGCGGTCGCCGTCGCCATAGTGCGCCGTTGTTGTGGTAGGAATTCCGAAGTCAGGGATGTGCGTTGGGCTCAGTCGGGTGGGAGAGAGCGAGACATTGCTCCTGGGAAACGGAGAGATATGTGGGATGGTATGGGGTTGCAATGGTTGGTGTTGCGTAGTGGGCCAAGGTCGCATGTGCGGGGGTTCGTTGATCGGCACGACTGAGCTGTGTGCCGGCGGGGTAGCTTTCTGCGCTTCACACTAACGTTCGAACACCACAGCGAATACATCTCAGCACTATAGTATCTCCTGAGAATCAGACGTTTTTCTGCTGATTTCAATTGGTCCCAATGCAGGTTGTGGAGCATAATTGCCTTCGCTATAGCTTACATTACTACTCGTAGAAAATCCTCACCCACCTACCCAAAATCAACTGTCTATGGAGTATCTTGACCCATGTGCTAACCTGAACATCATGCAAGAGTTGTGCCCCCTATGCTCGATATGCCGCCCGAATCCCCAAACGCCGATGAACCACGCTATGACGTCATCAGGTGGTGAATATAGGGTGCATGGCATAGACGGGCGCCTTGGACTCGTCACCGTCGAAAAGCATCAAGTTCTGGATGGGCTGCTCCCGTCTGCCAATAACGTTGATGACATCCTGCGCTAGCTGGCCTCCGATGAAAGCAGTAACCGGTGCCAGCTCGCTTCCGAGATTCTGCATAAACTTGCGCAGGAATTCGCTGGTCAGCGTCTCAATCGGCAGCTGCAGCTCCTTGTGCTTCTCCGTCGCCAGAGTCGTGAACAGCTGCAGATCGGCTGGCGTGTGTGATGGATTCCTTCCATTGACCTTCTGGAACTCCCACAACGCGCGGAAGCACGTGAGGAGTGGCGTGACCTGGCGGAGCTTGCGACGGTTGCCCTGGTACTCCGGCGGAAGAGGGGACGTGTTCGCAAGGAGCAGAGGAGAGTACATCTCGCGCTTGGTGACAAGCTCCATGCGCTTGCCATTCTCGGTGCCCTTGTCGGCGAAAGCAATGATGGAGCGTGTTGCGGACTCCTGCCTCAAAGTCGTGGAAATGTTGGACTTTTCACGCTCGATGACGTAGTCGTGCTGGATTAGATCGGCGAAGATGTAGCCATACATGCCATGGGCGCCGGCTGCGTAGAAGGGCTTCTGGGCCAACCTGGTCGAAGCGTCGATGGTGGAGAGGGTGGCAAAGTCCAGGTCCGTGGCGATGACAAGGTCGAAAGGCTGGTAGAACTCGGGCACTTTGGCATTGATGTCGGATGTATCCGTCATGATAGCAACACGGGGGTTGAGCTTTTGGATCTGCGGAGCAGCAGCTTCGGCGCGCTATGGGCCGTCAGCAGGTGGTGCGTGAGGGCACGATGGGTCAACTCACGTTCTGGCCTACGTCGGCCTCGGAAACGAAGAATTGGGAGCCAAGATCATCTTCGGTGACAAGCTCGTGGTCGACGATGGTAAGGGACTTGATGCCGGCAAGGACGAGGTTCTTGGCGACCTCGTTGGCAAGGGCCTTGACGGAAATGAGAAGGACGTTTGCAGAGCGCAGCCTAGCCAGATTAGCGCGACCCGCGCAAAGGCCAAGCAGGTTCCTCACCTCTCTTGGGCCTGAACGCCCCAGAGGCGGATCTGTCTGTCGTAGAGTGCAATCTCATCTGGATGCTAAGTCAGCAGGTGCATGGATACGACTCGTGTGGCAACGTCATATGCGGAAAGACGTGAGACACTGGACGGCGGTGGGTCAAACAACGGGAACGTGGCGAATAAATGAACCAACACCGGCACAAAGGAGAGCTCTCTGGGTGCAACAGGGGCGGGCGGGAGATGACAATGGGCGAGAGGGTACCTGGACTGATGGTCTGGGCCTGGGCAATGGCGGCCACCACTTCGCCGGCCGGGTCCTCGGCGGGCAGCGCGCCGTTCTGCACGGGCAGAGTTACCTGCGGGCCGGTAGCGATTGGGTCGGACATGGCGGGCAGCTTTGCGGTCGCAAGCGGGCAGGTTGCGGAGGACGAGGAGGACTGGTATAGAAAGTTGGCGTAGCGGTGCCTGGGAGCTCCGGGCGCTATGCCGGGCTCAGTTGGCGTGGCGCAGATCGCGGCCCGTGCACAGGCCAGGCGGGGCGGACCCAACTGAGACGTCCACAGCTGTCAGCCACTGCCTTAACTGCCTCCTCAACCTCCCCCAGTTTCTCCACTCGCGCCCTGTCGGTCCTTCCCCTTTCCGGGCCTGCACGAATCCCGACAAGCCCGCCCCCAGAGCGAGCACTCCCGCACCAGCACGCGCCCCGGCCGCCCAGGCCTGTGACATGACGCGCGCCCATCCCGGTCCCTTTGTCCACCAGCACCATGTCTGCTCCTCGCTACAACTTTGACTTCCCGCCCGCCACCCAGCAGTCGTCCGCCGACCAGGACTCCGCAAACTTACCTGCCCGCCTGCAGCACATCCGCCAGGCCCTCCAGCGCGAGCGCGAGCAGCAGCGCGCCGAGAACGACGTCGCCGCCTCCGAACGCCGCACCCGCCTCGCCGACCCCAATCAGCCTCCCATGCCTCGCCGCAACCGCCGCGGCCCCCGCGGCCTCGCCAGGACCCACGGTGCTTTCGACGATCAGCCCAGACGCATGCGCTCGCCTCCCCGCCTGGAGCCCTCCGATCCCCCGACTTCGGCAATCCGCAACAGACCCCATGCCGAGCCGAGCCAGCGCTTCAGTGCCCTGCGCCGTGCACGCCAGCAGCGTGAGCAGAGCAGCACACCTCTCTCCGAGCTCTCCGAGCTGGAGCGTGCCGGCGAGCGCCTGGCCGAGATAAGCCAGAGCATCTCCCAGCTCATCGGCCCCAACAACCTCTCCAACGCCGAGCTGCTGCGTCTCGAGTTTGGCCCGCCCCGAGACGATGCCTCGGAGCGCAGGACCTTCAAGCGGAGAAAGCTGGACCGGGATGACGCTTCGACCATACACAGCTCCAGGTACGGCCACTTCGGCCAGGTGGTGCCAGGACGCCTGAGAATGGAGATTGTCAGTTGCGATGGCGGTGAATACAGCGACAACTCGGGAGATCTCCACAGAGTCGACAATGCTTTGCGGAACGATGCTAGCGTTTACTGCACCAAGAAGTCGCACTGCAACATGATCCTGCGACACCAGGGAGAGACGACCTTTAGTCTGGATAAGATTGTCATCAAGGCGCCCGAACGGGGATTCACAGCTCCGTACGTTGACTCCGACGAAGAAACTTTGTTGGAGGCTACTGACTCGAAGGCGACCAACAGTGTTCAGGAAGGCATGATTTTCTTGGCCATGGACTCCGAGTCCCTCCTCACCGGTACTGCTCCCTACCAAATCGACTACGGTGCTAGCTCTTCGGCTTCATCCCGTGCCTCGAGTACCTCATCATCCTCGTCCCGCCGCCCCGAACGTATTTCCCTCATCGAGAGCCTTCATGATCCTGAAGTACTTGCCGGAATGGCCCGCCGCCACGACTTACGCGATCGTTTGGAGCAACAGACAAGAGAGGACCGTGAGGCAAGGTTCGCGCGTTTGCTGCGTATGAGACGTCGGTTGGAGTCAAGGCAACACAGGGATAGCAACAGCGACAATTGTGATTACTCTGAGACGAACGATAGACCTGCCATTATCTCGCCGACCGCACCAACACCGCCGCCAGCTCTCCAGGGCCTCCACGTCACGCAAGAAGAGGATGACGAGTCGAGCGAGTCTGAACCGGATCCACCAAGTGCATCGATAATGGCAGATCGACTTCGAAGAGACAGCCGCTGGCGCGCAGAGAGCGAGGATGATGACTATGAGGACGACATACGCAATGTCAACCATCTCCTTTGGGACAGAAGAACGGGGCCTGGCATCATTCGCTCTGCACGGAGGAGTACTCCTAGCAAGATCGAGCCCGAAGAGTCTGCAGTGGTCGATGGGGACGTCCTGGCTCCTCATGCGAGATTTTTCATGCAAAAGAACAAGAGCAAGATTACCATCCGGTTTGACCCGCCTGTGTAAGCCTTTGTTCCCCCTTTGTTTCATGTATGTCCTAACAAATTTGCACAGGGCTGGCAAATTCATTCTACTCAAGCTTTGGAGTCCCTCCAAGCATGGCAATATTGACATTCAAAACATTGCAGTTCATGGCTTCTCTGGACCGCGCTACTTCCCTGCCGTTGAAATGCGGTAAACTTGGGACATCTTGTATGACGTGTGTGGATGCATTGGATGGCGTTTGAGTTTCTGCTTTTACGATTATGGAATGGAGACGACTCATGGTCAGATACCCGTCAATCACCACGGGTGCGATATTCCGCCCGACATGTGATACATAAGAGAATTGGTTTATTCTTTGAGGACAAAGGAGAAAGGCATCATACCTATTCAACGACGGAGGCTCATACAACTTCGGTATACTTACTTGAGACCGGTAAAACATAAGAGTGGACAGCCAGGACCGTGGAGAGTAAGCTCCAAGGATACTTAATGCAATGAGGGTATCATGGTTCAGGCCCAGGTCATGTTACTGACCTCCAAAGCTCATGCTCTTTGGGTAGGTCGAACAGCTTGTTTAGCAACTTGCTTTGGCGTGTGAGACCGATGATAGAGAAGCGCCTGTTTTATTTATTTTACAGTAATATTGCCATTGCATGCATGGACTGCTGCAAGAGCACTTTAAGCCGTTTCCGTGTGTCTTTGGGGTACCAAAGAACAAATATTTTTAGACGTTCTCTCAATTTCATGGCTCTGTGGAAGATATTGTGCCCCCGAACATTGTAATGCAGGCAGACGATTCAACATCATGGAGTCTCCTCCCATCAAAACACCAACTCGAATTGCAAATTGGAAAAAAAAAGGGGGGGAAGAAGGCGCAACGAAGACACTCGAACCGAGTCATATTCCGCAACATTGCCCTCATCATCATCACCATCACAAGCTCCCACTACCAGCGACATCCCTCACCACGCCCACCCCGTCGACGCTCGCACACCGATCAAAGTTCCCACCCACATTGTTGCCCCACCACGCCGGCATGGCGACGTCAGCCCAGCTCCCCAACCCGCCTCTGAACACGCCCATGACCACGACCGCGCACGCCTGCGCGCCGGCATCCACGGCCGCGGCGACCAGGTAGTTGTACCTGACGAACCAGGCCGGCCTGTAGCGCCGCAGCCAGAACTGGCTCGCGAACCCGAGGGCGAAGTAGGTCGCCGCGGCGCTGGTGGAGGGGAGCGCGGCCAGGACGCCGGCGGAGGCGGCGACGAGCGGGGTGTTGAGGTAGGAGTAGGCGAGGCGATGCGAGGGGAAGGCTCGGGAGAGGAGGAAGGTTGGGAGGGGCAGGGCGAGGCCGAGGAGTAGGCTGACTGGGATGGCGGCATAGCGGGACGAGGGGAGCGAGAAGAGAGAGCGGCCGTGGAGGCCGAAGGCGGTGGCCTGGGTGTGGAGGTGCGAGATTTTGGCGGCGGACCAGGCGGTGGTGGCGGAATCGTGGGGGTTGAGGAGGATGGTGCGTTGGTCGTTGACTATTGTGGCCATGGCGGCGTAGCTGATTATCGAGCCGATGAGGGTGCCGACGAGTTGGGAGGTGAAGGTGACGCGAGGCGGGAGCTTGGTGTATTGGCCGAGCTTGAGATTTTGCGCCATGCTGAGGGCTTGAGTGATGGAGGCGTGGCCGAAGAGAGTGAAGTAGAGATTTGCGGTTGGGTTTCCCGGGTGAATGAAACCGCCGAGGAGGTGCATGAGGGATTGGACGCTACCCTGGTAACCGGTGAGTGCGGCTTGGGCTCCGAAGAAGGGAGAGAGGAGGCCAGCGAGGAGGATGCTGATGAAGAAGCCGTACCAAGGAAGCGTTGTCTCTGCCGTATAAATGCAGATAAGTCCGATGACGACCGAGATTGTACAAACAGCAGCGTACCACCAGTTTGGGCATTCCTTATATGCGCGCATGAATTGATAGTGCGGGTTGTGATCCACTTCGTTATGCTCGACCACCTCCGGATTGCTGGTCCAGAAAGTCGAGGTTATGAGCTTGTGAAGCTTCTGGGGATACATGAATTCCCAGACCTTTCGTATATCGCACCAGTTCCAGAGCAGAAGATGCACAATGGTGGAGGTGATGTAGAGGCTGTTCGTGAGAAGAGACGCTGCGAATGTACCTGCAAAGAACGGCAGATGCAGTCCATCCGCCACGCCAGGTTCGAGCATAGCCTGCAGGTCAAACGTCTTATTCTGACGGTGCGGGATGAAGTCCGAGCTCGTGGACTTCTCTGAGTAAAGCAAATGTGACATGAAAGGGAAGTCTTTTGCGCGCCAAACATTTCCGTAATAGACGCCGGCGAATAGAACGATGCAGATGAGATATCCAATGAAGTTGTTCGTCAAAGTTTGCAGTGGGAGCCACAAAGGCTGGCTTGTGATGAACTTCCAATCAAGCCCCAAGGATAGGAATCCGAGACCTTCGTTTGTGTTGGAGCCACCGAAAATTGTGGTGAAGACTGTGTTGCTTTGATTTGCCAAGCAGAAGATGCTGAAGCCAGTCAAAATTGGCATGATGTACTCTGGCAAGAACTGCCACAGGACAACCACAGCGAATGTCCAGTACATCACCCGACGCTTGTATCTGGTTTGCGTGGCGTCCTTGTGGAGGGTTTCGAGGAGTGAGCTGACGGGCAACAATACTGGCCAGAACATCTTAGAAGGATACACGACGGCTCGTCGCAAGACTCCTGCAAGGCCATAGCCAAGAAGTTGTGTTGATATTACGATATGGATGGACAGAACTGTACTCGGTGCGTTGTCGTAGTACAGTTTTTGGGCGGCAATGATCTGGACAGCAAGCGCAACTTGTGATGCGGACGAGGCAATGATGGCGGCTGCGGTATGTTCTTTGGAGTTGAACGGATGTGGATTAAGCCAGCGCCCGACGAATCCGCATCTTGGAATGGACCTCTCCATAAAGGTTCCAAGCACATACGCTGCCAAAACTAAGAGGACTTTGGAAATGTCGAGCGTACGGGAGCGGAAATAGTATATTGTGTTCACAATTGCACCGAAGACTCCTAAGACAATGCCTGTTAAGGTCTGTGTGAGTAAGTCCGAGCCTTCCAGAGATGTTTAGATGCTCCTCACCAATGAACCACGTTCGGAACGTCAAGGCATTCAGTGAAGGGTCATCCTCGGCATGGAGAATTTCGGAGGCAAGATCTTGATTCCCTTGGGGCTTCAGGTGCTCCGCAGAAGCCGCATCGGTACGATCGTCGAGACTATCGGCGGGGTCCTGTTTGCTGTCGTCATCGGAAAAGGATGTCATTTCAAAGTCATCCGCAAATCCCACCCCGGATCCTCTGCTCAACCTCCTTGGACATCTGTGTAGAGTGAGATCCTCATCCGACTCCATGATCCGCCTCAGAGCAGAATGCGTAAGGTAATGCGTTGTGTATGGCAGGAAGAGAAGTGGTGAGAAAACCGAGAGGGGTGTAGTAGCAGCATCATGGAAATAAGCTCACAAACTTTTGGCGCAGTGTCGTACACGCGTAAGCACCCTCCGGCCATACCTAAACACTAGGCGATGCTGGTAGACTCTATCCATGTTGCACCCGTGTTTTGCTGTGGTAGTCCAAGAATCTTGGCATCCCAAGATGCTGGAAATCTGTACGGTAGCCTTTTCGGGGTTCTTGATTGGGCGGCTGATCGCTAAATAAGCATGTACTTCCTCGTAAAAGCCCGTTGCCGCCGTTCAAGAAACCGGATGTTTCACTAGTGTAGGGAGACAGTAGCAGACAGTGCCCTACTATTCTTGGCTTACTTCTTCGCTCGTCTTGACTGGTGAAACAATGCGGGGGGGTCGTAATCACAACGCGCATTTCCTGGGAACGATACACACGTAACTGCCAATAGTAAGGCAGCACTCGCTATCTTGGCTGGAGAGACGTGCTGCGAGGAGCAGAGTTTGCCGCAACGCCCTTTCAAATGTCGATGCCAAACCTCCATTGCACGATCGCCCATTCGTTTGCCTTTGTATGATCCTCCTGGGCACTTGGCGGCGTTAAATTTCGCTTGGCGGCTTCCAGATTGGATATATACTTTGTGCACAGGATCGCAAGTCCCGGAGAAAGCAATAGCAGTCGATTTTGGGTTATGTGCGGACGATATTGGCGAAAGTCTGTGTCTACCTTTATATGCTTGGCCGTCAATGCTCCCCGAATGAATCTCAGAGGCTCTACGCAACCGTCAACCGAAATTGCGTTCTTCGCATTTCTCCACTGTGGCAAGGATTTTAGGAATATGCACCCGCATGAACCTTTTCTTTGTTTGACTGCGTAAAAAAGGGGTTGCGATAGGAGTGAGCTGACGGCTCAGTGTATTGCCGAGCTCCGCCAGAAAGCGATGGGATACGTTGCGGTCGTAGATCTGGAGAAAATTGCCGTGATCAAATCTGATAAAGGTCATAACTGACGCCCTCAAACGGGCTTACATCGAAGGCGCCCGACAACAGAAAGAGATCCCTGAGCACCGCAAGGACAACCAGATGATTCTGAACGTGGTCGATGTTCCCATGTTCCCAGGGGTGTACGGCCGCTCGCCTTGTTCACGCCATGCGATAGAAGGAGATGATTGTCTCACTGAAGTCATGAAGCTGACGCGTCGAGGCTGCAGATTCAACGTGTCCAGGTGATTTTGGACCAAACTCTCCCAGACCAGACTGGCGCGGTCAGGTGCATGTTGAGCCAGTTTCCGATGTGCGTAGGTGAGGTGATCTGGACGAATGCTGTCCTTACTCCACCGACGAAGGCAGAGTAAAATCATATGCAATGCAGTCGTGGAAGACGTTCATGCGAAATGACGACAACGATGACGCTCGGGCAGGTGGCGCCGAGAACAACTCCCGCAGTACTAGTGGAGACAGTTGAAGCGGCAGCTCGTGCAAACTTGCGGGAAAGGTGGGCGGGACTCAGGCGGACATTGTGATCGCGTGCTTGCCGATTTTAGTACGTGGCGGAGCATAAAGACAGGGATGTGATCATCGTCGAGTTGCGGTGCAGAAGCTGAAGAGAATGTGGTGTGAGTAGCGCTGCGCTAAAGCTCCATTAACGGTGCCTCGGTACTGGCTTCGCAGCCGACATTAGCATCTCCGCCTTCATTTTAGCCGTGCTAGTGTACTGGAAGAAATACACCACGAGTAATGGCACACTGTGCCTGACACGAAAAAGATATCTTTTCCAGACTCGAATCCATGTCCCTGCGCGCGTAAGCTGCTTTCAATTTAGTATTGCACCCTAGACGAGCGCAACAAGGCACCAAGGCCACTTGCCCGATGCGGACATATACCGCGGGTCACTTCCCCACAGCGTCGATCTGAGCGACTTCAAGCGCACGAAGCGCCCTTCGCGCGACGCAGCCGACCTCACTTCCCTTCCTCAACAGTCATTTGACCCGCGCAGTCGGGTAAAAACTCCGACTGACTCAGTAACGTGAAAGCCGCATTATTCGCGCTTGCTTGCCACCACCCCACCACGGCAAGCAGCTGCCGAGTCCCAACTCCAAGGTACAAAGTGACGTCCTCGAGTCCAGAATGTTGGGAGCCCTTGGTATCATGTGATCCTGTGCACCCCGAGAGTCCACCGAAACAGAGCATACGTTATTTCGCCACCCAACACAGCAGTCACACCACGAGCAACGAAGGTCCAGCAGTATGGTACACCGGGCGGTAGAAATTTCACTCGTTTCAAATCCCCACTAGAGATATGGCACCTTGCTCGCAAAGGCAGTTGCGTCCGGACGATACCTTCAACTGCCCATGACATGAGCAAAAAGTCAGACATCAAGTCACTGTAGCAGATTGAATGACAACAATTTTGGCGAATCTAATCTTGGATTTTGCTATTTTATGGTTCTAAACACCAGGGGTATGCGACGCTGTATCTATATCTCCGTCTTTTCATGAACGACGGGACATGGGACAGATGACCAAAGCGTGAGTGACGTTACACGCTTCGAACCATCCATCCTTCAACAACTTCTGAGTCCAGCTGCGCCAATAGAGACATCTAGTCGGCGGCAGGAGTGTCTGTAGACCAATCTTGCAGTCTTTGGTATCATCGAAAATGAAAAAAGGGGAAGGGAAAAAAGCCCAAGAGCGCCGCGAAAGTATTAGGCGGCGTTGTTGGGGGTAGTAGTACGAAGTCAAAACGCGAAGATGCCATCTAGACAAGCATCATTGGTACAGCGAGGTAGTGCTGAAAAAGACGAACGGGAAAAGAGAGCAAGCTCTGCCTCTCCGGCTTACACCTGGTTGGTGCCGTTCTCGACCTCCTTCTCGGTGTGCTCGGCCTTCTCGTTCTCGTCGCCGCTGGTGTTGTTCTCGTCCGAGACGAAGCCGTACTCCTTGGCCTTGGCATCGATCTCGTCGTCGGAGAGGAAGGGCAGCTCCTTGGCGGCGGTGACGTAGCTCATGTTCTCGAGGTAGCCCTTGGCGAAGATCAGGTCAATCTCCTCCAGAGACCTCATCTTAGTCTCGGGGTAGTACAAGTAGATGACGGGGAAGAAGCAGGCGTTGACGACGGCGAAGAAGAGGTAGGTACCCCAGCCAATGCTGTCGATCATGACGGGAACAACCATGACGATCAAGAAGTTGAACAGCCAGTTGGTAATAGTCGACACAGCGTTGGCCTTCGCACGGGTCTTAAGCGGCGAGATTTCGGCCGGGTAGAGCCAGGGCAGAGGAAGCCAGGTGGCGCCGAAGAAGGCGATGTAGGTGAACAGACCAACAGCGGCACCCTTGGCATCCTGGGGGTTGCCGGGAATCAAACAAGCGAAAACCAGAACCATGGACAAGCACTGGCCAACGGTGCCGATGAGGAACAGCTTGCGGCGACCGGTGCGCTCGATGAGGAACCAGGAGGTGGTGGCGAAGATGGAGTAGACGATCATGTTAACACCACCCAGGAGCAGCGACATGTTGGTCGTCTCGCCAATGGTGTCTTCGAACAGAATGGGGAAGTAGTAGATGACAGCGTTGCAACCGCCAAGCTGCTGGAAGAACTGGGACGAGGCACCGATGAGCATGCGGCGGCAGTGCTGGGTCTTGCCGCCGGTGAGCAGGTCGCGGTAGGACGTGTTGCCACCAGCGTGGCCGGAGGCGCGGATGCCGTCCATGATGATGGAAGCCTGCAGCTTAGTCTCGTCGTCGTCGACGGTAAGACCGCGAAGAGCGGCGATGACCTTGAGAGCCTCCTCGGGACGGTCCTTGCTGAGCAGCCAGCGGGGCGACTCGGGCAGACCGATCATGAAGATGACAACAATCAGACCGAAGAAGATCTGGAAGGCAATGGGGAAGCGCCAAGACAGGTTCTCAGAGCCGTAGCTGCAGCCGTAGTCGATCCAGTAGGCAATCATAGTACCGAAAGCGATGATACCGCCCTCAATGCAGATCAGCAGACCACGGTTGTTCGACTTGGAGCACTCGGCCTGGTAGGTGGGGATCGTCGAGGTGTTCATGCCGTTGCCGACACCGGTGATGGTACGGCCGATGATGAACTGCACGGTGGCCTTGTGTCCCTTGACGGCGGTGATCTGAATGATGACGCCGAGAATCATGATGGTAGCGCCGGCCATGATTCCCTTTCTGCGACCAAGAGCGTCACCGTAGATCAACATGATGACGGCACCAAACAAGCAGCCAACTTCGTAGATGGCAGTGACGAAACCCTGGTAAGTCTTGTCGTCCTTGGTCTCGGGGAAGTAGTCGTTGAAGGGCTCAGCGGCAATGATACCGGACATGACACCCTGATCGTAACCGAAGACTGGACGGAGAGAACAGTTAGGCTCGCAATGCTTGCTGGCTGGCAAATGAAGACTTACGCAAGAAACCGGTGGTGGCAACAATGGAGACGACAAGGCTGAGCGTCTTGCCCCTCATGCCCAGGAACTGGGGCATCTTCACGTCGATTTCCGTCATGATGGCGGACTGTCGAGGAATCGGTGGTGGAGGAGGATGTTGGCGCACTCGGCGCGGGAAAGCACAATGCTTTTAAGTCTCTCTGGGAGCCAGCCAGAGGTCGTGCGAAGTCTGGCTTCTCGGAACCGGGGAACGAGGCTAGCACGTCCCAGGGCAATGTGCGGAGCGGGTATCAAAAGGCACAAAGGAGAAAAACAACGCTGGCACGATGGAGACGGGTTGGATCCGGGGGAGACGGCAGGCTTTAAGTGCAGCGCTCGCGGCGGGCAGCATCATCCCTGCAGACGAGAGTCGCTCTAGCGCAACGGCTTTTTGCAGAGATTGCTGATGGATGCAACATCGTTTCCCAGTCGGTACCAAGGAGAGGACAGCGTCGGGTTGGGCGAGGGAGATGAGGACGTCATTGGCCGGGGACAGTGGCCCAGGCGGGCATAGTGCAGGCCGGTGTCTCCATGTGGGGGCTGGCTGGCGCGCCTGTTGCGGTGGACCCTGTGCTGAGGCGCTGGGTGCGCCCGTCGCCGCTCTCCATGGCGGGAGAGGCGATCTGCGCGCCGCCCAAGCGCAGCGCTGGAGTTCGTGCCGTCGGCCAAGCGCCCCCAAGACGCCCAGCCGGTCTTCGCTGCACCAAGCAACTATGCCGCGCGCCCGGCCCGCCTTCGCACTCCTTCGCACGCCGCCGCCTCGGCAAAGTTTCTCGCGCGCGCCGTTTGCCTCAGCCCAACGCCGCTCTCCCGCCGCAGATGACGTCGGCTGCCCGCTGCGCCGGACGACGCGAGCCTTCACCCACGGCGCAAACCGGGTGCGGTGGCCGGGGCCTGCGCCCACGCCGGGCCAATCAGCCTCGTGGATCCTCCGCCCCAGACCGCAGCGGACACGGCGTCTCGCAACCGACCAAGGGGAGCGAAAGGTGGAGAGGAGGAGAGGAGCGGGCCCACCACCGCTGGAGCCCTGCTGCATTGGCAGTCGCTTCCTGGTGGGCCGCGTCCCCAGTGTTTCGTGGGTTGATGACGAGCCTGGCTGCCGAAAGGGACGCCTTTTCCGGCCGCCCTCCCCCATCTTCTCGAGTCCCCGCGTGGTGCGAGCATCTCAGATACGCATATCTGGCGTGCCGGTCAAACCTCGCGCCAACTCCCGCCCTCACCGCATCTGCCACGCTCTCGCGTGCCCACCAGCCTGCTGCCCACAGCATGCACATGCTGGCACCCTCGGCACTTGCCAGCTGCCGCCCGGCGCGTGGGTGCGATGACGGCCGAGTGGCACGACGCCATCTGCACGCCCAGGATGCGCGTCTCTCGGTTCATCAGGGTCCTCCGCATGCGTGCCGCATCATGCTGACCGCCCTCCTCACCCACACCCATACCCATACCCACCACACTAACGCCACGCCGGTGGCCCGCAGGTACCAGAGCCGCCGACTTGCCCGTTTAGTTTCGTTCCGCACAACCACACCCGCACACGTGAGACAGGAAAACAGCGCGCGCGCAACCCACACCCATGCCCGAACAGGCATGTTTGCATGTCAGGCCAACAGCACGGCCAGCCTGCAGTCGGTCCGACGTCCCTGCTCGAGATGGACCTGCGATGGCCATGGTCGCGCCATGTATGACGACGTCGCGTCTCTGGCGAAAGAAAAATTCAAACAGAAATTTCCTTGATTCTGATTTGCGGCGCGCCTGAAGCGAAGAGAAAACAAGAGTCGGCACCCGCCTTGTGCGTTGCTTGCCGCCGGCTGGGCGTGCGCGGCGTGCTCTGGGCGCTGCGCGGGAAAAAGCCCTGCGGCGTCAGTGGCTTGATCCGAGGCGATCGTTGCTTGTCCTTGGAGTCGCCCGCGAGTCAGCCGCCTACCCGATCTGTTCTCGGAGATGGAGCCTCTCGACATGGGAGCATTACGTCGCACTACCGCGAGTTGGCGCGTGTGGTAACAAGTGACACATGTTTTGCCGACTGTACACGAAGACTGCCGAACGCCCGGCGTTCTTGGCGGACGTGAGATGAAGTAAATCTCTGTCAACGCCTTCAATTTTTTCATGAGAATCCTCCGGTACTGCCCGTCCGTTAATGTCGGCCAAACAGGGATCGGACTTTGCCAGCCGTCTGAAATAAGCACTGCCGTAAGCGGCAGCGACCGCCGACGCGCCTGGTATGCAGCCAGCTGGGATGATGCGACTTGTCGACGGTCTTTGTGGTGGCCGCGGGAAACCTAATCCCGCTTTTCAAACTTCGCCCCGGTTGCAAGACCATTGCAACATCCGTCAAGGCGTTAGGGAGAGGTCTGCTCGAGTTGCAATGCGGGCCAGCCAATCGGACGAAGCGGCGAGCATACTCTGAAGTACCGTTGTCCAAAATGAGCCAAGATATACAATCGTCTTGAAGATGCTATGCATGGATGCTCTCTGCTGCTTGTAGGGATGGCATCCCGAAACAGGCACTGGTCTGTTCCTCCGCCAGAGCTTCATTCATCATCGACAGCGCTACGGCAGCACCAGACATGCGGGAGACCCATCAACCGGCGACCGTTGAAGATGATCTCCTACCGCCGAATGCAAGAAACGACCAGGATGTCGTTCATCAAACCGTCTTGCCTGCTAGGAAGGTGATGTAAGATGGGGCCCTCCACAAGAGCTGCCCCAGACCGACTCTCAGAAGTAGACAAAAGAAGAGAAAATCCTGGGGCCTAATGCAGGCAAGACACTCGGGCGGCCAACTAGCCAGCGGATCATCCGCCGCGAACAACGTCTCCCAGCCACTCGAAGCGCCGGTGCCTGTGTCCGGTCGACCAGCACATACTCGCCTTCCCCGGACGAAGCAGCATAGGAAAACCATGTAGCTGGTTCGCGGCAGTTGGGACGCTAGACGTTCATTGCCCGTCCGGCTCTTTTCCCCTCCTCTTGAGAATATTCCCCTTACCCAGATGGTGGAGTTGCAGAATCTTTTTTTTTCCTTCCTTCCCTTTCGTGGCACCGGGGCTTTGGCTGCCCCTCCCACCCCGCTTTCCACCCCTCCACATCTCTCCGCCATGCCAATGCAAATGCACCTCCGCTCCGCTGCCGTTGTCGTTCTTTCCTCTGCCTCGGCTTAGTTGCTTTCTCGGCGAAGATTGGCACTTGGCGCCATGGCCATCCACCTCTTAATTCATCGTCCCTTCTCTTACCGCCCAGCATAATGCCATCTTCATGTGCCAACTTTTTTTTTTGTTTTCCTCTTTTCAGCCCACGCACCACCTGGCCAGAATTCCTGCAAACACTTCATTGCGATCGCTGCTGATGAAACGCGGGGTGAACAGACGAGACGCAGGTGCGCTCCGGGGCGCGCGCGGCCACGACGTTGAGGCGGCACGGATATTGCGTGCGCGGTGCCTCTGGCGGCTCGCAGCGCGGTCGTAAACGAAAGGATTCCTGTCCGTGTGCGATAAGAGAGATACAAAAGCTGCATCCGTGCTGAAAGTATGCGAGGGCGGTAACGGTTCTATTGCGAAGAGGGCGTTTCAGCGTTGCGCAGGCATTCGCTTCGGCGTCGGGCGAAAGGCCTTGGGAAGAGGCTGTTTCCTGCTCGGCATTGTTGTTTTCGTGGAGACACCAAACGGCACACTGGGCGACATGGACGTTCACTGCAAACGGGCGCGCGAGGGAGAAAGTTTGGATGTTGGAAGGAGCTGAAGTGCTACTGCGGAAGGCGACGGAAGTTCAAAGTTCCTTCGAGCTATGAGTTCATGGGCCAGTTTTCTTGGCCCTCTCATGATATCTGCACGACATGGCTTGCGTCACTGTAGCACAGGCTCCCTCACTTCTGTCTGCCACCTGCTAACAACACTACACAGCTGATGCTCTATCTCGACTGACCCTGTAGGCTTCCCAAAATGGATGTTTGGATAGGTGCGACGGATTGGCCGAGGCAGGAGGGCGCTATCCGAGGAGCCGCAATCACCCGCATCACGTGCTACTCGAAATTGGCAATTGGCTTGGAGTTGGTGACGCAACGAGTGCAGCAAGTTGTTGGTGCGGATCCGGACACTTGCCAATCTCGCCCGCGAATCCGGTGCGCTCCGAATTACTCTCGTCAGAAAGGAGTTATGCTCGACGCGAGTAACCGGAATTTGGGGATCGGCCCTGATGCACGCGTGCGCGAGAAGTGGAGCACCGGAGTGCATGTATGGGGAAGGAAGACGAGGGGGGGAACACGGGGGCGGCACGCGGCCAGCAGAAACAACCGCCGCCACCACCACCATTTCCAACGACTCAGAAGGCTTACCCCGAACCGAGAGCTCTTCCCAACAGCCTGGTCTTGCAATCCTTCGCCCCAGGCTCCACATTTCTCCCACACCCCCGAGAAATTTCGATCCACGGGGAGACGCCTGCACCGCGCGTTCGTGTACGTCCGTTAGGCGAGCATGTGGAGTATCGATAATCCAGCAATTGCCGACCGCAGCTCCGTGAGCCCCTGGGCACCGGCGACCTGTCAACCCAAAAACACTCGGACATGTTCTGGCTGACCGGAACTTCTATTCTTGTTGGCCGCGCTATTGGCCTCCTGCAGCACACTTCGGGGAAACTCACGATGCATCGAGCGCCAAGCTGCCACGAAAGCATTTCTCATTCCCTGGGTATCAGTTCCGGCCGAATGGCCGCTATTGTACAACCCCTGAGTTCAATTCATACACCTCAAGCTTCCCTCGCCTCTTCCTTGCCCACGGCCTTCCCCCATGCTGCCTCGAAGCCGCTGTCCTTTTCTATTATGCTCGCCTCTCCCCCGAGCGCGGCGAATGCAGGCTCGTCCGCAATTGATGTCCTGGACGTCGTCGGACGCGTTTCCGTGCCTTTGCCAACGTCCTCGGGCGGCTCGAAGTCAAAGTTGCTGCTGTAAACAACAGCAGCGAATGCTTCGAGGTCGCGCACGTTCTCCATTGCCGAGAGATACTCATTGTTCGTGCCGCTCCCAATTACATGCGCTTGACGGCAGAAAATTGCAAGGGTGTTCGCAACCTTGGTCTTTGCCGAATTAGGGTCGGTGAGCTCAATGACACGCGCAGAATCAGCAGACACGGGCGGCAGCTTGTACGAGAGTGTGGCAATCTTGCCGTCGATCAGGACAGAGAAGGTCGTGTCGAGAAGAAGTGTCAGGACGTGAGCAAACGAAGGCGACTCGATGATGTCAGATGTCTCGTCAAGTAAGCGGCGAAGAGGAGTGTTGTCCTCGGGACTGGCCGGATTCTCCTCGGTCGCCATGCCAGACTCGGAGAGCACGTAGGACTCTTTGTCAGCCGGAGGAAGAAGATATGCGAGCCACTTTCTCGTCCTGTGATATTTTAGCACATGCCTTTGCGCCACCCGAGGCACAGCTGATTGCAGAAGACTTTGCCCTTTCATGTTCCGCGAGACACTGCCCCCCCTATACGGACAGTTGAAGTCAATATCCAGATGCACGTGTGCGCCTTGAGGTTGCACAAGAACACCCAGACGTAGTCTTCAACCACCTGTGTAACAGATGCAACATCTCGGACGAGAATTTGAGAAGGGCCAAGCTCTTCTACAACCCACCGTAAAGAATGGCTCACCTCCGCTCATCTTCTGTAGCACCTTCAACCTTCTTCCGCACCTCGAGCGTCAACTCAGATAGCCTCTCGAGCGTGATTTCTTCACGTGGATTCAATGGACCGAACACATCCATTACGGCCGAGACCACCTTCTCCATGATGTCCTTGCAGCCGCGGTGCAGGAGCCACCAGCTAAACGAAAGATATTTGCGGTTTGTCTCAAAGTCATTGCCGTACGCTTGCTCGACATTGTCATCTTCGTGGTTCTCCAGGCTGATACCGGTCCCATGGGCAGGGGGCGAGGCCAAAGTGACGACGCTGGCCAAGTAGTTGCGACGACCAAGAAGGTTGAGCTGGATGCGAGTCAAGAGGGTAAGGAGTGACAAGGTGTAGAGCAAGGTGAAAGCTCGTGCAATGGCTATACGAAGTTGTTAGGAGGTCTTGGCAGGAATCGGGACGTGCGAGGGCGTACAATGAATCTTCATGTCGTTCCAAAGCTGAGCCTTGCTCTTCTTAGGTTTCGGGGGGGCCAGAGAGGCTCCGTCGCTTTTCCCTTCGCCATTACCGTTGCCATTGCCACTGCCCACGACCTGGCTGGCGTGCACGATGCTCTCGCTCTGGAAGCTTTTCAAGCTCCGACCATCGTCGTCCGCCGCACTCGGAGCTTCGGAGGGGGCGTCGGTGGAAGCGATGTCGGACGGGGCAACACTGCGCTGCAGACGCTCGGCCTTCTGCTTCTGCAGCTCGCTCAATGTCTGTTCGACGGGCAGGGCGCCGAGGATGTTCTCGGTGGCGGTAGGCAGGATGGCGAGGACGGTGAAGGTGCAGTCTTCCTGGTTCTGCTCGAAACGGCGGCGCAGACTGTGAGATGGTCGTCAGCACGCGTGCTCTTTGTGCGGCGGCGGCTTGGAGCGCACTTCTCGCGAGCGATGCGCTCGTCGCTCATGCGCTGGCGAGCTTCGGAGAGCTTGCCCAGCAGGTACTGGCCAGCAAGGTAGCCGGCGCCCAGCACGCCGGCGCCGATGGCGAAGTTGGTGCGATTGCGCCTGAACCACCGGCGCGTAGCGGATATCATAGTGCTGGCTGGCGTGTCGGGCGCAGCTACATGCTCTGTCAAGTGATGGGTGTCTCGGAGGTTGGGGTTGCGACCAGGTTGGGCGGGCCGAGGCTCGCGCGGGCTCTGGGCTGGCTGGAGCGTGACAGACGAGCGAGCGTGGAGTGAGCCGGAGTCAGCTGGGCTTGAAGATTGCCAGCCCAAACCCCGCGGGCGGCCCCAAAGACACCCGACTCTGACCCCACTGTAAATCCGTCATCGCAACCTCAACACCTCCGTTTACCTCGCCGACCGCCCACTCTAGACGTCCGTTGCAACCCGCTAGCCGCTTCTCCAAGCCCCCATCATCCCTTCGCAAAGTGCTCGACCCCGCGAGCGCACCCCGCCATGGAGCCGCGCCGCACCCCCGAATACGTACTCGAGGTCTTCGCGGATCCCACCTGTGTGAAGGACATCGTCAAAGGTACTTTTCCCTCTGCCGCACTGCGCCGCCCCTGCTGCCCTGGCGCACACGGACGCCCCAAGCTGACACGCTGAGCGCAGCCATCCTGCACACCATCTTCTTCCATCGCTACTTCACGCCGGTGACTCCGCTGCACCGCGACCTGCTCGACCTGACGCTGCCGGCCATCGACGACGTTGATCTCGAGACGCTGATCGACCGGCGCGCGGCCGAGCTGGTGCGCGCCCTGGAGACGGGCGCCGGGCACCAGCAGCGCGGCCGCGGGCAGCTGGCCATACAGTTCTTCGAGAAGCGGCGAAGAAAATCGTATTTCCCGTTCGGCGGGCTAGGAAAGGGGCGCGGTGACGAGGAGATCTGCTGGGAGCTGTGGACGCTCGACGTCACGCTCGCGACGCCCCGGAACGAGACCGACGTCATCAAAGTGAGGCGCGCGATGGAGAAGAGCCTGCACAAGACGGCGCTCAAGATTGTCAACATCGTCAACCGCGACAAGGACCACATCCCGCCCATCACGACGACCGAGACGAACCCGTTTCCGTACCAGATTGTGGTGAACCCGCAAAGAGAAGGATGGGGCCAGAGAATAGGCATATTCTGACGGCGTGCCGCGTGTACACTTGCATTTCCAAGGCGTTTCTGTTACGAGCATTGTATGATCATGCCTGCATATCAGGAGTTGGGGCGGCGGCAGGATCGGGCTAGACGAGCCTGCGGGGTGGTCGACTATACACATTTCGGTCTTCTTGAGATACCCCGAAATAAGCACCAAATACTATTGGATAATATCAAAGCCGCGCAAGACCGGCGTCTCCACGAGCAAGCTGTAGGTAGCAGCACTGCAGCGCTGAGCATCCCTTTGAAGCCATCGCTTACCATCGGCTTTGCACACAGACGCGGGTCAAGTAGCGTCTTCACAACGGCGTGGAGTGGAGAGATGTGGACTGACGCGGTGGTACAAGCATGTACAAGCTGGCCTTGGGAGCGGCCGCCTTTGTCTCAACTCGGGGCTTTTCTTTAAGCCACAGCCGTATAGCCACGCAAGGCGCAGGCAAGAGAGGTGCGGGTATCGGCGCTCTTCACGGCAGGGTTCATGTCGTCAGAGGAGCACGTGCGATAATCCTCCAAGCCCTCCCGCTCCGCACAGCCACGGTACACCGGCCAATCAGCCCTTCACAAATTACTTCATGCGGAAAAGCGCAGCACCGCGGATTGCCACATTCAGTGTTGACGTTGAGCCGCCAGCACTGCGCGCACCGTATCAAGGTGATCAACGCACCGGGCCGTCGATTTCAGCCTGACCACTCCTGCGCTCGGGCGGTGTTGGGTGTGGATTGAAAATAGCAACTTCTGTGTCGCTACGCACCCTCATTGGCCGCCCGTGTGACCGAAGGATTCGAAGCACTCCTGCTATATAACCAGCCAACGTTCCATCGATGCCTGATCTCAAGACAAAGTTCCTTGGCCTGCCGTCATTCTGCAGCACAGGTGAAGCAGTGAGAAGTTTAACTGCACGCTGCCCGCATTTCCACCTCCGACACGACCGTTCCACGACGTGCTCGACCACCCTCAAACAACCCGGATAGCGACACAACTCAGACACTCGAAATAAGCAAACATAAGGCGCCGTGTTTCCTCAGACGCGTAGAGGGGGAAAAAATTCAGCAACACACGCCCAACACCACCGGCTGCAAAATCAGAAACCACACCGCAACCATGGCCCCCACGCAGACCATGGCGCTATCCTTGCTTTCGCTACTCCTAGCGCTACTCCCAACCACAGCAATGGCACAAACCAGCAACTCCGACTTCAATCGCGAGTATAACAACACCAAGAAGACGGTCAACGGCGGCATGATCGCCATCATCGTCGTCGTCGTCTTGTTCGTGGTCGGCGGCCTCATCTCTCTCTTCGTCTTCTGCTGCGTCATCCGCCGGAACAGGCAGCGCCGCAAGCGCCAGGCCGAGGAGATCAGCGTCGCCAACCAGAAGGCCGCCGAGCGCCGTGCCCGCGAGGGCGGCTACCACGCCGCGCCGCAGCAGGAGGAAGGCGGCCTCCAGCCCTACCAATACGGCCCGCCCGCTGGCGGCTACTACCACCCGGCCGAGATGGACGCCTACCAGCCCCCGATGGAGGCCGACTCGAGGGAAAGGGCCAAGGCTGAGATGCCGTAAAAGGGAAAGAAAGAAAAATCAGCCGACAATCGGGGGGATTTCTGTTTCTTTGGGCGTTCGGGGAAAGAGCACGGGGAACTGGTGCCGTGCACAGAGTTATGGAAATGATACCTCGCGGTCCTGCAAGAGACCGCTGTTTTGCACGAGTTTGCTTCTGTTGATATCCATGTAATATACCATGCAGTACCATGAACATGTTCCTCGAAACTGTATTTCGAGATGCAAATGTATGTACACTTTATATCTACGCCCTAACGTTCACTCCACGTAGGTGCCAAAAGAAATGACCGCCCGCAGTTATCTTCGCGAGCAAGGGCATCCGACTTACGTAGGTAGTTGCTGATAGACAGTAGTCACGATGGCTCAAATCTTTCGACGCCCATTGTGGGACCATGGTGCTTTCCTCGCTGAGCAATCACTGGCGGCGACTGCCTCCCCAGAATTTCGACCCCGCTCCCTCCCACTTAAAACTCTCGCTCGACAAGCTCTCTCCATCCACCATCTCCAACCCGCAGTCTTATCGCTCAGCTCAGCCCAACTCTTTTTCACGTCACCACGCCACCATGATCCTCAACGTTCTCGCACCGTTGGTTTACGCAGCCATCGCCATCAGTGTGGTTTTCTGGCTGGTATATATTGCCATCGCAGCTATCCTCTTCGTAAGTGCTCTTTTTTCTCAAGTAGAAAATGCCTATGCTAACTCCGTGGTTGTACCAAAAGGTGAAATTCCGCCGGCTGCAGCGAGAACAACAGCTGTTGAGCAATGAAGTTCGGCAGAAATCCCGTATCCCCATGTCACAATCCGAGCCGAACATTGCGCACACGCCCTTCACGCGCCACACGGCGCCACATGGTTCAGCACCACATGGCTCAGCACCACAGGCAGAAGGGAGTCAGCAAATGTCGAACGCGGTTTGATGTCGCTCGGACAATGACGTGGAGGATGACCTGAGAAGTCCACTAGCATCGTGTTTCCTGTATTCTTCACTCCGCAGGATGATCCTAAGGACCACCCTTTTCCGTACACAGAAGTGACTACAATGAATATCGAATCTCTCTACAAAGGAAATTGCGGAGAAAAGTGAACCATGTGTAGCTCGTATCAGTGTTCCCATACCCTCGGCGGACAGAGACTGTGGCCGTTGATGGACTTGAAAGTTCCCGATGTCTTAAGGCGGCTGATATGTGAATTTAGACGATTAAGCTGGTTGGGTACCTTCACGGATCTGATGATTGAAAATTGTGAAGTTACTACAACAACTCAAGCAACTACCTTAGCCCTCTGTTCTTGAAGTCAGATGGAGAGCGGCAAAAACTTCATTTTATGAAGAAACAGTCTTTACCCCCTCCTCTCCTTCCCTAGCCAAACACCATCTCCACTTTCCAACAAATCCACAGACTGATTCTTGCTCCGCGCCCTCCCCCCCACAGGCCTCCTTCCGCTCGCACACCAATCCCACCGCCGACACCCCGACGACCTCCTGACACCCACCACCTTCTCGGACCTTTCCACCAACACCCTCCGCCGCTGCCTCCGCACCACCAACCCAACAACCCCCACCACCAAAATAACCACCGCCACCGCCATCCAGCACACTCCACCGCCGCGGCCACACGCCCCCACCAGCCTCGCGCCCAGGAACCACGCCGGAAACAGCCACGCAAACGCCGCGCGCCGGAACGCCAGCGTCGCCGTGGGGCTGACGCTCAGCGGCGGCGCGCTGACGATGATGTCGTTGTTGGGGATCTGGCTGCGGACGACGGTGACGGTGAGCAGCGGGCGCGTGCCGCGCGGTGGGCCCGGCGGCTGCCGCTTTTCGCTGTCGCCGTCTGATCCGTCGTACCAGCTCTCGTCGTCGGGCCAGATCTCCATGGGCCCGCCGAAGCCTTCCTCGTCGGTCGCGCCCGACCATGAGGCGCGCAGGTTGACCACGGCGGTCGAGGGCGCGAGCCACCACGAGAGGAGGGTGGCGTCGGCGGCGTGGAACCAGGGTGGGAAGGGGAAGGGGAAGAAGGAGGGAGGGAGGATGCGGGAGAGGGAGAAGGTGGAGGAGGTTGAGGATGATGGGGCGAGGTTGCCGACGGGGACGAAGATGGGGATGGCTGCCGAGAAGCGCTCTGCTATGTTGCCGTTGCGGAGGGCGATGCGTTGTTGGTCGTTGACGATTAGATATTGTCTGGCTGGGTCGATGGTGAAGCGGAGGGCAAAGTTTCTGGGAAGTGAAAAGGGTTTGGGTGTTAGTTTTGGGTGAAAGGACTTGCTAATGAGTGGATGAGGAGAGGCTCAGACTGGAGAATGGCTTACCGGTGGTTACGAGCGTGTGTAAAGAAGGTTGAAGGATGCTGTTCTCCTTTATTGGAGGAAGTGGGTGTAAAAAAGCGTGCAGTTCTTCTGAATGTCAGCCGTACTGCTCGGAACAGTTAAAGATTCACACGAAGGGCGGAGGTGTGCGTACTCGTAAATACGGGTAAACTCTTTATGTTGATTAATCAGTTTGGAGGGGAGAGAGACGTAGTCGTCTTCGACGATTGGAGAGGGAAGGAAAAACCATGTTAATGCGAGACCTGCGATACCAACACAGTTAGCATCATTACTCAAATACAACTGCATTTGCATCCATCTACCTGTCCACAGAGCCAGGATAAAGTAAACTGAGCACAGTAGCCATGACTTTCGGGGCATCATGCTGCCACGCACAAAAGAAAACGAAGGAGCAAACGACGATAGGTGTCTCATGATGGGCCCCGGTCTTGAGAAGGAGACGAGGGGCGGACAAGAAGTAGGAGAAAGTATCTGTAGTGCGCTATGACTTAGGGGATTTAAGCTCCAGTGAGCCAATGAGCATAATGCCCAGCGCCCATACGAGCCAGTTCTGGGCATACGCGTCGGTGCGGGGCGGGGATATGGGCGTGCGCGGCGATCATGGACCGCGCACAATGGTCCAGCCACTGCCATGAACTGGTAGAGGACCTTGCGGCGCCACGCCATCACGTGTCGGCGTTATAAATGGTAACTCCCCCAATTACCGGGAACGAGACCCTGGGCCCGCGTCTCCAGTTTAGAGACATCATTTCGCCTTTGCCTCGAGTTTGCGTGATGTTCTCCTTTTCCCCTCCCCTGCTGATATATCTTTACAGCCTCTTGCACGCTTTTCAATCTCGATGACCGCGCAGTGACTGGCGTGTTTGGTAAAAAAAAAAAAGGGTCTGACTATAGGGGGTAGGTGGTAAAATACTCGTGCTGTCGATAGCGGCCTTGTAGCGGCCGATCATATCACGATTACCCATTAATGGGTGGGAATTTACGGTTCCCACCACAACTTTGGTTGTCGATGTTTCACCAATTCTGACCGAAGACTTGGTTTCAAACGTTAGTTCAACAAGTCGGCAGCAATTCCGGTGGCGCAATGAGACATCGGAGAGATTTCGGTCGGGACGCAGGAGTCCACAATAGAGGGGGATGATGTACTCGCAGCCATCCTGGAGACAAGTGCTCACAGGATATATCGAACTTATGAGGGAGCTAGCAACCTAGCTTAAGAATACTGAAAGCCTGTTTCGGTGCTTTGACAAAAGTTAATACTTGCTGATAGGCTCCCGAGAACGGCATTTATCAATCGGCAACTTTGTTTTTCGATCAAACGGTACCGCATGCTTGGAGTGAACCATTCAGATTGATAGCCATCCTCCACGCTTCCATTGAAGCAAGCTACTTCGCAATTCGTTCAAGCTATGCACCGCACTAGCAGTAGCTAAGATACCACTCTCCACAGCGAATCTCTAGTATCCGCTAGCCCACTCGTTCCCCATCTTCACGACGCCTAAAAAGCAGACCGACCGCCTGCACTACCCGCCAGAGAAGCCCATGCGCAAATGAGAGGGAAGATAAACGCCAAATCGCTATGCATGCCAGAGTTACGACTTTCTCCACCCCGCAATGGTTTTCGAGCTTTTGAAAAAAAAAAAAAAAAAAGAAACCGAGCAAAGTCGACGAACTGTTGAATCCCGAATTGACGGAAATGTTTATATGGTACCGCTTGTTCACTATACACGCTGTTAAGACCCGATCGAATGGAAAATCGCTACGGCCTGAGCCGATCATGGGCGCCAAGGAAAACTGTCGACGAAAAGGAGCCTCCAACCTTCCGAGAGAAATGGTAGTCCCGTGAACCAGTGAGAGAAGACCAGGGGACCAGGAATGTCATCTCCAAAACCGTGGCTCTGTCCTCATAGCTCGATCGCGTCGTCGAAGCTGTTGCCCTTGTCTTTGTACTTGCCACTTGGTGTGACACCACGTTCCTCACTGTCTTCGTCGCTCTCTGTTTCTTCCTCCTCAGAAACATCATCGTCGTCCTCAATGATGTCATCATCCTCTTCATCTTCTTCCTCCTCCTCCTCCTCATCCTCTTCGTCTTCCTCATCATCTTCCACATCCACATCGTCTCCTCCCTCGTCATCTCCTTCCACCTCATCATCTCCATCATCCTCATCCAGAAGCGCGGGATCAACCTCATCTTCATCCATCTCGGTAGTTTCGAGACCTTGAGCATACTGGTACTGATCCTCGAACTGACTGTCGAACGCATCAGGCTGGCCATACTGAGTCTCGAAATCCCCCGTAAAAGACTGAGAGCCCCCGACTTGAGTCACTTCCATCACATCGTCATCGTCGTCCAAGTTGGCTGGGGTTTCTTCGCGCTTGACACGGATCTTGTTTTCCTTCACATCATCTTCATCGTCAGACGAAAGTATCATGATCTCGTCGCCTTGAGTTCCCATTCCATTCGGTGTGGGGCGCTTGGAAGATTGCGTCGAGATGAATGGGTTGCTATCGGGAACCATCGAGTTGAACGACTGTGAAGTCGTCCTTGCCCTGTTGACAGGCTGAGAAGAAGGGACTTGTTGATCGAAGTTGGGTTTCGACGGCTTTGCGTTAGTCGATGGTTCGACAGCCCTTTCTTTGCCCTTCTGTGCGTTCGCCAGCCAACGAGCCCCGCCATATTCCGAACGAGGCAGGAATTTGCTCTCGCGACTCCAGTACTTGGGCAGGTCTGGAGGCGCTGGCCGTGCTTCAGGGAAAATAGACGCGCGGAAGGAGCTGTAAGACTGGGCAAGAGGATTGGTGGTCGAGGCCTGAACGGACTCAGACCTCTCTTTCTCGATCTGCTCTCGAATGTTTCGATAGTAATCGATCGACTCAGACATGGACTTCTGAAGCGCACGAGCCTTGGCAATGGTAGGATCCCGGAGAGCTTCTTCGTCGTCGTGCTCCTTGTTGATAGTGCTGGGCGCGCTAGTAACCGTTTCCGCATAACGATTTTCACCAGTTGGCGTACGGCTTTGACTGAGCCGGTAGTCTCGGGTGCCCATCGCAATCCTTCTCTTCCTCTCCGGGGGAGTAACCGATTCGCCATCATCGTCGGAAACGATAGCTTCCTCGTCATCATCGAATTCCCTATACCGCTTTCTGCCCTTCCTACCACCATGCACGTCCTCGTACTTGATACCCATTGCCCGCAGCCTGAAGTAATCCGTCTGTGTGGTGCTGATACGGCCGGTGTAGCTGCTCTCTTTTGGAATAAGAGGATCCCCAGACAGGAATCGGGCGCGGTGTCGGATTAGTTGAGGCGGCTGCATGGGGGCTTTCCTCGACTTGGAGATGCGGAATCCGTCTCTGTCGGGTCCAAGAAGGTCCGACTGCATGCTGCTGCGGCGGCTGTCATTGCTTGGCAGTGCTCCAGACATCAAGTACGATTGGTTCTGCGAGCTAGTGGGGCGACGCATATCCCTCTCGAGAATATCGTGCACTCCAATGCTTGAGCTGAATGAGTCGCGGAAATGTCCACTACCGCGCGAACCGGCACTGGCAGCCAGCCTTCGCATGCTTGCGCCCATAGTGCTTTTGAACTCTTGGACGTCAGTTTCGATCCCAGCTGGCCCCCGTCGAGAGGCAGCGGCGTTCAGCGCGTCACGACGAGCCTTCCTCCGCTCGCGTCCACGGCGCCTGACCTTCTCTGACCGCCAAATGTTTCTCCACTTTTGGCCATATTTGAAGGTGAGGCTCCTTACGCGGAATTGATCAGCAACCTTCTGGTTCTGCTCGTCTTCAAATTCCATCATGGCATCCATGATCACGTTGTGTGCCATGTGCTCTACGAACTGAGCGAGCAGACCAACTTTAGGCTGCATGACCAGGTTTTCAGTGATCCTGTCCACGGCTAGACCTCTTAGCCTCTCCTTCTGAGCCTTTTCTCTAGCGATGGCCAAAGCATCTGGCTGAGGCTGGGGAGGAGGCGCTTTCGGCGCTTGCGCTGCAGGCGGCACTGGAGCGAGACTTGACGAAGGAGTAAAGCTTGGTGGTGTGGAAGTAAGGGTAGAAGCCGGGGTGAAGCTCGGGGGCTGTGAGGATTGAGTGGTGGTGGCATCAACTGTTGAGGTACTTGTGTTGTTTCCAATTGAGAATGGCGATGAGTTTGTGGCGGGCCCAATGGTAGAAGGAGGAGTAGAAAATTTGGATGGGTTGAAGGCTCCAAGTGAGGGTTTCGGAGCCTGAGGACCGAGGTCCAGTGAGGCAGAGGGCGTCGTGGTAGGGAATGGAGATGCAGTTGCAGAAGTCGGAGTGTGATCTGCAGCTAATATAGAAGATGTAGGGCCCTGAGCTGGTTTGAGGGAGAAATTGGTGGGTGAGGTGCCAGAGACCTGAGACGCAGTGAAGCCAAACGGATTCTTGTTCTCGTCTGACTTGGCAGCGGTAGGGGTGAACGAAGGGAAAGGGGTACCGGACGGTGCTGCAGTGGCGGTGGTCGCTGGGGTGGAACTTTTCGTAGCAACTGGTGGGAAGCCGAAAATGCTGCTAGGCGGTTGGTTCTCTTTCGTAGCCTCCGAACTGGAGGTTGCAGACGGAAAGCCGAAAACGCTGCTTTGTGCGGGTTGTGGCTGCTTGCCTTGTTCAGTGGAAGCTGTTGCTGGCGGGAAAAGGGTGGGTGTCGTTGTAGGAACCGATGACGTGGGACGTGGAAACGTGGCAGGCTTTGGTGGTGAGCCTGGAGGCGTATCGCTAGGTTCCTCAAATGAGCTGATCGGGGTCGTCGACTTCTGCGCCTGTGCCGGCTGGCCGAAAGCCGAGAAAGGTGCCTGTTGAGCACCAAGCTGGAACGGGGATGGCTGGGTGTTTGCGGTCGCAGCAGGAGATGCAGGCTTGGCAAAAGGCGATGGCGCCGAGGAAAACGGGCCCTGCTGGAAAGGCGAGGAAGTCGCACTGGAGCTAGGTGCGATGGTTGCCGGAGTAGAAGCTGCTGAAAGAGGTGAGAATGGATTGTGAGCAAAAGAGTTTGGTGTAGACTGCGTCGAACCTTGGCTGGATGGAGTGCCGAAGACTCCAAATCCTGTAGACGGAGTAGAGTTGGTAGGCTGTCCGAATGCTGATGGAGCAGCCGGTGCGCCGAAGCCTGTGGCAGGTTGGGCGAAAGGATTTTTGGGTGCTGCAGCTGCAGCTGCAGCGGCAAAGGGATTTACGGGTTGACCAAAGGATGAGCCAGGCGTGCTCATTGCTTCCGTGTCAGATTCAGAGTCCTGGTTTACAAAAAGCGAAGGTTGAGCCCCATTGACTTCGGGTTCCTCAATCATTCCACGCTCCTTGGCCTGCTTGACCGTCAGGCCACTGACGATGGCGGAATATGATCTGTTGAATCGTTTGGCTTCCACCACCATCTCCGAACGAAACTGCTTCCTCAAGTTCGGGTTGGCTGACGGGAGAATCTTGCCAGGGACCGAAGTGAGGTCGATAAACTCGGTGCCATCTTCTTTCTCCAGGATGGAGAAATTGTAAGACTCGCAAAACTCACGCGCTTCTTCATAGTCGTCGAAGTGCATAACTCTCGCGATCTCTTCCAGACTCCAGTCTTCGACCTTTCTGTCACCACCAATCCGATACGCATTCCAGATGTTATTGAGCATGGACCTCCTGACCATGTTAAAGACCAACTCAGCCACGCAGGCCATGAGATAGGAAACCTGGTTTGACTTGACAATGTTGAAGAACTTTCCAGCGTTCGACTGGGCAATCGGGTGGCTAATCCTAGGGTTGAGGGGCCCCAGATCTTGAGAAGTATCCGTTGCTGTAGTGTAAATCTTCAGCGCCGTCTGAACGCGAGGATTTCTGACTATCTCCGCCGGCCAGGACTGTAGTCGATCCTCAATGTCCGGAACTATAGCTTCCATTTGGAACAAGATGCTATATGCGCGGAACTCGGACTCGTTCGGAGAGCGGTAGCGGTCCCGGTTCTCGTCGTAAAGAGTTATGAGGGTAAGAAGCGTCTTGTCAAGCTGCTCGCGGTCTTGGTGTCTGTCGTACGACGTGGGTACATCCTCCTTCGGCAAAGCCATCTGGTGTAGGGACAGGATGTGGAACCGGGCAATGCGTTCGAAGCAATCGATCTGTATCCTGATATCGGGAGTCTTCGTGCATTGTTGAATCGTGAAGTCGTTCCGCACGGCGCGAGTCCGGTCCCAGAGGAATTTGTGCGCCTTCGCAAGCTCGTGCTCGGAGAGGATGACATTGAATAGGTAGTCGCACGTTTTCGAAAGCGTAGACGGAGGTCGAAGGTCCGAGGGAAGCTGCTCTTCCAAGCCAGCAGCGGCGCGCCTAAACTTCTTAATCATGCGGGCTTCCGAAGGCTCCTTCGTGCCGGGCTCCTGCAGAGGATAGTCAGAAAATGTCTCAGCCATGCAAGTGAGCCGCAGATCATACCAATTCCATTTCCCATACGTCCTTTTGAACCACGCGTTCCACCCTCTCATACTCCGCGCACATGTCCGGGCAGGTTCCAACAATCGTGATGGCATCTTCCAAGCGACGGGGCTTATCGGGGTCCTGGATCAATCCGTTCGCGATCGCATGCTTCCGTTCGAGGGCACGGTTCGACTTGAGCTGTAGTGCGAGAGGGATAGAGTCATTCTAGTTCTTCTTTCTTCCGACCAACGGGAGGGGAAGGGTGAGGGGAAGAGAAGTCAACATACTGTTTCGTAACGCTGAGGCCACGGAAGGCCCGCTGTCGATGCCGGCTGGAAGCTGTTGGTCTGTGAAGTCGAATTGCTGGAGCGGCGCGCCTGCGGACCTCCGAATGTTTGTTTCTGACGGGGGCCGGTTGGAGCGCCTCTGGTCGACGAGCCCCTCGAGGCACCGCGACCGCGACCACCGCGGAAGCTGTGGCCGCCTCCTCCGTCGCTATCGCTGGCATTTCCGGACCCGTTTCTGTTGCTGTTGTGCGCGCCGCCGCGGGTGTATGAGGGTCTCGAGCGGGTGGGCTTCGCGCGGCCGCGCTCACCTCCGCGCGCTGACGACATGGCGGTCGGCAGGGTCGTGTTCTTCCTCAACGATCGGTTTCGCTCATCGGGCGTGACGCGAATTCGAATGTAGTCGCACGGGTTGAGCTATTGCAGGAGGTGCTCGAGCCGCAAACGGCGTGTTGGGCGCGGGTGAAGGTGTGCGGCTCTTTGTCGCGACCGGGTGGTGGTAAAAGGCGACGCGAAGCTCTGAGCTTGGACGCCCGCCAAGCACCAACTCCGCGGCCCCAGCCACACTTTCCTTATGAGGAAACAATCGCTGCCTCACTTCACTTCAATGCGTGCCATTCATAAGTCTTCATTCTAAGTACTATCACGCGACGTGTCAAGCACGCGCTGTGTCCATGGTCAATGTATTCAAGGTTTCGGGATGTCAAGACATGATCTGGCCTAGACATGCATAGCGAAGGGGAGCTTCTAGAGCTTTCCCTTGAATTACATGACAACTAGAAAGCCATACCTTCTTGCCCCAACAAAGCCTTGGTCTCTAGCTATTTTAGAATGATGAAACTAGCGTTATGTTTTTATGCCTAAAATGCACCAATTGAACCAAAGGTATCGGCAGCGACGTGCCCGAGGACTTTTGTTTTCATGTTCTTTACATCATTACGTACGAGTGTCGGCCTCAGCTATTCGTCCACCGATTCAACCATCGATTTTCTACCGTGCTAGATGTGATTCACACTGCCAATTCCACCTGCACCTTCCTGCAGTTGCTGCCTAAACACTACGGACAGTATCTGTCTATCGTCTTCGTCTCCCTCCTCTTTTGCAGACCGTAGTAGCCAAGAACTCGCGAAATGATTGCCCAAACAATGCGTTATTGTGAAGACCGAAATTTATTAAGTACCGCGGCCACATATTGTCACTGTAGCACCACATCTACCAGTGCAGTAACCGAATCAAGCACACCTAACACCGTCAGTCTCTGCTCGTCTCCACTACATTCAAATATGAGAGAAAAAAAATCAAACAATATCCAAAAGCCCGCTCAAACGCTAGACAGAGGCGTGAGAAGAAAAGCAAGACCGATCCGAAAAGAAGACAATGTAGAGATCAAAAGCAATTTTTACCACCAGACTCCTCTCCAGCCGAGATACCCCCAGAAGGCAGCAGAGAATCAAACTCAAACCGCAATTTTTAACCAGTTAGCGAACAGTTTGCTTGCGCAATCCTGATGCGAGTTTGCGACACGCGGTGCGGATCTAACAATCCAGCAGTAGGCCCGAGCCATCCCACCAACTCCTACGCTTACCGAAATAGCACGATTGTTCCCAAAGAGAAAGGAGAAAATGGCAGCCGCGGAACGAGCTGCTGGCAGCTTTTCGCAGAACAACAAACATTGTTCAGAGATTTCCACCCAGAGAAACGCTAATGCAGAACCTTTGCCCAAAGTCGTAGTCGTCGTAGTCGGTCTGAGGCGACGTCTGGTCAACACAGAAAAAGTCGCGAATGTTGGACGTCATTGCTAATCGGTCATGTCGTCATCATAATTATACAGGACATTTGAAGAGACGCTGTCGTGAACTTCGTCGTCAAGCACGGGAGCCGTCGCGCCAGGAAGAGGCCAAATCAAAACGGCTTCCGAGCTGCAGGCCAGAGGCCCATGATGTGAATTGAAATCTTCAATACTGGCTTGACGCCTAGCCATGGTAAGAGCTGTTCATGTTGTACGGTATGTTTGGATGACTTAGTGAGCCAGTGCGGAAGGTGTTGCTGTACGGCGGCTCGTCATAGGTGCTCGACTGGCTCCGTATCCCCGGCATCATGGACATGGGTCCTGAAACGGCCATGGCTTGACCCATCGCCGGAGATGCTGCCGACATGCTGCCTACCTGAGAGCCGGGGCTATAGTTGTGTTGAGGTGAGAGTTGAGGATTGTTGCCAAAGGAAAAATTGACAGCACCAGGGAAGTTCGTATTGGAGGGAGTGGCGTAGGAGGTGTTCGAACTTTGCGCCAGGGAGGCAGTCGATGAGGGAGAGAAGGACGAATTCGATTGGACTGTCCGCCAATCGTAATTCGAGGGCTGGCTGACGTAGCTTGGGTCCCGACTCATCGGGTAGGTAGGGTTGTCCACGTAGTTCGGAGGTTGCTTCGCATCAAACCCATACCTGTCGTCGTACATCTGTGGAGGCATCATCGGTGCTTGCTGGTACGCCGGTTGCAGATCGCTTGCATCAGAGAATGGCTTTCCGACCGGCGCTACGTAGCTTCGGAAGTCGTTATTGTTCGAAGGGAAGAAGTTGTTCACCTGCTGCGGCGAGGGATCCGGAAGGCCGTTGGGGTGAGAGTAATCCCAACTCTGATTTTCCAGTTCCAACGCCCTTGTTGACTGGACCAAGTCTTCTTGCTCTTGACCATGTTGCGACTTTTGAATTTCCTGAACCTCCTGGGTATCGACTGACGAATCCTGGCGTTGACGCTTGCGCGAGGAGCCGCTACTGGCCTTCTTGTTTTGGAGAGCATGCTTGGGGTAGCACTTCATGCCGATCATGGTGTCGCCATCTGACATCAACATTTAGCCTTCCAGGTGTGACTTGCAGCGAACAATGACTAGCCAACTCACCAATGCCGTCAGTGACGTAGTCGGACCAGTGCTGTGCAAGCAGGTAAATATCGTTCAAGAACAGGTCGCGTTTGCCCTTTCGATCGTCACCATTGTGGTTGTCTTGATCGAACTGCAGTACACAGTCCTTGGTGGAGTGCACCAAGAGGTCAATGCCGCCCTCTTTCTGGGCTTGGTGTAACAGGATGTGGACACCGAGGACAAGACGTTCTGTCGACTTGCATTAGCCCCCGTGGCACTGCATTGAAGGTGCCCGCTTATCGTCGCTTACCAGGTTTCCTAAGGTGGTCAGGCTCCTTGTGACGGACCTCATCCATGGTCCCACACTCGGGATGCGGCATCAACCTCCACCAATCCTCGTGAGTCGTCGGCCACCATGGGGGAGCGTCCGGGCCATCCTTCGGCTTGGAGCGCTTCTTCTGGGTGCTCTTCTCGGCTTCCTGCTTCTTCTTCTTGTCGCTACCGACATAAGGATAGTTCGACTGCTTCTTGGGCTCAATGGCCCGGATCCATGCCTTGAGGATGACCTTGCATGCAAGCTGCTGCATCTGGTCGAGGCGGCGGCCCAGGATGTCGAGCACCTGGGCGCGGTCCTCGATGGGGAAGCGCACTACCTGCTGCTCCTCGGGCTCGATGTCGACGCCGACGGCGTCGGACCAGTCCTCGTTCTCATCGTCGTCGTCCTCGGCGAGACTCTGGTTGCGTGACGTAGAGCGCTGGCGCTTGCGTGGGCGGACGGGCTCGGCGGCGGGGCTCTTGATCTTGACCTTTGACTTTTCTGAATTGCGCGCGCGCTGATTGGGCTGCGAGAGACTCGCACGGCGGCTCTCGTCAGAGTCGGTCGTCACTTGACTTGCGGCATCGACCCACTCCGACGCTGCGGGCTCGTCGCTAGCTGCGGCACGGTCAGCAAGGGCTCATCATCTGTGCGGCCGGCTTCGGCGGCTCGTGCGGGACAGACCATAGACCTGGGGACCGCCGCGGACAAACTGGGGTGGCAGGCTGTCGACGTGCGAGACGAGTTGGCGCCACTGCGGCGTGCGGGCCAGCTGCGGGCGGACGTAGTCAAACTTGTCGGAGGGAAGCACGAAGGCATCGCCCCTCTCGTCGAGACCGACGACGACAAAGGCGTGGGCGGCGATGTTGCAGTCGCGGCGGAGGGCCTGGGCGAGGGCGCGCGACGGCGATGGGGCCTAGCGATTAGGGTTAGCGGGGCCGTTGTCTGGCAGGCTGGGAAAATGCGGGGTATTGGGTGAGGGCTGAGGGCTGACACGCACGGGCGCCGTTCGCGGTTGTTGAGAGCTAACGCTCTGGGAGCTCATCCTGCTCGCTGCTGCTGCTGGAGGTGTGGCATCGAGCTTTGTTTTGGAGCTGGGCTGCGGGTGCCATTTTGCGCTTCCGGCAGGCGCCAGCCTGCACTCGGCCGGGTACTGGACCATCGTAGCGGAGCGGCGCGAGAGGTCGAGGGCTTGTTGTTAAGCGGGTCGGCGATGCAAGCCAGCTCAGCACGAGCGTGCTCTAAGCCCAAACAGTGCGCGTTCTCCGCGACTCGTCGCATGCACCGAGGCCGCGGGTTCTGGCATCGCAGGTGTTAGTCGCGGGCGCTATCGCTGGTCAAGACGGAAACATGGTTGACGGGACGGCGGGCGGGAGTGCCTGGAGGAGGGGACAGGAAACGGCTCGGAAGCAGCGGCCAACTTAAATACCACCGGCCGCCTTATCGGCGAGCGGATGAGGCTGCAATTGAGGGCCGGCCTACCTGTGAAGCGTGGCCGTCCCGTGCCTGGCCGCGACGGGAGGACTAGCAGCGGTCGTCGCTTGGCGGCAGATCGTGGGCAATCAAGCGCTGAGGGCGAGCGCGGAGTCTGCGGAGAGAAATGGATGCGGACGGTTGCCACCGGCCTGAGTGCTGGCACGCCGTGTGGCCGACAGACGCGGCCTATCCGGGGCGGCGCGCGCGGGCGATCGGAGAGGCTGGTGCGACCACCGGCGCGTGGCAGCTGATCTGGCGGAGAGAGGGAGGGAGAGACGGCGCGCTGGGAAGTGAGATGGAGCTGCACGTGGGCGATTATTGGCGGAGCCCGGGGCCGCACGACGGATAAGATCGATGAGAGGCGCGATGAAACGAACGAGACGATTGGCGACGTTCGGAGGAGCTCCTCGCACAGCCTGGCCGGCGCCGGGCTGGTATAAGAAGGACGCGGGACCATGCCATCCGCCCTCCAGCGACGACCCCCGCCGCGGCACCCCCCGGGCGTGCGCAGACGAGGCGAGGCAGCGTGCGTGCGTGCGCGGTGCGGTGCTACAAAACGAAAGAAAATTGCCAGGCCGTGTGGGGAGGCAAGAAGTGGCCGCAGCCGGGGCGGGTCGGCGCCGCATGCGAGAGCATCGATCTCGCGCTGTCGAGATTGCCGGCCGCCAGCGGTGTGTACGCAGAATGATGAAACCCGGCGAACCCTGGCCTTGGCAACGCTCTGGCGCCCGTCGCGGACAGCCCGCTCGGAGGCGCCAGCGCGATCGAAGCGGGCGGCGATGCTGCGGAGAGGCCGGGGGGAGCCAGGCGGAGATCATCGGGACGCGCTTCCGCTGCCGCCGATTGCGTCTTGCGACACCTGGCCGCAGAACTCCACCGACCGGGCAAGGTCGAAAAATAATGAATCTTGCGCGGATCTGATGAGACCCATCGCATCGAGATAGACACGATCTCTAGTGCCCGCGCGATCTCACTCGCCCGCCGCTAGCGTGACACCGCGCGGCGGACCGCTCGACTGCATCCGCGCGCTGCCCCAGGCCGTTGTTGATGCACCCTCTGCCGTCGCAGCCACCACCCACGCCCTCGCCCCTCGCCCAATTTGGCCCAGAATAGCAGACCGCCACGGCTCGCGTACCTGGCTGCCGCCGGCCCGCCCGCTCGACTAGCACCAAACCATCGAGTCTACCAGGGCGCTCAGCCCTAGGAGCCGCCGTCCGTCCTCCGCGCAAAAAACAATGCGGTGGCTGCCGCGCGCCGGGGCGAGCGGTCGCTGAGCCGGACAGACCCTGTCTTGCCCGCAAAAGCAAACGGCGCGCGGCCGACACAGCGAAAAGCAATTATCTGCAACCGCCTCGGCCAACCGAGCCAGAAGAGACGCCTCAGCCCGCCGGCGGAGGGCAGCCCACTGGTCACTGACACACTTCGATGCAGCAGCGCGGTGCGCCCCTGCTCACCACTTTCCCTTCTCAGCCCACTACATATTAGTGCCTACGGTACCCTATCCACCTACGTACACCCATTCGTCGCCCCCGTGCCTGCCGCCAGACCCGCATCCCCGTGCGGCCTGGCCCGCCGGCAGCGAGCGCCGCTGGCCACCATCAGCTCTCGCTTGCCGCAACACGTCGACCGCAAACCGGGCTGCCGGGCAGCGCCAACTTGGCATCTCACTGCGGTGTGACCGTCTCCACCGCGCCCAACAGATTTGCCTCCTTGACCAGCTCGTAGAAAAGACCCTTGCGCCGCACCAGCTCCGCCGGCGTGTCGAACTCGGCCACCTCACCCTTGTCGAGCACCACGATGCGGTCCGAATCGAGGATCGTGTTGATCCGGTGCGCGATCGTGATAATTGTCCGGTTGCTGAAAACGGGACTCCGCAGCGTCGTCTGGAGCATTGCGTCCGTCTCGACGTCGACCGCCGCCTGCATTTTTTTTTTCCCGCAGTTAGCCGAGAGTGTCCCTTGTTTGAGCCATATGACAGCGCATTAACTCACCGTTGCCTCGTCCAGCACCAGGATATTGCTCGGGGCAAGCAACGCGCGCGCCAGGGACACCAGCTGCCTCTGGCCCTGGCTGAGATTCGACCCTCCCTCGTTGATCTGCGCGTCCAGTCTGCCAGTCATGCTCGCGACATGCTCCTTGAGCCGCGCGTGATCCAACGCGCTCCACAGCTCCGTGTCATCGTGGACGTGGCCCGGATCCAGGTTGTCGCGGACCGTGCCCTCGAACAGCGCTGCGTCTTGCGGGATGATGGCGAGACGGCGCCGCAGATCGAGCAGGCCGATTGTGCTTGTGTTTAGCTCATCGATGCTCACGCAGCCGTCTGTCGGCTCAATGATACGGAAGAGGGCAAGGGTCAGCGAACTCTTCCCTGCCCCTGTGCGACCGACCACGCCAATCTTCTCCCGTGCCTTGATGTCCAGGTTGATATTTTTCAGCACCAGGTCCAGACCGGGCCTGTATCTGGTGCTGAAGTCGTTGAACTTCACCGCACCGTTGGACGGCCACGCGATCGGCGGCCTATTCTTAGAAATGATCTCGGGCGCCTCGCTCGGCAAGCGAGCGTACTCCAACACACGTTCCACAGAGACGATATTGGTCTCAACCTCGACCGTCTGCCGGACAATCCAGTTAAGAGATTGGGTGATCTGCAGCGCGTAAGACATGGCCAAACCCACCCAGCCCGCCGACAGCCCGCTGCCTGTCGTCACGGAGACGATGGCAAAGCTTGCGGATGCCAGGATGATGACCGAGCCAATGAACTCGAGCCGGACCGCCAGCCAGCGGTTCGCATTGATGGAGGGGAAGTAGGCCCGCAGATTGGCGTCCACGCGCCACTCATTTTCCTGCGCGAAGCGGCCTTGCTGCCGGTAAGCACGGATTGTGGAGATGCCACTGAGCGACTCTTGGAAGTGCGCGTAGATGGGGCTTTTGCTGACGCTGTCCAGGCGCTTAAGCTCTCGCGACGTGCGCAGGTAGTACCGCTGGATGTACAGGTACAGTGCCCCGAGCGGGACGATCAATACAATGAAGATGGGCACCGTCGCCGAAATGACCGCAAGCGTAAACGCAGCTGCCGCTCCGTTAGCCCAAAGAAGCAGCCGGAGGCCAGTTGCATGTGAAGGCTTACCTCTTGCTGAATTGACGAAAAGCATGTTGAATGTGCGCCTGTGACGTTTGTTAGCAACGTTGTACGAGCGGGAAAGACCCCAGTTGTTGGGCAGCTAGACTTACGCCAGAACCTCGTCCACGCGATAGATGTCACTGCCGGTAGTGTTAGCTGCAAGCCAGACAATTCGGCAAACAAATCGAGGATGTGTCTGGGATATGCATGTGGTGCAGCGTGCAGCAACCCCGCTCGCAACGCACCACTCGCATGCAGGCGATGCGCTTTCGTTCGGGTGCAGATTCGTGGAATCTCAACTTACCTGGAAAACCGATTCAGGATACGACCTGCCGGCGTCGTCTCGAAGAAGCTCATTGGCGATCTGAAGATTGCGAAAGCCATCCTCTCATGCAACTTGCGGGATGCCTACGGGGGAGATGTCAGCTGCGCCATCTCCCTGCCAGAAACGGACCCCAGCCGCGGCCACTTACCTCGATGGAGCAGAAGATCCACAGAATGAGGGTCTGAATGACTACAAGTGCAGCGGAGCCAAACCCGAAAGCAAAGTAGATGCCGATGTACTTGCCCACGTTGCGGTTGCCACCATACTTAGCGTTCATCTCGGACCACTGCTTCAGCCAAACACTACCACCTGAAGCCTCATTAGCACGAGCCAGATGTGTACGATAAGAGACGCAACATACCAATTTGAGCCGTTTGTGCGCCGACGAGCGTGAGGATGTAGATGGCGACTGCGATCAGGTTGCTGGTCTTCGCGTACTCCGCGTAGACACTCCATTTGACCTTGCCTTGTTCCGAAAACTCCTTTGTCTGCTTGCTCTTCAGGCCCGCTCCTTCTTCGTCCGTAAGCTTGCCACGAGGGCCGCGGAAGCTTGCAGTGCTAGCACGACGCAGCTCGAGACCAGTATGCTTGCGGCCCGTGCCGCCAGCCGGCCGGATTGGCGCCAGCTGCCCGACAGCCTCCTGCGCCTCCTCCGTCTCGAGTTGCTCGTCTGATCCTGAGGTAATGCCATACACGGTTCCGGATTCGTCGCTGCTTCCAATCTCACCCTCGTCCTCGGATTCCTCGTTGTGAGCCGTGCGAATGAGGTTGGAGATTTCTCCCTTCATTGCCATTAGCTGCTCGTACGTGCCGTGCTCGACGATCTTCCCGTGGCGCAGGAGGTGGACGTAGTTCGCCTCCATGAGGACAGGGATCGAATTGGTAGCCAGGATACGGGTTCGACTCGCGAGCAGACCGTTCGGTCCAAGCACATTATTAATAATATGCCTGCCGACGTGCTGGTCCACGGCAGAAAGGACATCATCAAGAAGGTAGATATCAGCTCGAGCGTAGACAGCTCTGGCCAGCGTCAGACGCGCCTTCTGGCCTCCAGAAAGTGAGATGCCGCGCTCTCCAACTTCCGTCTGATCGCCGTCAGGAAGGGATGCGAAGTCGTCAATGAGCGCACAAGCCTTGACAGTCCGGTCATAGAAATGCGGGTCCCAGCGGTAACCGAAGACGATGTTTTCTCTGACAGACGCGTTCATAACCCACGGCTGCTGTGCCACATACGCAGTTTTCCCCTTCACCACAACGATACCCTTGAGCTTCCAGAGGTCGCCGAGCATGGATTGCAGCAAAGAGGATTTACCAGCTCCAACACGACCAACCACACAGGTGAGTTCACCTCTTCTAGCTGTGAAGTTGATCTCCTCAAGAGCGAGCTTCGACTCTGACTTGTTCCAGGTGAAAGTTCCATCCCGGATTCGGACACTCTCTTCTCCATCTTCTTCTACCGGAGGCTCATGAAGGACCGCATCCTCCTGAAGCTCTTCGGCCAGCAAATAGCTGGTGAGACGAGCGACGGCGACACTAGCTTCGATGATGGAGGTAATGACCATGGGGAGAATCGAGAGAGGGAATGTCAACAGGTTGAAAAGCGTCAGGGCCGGGAAAACGATTTCGGTGGTCAGCGGCTGGTCGTTCGTCAGGACAAACACAGCGAAAGTAGAGCAAGAGACCAGGAAAGGAGTCGTTGACCAAGTAAAGTTGGCGAACGCCTGGGCAGCTCCGATCTTCCTGAGAGTCTTGAGCTCCTGATCGTTACGGATAAAGTTGAGCTTGTTCAAGAAAGCTGTGGTCCACGCGTACAGCTTGATGGACTTCATGTTGTTCAAGATTTCGGTCATCAGCCTAGTCCTAGCATCTTTGTTCTTCATCTGCTTCTTCTGCAGGGACTTCATGATGCGAGCGATGAAACCATTGACAGGAATCATTATGATCATGGCGCCGACACCGGCCAGCATACTCAGCCCGACGAGGTTGTAGAGGGAGAGCATACAGAGGGTGATTTGAAAAGGGGCGGACCAGAGCTGGATGCCGAATTGTGTCAAATCTTGAAGACGCTGAGTGTCCACAGCCATGTAGTTTACAATGTCTCCGGTGGACTTGGCCGCTCGTCCCTCGTTTGAGAGGCATAGGGCCTTGGCATAGATTGCGGCAGTGAGCGAAGATTTGACACGCATACCGGTCTCAAAGGCCCTTTGGAAGTACTGGTGGAGACAGGCCGTCTGGGAGACGGACACGGCAAACATTGCAATCGCAATAGCTGCACCGCGGATGGGAGGTTCTGGGTCGTCTCTCCGATAGGAATCGACAAACCTAATCAGCAGACGAAGGAGCTGCGGCTGAACGAATGCTAGGATATCGCTGCCACACTTGATGAGAGAGCCTCGAAAATAGGGCGCGCCAAAAGCCCTGCCCATAGCGATCCACAGAGAAGGATGCTTCTTCTTCTCTAGCTCGTGATGCCAGACCTCCGTGAACCTCTCCACGGTTGCCTCCGTGGTGTCCCGCTTCCTTAGATTCCAAAGATCGTCCTGCGTCAGGAAGTTCTTGTACCCATACTTCATCATGGGCGTCATCCAGCTAAAGGTAAGGACAGAGAAGATGTCGGCATATTCAAACGGGCATTCGTCTTCGTCGCCGAGCGCATCGTACGCGCTGAGCTGCTTCGGAACCAACCATTCGAGAACGAACTCGGTCAATGCCAGCCCGACGCTCACGCAAAACGTTACGAAGTATGCCTGGTGCGTCCTGTACAGGTTCTGGGAAATGAGCGAGCGGAGCTTGACGGCGTAGGCGAGGAGCAGAAGCAGCCAATAGAACAGAACAACGCCGTTGGGGTTGCGCGACCGGTAGTGTTCGAGGTACTGGATATAGAAAATGACGCCGAACGAGACGATGGTAACGATGGTGGTCCAGAACCTGAAATCACCGGCCCAGATGTGCTTGTAGTATTCGATCTGCAGACCGGCCTGCAGGGCGTGGGTAGCAATAAGCCCGACGATGATGGACTAGGCGCAGAAAGACATGTTAGACCAGGCTCTGCGACGGATTCCGGCAACCAGCCAACAACTCACCAGCTTTGCGTAGAAGTGCCAATTCCTCCGCACAGGCTGCGGGGCGCATTTGCGCAGGAGGTAGTACACCGCCGCGCCGCCACCCAGGATTCCGAACAGGACGGCAACCGTGGTTATCCACACGTCGAGGAAACAGCTCGTCAGGTCCCAGCGATAGCGGCTCACTGGCCCCCATCCCTCCGGATCACCGCATAGTGGCTGCTGCCTGGTGGAGTCGGCCGCCAGAAAGCCAACAAAGACGGCGGCGTCGGAGGGCGCGTTCGGGGACAGCAGCGGCGACTGGACAGCGTCGGAGACGTGCATTGAAGCTGTCGCGGCACGGAGCGGTCGAGGGAGTCCACGCTGCGCAAGAGGGCGGATGGAGGAGAAGGGATGTTGAGAAGATGTGTAAGCAGCACCAACGCCCCGGGGCGCCTTTTTAGAAGGCAAGAAGAGCCAACGGGACGATCGGGTTTCCAGACGTCACTCAGGTAAGCGGATAAGCTCCACAGATCGCCCCAAGGCGTGAGCTCGCCAAGCCGCCCACTCTTCGAGTTAGCTTCGGCGTTAACGCCGTGACGCTGGCCGAGTTTGTGACTGTACATTCGTCGAGCCGCAATCGCGCTCGCGCAAACTATGGACTATCCGCGACCACCTTACTACTTGCCATCCGCGAATTCAATGTGCTGTGATGCGGGGCCGCCCGCATCAGTCATGGCTGCATCCGCATCCGTCTCCCTACCCCTGCTTGCTGCAGACGCCATCTCAGCCACCAGACCCGCTCCCCTCTCCGCCATTTCAGGCTGCTTTTGCTGTTCATCTCCATACCACTCCTTCGCCGACATGTTTGCGAAGCCCGCGTCTTCGTCGCCACCTACTGATCCGCTGCCGTCGTACGGAGGAGGTTGCTCCACGTCCTGAACAAGTTCTTCACGGAACAGCATGTTGTCTCCGGAGACGAATTCCTTGAAGCCTGTTAATACTGAAGACACCTTGCACCCTGCCTGGACAGACTGGAAAACTTACAGCAAGCGCTTGAGGAACGTCTGCGAACCGCTCGTTCAGCGCTTCCTCGCTGGCATACACCAGGAGAACCTCGCGATTTTCCATAGCCGCTGCCGCGAGCGCGTCAACCTCAGAGATGCGCTACAAACCAAGCATTAGCATCATTGCCCCTTTCCGTTGTCTGGATAAGCTTCACTCACCGACTTCGATATCTGGCCCGTGCTATCGTAGTGAATCCTCCACCAGTCAGTTGAAGTCCGTGCTGCGTCTCCGTTTCCCACCGCCACTGATTCGTCCATGCTCTCATCCACGTCGAATTTGCGCCGACTTTGGATATACGTCACCGCAGGGTCTGATGAGATGCCGCAAAGCCGGTATTTGACCGTTGGGTTGGCTTCTACTCCTTCTTTCGGCTCCTTGAGCAGGCCGGAAAGCTCATCGTACGCTTTGCGCGCCTCTTCTTCCTGAGCTTTGAGCACTGCGCCGACGTTAGATAGCTCCTTGGTTACAACGACATACCACCTTACCTTCGAGTTTCCTCTTGACTCTATCGTAGACACTCTGGATTTTCTGATGCAATCTGGCGTCGCGTTCGGCGTTGGGATTAGGCATAGGATCGCCCGTGGGGCTTAGAGGCTGCATGGTCATAGCTGACATGGCTACCTCCAACAGGTCCAGCGAGCTGCCAGAGGTGCCGTTATGGTGAAATCTTGAGTATCGTTGCGTCTGCGCCTCGATGTCGGCGAACTCCTTCTTCTTCTCCGCACAAGCTCTTCTCATCTGCTTTGCCTTTGTCTCGTTCTGGGCCATATATCTGTCGACATACCACGACGAAGGTATGGTCATGTTGAGGCCCGTTGCAGTCGAGTCCGGCTGCTTTACGACCATTACTAGTACTTCAGCAAGACTGCTAATTGACGCCTGTACATCCTTCGAGCCATCAAGATCATTGGACCAAATAGTCTCGTCTAGAACGTCATACAGCGACGCGGGTCCATCAGCACCGCGGTTGCTCAGTATCGGCATTAAGCACTTAAAGCTTGCACTGGATACCTCTCCAGACAGGATTTCTCGGGCAGTAGTTTCGAAAAGCTTGTCGTGCCCAGCACCAGGCTCGATCTGTGAGGCAGCAGCTTGCCAAGCGTCTAGAAACCTCACAGCTTCTGTATCCCCCACGCTGCCCTCGATCTTGTTCAAGGGTTCGACGCTCCCATACGCACGATCGGTATAGTCGAGGAAGGCCATGATTCTTTGTGTCTCATGGATGATCTCCGTCCGTCCATCTTCCTGGCGTACGTCGTCGAGGTCAATTGTTTGGGCTACGGCGATGGGGTTTCCTGTCCACCATTGCGGATCTTGGCCGTAATGCGGGAGGAGATGATTCTTCATGAGAAGTGCGTTGTGAGACATGGGAATGGTGTTGAGAATGGTGATGAGTGAGGGGAGGTAGTCCTGGGATGGTAGAGGTTTCATGAAAGCGGGTTCGCCAGGTTCTCTCTTGCGCTGGGACGGAGGCGGGTCGGGAACAGTGCTGGAAACGGTTGTCATGGCCCATTGGTTCTGCTCGTAGTACTCCCGGGTCGCAGGGCCGAACTGGACTCCTGATGCGCCCACCACGCCGGTCTCCTGGCCGGCTCCTGCATCTATCAAGGCTGTCAGCGTCTAGCTCGCGATGCTCCGTTTTGCGGGCGCACTCAGGGCCTGGGGGTCTCCCATGTCGGAATCGTGCATACTGTTACTCGGGGTATTGGGCCGGGTGGCAGCAGTGCTCTGAGGGTATTGGGAGAGGGACTCGTTCGCGTGGTCGATTTGGAAAGCTGCTCGCGCACTGGTCAGGCACCGCAGCGCAGGTGCTAGGAGCCGCGCAGGGAGCACTCACAAGGTATTCCGGCGTACTGGTTGCTGCCGCCATCACGGTCTTGCGAGAAGAGCGTTTCGTCGTACTTGTCGGCGGCGTAGCGATTGGGATCCTGCTCGAAGTTGCTGATGGCGCGGTCTAGGTCACCGTTGGCATCCTGGTCGAGTGTCAGCCCATGTAGCGTCCGAAGGGGGAGCGCTTCCCTCACCTTGATGTAGCGCGGCGCAAATTTTGGGTCGGGTCTCCTGCCGGTAACGATCTCGCAAAAGCTGAGAAAGCTGTCGACGTCTTCTTGCGACGGTTCCGCCATGTTGCGACGGCGGACGGGTGGTGTAGAAGCTACAGCTGGTACATGAGTCTCTGGTGTGAGGTGACGCCTGCTCGACTCGACTGCGCCTAAGCAAGCATGACGCTGCCTGGAAAAGCGCGAGGTTCTGGAGTAGCTGCGGGCTTGAAAGCTGTCGACGCCCCCGCGGAAGCTTGAAGCTCCGCGCAATGACGCCGAACCGGGTCCGTGCACCATCAGGCACTGCACCAGTCGCTTTATTTCATGAGGAGCAGAATCGCTGTTTTATCTACCCAACGCCGGCCAATGCTCAGGCATGTCCATGACAACGCGCAGAGCCCAGTTTTATAGTACATTGTTACCCTTGACCATCAAGCTGTTTCTGCCCTGATTTACTCCCGCTTTTTGTACAGCCAGCTCATGTATCCTTCCACACTGACGGGCTCTTTAGCCTGCGGCTCCGTTGGCTGGACCACCTTCGGCCCACCTAGAGGCTCGAGAACAACCTTGTCTTTTCCCTTTTCTTCCTCATCCTTCTGCTCGCGCCATTCTCGACCGCTCTTGCTCATCTCACGCAGCTTCCGCTGATAGAAACTGAGCACCTTCTCTTCCTCTTCGAGACCTTCTTTCCTAATCTCAGGATCGGCCAGTCCAACGGCCCGCCGCCTCTTAGACTCGTGGTAGCGCTTATACCCATCTGAAGGCGAAAGCTCTTCGAACTGGTAATCCACCGTCCAGTCTGTGTCCTCGCGCACATCTTTCACACGACCTACGGATTCACCGTTGATCTTGTTGCGCGTCCAGAGTTTCAATGCGAGGAGTGGGCCGGAGTACGGCTCTTCCTTGGGCTGGTCTGCTGTGATGTCACTGTCCGAGTCAACAGTTTCCTCCAGTATCTTATTCTCAAGAGCCTCGGGTTGGACCTGCGGGGCCAGAGAGCTCCACTGGGGTTCCTCTTCTGGGATCTCGAACAACTCCGGCAACGCCACTACGTCAACCGCCTGGTGCTCAGGAACAGTGGGCTGGTTCGCAACACGAAGTGTGACATCTTCGCGATCCTCACGATCAGCTCCCTCCGATGTCTCATCGCTTGTTAACCCGAGAACCTTCCTCTCCCACGCCTCAGTTCTTGCCTTGTTGGACTCTTGGATTGCTCGGACCTCCTCTTCCGGCATTGGCTGAGCAAAGATGTACATGAATGGTTCAACACCTTCGCGAGTCTCGAAATGGAAGCGGATAGACTGGTCTGGGATTAGCGAACAGAAGTCTCGGGGCCATGGTCCATGAATGCTTACAGTCTCAGGGAATCTTTCCGTTGCCATATTCAGAACTTTGTTGAGGAGGTCGACACTGAGACGGAATTCTTGGTCGCCCAAATGACGCGTCCCGCTCGCGGGGTTGTGGAGCGCCATGTCCATATCGTCCAAGCTGACGTACTGGAAACCGAAGATACGCTCAATGTTGTGATAAGCGACAAAAATGCCATCCATCCTACCCATGCGAACCTGTAGTGAGTATTTGAGCATGGTTGACCTCATCATATCATAATATTCGCGCTCAAACGATTCGTAATTGCCAGTGCCGGTTTTGATCTGGTAACCCGTATTCTCCTCCCAATCCTGCACATCCATACGGATGGAAACAACAGCACGAGTTTTGAGATCAAACATACCGGTGCCAGGGAGCCGGTTGTCCTGAGCATCGAGCTGTGAACGCATGAGCATGTCGCCTTGGGTCGTGTAGTGATATGACTCCGGAACCTCGCGTTCCTCGTCCGAGACTTGGTCCGGGCTCCCCCTTCGGTAGCGCTCGAACTCCTCCATTGGCAGGGTAAGCAACTTCTCCATAGAACGACCCAGCATACTCAGAATGTTGGCTGTGTCGTACTGTTTGTCAGCGTCAATGGCATATGTACCATTCTGCCATCGGAGGAAAATGGCCGCAGGCAACCGGTTGATCCTAGTAAAGGTGCTAAGTTGCTCGGAGAACCCCTTCGAGAGCATCGTCAGATTCAACTCCCGCCAACGTGAAAGCAGGAAATGGAAATGAGCTAGCACAGCAGTCATACTCGAAGTGGAGCCAACATATCGCTTCCCAAGGCTGCGGGCAAGATTGGAGAGAGTTTCATCTTGGGACGATGTTATGTACTTCTTCAGCAGGTCAAAGTTGAAGTCCGCGACCGGCATGATCTTTTGCAGGTAGGGATCGAAGTTGTAGACCTGAGTTCTCGTATCCTGGAGGTGGTATACGCCGGGGCTGTGGATAGAGTCAGCAACCGAGGGTTATCAAGGCGCCACGAACACATACTTGAACAGCACACGGTCTAATCCATAAGCGAGTTGGGGGATTGGCGGTTGCTCCACATCGATCGCTGGTCATGTTAGCAGAGCAAGGGCTGGGGGTGGAGTCGGGGCTTACGCGTAAGCTGGACATCCCTGGCCAACACACTGTCGACAAACTCCCGCTCCTGCCTTTTCTTTGGGTGTTTCTTGGTGCGCAGAAGCGCTGCCTTGAGCGTCTGCGCTCTATCGGTTTTGGCGGCTGCAGCCAAAACTTCCGCGGCCCCATTCCCAGCAACCCGTTCAAGCACTTGGCCAATGTCAAGATTCTTCCCCGCTTTCTTTTTCTGCTTCTGCATTTCTGCTTTAGCAGCCCTTTTGAGCAATCTAGCAGCATGCCTAGCCCTTTTCTCAGCCCTTTTCGCTTCTTTTGCATCTATGTCCGTGTTCGCCTCGCTGGTTTCTGAACCGTCCTCGGCCTGTGGACCTTGATCGTCTGCTGAAGAATTTTCAACGGCGCCGGGGCTGTCACTGTTCTCTTCCCGCCCCGGTGAACTGAGGATTCTGCGGACCTTCGATGGACTTTCACCATGCTTTCTCGCCTCTGCAGCCTGTTTTCTCGCCTCCCTCCTCCTCGCCTTGCTATTCTTGCCCTTCTTCGGGGCATTCTTCTTGTCGCCACGGCTGGCATTTGCCTCGTCGAGCTTGTCCTCGGGAGGGTCAGCGTTCTCCTGCGCGTGGAGGACAGTGACGGCGTGGAATCGGCGGGCGGCGCAAAAAGCATCAAGAGGTCGCGCGGGCGGCGCAGCTCGCAGGGTGCGGAGGCATGGCTGGCAAACGTAGGGACGCGAGGCTTGCAAGTGGCGCAAGCAGGTGCGGCCTAGCATTGGGCGCGCGATGGGAGTGCGCACGGGATGGAAGCGAAATAGAGGCAGTTGGGAGGCTGGGACGCGATCGAGTGCTGTGCGCGCGGAGCGGCGTTGATGTGCTCCAACGCACAAAAAATGATGATCCTCCGATTAGATCGGCGGCGCGCAGGGGGTCCGCGGCAAGACAGCGCAGCCTTAGGCAGCCGGGGCTTCCTGTTTGGGACCGTAAAATACCGAAGCCATGTTGCTAGCGACTGGCGCGGCGATGGCGTGAAACAGGCGGCAGCTGTTTCGGGACTGTGCTGCACGCGGCGGACGTGTTTGACAGCGCGCCAGGGCGCCTGGCAGCGCGTGCGGCGCAGACGGGCGACGGGCTCACCTCAGGCGGCGGCTGCCATACGAGTGCGAAATCACAGGCGGGTGGCTCGTGTCGCCCGCTTGGGGGAGCTTTCTGTCGCGTCCGGGCCCGCCCCTAAGCGCCATGCAGTTAATCCACTGACGTATTCCCGCAGCTGCCAACCCTGCGCGAGAGCTCACACAACTCTCCCCTCTCGCGCCTCACTGTGTCCGCCCGCGGGCCATGCCCCAAGAACTCCCCCCCGCCGCAGACGCGATGGAACGCCCCGCCAGCAAGGACCTATCCCTTCCCGCCCCGCTGGTTATGTCCTGAGCTCTCCAAATTGCATTCACGCTCGGCCGCCCCACGCCATTCACCCATCGCTCGCGACTGCGCCCACCCTCTGCCCAGCTGAGACTCGACGCTCGTCTGACCGCGACCACCGCTTGCGCCCTCCACCCCAAGCGCGCGCCGTCGCGACCATCCGCGATGCAGACGCCGTCCTCCAAGGGCGCCAGAAGAAAAAGCCTCTTCAACGGCGCGCTGTCGCTCAATCCGCTGGCCGCCCTGACCCCCATCCACGACTCCGCCGAGGGCGCCAAAGAGAAGCCCAAGACGCTGCAGAAGCGCCGCGCCAGCTCCTTCCTGGACGTGTCGCGGACATCCAGTCCCTTCGGTTCCGACACTTACTCGCCCAGGTCGCCCGCGCCCGCCTACTCTCCTGTGCCGTCGCCCATAGACACCAGGGGCGCCCGGAACCGCAATGTGCCCCGGATTGGCTCATGGATATCCGGCCGCTCCCAGTCTGTGTCGGATGATCCGGATGATGAGCCGCTCAGCGCCGTATCCAGCAAGGCGCCTTCGGTCAATTGGGGAGAATTGCACGATGTCGGTTTGCGCTCGCGCAATGTGCTCCTGAACGGCGAGGTGCAGACCAGCAGCACCCTCTTCCGCCGGAAGAAGGAGTACCTGGTCCTGACCGAGACGCACATTGTGCGCTTCAAGAACCAGCACAAGGCTGCCGAAACTTTTCCCGACATACTCTCCCCTTTGCAGCGAAGCTCGTCTCTCAGCCGCCGCCATAGCCAAAATCCCTCCTTCGGCTCCACCCAAGACTTCCAATCATTCGTGTCGGACCATTCCGGTGATCGAAACGTCGGGACCCCACTTCGTCAGCTTATCGCTGTCTATCAGCTCGTCGACGATCGGCCATATTTCGCTTTCGAGATATCGTACATTGAAGAAGAGAGCAACAATGCCTATTCTATGACCTTGCAGTTCGGCACTCCGGATGAAATGCGCATGTGGCTCAAGGCCATCCGAGCCGCCGCCAACCGCGTGCGGAATGTAGACTCATATCCTGTCTCCGAGCAGAATATCCGGCTCGCTGCGAGAATCGTCGAGCGCGAAGGAGACTACGACCCGAACAACTTTGCTCTCTACAAGGTCATCCAGCGGCCTATTGGCCATTCCAAGGCGGCGTCGTCATCATCAGACGACCTCACCAAGGTCACGTCCAGTATATGCTTCCTCGCCATCGGCATCCACAAGGTCCATTTGATCCCGGTCTTCAAAGCGCGGCAGCGCTCCTCTAGCCCTAACCTGCTATCATACCCTCACGAGGTGTCATTCGGACTGCTGGCTCTCACATCAGTGCGGCTAAGTGATAGTGATGATACGTTTGAACTGGTTTTTAGGTTGCCAATGCAAAAGCCGAAGACACTGCTCATGGCTTCTCTCGCAGCTGGAGATATTGCGACGCGCCTCCATCATGTCGACCATTTCTTACGCCCTGAATGGGATCCTCGCCCTTACATTTTCCTGGTTCCCGAGGCGGTCAAAGCACAGATCAATGCCACTTCGACCATTCAGACTGTTGATGAGACGTCTTTGGATCGAACGTTGTGTGCATATTGCATTGCTTACAACATCCCGCCGAATATTATACGATACCAAGTCACGTATCCGAGCGAGGATTGGCCACGTTTCCAACTTCTGCCGCCTGACAATCCGAGGAGGCCTGTATACGGGCCTTTGGAGCTCCTTGCAGTCATGCGAGCCCTTCGCTACAACGAGACGTTCGGCTCCATCTCTTTTGCGGGTATTCAACTCGACGTCCTCAACGAGATGTACGACAGGTTTGGCTCGGATCACGTATGCACGAGGACCAAGCGCGGAACTCCTATCAATCTGCCTCTTGAGGATCTGGAGAGATCTTGTCTGTTGGTCCAAGAAATCAGGGCGCTTGCTGTTACGAGTAGGAAACTCCGCCGAATGGATTTCACCTCTTGCATTTCCCGCCAGCCTGCTGATTACGTGGACGAGAGTAAATCGAAAGACATTGGATGTGGCATTGTTGAAGCACTGTTTCCACTGTGCAAGTACCAGACAACAAATGTGGACTGGATCGTGCTGAACAACATCCAGCTGGGCGAGACGGATCTCGATTACCTGATCGCTGCGGCTGCCGAGAAGATGTGCCATTTCCGTGGCCTGGAGATGCGTCGGTGCGGCTTGACTGAGAGAAAAATGTCCCTGGTTTTGGATGCTCTGCGCACTCAGGAGAATACTCTCGAGGCAATCGACATTTCCAGCAATCCGGCGCGTTTGGTCCCAGCAATTTTCGAGCCCCAGTTGAGCGTTTTCGGCTACATACGCGTGTTGAATCTCTGCAATGTCGCGCATACAGCCGGCCCCGAGCCATTGATCAAAGCCGATACTCTGCTCGCCTGGCGGCTTCACGCACTCAACCTAAGCGGGACGGTTCTGAACCACGAGACGGTCGATGCTATATCGATATATTTGGCAAGCCCGCAGTCCAGTTCCTTACGTGAGTTGCGAGTGGACCATACCGGCCTCACTGGCAGACATATTGCACAGTTGATGTTTTCTATGAACAGCCAGCCTGGCTCCTCTCGAGATCTCCTAATGGACGTCAGTCAAAATCGCATAGAGATATTCCACGACGAATTCGCTGCCGCAATTTCCGAGAACTGCGCCCCATCGCAGCTCGTCATTACTCTGATTGACTATGAGGAAGAATCGAACTTTGCACAGCTAATCCTGGCGATCGCAAAGAACAGTACCGTCAAGCATCTCGACATCACTAAAGTTTCCTTGCCGAATGACGCCTCAGAACAGACCTGCCAAGCGCTTGAACGAATGTTCACTGAAAACACGACACTTGTCAGCTTGGACATCTCTGGTGAAAACTCGAAGCTTGAGATAGCCAAATTAGGCGTTGGGATAAACAAGGCATTATGCGGGCTACAGCACAACAAGTCCCTAAAAGTACTCCACATTCAGAACCAGAACCTCGGGTTGCAGGGAGCAAGCACTCTGGCAGACGTGCTCAAGGTCAACACCACCCTGGAGGAAGTTCACTGTGAGAACAATGGGATCCCTCTTCAGGGATTCACCGACCTGGTGAACTCACTGCATTACAACACCACCATACGATGGCTACCGCCCATGATCGAAAGCCGGCAAGAAACGCTCCGCCAGACGGAGATGGCAGTCAAAAACATGCGCACTGATACCTCTCACCACGACAAGTCAAAGGCATCATCACTTCGCAACAAGGTCGCCATAAAAATGGGGAAGCACCCGGTTGAGAAACACGCCCCTCAGCAGCTGTCGGAACAAGATGTACAAGCAGCTCTGCGGTTAGTCCAAGAAAGCTGGGATAGACAAGCGCACCGTCTTAGCCTATATCTCCAGCGGAATGCCAACCTCGCCGCAGGCATCGATACGCCCCTAGAGGTCGAAGAAGAGCAATTCGAGAGGCCTCATGAACGCCCGTTGAGTATGGGCAAGATTCTTGAGCAGGTGCAGATCGAACGCACTCCCACAGTTGAGAAAGACGCGCTTTTCGAGCCGGATGCTCTCAGCATCAACACTATGAACACTGCACGCGAGCAGAGGCGCCGACTTAGTGAAGAGAACTGGTCTCCAACCCATCGGCGGAGCCTTGAGCACCACCATGCGTCGTTCCCATCTCGACCAAGCAGTGCAACTGCCACGGATGGCAACGAGGCATCGGAAAGACGGGATACTTTAGGACAAGAGTCTGGCTACGATCCCGTCACAATAGCGCTTGCGAAAGAACTGGAAGTATCTTTTCAGGATGCGCAGACACTCATCGATACCGACTTCGCAGCGCGGCTTGCACAAATGAGCCCAGTAGGCTCGCCGACTTCTCCCACGTTTCCGGCATCTCCAACAACACCGAGAGCCCTCCCGATACGGACTGGAGGGAAGCGGCATTAAACGCTTATTATTCCCACTTGACTTTTTTTTGGTCGCTCCTGGCCCAGGAAATTCGGAGGGTATTAAAAAAGGGACATTTTTTTTAGGGTGGATTTGTGAATAAGGGTCACTTACTGGAAGCTCAGCAGTAGAGCATGCATTCAGGCGTTGTATACCATATAGGGCTTTTCTTTTCGTCACTTTTCCTCGGTCGGCGCAATCTTGCCCCATCTTGCGTCCATTAAATCTCGTTCGACACGTTGGAAGAGCTTCACATAAGGCGAAAAGCATTTCTTGATGTTGTCATCTGCTGGCTTCTTTCAGTCACTCTTGCATTTCCTATGTATAAGCGGGTCTCAGCAAGCAACGAAGTTCACGGGTCCTATGAATGTTCGATAATTTTTTCTGTCCTTGAGTCCATCGTTTTCTCGCGTCCTCTCTGCCTTGAGCATCACAAAAGCCTGTCCGCTTCTCCTTTGTCACTCTGGAAGTTCCATTCTCTACGAGAAATTTTTTTTCCCTAAGCGTTGAGCGGAACACAGTGTATGGAATGGCTGCACCGAGACACGAGCAATGTCTTGGCTCTACTGTACATAGTAAGGTGGAACAGGAGGGATTATACACATCGAACCATGGTAGATGACTACCATACGTCATTCCACCGCCATTCTTTTTGACGCGACGCGACGATGGTTCAGAACCAAAGGTCCTCTTCCGGGCCCGCTTCGTCGACATCATCACCGTCACCCTTTTCCGGCGAAGTCCTGCGGATCGTAATAATCCGTCGTGCGGCTCAGGATTTCCCGGTTGCTCACCCGAAGCGAACCGCTTTTTCGCCATCCCGTCGTTCGGGGCGTTTTTGGGAGTACCACCGGATCGCGGTCCCGGAGTTAGAGAGATCTTATCGTCTTTTTGCACAACGACCGGCACCAAATTGCGGGCTGTGCGCATCGCAATCGTCGATGCCGACCCCGGTTTTTCTTCTTCGACCATCTAGCGGAGTCGTTATCTTTCACTAGTTCCGGATCGAGAGTCATGGCCAACCGATAGCCTCGATTTTATTTTTCTGCCGCGCGCTGAGCGGCGCCCGTTCCTGCCTTTTTTGACACCGCCATTGGTGGCCCGCCGCGTCAGCCGGAGCTGCGGAAGCGAATGGCGGGACCTTTTGGAGAGGGGGAGCTTGCGGAGGTGGTCGGTAAGACTGACAGTGATGGAATCTTATCCTTGTTTGTTTGCGCGTACGCTCCTCCTCATCCTCCTCCTCCTTGCAATCAAGCGAAATGAACGGCGTCTTTTGCTATTCCCTCCGGCGCTACCTTATTGTTGAGTTTAAACTTTCCGCTCGTCCGGCATACGAGGCGTTTAACTCTGTATAATACAGCCGTTGAAACGGGTTTTATGGGGTATTAGAGGAATAGACATCGGTGGAGCTGTCCATACACGTGTTGACCAATAAGCATGTTGGCTTGCGAGGCCGACGAGAACCGGCGTCGGGAGGCGATGTTTGTTTATTTGTTTGTTTGTTGGTAGCTATGAAAATGTATAAACAAGCATATTTAATGGTTGACAATCTTGGCACTTATGCACAACAGCCGTTACTCAAAGATGGTAGTACTCATGGAGTTGTTTGGCGATGGACGACGCAGACTTGGAATTTATAGTGTATGTGGCTCACTGCTTTACTTACTCGTTGAAACCACATTCTTTATAGATGGGCTTGCTGCTTACTATTGAGGTGTCGTCAACCATCATGGTTAAGTGCCACTGTTGCTTACTGTGTATCCTCTCGACATCATACACATTCTCTACGTGAGACCCAACGCTCTATATTGCCAAATTATTTAGCATTTGTATTTAACTGTACAGTGGAGTAGAATCCGAGTATAGTGTTCGACGTATATCAACATCAGTACCATTCCCCTTCCTTTACAGCATCGTCTTAACACTGCGCAGCTGGTTCCCTCGAGATGCAGTAGAGTGACTTACGAAGTCTACCAAAGATGAAGTATGATAACTCGAAGATCAAACGCTGCCATCAGAACGGTGTTCAGACACACCACCCTTCCACCAGCGCAAGGAGTTCATGTCTCGCATCTAACATTTTCTCTCACAGGGACGGGGTATTACTATTCTCCAGCAACAGCATACGCCGCTTCTGTAGCAGCCTGACATGCACACCAACCAGATTGACGCCATAATCAGGCTCCAGATACAGCAGTCCCTCATCCGGCTCCGTCTCCCTCGTCGGGATACCCAACAACCCATACACACGATCGCGCGGATCGCTAGCAACAAACGACAGAGCGATCGTCTTCGCGTGCAGCTCGTCGAACGTCATGCGTTCCTCCTCCTCCTTTTCCCCCTTCTCCCCCTCCCCCTTCCCCTCCTCGACGACGACGACATTCCGCCGCTGCTCCGCCTGCCACAAGTCGCCCATGAGGTGCGCGTGCAGGGCGCCGGGCAGGCGGTGCAGCGGCAGGCGGTGCTTGAGTGCGACGATGCGGTCCGTGGCGCGCGCGACGAGCGCCCACGCGATGCGTGCGCGGCCCCAGTGCAGCGCCGTCGCCGCCGACGACAGGGCGACCTCCTGGATCACCCACACGCGCCGGAACCACGCCAGCCCGAAGAAGGGCGCCAGCGCCGCCCAGCGGTCTGCGAGGATGGCTGAGCTGCGCTGCTTTGCGCTGCTGCTGCTGCCGGCTGGTTCGGCGGTGGAGGCGGTGGAGGTTAGGGACAGGGAGGATAGGGAGGAGATAGAGGAGATAGAGGAGGTGGAAGAGGCGGTGGTGGTGGCGGAGAAGAGGCTGTCGTCGGAGTTGATGCGGGACGAGCTGCTCAGGAGATGCGGATGATCCGAGGTGTCGTCTTGCTCGTCCCACGTCGCGGGCGGGTCGTTTGGGGTGAGAGTCTGGTTTACCAGGGCGCAGAGGGCGTTGAAGGCGGCTCGGGGCTGTTCGTCGCTGGAAGGTTGGCCCAGCCAGACGAGCACGCGTGCTGCGCGCTTGTAGATCAGGCGCATCAGTCTGACCTGGTGGCCTTTTTCGCTATCGTCGGCCTGGTTGATGCAGATGCCGTCGGCCCAAACGACCCGCGGTTCCGTTGGCGAGCGAAAACGCCGCAGCGCGGCCGCCAGGTTGCTGGTGATCCTGATGGTGGCCTCATTGCATTTGACCGATTCACGAATGTCCGGACTGCCCCATACGTACGAAATTGCTTCGTAAGATGGCGATGGTGAATGTCGATCCAGGTGCGATACGAAGAGACGGCAATGTATGGGTTCTGCGAGTGTTCCAGGCTGTATCTCAAGAAGACGAATCGAGTTCAGATGCGTAAGCGGTTGGTATAGCTCTCCACTCGAATGCCTAGTCGATTTGGCACCCGGTGTTGGGAAGCTGGTTGAACATCGTCCGAGGGCTACTGGAGCAGTCATTGGAGCATTTTGGGTTGCTTGGGACTGCTCTGCACGCGGTGCGGAGCGATTGTGGACTTCTCTCGTGAATGGCGGTGAAGTGAAGTTGTAGTCGCGGATGCAGCTGCATGTAGGAATCGTGGCGCAGTGCTGCGGGGTTCATCCGAACTTGTCGTGGCGTCCATAATCACGCCACAATTGCCGACCAGGTAGGCTACAGCAGTCGATCGAGCTTCCGCTCACGGTAGTTGAAGCTGCTCATGAAGCTAAAGACATGACAAATAGCATACTGACCACCCGAATAAGCATAAACATCTTCCTCGCGCGGTTGCATCTGTGATACAGCAGAGGAATGAACAGTAACAGACTGGATCCCTATAAAATCTTTTTGGTCTTTTTTTATTGCTATCTTGTCTCCCCTATTCCCACCGTCCGGCAAAGAACCCTTTTCAATCAACCAAATCAATCGCCACGCAAATCGCCTGTGCTAGCTGGCTTGGCCTCCAGTAATGCTACTGACCAGGAGAGAGCTAAGAAAGAAAAAAAAAGAAAAAAGTGGGAAATGGGGATACCCTAGTATACAGCATATCATGTTTTGGTTGTGGGCAGCACTTGACTCGCCGCCTTGTAATTGTTCACCCCGCAGCCAACTCGATTCCTCCTTTACGGAGCAGTCTCCTCCACAGCCATCAGCTCGCTCGTGCCGTTAGCGCCCTCGATAGCAGCCTCCGCCTCTGCCGCCGCCGTTTCCGCAGCCGCCGCCTCAGCCTCGGCAGCAGCCTTCTCCGCCGCCGCCTTCTCCGCCTCGACCGCCGCGTTCAGAGCGGCCACCTTGGCTTCGACTATGGCCTCGCCGACGATGGCCTCCTCGACCGCCGCCTTCCTCCTGAAGACGCGGGACCAGCGCTCGCCCCAAGCCTTGATCAGCTTGCCCTTCTCCTCGTCCATGCCCTTGGTGCCGTCCGCCTCGATGAAGCCGTCAGCCGCGCCCTGAGCCAGACCGGTGGTGACGTCGTCGATGACCTGGAAAAGTTGTCTCATGGCGTCGCGCTCCTTGGTCAGCGTGTCGTCCAGCAGCTGCAGCTGCTCCTCCGGCAAGCCTTTCTGAAGCCGAGCAGAAACGATCTGACGAACACGGTTGGTAACCTTGCCCACGGTACCGGCAACCATCTCGAAGATCCAGCTCTCGGAAAGGGAGACGCCGGCTCCAAGACGATCGCCGAGCGCCCACTGTACGACGCCCATGGGCGAGAGGATCGTGTAGTTGAGCAGCTTATCCACAATGTTGACAGCGATGCCGGGCTGGTCCTTCCAGTAGTCGGCCACGCTGGTGATGATCTGCCTGCGAGCCGTCTCTGAGGCCGGGCCAATGGCGAGAAGGCGCTCCTTGCAGCGCTCGATGCAGGACAGAACGTGTGAGAGCGATTTTGATCCAATGTAGCAGATGCAAGTGACGTAAGCATCCGTCGAAGGGACCAGCACGTCCGCAACGTTGTGCTCTGCAGCCTGCTGGTGAATTTTGTTGATGACCTCCTGAATCTCATCCTCCGGTGCCTTCTTCTTAAGCAACGACAAAAGTTCACGACCCTCCGGAGCGTAGGGAGTCTGATCAGACTCATACTTGAAGTCGGGAGTATCCTTCTCCTTGGCCTCAGAAATCAGGTTGGGCCACTCCGGGGGCAACGTCTCCCTGATGCGCTTGGCGAAACTCAGCCGGATTTCCTTGTCCAAAGCTCCGATGATGAAGGCCTTGCGCGGGTGAACGTCAGGCATCTCGGCCTCCTCACTCCACTCAGTCCACTTCCAGCGGAAGTCGAAATTGCTCAGGTGGTGAGCAAACCAGTCCAAGAAACGGTAAGTAAGCTCCATGTCCATAACATCCACCTGGCGGAACAGGAACCGAATAGCACGGCCAAGACTGGGGGCAATGGCGCCAGGAGCCAGCTTGCAGGCTTCGGTGATGATGGCATGGTAGTAGACAAGCTTGTGCTCGGGAGTGGGAAGCGTGAACATCTGCGAGAAGACTGCATCGACCGCCACATCCTCGGGCTTCCATGTTCCGTGCTCTTCAGTTTCCTTGAGCCTGTCGAAAGGAGTGCCGCGCTTGACAAACGTGTCCGGAGCCCAGTAGCAGTCAATCTCGATCAGGAACTTAGCCACGGCCACACGGTTGTAGTCGAGAATGTTGATGGTGTCGACGAGCGAATCACGGAGCAACGACGCCGCAATGTCCGAGGTCTTGGGCACAGTCTCAACATCCTGATCGGCGTACAGGGAAAAGTACGACTCGGGGAAGAGGGGCCGCGGTCCTGGGTTGACGGGTGAAGGGACGTTGATGGTCGGGAACTCGTACTTGGTCGGTTCCTTGACCTCTTCAGAGCCGTTCTCCCTCTTGACCGGCTTGTAGGGCTTCGGGATGAACGAAAGCTTCCAGCCCTTCTCAGCCTCGTTCTGGAGCTGCTTCTGCAGAAATGAAATCACACTCTGGTACCCGTACGGCCTCTCATCGGTGTTTCCTGCAACGCCCGGGAACTGCTCGACCATGGCCTCCAAAACGTGCGAGGCGGACGCTACGATTTCCGTCTTCTCGAGAATGGCCGTGGCACTCTCCTGGGCACCAGGGGCACCAGTAGAGATGACGTAGGGGACCGTAAGGAGAATGATTTTCACGAGCTCAAGGCCGACGGTCTGCGAAGAGAAATTAGCATTCGTGTCAAGACTCTCCGGACGTCTTCGTCCACTCACATCTTCAGTGGAAGCAGCTTGCAAGTCCACAGCCCTGCTGAAGAGCTCGTCCAGGATCGTGAAAACGCCGTCGCCCTCGAACAAGCCTTGGAGACACGCTAGGAAGCGTAGCAGAAGCTTGAAGGTCCTCCAATTGCCCGCTTCCAGATTCTCCTGCGTGATCTTCTGCGTCTCGCTGAGCACCTCCTTGGCCAGCTCAGGCTTCGTGTCGTTGATGTAGAGAACGACAGCCGCAGAGAAAGGAATCTTGAACGGCTGCTCGGTGACCAGCTGGATGATCAGGTGGAGGAAGCTGGCCTTGGCCTCCTCGTCTTCGTAATTGTCCGAGGCCAGGCGGGCAATGTCGCGCGCATCGTCCTCGGCGTCCCTGGCGGGGGACTCGGCAATGGTCAGCAGCTGCCTGCGCATCTTGCCGATGATGGGCTCCTCCATGCGGCGGCGCGTAGGCCTGCGTTCGTCGCGGCGGTCATCCCATTCGTCATCTGCGCACGATTGGGTCAGTTTCTGAGCAGAAACAGTCGAAAAGGCGGGTATCCGTACCGTTGTACCTGCGCTTGCGCTTGTTGCCGCGGTCGTAGAAGCGACCAGACGGCCGCGGCGAAGGGCCGTCAGCCATGTCGTCGTCTCCGTGGAGTTCGGAGTGGGCACAGCGGGGACGGTGCTTAGTCGAGGGCGACGGAGCGGGCCGGTAGAAGTCGCCGGCCTTGTCCCAGTCCTTGTAGATGCTGTAGTAGGAGGGTTGGGGAACGCGGCGCGAATGTGCCTGCCAGGAATTGTTGCGGCGCCTGCGAGCTTCCAAGAGCTTGCGCGGGCCCACGGGCACGCGCATGTCCCGACGAAACGCCGGTTCGCTTGGCGTGTTTGGTGTGTTTGCCCCGGCCGGCCTCACCCCATCCAACACCATGGTCGACTCGAAGTGAAATGCAAGATCCAGCCGCTTTGGACTCAGACCTCCCGTATCGTCTTCCACCTCGCCATCTTCCAAGTCTTCATGAGCATGCTCCCTGAATTCACGCGCCACCTCACGGATGTCTTGATGATACGTCGAAGCATCCTGGTAGGCAATACCTTCCATGGCGCTCGCCATGGTTGAAGTAAGTCTGCTGTGCAAAGGCCAAGAGGCTTGGAGCTCGCAGAAGGCCTGCTGTTGTTGGTGGTGGTGGTTGAAGAAGAGTGGTTGCAATCTGAAGAACGCCAATTTAAGCAAACCCTGAAGAGTTCAACATCTCATACCTCATGCATGTGCATATGCTCTTGCACCTGCAGCTGTTGCAGTTGCTGCTGCACATGGGGCAAGCACCTGACCAAGACAGAAGGCGTGCATATGAAGTGCCTAAGCATTATTGTGATTGTAGTCTGTGTATGCGTGTATGCGCGCAACGATGATGATGGACCAGACATGGGCAAGGATAATGATGACGGTGAAGATGAAAACGGGTCAAGCAACATCTTTCAGTCGAAGAGACAGTCCCTGGAGCACAACATCCCATGTCAAGTAGAACCGCACCGTTGCCAGTCCCGGAAAGCAAAGAATCCCCACCCGTGGTTGGTATGTGGCCCGAGCCGGTCTGGCTCACTCGCGATGTCTTCAATAGCCAACGTCTCCAGCACCAGCAATGAAATCCAAGCCAACGATTTTTTCAGCAGCCCTTGCTCCCGCCGAATAAGTAAAGCTGTGCCAAAGAAGCAACCGATTTCCGAGTCTTTTGACGAGAGCGTGAAAGGAGAGAGCAAGAAAACGTTTTTCACACCCACCGGTTGAGAGAAATGTTCGGGAAGAATAGGCCGCTGCTGCTCTCACTTCGCTTTCAGAAAAATGGGGTAAGAAAAGGGAACAAGGAGAAAAAAAATGTTGAAATCTACCACCATTGGTATTCCTCTCACCGATACAACACGTTTGCAACCACGAAAACCCAGAGCCTGTCCCGCGTGTCCACAACCAGAGCCAAAGCTCCCCCACGTATCCCAAATGACCCCGGGGAAAGAGCCGAAGATGGAGACTGAACAACAGAAGCTGGAAACCCGCCATTGGAAGAAAAAAGAAAAAGAAAGAAAGACGCTCATGCAGAAGCCTTGGGCTTCAAGCTTCCCGACTCTCCAGTGATCCATCAGAACCCTTCAATTTTGATTGCTGCGTACCCAGTTTCGAGAAGCGCCGTTGGGCAGAACAAGTGACATCTACGGAGCAACCAAAGCGCGGGGGACCGAGCAAGTTAGACGTCTGCCCGATGAAGGAAACATGATGTTAGTCGTGAAAATTTTTTTTTCCGATTCCGTCCATCCGGGTAACGGGCCGCGCGTGTACTCGAGTGCCCTCCATGTTTGTCGCTGGAAGGCAGCGGCCATCAACCCAATTCTTTGCCCTTTGAAACCAAGCCCGGGGCGAGAAGAAGAGATGCCGTGCCAGAGCAATGAAAGACATAACATGACTTCATGACGCATATGCCCGGGGCGTCTCTAGTCCAACCGAGCCATCATCTGGTCTTTCGTGAGCGGCTTGAAGTCGGGCGACTCAATGTCTAACCCCCGAGCGACCAGGGTGGGGCGGATGTGCGGGGGCACGAGCTTGGTGTTGAGTTGGGGCGCAATCGAGAGTTCTTTCAACCGTCAGCATCGCTCGTCGGACATCACTCAAAGAACATACCATGGTGCGTGAATTCAAAGAGGTTCGGCAGCTCCTTCACGGCGCCGTTGGGATGACGGGAATCCGGGAACCTGGTGTTAGGGTCCCTGAGCTCATCAAAGAAGGGGTGAACCATGGCCTCGACAGCGGAAAGCCTCTGCGTGGGCGTGTACTCGAGCAGCTTGGAAATCAGGTCAATGGCGTTGGGATCAGCCTTACGGAAAACCTGGTGACGCCCGAGTGTCAGAAAAATGCCAACGTGAAAACCAATTGATCGTCCCCTCCCTACCTTGTTAAACGGGTGCGGCTTGATCTGCGGGAACTTGTGCTCCATGTAGTTGGGGTTCATGGTGCGGATCTGATCCCTAGTCGGCGTTCCCAGGACCTTGATGATCTCGACGAGCTGGTCAATGCCCGACTCGCCGGGGAACAGCGGCTGGCCGAGCATCAGCTCTGCCATCACGCATCCAGTAGACCACACATCTATAGGGGTGGCGTCGTATTAGGTAAGCAGATCACGCGAACAAGAGAAGCGACCGAAATTGCGATGACGTACCGATCTTCGTTGTGTAGTTGGTCGCCCCGAAAATCAGCTCCGGCGCTCTGTAGTAGCGCGAGCAGATGTAGGAGACGTTGGGCTCGTTCTCGACGAGGATCTTTGCGCTGCCGAAATCGCAGAGCTTCAGGATGCCGGTGTTGGGGTCGAGCAGGAGGTTCTGGGGCTTGATGTCTCGGTGGCAGATACCCTGCGAGTGGATGTAGGCGAGGGAGCGGAAGAGCTGGTAGATGTAGAGCTTGACTTCAAGAATGGGCATGACGGTCTTCAGCTTGTTGAAATATCTCGATGCGCGATAGACGGTCTCCGGGACGTATTCAAGCACGAGGTTGAGGTAGACTTCATCCTTCTGCGGGCGATTGTCAGCCGAGTCGCTTAGCGGGAGGGGGCAATGCCAATGCGTACCCGCTCGCCATTGTTGTAGAAGAAGGCCTTCAGCTCGACGATGTTGGGGTGGCGCACGATGCGCATGATCTGCAGCTCACGGTTCTGTCACGCGTCACGAGTCAATGGGCACGTCCATCGCACAGGGAGAGGGGAGGGGAGATCCGCTCGGCGGGCGCACCTTGAACCGCTTGTCCTGCAGGACCCGCTTGATGGCGGCGTCCTCGCCGCTGGGCGAGAGCTTGGTCTGGAAGACGACGCCGAACGAGCCATTGCCGACGATCTTGCACTGCGTGTAGGCCAGGTCCTTGTACTCGCCGGTCAAGCCATCCTGGACCTTCTCCCGGATAACCTCTGTGGGGGGGCAACGTCAGCCAGCATGCACACACACACGAGACGGCGGGCATTGCGTCCTTACCACCCATGCGTAGGCTCGAGAAAGCCGATGGCCGGTTTTGCGACATTGCGGCGTGCTCAGCCGGGTGCTAGGGTCAGAATGGGTGAATTGCTATCGCGAGAAGGGCGGGCTGGTGGAGAGGAGGCGGCGGGAGAGTGGCTTGGGCTTGGCGACGAGGTCCGTCGTGGGCAGCTGGCGCTCTCTCGGGCGGAGCGTGGGTGTTGTGGGCAGCGCGGGCACGGAGAGGCGTCGCAGCTGTTTGGCGATGATCCTTGGTTGGGGCAGCGGCGCGGGCGGCGGAGGAGGAGGGCGGGTGGTGGTGGGCGTGGGCTCCGTCGATTGGCGACGCTGCGTGAGCGGGACGGGCAAGCTTAGAGCGGGCTTGCAATGCAGCGCGCGGGTGTCGCAGGGTGGGTGTGGATGAGATGCGGCGCGGTGACAGGCCGAGAGTTGAGCAGCTTGCGGGCGGGGGGCTCGTGGTTTCGGAGGGAATGACAAGCGGAGGTGATGATGCTGCGGGCCCCGTCTGGAGAGCAGAGTGGCCGCCGCGCTAAAGGTAGAGAGGCCTCTGCGGGTCACAAGGCGCGTGAATCAGGTTAAGCGTCCCTGGAGGCCCGGCGCAGCGCTCGAGGGGCGTCGGAGGGGTCTGGGAGGGGCACGACAAGAACGCGAGGAGCGTGAGGGCTTTTGCAGAGGGAGAATGATGCAGCTGGGCTGGGGAATGGATGGCAGAGGTTGCGGTGCGTGTTCGTTCGACGCAACCGCCCAGTGCGCGGCGGGCTCTGGGACATCACGTGCAGCCTCGCAGTCGGGCAGCGGGCAGGCACGACGCAGCAGGCATGCTCTCCCGCCGCCGCGGGTCTAGGGCGCCTCTAGGGCCCGGCGCAGCGTCGCGAGCCATGGTGTTTGGCGCCTCTGGGCCAGCAGCAGTGGCCGCTGCGCCTGCTGCTGCTCAGGCCCGGCGGAGGATCGCCTCTGGCGGAGGAGGGGGGACGCAGAGGGCCCTCGCCAGTGGCCAGCCCGCCGGCCAGGGGCACGCTGACTCCGCGCCGTTTGAGGCGCCTGGTAGGCTACAGCGCGCGAGGTGTGCTCGTGACTGCGCTCGCTCTGTCATTGCCATGGCCAGCCCCGCGCTGGGCTCATGACTATGCGCCACTCGCGCCAGCACCACCCGCTCGACTCTCAGCCGCAGCCCGCGATCCCAGGCTCGCGCCAGCTCTGGCTCACCCAGCGCACCGCACCGCACCCGCCGTCCGAGCGCCGGGGCTGAAAATAGCCCGCGCGCTCCTCTGCTGCTGGCCAAGCTGCTGCCCGGCAAACGTGGCCTGGACTAGTCAATAGAGTTCGGACACAAGCCGTTCAGGGCTCCACATCGGGCGCGGGCTGCATGGCTGATGATGATGGCCCTGCCGCCTCGACGCCTCTGACCAAGCTGCACCGCACGTGCGCCCACCAGAGCCCGCCCAGCACGCGAGCCGGCGATCTCCCACGCTGCCGTTAGGGGAAGCGGCTCTCACGAACTGCTCTCGCGACCTCACCATAAATACTCCCGAGATCTCCACGCCGCGGTGGATCAATTGGCCGTTAATTAATCAATGCTCTATGCCTGCGCAACGTAATAACCACGCACGCCGCCTCCACAGACCGACACCACGTGCGCCCGCCAACAAGCCCGTCCAGCGTGATTGCTCGCCAACCGCCAGCCCCCTGGTCCCGAGCCGGCAGCGACGTTGCCCTTTTGATCGCTATTCGGCATGCTGCGCGCGCGTCATATATATCCGAGACAGTCGTCAGAATCTGACGCCGACCCACCCGAATCTCCAGGCTGATTGGGATCTGCGCCGCCAGCCTTGCCGCTCTCTTTGTGCTCCGCCTGCGACCCTTCGTAAAGGTCGCCAGCGCTCTCGCCGCGCCGGAGCGGACTTCTCCGCCTCATTAAAGTCTGCCCGTCGCCCACTCCGAGCACCTTCGCCTCGCTCGCCTGCTCCCAGTTGAGCTTGCTGCCGTCCCGGAAGCCCCTGGGCGTCGACGGGCTGCTGTGCGTCTTGCGCAGCGGCTCCGGGCTCTGCTCGCCAGACAACATCTCGCCCTCCGCGTCCGACGTCGGCGTCGGCGGCGAGAACTCCAACGCTGGGCTGCGCGCCCCGTCCGTCGACGCGTCTGACAAGTTCCCGCTGCTCGAGCCGAAGAACCGGAACCGCTTACGCTCCTCGGTCGACGACGAATGGCCGTGGCGCCGGTAACTGGGAGGGGGACTGCTGGCCGGGCTGTCGAACTGCAGGCGCAGCGCCGTTTGGGACTTCTGCATCATCTGCTGTACCAGCGGCAGCTCCAGGTAGCTGCTTCCCGACCGCACGAAAAGCACGAGGCCCAGGCACAGGAGAATCAGCGTTGATTGCACCACCGCCATCCGCTTCTGAAACACCAGTTCATCTGCAAGGAGCGTCAGGCGCGTGCTGATGGCCAGCATCTCGCGCTGGTGCTGCTCGCGGCGGTTCTCCAACTCAATCACCGTCGACTGCCAGAGCTGGTCGTACTGCTGCCTCTGCAGTGCGTTAGCGGCCGTAAGTGCGCTGCACGTGGACGAGACACTCACAAATTCCCTTAGTTCTGCCATGACCGTGCTGTTCAGCTGATCCAAAAACTTCTCCGTCTTTCCCAGCTGTCGCTTTTCCACCTTGGTGAACGCATCCCTGAGAATGCGCGACTGATCTTCAATGTACTGCAGCGACAGCGTCGAATTGGACTCCAACATCTGCAGCCGCTTGTGGATCGACTTGAAAAAGCTCTCCTGAGTCGTGGGCGTCGTATTTGGTGGCTGCGTGGCCGAAGCCTTGGTCCCCTCGCCAGATTGGATGGATCTCGTCGACGTGCCATTTGCTGCCACGTTTGATCCATCCTTGGGAGGTGGAGAGTTCTTCTGGTCCCCGTCGGACGAAGCAATGGTGGACGCGTTCGTGGCATTTTGGCTGGAACTAGCCGAATCTCCCGCGTCTACTCGCGGGCCGTCCGTCGACGTCGATGCATGTTTGGGCTGTTCAACGTCGGTTTGATTATGCGACGCTTGGGTGACGTTGCTGGACGGCTGATCCGCCGAGTCTGGGCGGCCTGGTGGTGTGACGGACGAGACGGGCTGCGAGTTAGTTTGACTCGTGCTACCGTCCGGCACAACAGACGTAGTACTGTCCTTGGGAGTGGGTCGATCATCAGCTGTGGGAGAACCATCAACGCCTTGATTGGCCGCTTCAGATTGTGTTGAATCTTCAGCGCCCCCAGGCGTTGCATCCGCAGGTGCAGCCGGGTCGGCTTCCTTTGGTGGCTCAGCAGCAGGTATCTCAACAGGTACTTGCTCTTGTGCATTCGGTTGAATTGCGGGAAGGGCTTGGCTCTCGCTCTCAATAACTTCATCTAAATCTTCCTCTCCGCGGGCCGCCTCTTCTTGGTGGCGGAACTCTTCCATCATGGTCGTGCCGTGCACCCTGAGAAGTGACACAGGACAGTAGAACTCGTTGCCAAAATGCGAAAGGAATTCGATCCTGAGGTAACGAGCCCAAATTAGCGGATTCTCAACAAGGAATGCCTGAATGTCGCGGCTATTTCTGGCCTCAAAGGTGCCAAGCTCTTTCCAGCGTTCCAGCTTCACCGGGTAACGATCGGACACGCTGACTCTGAAGGTGCGGAACATGGAACTGAAAAACTCGAAGTTGGCAAGAACAACGGTGTCGACCAGAATGTCGTCGCAAAGCTCAACAATGACGAATTTGTTCTCGGCACCACATTCATTGAGCATGTAGCTATCCTTGTTCTCGACCAGGAGGGACGACGAGCTCTTGCACTGCGAGTTTGTCTTGAGCACCGTGGCGGCACAGTCGAAGGAGGCGTAGTTGAAGCGCTCTTTACACGTCTTCCCGGCGTCCTTGCTGCGTGGCCGGTGCGACAGCTCGCCGGCGGCATCGTCCCCAGCCGTCTCCTTCGCCTGCTGGCCCGAGGCCGAAACGGCTGCCGTACGGTCAGCTTTGTTGCCAAATCCAAAGTCCAGCTCGATCTCCGTGTCCTCTCCAAGAAAGTCCAACTCGCTGTTGATGTTAACCGGCCTCGGCTTCCGTCCCTGGGCGCCAGCAGTCCCGCGCCCTTGGCCCACGTTCTCCGGCGACTGTCCAGCCTTTGCCAGATTCTGCTTCTTCCACTCTTCGAAAGACAGAAAGTTGGCGTTGTCCAGCGGTGAATCGGTCTCAGCTTCGGCTTCGGCCTCCTCCCGCTCGGCTGGGTTGTGGACAGCTTCGGTGGACGGCTGCGCAGTGCCTGCTGCGCTTTGCGATCCTGTGGCAGAGACAGTGGCCGTTTCGCCAGAGCTGCCGGGCGACTGCGCGCCGGAGGTGGCGCTCGAAACGGTCTCATTTCCCGTCTGGCCAGCAGCATCACGGCCCGTTGGGGCGGACACTGGAGCTGAGGGGCCACCGTCACCGGACACGGTATCGTTCGCGGCGGTCGCAGAAGCGGGCGGCGGTGGCGGGCGTGACTTTAGGCATTGCTGCGGTAGAGTGTGGGTGATGTAGTTGATCTCCCTGGACCTGCAGGTGGAGACGGGTGGCAAGGAGCTTATCGACGGCGGGTGGACGACGAAAGGGAGAATGGCAGATTCGGTGGTTGGATCGGCGAAAGCGACGGTGTGCAGAAAAACAGCCGCGAGGAAGACATGTCGGCCAAGCTTGCACATTGCTTGAACATGTCAGTCGATGCTCGATGGGCGCATAGGAGAAAGCTCGCAGCAGGAGAGATGCAGGAGGCGATGTCATAGGCCGAAGAAGCCAGCTCTCAGCTGTTTGAGCCGCGCCGTCTGGACCCCGGCAATCGCCGCAGCGGTGTGTGACCACCAACAGCCTCCCTGCCCTGGCTTGCAGCCCACTTCCCGCACTGCAGACTTTTCAGGTCACCGCATATGCACTGCCTTCTTTCCAACATCTGATTTATCATTTACTATCGTCCCGGGCGCGGGGGCAGCCACCACCCATGCCATTCTCTCGCCACCTCCAGCCCCCGCCCTCAATCGCTGCCTCTCTCACAAGAGCGCGTAGACATACCTGATCCTTACGAGAAGTACCGCTGCCGCCAAAACTTGCCCGTATGCATGCATCGGCCTTGCTAAGGACCGTCTTTCAAAGAACCACCCATCCGGCTTTCTCGTCTCTCTACATGAACCATGTGCTTGCTTCAACCAAAGTAAAAAAAAAAAGAAGAAAGGCATAAAAAAGGGAAAGGGGGATTGCGCGCACTAAGACCCGAGCATGCCTTCGAAACGCCATGCACGCAGAGAGAAAACGCATCTCATGCCATCGAAAGGGTATGCTGCGCTCGAACAAAGCAATGCATAAGCCGAAAAAAAAAAGAAAGGGGTAGTGAGAGCTCGAAGAGAAAAGCAACCCGCGTTCAGTGCTGCGGGCCGTTGAGAGACTTACGGCAGGAGAAGAGCATTATCGTCATCGCAAGTGAGCGGTCTGCCAACGCCAAAATCCCAAATATCCCACCCAAGTTCATTAGAATCCTTCGTCTCCGGCCCTGCAGAGACGTATTTGGTCAACCCATTCCGACCGGTTGACCTCTTCTGCGGTCAAGCGGCGATTGGGATTGGGGTCGAGAATTGAATATATGACGTTCCGACATTGGCGCTGCCAGCTTGTTAGCCGTGACTAAAGCAGGGGGTAAGGAGGCGCTTACACGACGGAGCACCTCGATAGGCCTGTAACCGGATTCCTCTTTGCGATCCTCGAGATATTTGGTGTAAAATTCATCCTCGCCCTTCTTTGCGACTCGCCAAAGATGGCGCCCGGTTCTCATGGCCATGTAAATGACGCCACAGGCCCAGACGTCAACAGCTCGGGGGTCGAATTCTTCATCAACGTACTCCTCCGGCGCAATGTAGGGGGCGGAACCGCAGATACCCGCAGTCATATGAGCTTCCTCTTCCCAGGCCATACGGAAGCACTCGCCATTGCCAAAGTCGGTGATTTTGATTGCTCCGTGAGAAGTGAGGAGGAGATTCTCAGGCTTCAGGTCACGGTGGGCGACACCCATACCGTGGAGGTAGTCGACGCCGCGCATGAGCTGCTTGAAGAAGCAATCGGCCTCGACGACCTCGAGTTGGCCAGCCGCGAGGATGAGAGTGTAAAGGTCTCCACCGGCGCAGTACTCCATGACCTCGCAGAACTCACCCTTCTCGTCCTGGATGAGATCGAGCGTATTGATGATGTTGGGATGGTGCATGGAAGAGGAAATGCAGAACTCGGACGTCAGGCGCTTGTTGTACTTCTTGTCAGATTCACCGGGGCGCTGCTTGAATTCTTTGACGGCAAACAACTGCTCGCGCTTGGGGTCCTTCGCGTCTGGCTTATGGGCTATCTTGACAATACCGAACGCGCCGCGTCCGATAATTTCCTGACACTTTCCGTATTTCTGCACCAGCGTCATGGAAGAGCTAGCACCGGCCTTGTGGTCGATGTTGAACTTCTCTTTGTCGTTGCGTAGTTGATCAACCCAACCCGACATCAGACTCAGAGGTTGCTCATCGGGGTTCGCTTCTTTCTTCTTCCCGAGCATCAGGTTCTGGAACATATCCTTGAGCTTCTCTTCGCGCCTCTGGACTCTGAGCTGGTGCTCGTGGCCGGCATCCTCGAGGTGCTTGAAACGTTTGGAGACGTTGGCGGCCTGCTGCTGCTCCTTCTTCTTCTCAGCATTGCTCTTGGAGCGATCCACCATGTTACCAGGCTTCGTCTCTTTCGTGGAGGGTTGACGACGCGGCTCTGGTTTGGGCGAGCTGGTCGGGCCGTCGCCGTTCGCCACCTTGCCTTCAACTACCTTCTCGGGAATTTTCTCGGAGGCCAGGTTAACCTTGGAACTGTCCCGAGAGTCCTCGCGGCGGCCGAAGATGCCACTTATTCTCGAGCTCATGGTAGGCTTCTTCGCGGGCAGGTTGGGCCTGGCGGCGGCGGCGGCGGCTGCTGCTGCTGCTTGCGCGCCGTTGGCTTGCGCAGGAGTGGCATGCTGCGGCGGAGGGAGGGCGAAGTTGCCCTCGGAAGAGGCGATCGAGGATGCCGAAGTCGAGGCAACAGGAGAGCCGGTTGCCTTTGAGCTCACAGCCGGCGAGGTCTTGTTGGCCATTCTGTGACAGGGTATGTGATCGGACTTAAAGGCGGTGACGCGGGGAGAGGACGGTCGGCGGGCGAGAAGTGTCTCGAGACAGAGTCTCGCGGGCTGGGGCAAAGCCCAGGTTGTGCGTTATTGAGGCGACTTCAAAACTGCTTTTTTCAAGAGCGCGCGCTCCCGCGGTCGGGAAGGGAAGGTGTGTGATGGCTTCAGCGTGAGGGAGCGAGGTTAAGCGGTCGGCGGAGGTAGACCTGCCTCTCTTCCTTGGCACAGCCGAGGCGCAAAGTGCTTGTTTGATGGAAGCTGGCAGCGCTGACAAACCACGTGTGATACGACCTGGGACGTAGGATCTTGACCGCCGAAAGAAGCGCGAGTGCTATGAGCAGAGATTTGTCGATGATTACCAAAGACTTCGATGTAATAAGTATAGGTGACCTGGTGAGTTGCGGCTTTTTTCTCTTCCGGGCAAGTTTATTAGCTCTCTCCTCCAGGGCGCCGGCGGCGTCCGCGGGCGGCAGCAGCAGCAGAGAGATGCTCAGCAACTGTTTGTAAGAGCACTTTCGCTGAGCCTGCTCCGCGCACTCGCCGTGTGCGGTGTGGCTATGCACGTAGGCGAGTACTGGTAATGAGGTAGGCGCAGCACCTCGTAGCCCCGCCCCCGGCCCATTCACGCTTGCTCACATGGTTCTGCGCTCCACACCCCGAGGCGCTATGCTGCTGCTGCGCGTGTACAATCCCCATCAGCTGCTGGACGGGCGCGCGTGAATGCCGGACGGCCGGTCCGCGGACAGCCCCTCTTCATTTTCCCTCAAGCCAAGTCCGCTTAACCGCTTACAAAACCAGGAAAGCCTTCGATCCGGAGCCGTCTTCCTCTTCAGAAGAGCCGGTTCGGCGAAGCCAATAAAAAAAACGCCTCACCGCAGCATTATTCTCAACACCATCCGCAGGGCCAAATCCGTCGACGTGCTTCCTGTCGCGTGTGAGCGTCACATCGCGCCAGACTTCTGCACGCGCGATCGCCGACGCCACCGTTGCCGGCTGTTGGCACTCTACGCGACAATAATCTAAATGCCGCAGCGCCCTTCTCCTGCCCTGCATGCATCAGCTTACTTTCGAGAATGAATTCCCCTCTTGTGACACTATTGTGACCGCCGCCAAGAAGCCGTATGTATTGCGAACAATCTGGATACCTCCGCCATTGAGGTCACCCTGCGGCCGACGACGAATCGAGAGGCGGGCAGAGGACACGAGGAGGCCATTGGCCTGTGTACGGAAGCGCCCGCTTGTCGCCGTCGATCCAAGTAAGCTTTCTTATTACGCTTTGGTGTACCCCTCTGTTTTCTATCTTTGCGCCTCTCGCAAATTACATGTGCCACCCTCGCGGCCGGCCGCGAGCTCGTGCTGCCCTGTTTATTGCTTTTGCTCCCCGGAACTGTTGCTATCTGTGGGCGATCAGGCCTCCCTTTCCCCAGAACCCTCGCCCGCCTCGCTCTGCGCGTTGTTCTTGGCTTTCTCGACCAGCTTGGCTAGCGCCGCCACTGCAGGCTTGGGGCCTTCGCTGCCCAACTGCAAGGCATCCAGAAGACTCGGATTGCGCCGGATCGATTCCTTGCCCTCCACCCGCCGGGTGAGATAGAGTGTCGGCCGCCTCTGCCCGCGCTGAGCCATGATTCTTTGCACTTCTTCCTCGTAAGCCTTTTCGTACACGTCGATGTCCACCGCACCTGGCGATTCGCACACCACATGCGGTTGATCAGGAGGCACCTCCTCTCCTGCGGGGCAGTTGAGGTCAAGAAATAACTGGTCTTCTAACGGATCATGAGCCTGTCCTTTGCCAATCTCCTGTCGCGGCGTTCGCGGCTCAGCAGAAGTCAGCGATGACTGCGTGTCTCGAGGATCCAGCCTTGGCGACTGTCCCGCACTCCCAGGTGTTGCGACGCCTGCCTCGTGGAGTTGATCCGCCAGCTGTTCGATCTTCGGCGACGCCTCAATGTCGTGATGGACCCCCTCTGTGGCTAGCGTGCTCTCCACGCACAGCCTGTTGTCTGTCGCTTCGCTCTTCGACCTTCCGACGTACGGACGCATGGAAAGCGGGGGTGCAACCATGCGGTGACCAAAGATTCCTTGCATCAAGTCAGGCCGCTTCTTGAAGAGCAGCTGCTTAAAGCGTTTTACAGCTTTCATCTTGGCGCAGTGTAAGTTATACTGACGGGAAAGAACAAAGGCGTCGGATGCTTACCACAGTGATCAAATGACCCATGTTCCCCGTGATGGCGGCATTGACTTCTTCTTCCGTAGGGGGTTCGATAATAGTGGCGATGTTCTCTTCCTTGGGCAAAAGGCAGTCCGTTCCTCTCCGGGTCACCCAGGGATGGTTCTGAACGAGTCAACTCATTGGACTAGCGGGAGACTCGCGGTTCACAACATACCCTCAGCTCATCCATGGTAATGCGTTTGTCCGGATCTTTCTCCAGTATCCGATACATTAGATCAGCAAAGTCTTCTTCGCACTCTTCCAACGTAACATTGTCGCTCCTGATTGCGTCATAGAGCTCAATCATGCCTGTCTTCTCGAACGGTATCCGCCCAAAGCGCAAGCAGTACAGCGTGACACCCATTGACCAAATGTCAGCGGCTTTGCCGGACACGTCGCCATGCTTCGGGACGCAAAGTTCAGGAGGCATAAACGCAGGAGAGCCAGCCGACTTTTTAGTCTTCATCTCCGAGTCCTTCTCGAACATTTCAGAGACGCCAAAGTCGACGATTTTCAGCACATCATCGTCGGTAATCAGACAATTGTCGGGCTTGATATCGCGATGAATGATGCCCTGAGCATGCACTGAAGAAGCGATTGGTTAGTTTACAGGAGCGCATGGCGCTTGCTTTGGAATCACTTACAGTACTCAATACCAAGGATCATGTCTCGGAACCAGCATCGGCACTGCTCGTCCTCGTACGGATCTGCTCTCTCATCCAGGCCCACGCGCATGACGACGCCCTTTTTGCAGATCTCTAGCACCATATACAACGAGTCCTCGTCCGGGTCGTCGAGCACCTCGATCAATGACACTAGATTGGGGTGATTGAGCTTCTTCATGACAGCAATTTCCTCCTTGATGAGGTCTAGGGAGTTATTAGGTTCGCTGCCGGAGTGACGGTGGAGAGGGAGGTTGAAGCCGCGGCCAGCGGAGTACTGGTTCTTGCGATGCCTCACGCCCGGGCTGCGAAGCATGTTTGACTGCGCCCGTTTGCGCAACCTTGATTTTGAAAATTCTTTGACGGCCTGTGAAAATCCTGCTCAGCACAAAGTCCTCGTTCGTGTAGGCATGCCGTATGTTGGATAGGAATTGCCATGGCTTGCCACAACAAGTCTCTTACATATTCGTTTCCATATTGGTCGACTGCCAGGTGAACGGCGCCAAAAGAGCCCCTCCCGATCTCCTGATCGATTATGTACTGGTTGATGCGATGCTGGGCTGTGCCATCGTCTTCGCTGTTGCTGTATTCGGAGCGCGCGTTCAACGTCTCCTACGGTGCGGCAATGTCAGGGTCGGTGGTGGCGCAGGGCATTGAGTGTGGGAGACTGACTTTGATTTCCCTGCTGGTAGAGGGAGCGCGACGGTGGTGGCGCAAGGGACTCTGATAAGCGGGCGCAGAGCTGTTTGCGAAAGGCGTCAGGGTCAGCCTAGGTGGCGCGGGCATACGGCAGGTTCCAGGGCGCATACACATGCTTTATAACGGGAGGTCTGCCGGACTCGTCTGTAGCGGGCACGGCCAGAGAAAGGCTGTCAGAGGGGTAGAGGCCCGGGATATCATCAGCGGAGAGGTGCTGTTGCAGGCGCGACGAGGGCTGCGGCATTGCCACCAGCGTAAGGATGAAGGCGAGCTGCGATGGGTGGTACAAGAACGGGAAGGGAAGAATGCGCGCGCAGAACCAGCTGGGAGGAGACAGGAGAGTGAGCGCTGCAGCGCGGTGGGTTTTGGTTGAAGCTCAGGCTGATGCGCTTGCACCCCGCGCCAGGCCGATCTTTCCTGGACCCTTGTCGGCTTGGAAAGCTTGACCGTTAGGTAGAACTCGTCGGCCTAAACCTCCGATCCACCCATCCCGCATCTTGCATCCCGCATCTGGCCGCCCCATCTCCATCCGCTAGCCCCCGGCCCTGCAGGCAACCTGCCAAAATGGTCATCTACTCCTTCTACATCTTCGACCGCCACAGTATGCCGCCCTGCGCTCGCTCTTGAGTTGCGCAGCCTGCTCACCGCGTTCTAGCCGAGTGCATCTACAGCAAGCGATGGTTGCGCCCGACTGCGAACCACGCGAAGGCCGGCCGCCCTACCTCTGGCGGCAGCCTTATGAGCGATGGTGACGGCCAGGTCGGGCGCAAGGCCCTGTCCAAAGAGGACGATGCGAAGCTCATGTTCGGCTCCGTCTTCTCCTTACGGAACATGGTCAAGCAGCTGGGCGGAGAGGACGATACGTGGGTGCTCACGTCCTGGAGCTGCCTCTACTCTTGTCGCTAATGCTCCAGCTTGATCGCAGCTTCCTTTCCTTCCGCACCGCCGAATACAAGCTCCACTACTACGAGACGCCCACCCGCCTGAAGTTCGTCATGCTCACCGACACCAAAACGAACAACCTCCGCATAGTCCTGCATCAAATCTGGGCGAACCTCTACGTCGAGTTCGTGGTGAAGAACCCTCTCGCGCCTGTCGAGCACCCTGGTGGCGTAGGGGTGGCCAACGAGCTGTTCGAAATGGGACTGGATAGCTTCATTGTAAGCTCTGGCGCGTTGGTTTCTACAGAGCACTATCCCTAACCTTCGCCACAGGACAGCGTCTTTCCCGGATGAAGTTTGAGGCTTGCTCGATAGATCCTCCCTAACTACAGTGACTCGATCTGATAGTCACACAATCTCGCCACGTTTCCCAGAGGTGAAGCATTTAAAGCAACCACGACGGTGTCCCAAAAACCGTTGGACTGGGGATGAGCCATTGGGTACGAATAAGTAGACCTATAGCTACCACGCGTCCGTGTGGGGATGGCGGGGGATGCTGGAAAGATTCGTTGTAGAATATTGTCCGTCCGGCGACATTTAGACCTTTAATCAAGCATTGGAACAATTTCTTCACTTTCTACACATGATCTTCTTTTCCTTTCCTTGAGGGGACATATCTTTGTCTCTATTCCTTTCTCATCTTATTATGAGCATCGCACTCGTCCCGAACACCGTAGTATACTACCAATGGCATGACTACTCCGGCCCCTCCCTTCTCCTTTGCGCCAACTTTTCAATAGAACTCCAGCTTCATATAGGCGCACTGTGGCACCCAGCGTGGCTGTTCGTTCGACAAGCAAGCCAACTTTCTCTGTCGCCTAGGTACAGCTGATCTAATCGGCACATCATGATATTATTACGTCTCACGAGCATTTATGAGAACAAAATTTGTGTCGGTCGCGACTTATGTTTCTACGTCTACATATTGCTCGATTGGCTACGTAAAGTGTGTGATCCTTTTACTCTGTTGTTCGTCTGCCAAGGATGTAGCCCATCTCAAGTTAAGGTCGGACCCCTGAGGACTAGTTCACGATCAGCCACTTGCAGAACAAAGAGATAAGCAACGTAAACAGCTGACCATCTGATGCATTCTTATTGGTCGATCACTCTGGAAGTGGATGGGAAGATGGGTCTGTAAGACCACCGGGTCATCCTCCAAGGTGCCCATGGACACCAAGGTGCTCAACCTTGACCATGGCTACTGATGTGGACAGGGTCGGCTATGCCGTGGAGCGCGGCTCGAGGGAAAGAGAAGCAGGTGGCTACCCTCTGCGTCAATTGAAACTATAAAATTCTCTTCAGTCCCTAAGACTACTTCTACTTCTTCTTCCTCTTTCCCTCCCTACTCAACTCGATCCAATTTCCCGCTCATACACCTAACTTACAACAATGGTGGCGACGAGAGCAAAAACAAAGATGGAGAAGAAACTTCTACCAGTCACTGTGCTCTCGGGCTTCCTGGTATGCTAACATGCCCTTCGCCCTCCCCTATCCCCCTCATGAGGTGGAAGACCGAATTGAATATCGACGTCTCGTACAGATATGCTCCAAGATCAAGACTGACAGAAACACAGGGTAGTGGCAAAACAACACTTCTCAAGCATATCCTCCAGTCAAACACACATGGGCTCAAGATTGCCATCATCGTCAATGACATGGCTGAAGTGAACATTGACGGTGCTCACGTTGCTCGCCTCTCGGGAAAGGAAGACAAAGGCAACCTCGTCCAGATGCAGAATGGTACAATCCACTCCTCCCAATCGGCGCTTCAGATCAGGGGCTTGGTCTAGCAAACTGACACGACTGTTTAGGCTGCATCTGCTGCACCCTCCGTGGAGACTTCTTGGTCGAACTGGCCAACATGGCATGGGGCGGTCAGTTCGACTACGTCCTTATCGAGAGCAGCGGCATCAGTGAACCGCAACAGGTTGCCGAAACATTCACAGCCGCACTCAGTGCAGAAATGCTCGACATCCCAGAGGAAATTGAACTTGAAGACAGAGAAGTCATTGAGAAGGTGTACGTCCACGCTTGTCTCCCATCCCCTACGCTACTACTGCGGATCTCGACTGACCAAAGTGTCACAAAACGCACAGTGCCAAAGCCGGTGGGCTCGAAAAGGTCGCCCGCATCGACACGATGGTCACCGTCATAGACGCCTTCCGCTTCTTCGCCGAATTCAACACGGCAGACTTCCTGACGGACCGTTACGCGCGCGACGGCAACGCAGAGCAGGTGCCGGCCGAGGACGAGCGAACCGTGTCGGACCTGATGGCCGACCAGATCGAGTTCGCCAACGTCGTCGTCGTCAACAAGACGGACATGGTGGACCGGGCGACACGCGAGCGCATTCGGGGCTGCGTCAAGGCACTCAATCCGAAGGCGAAGGTCATCGAGACACGGCATGCGCAGGTGGACGCCAAGGAGATTGTCGGCAGCGGCGCGTTCAATCTCGAGGAGGCGCAGATGATGAGTGGCTGGCTGGCCAGTCTGCAGGAGATGTTCGTCATGGATGTCAATGGCAAGAAGAAGATGGCGCCGAAGCCCGAAACACTTGAGTGAGTCTTTCTATGGCCTCTGCATCGCATAAGATACTGACTGGTTGCCTTCTTGCTTCAGATACGGTATCAATAGCTTTGTCTACCGGGCACGTAAGCCCTTCGACCCGATGAAGCTGTACAAGCAGCTCGCTGGCAGATTCGTTCTCATCCAGCCCGATCCGGAAGACGAGGAAGAAGAAGACTCGGATATGGAAGACGTCGTATCTGAGAAGGGCAGCTCCAACGCCGTCGGCACTGACGACGACGAAGCCATGCCTGACGCCCCATCCTCCCGCGAGACACGCCAGCAACATATGATGTCCAAGCGCAAGGATTCCAAAGGCGAAGATCTCGTCGAGCAAGAAGAGGACTATGAGGAAGAAGACCCCTTCTTCAAGTCTTTACCCACCGACCCGGCTACCATTGTTGCCGCTAAGGCCGCCGACCCGATCTGGGCTAAGATGCACCGTTCTAAGGGCTGGCTGTGGTTCGCTACGAGACCCCAACAAGCGGGGTCTTGGAACACTGCGGGTGCGATGCTGCGCGTTGAGTACGAGCAAGACTGGTATTGCGAGCTTCCGGAAGAAGAGTGGGCGCCAGATGAAGAAGTGGCGGCCGCGATTCGGAAGGACTTCGTGGGCGAGTGGGGTGATAGGAGGCAGGAGATCGTGTTCATCGGAGAGAGTCTGGACGAGACGAAGATCACTGCGATATTGGACTCTTGCCTCTTGACCGACAAAGAGTTCAAGAAGTGGGAGAAGCTGATGCGCAGGAAAAATGTGGACTTGGAGAGGAAGGAGGAGAAGCTGAACGAATGGTGGGACGACTCGTACTGGGCAGAATGGACGGTGGGCGGGGAACACGAGCACGATGGGGAAGACGGCCATCACCATCATCACGGTCATAAGCATTAGATGGCTAGGGCTTTAGAATTACTATAAGCAGTTAAAGTTCAAAAAGGAATATCAAGGGAGGATGATAAAAAAGTTATTCGAGGCATCGTCATACGGAAACATAGAGAGCGAATAGAAATCATTGAGGGATTAGGTGATTGATTAGCTACACTATGTCCTACAATTGCCGAGAGCTTACAGCCAGGTTGTCACAGTGGAGTGCATAAGGTTTCGCCTTGCCAGGTCCCACGAAAACCCTTGCAATGTTCACAGGCAGGTAAAGCGGGTATTGAGACACGAGTATGACCGTTGAAGCTCTGCAAATAAATCCTGCAGATGCACACAAATATGGTACAATGTATCTGGTATGACAGGCTTGGAAAGGTCAAAGTCTTGGACGAATCGTTGCGTTGTCATAGAACTGGGCCAATCATGTTATGCCAGCATGGAACATATACGATGCCTAATCCAAAACAACACTAAAGAACCAATCCTGCAGCTAAATGAGCAGCTTGAAGGGACCTACGTACCAAAGAAAATGCGTTCGCCTCTGTACCTTCTTTCTCCTTCGACCAAAAAGGAATTCAAAGCCGCCCCACCGGAAAGCGTTTGAGCCAACACTTACACAGTAGTACAACAAATGGGCCAGACGGTCTGGCGTGACACGATAAAATCGACGATTCCTCATGCCTGAAATAGCATCAGTGGTGCTGGCACTAGTGTCGTCTCCTTGGAGAATACATTCTTGGGTGTCGAGCCCGGAAACACTTCCAGCCAGCTGTCAACGGGGCAGTTGTGCGACCTTTGGCTGAAACACGGCGCTAGAAGGCTGCATATGTTTCCTCCACTTATGTATTCTCTGGTATCGCCGCTCTGGATGTTTGTTATGGTCCACTGACTTGTCACTCTCTAAATATACGGGTCACATTGTCATCCTACGAAATGAGCACGCGCTTCCACATCAAAACACTAGAGCGCGCTCGACCACCGACCAACCAAACCGGCGCTCATTCTCGACCAATCCGGCAAGCCGCGAAGCTCGTTACATAATCCGCTCTTCAACCACCAGTTTCTCCGAGAGGATGCCTGAAGCCGAACTCCCTTCCACACTTTTTCTCGAATGAAATCCCGGTCTCTCGATCCGATCCGACACGGTTAGTAAACGATAGGCTGGCGGCGATGCGTTGTTGGAACTAATAGGGACCGGGGCCGAGAATTCCCCCGTGTTTTATGGTGCCTATGACGTGGTTGGGCTGTCGGGTACGAAAACTTGGTGCAGGTGCGTGTTGAGCGGTCTGCCAGCGAACGTGGCCTACACGCCTCAATTTCTTTTTAGCCTTGGGCCAAGTCAGCTGCAACAACAAATTTTTGAGGCGAGCAGAGCCGCCGTTGGCAGGATGCCTGACATGAGATCGACCGGGATCGCTACACGGGATTATGAACATGTGAAATTTAGTGGAGAACTCCCGGCGAGAACGCAGAGTACGGGGTAGTCATTCCGTCATGATGGCGCGGAACTCTGGCCTTCGCCTTGAAAAGAACGCGCTAAGCGGCGACAAAAAATGCGAGCCGAAGCGGTGAAGGAGGAACAGAGACGCGTAGAAGCATGGCGCGTGAAGCCCAGGAGCCCGCTCCGCACAAACACAGCTGAATCAGAAATACGTGAAGCTAGATGCATATCCCTTTTGTTGTCATTACTCGGAATCGTCTATCCATAGCAGTCATAGTTGCATCCTTCCATACATCATCCCTCCTGCATTCTCTACCTTTACAGCGGGATCGCCCTCGAAGCTCCCAAGAGCTAGCATTCGTCCCAAAGATAATCACTCCTAAGAGCGTCTATATTCCGCCGATGTGTTTGTCACTTCGGAATATGACCAGCCAGCCGAGTTGCAGCTGCTGCAGCTCGGATTTTTCTTTCGCTTCAAACGCGAGAGCCAGTTTACTCGGCCTTGGCCTGGTCGGCGGCAGCGCGGAGGTTGGCAGCGGTGGAGCCGCTCTGCGAGAAGAAGCGCGAGAAAACAGGCTGGATGAAGGAGCGGAAGACCACCTGGGCACCACTGTGTAGATGCATTAGTTCACTGCCTAGTGCCGGGTCCGGGCTAACTCACGAGGTCTGGGGCAGGGCCATCCAGAGGATCAGGACAAACTTGAAGGTGTAGTAGAAGGGGAACCAGTAGACGGCGCTGACCAGGCTCTCAAACACACTGCAATCCTTATCAGCGGGAGCTATGGTGCGATAAGCACGGAAGCGGGCACTTACGTGAAGAAAGCAAAGACAACCCAGTACTGCACGGAAAAGCTGTCAGTAACGATGAAAACGGCGATGGGGAGCTCTGAAAGCGCTTTGTTCGACGTACCGTCAACCACTACAACGACTGTTAGCTATTTTGAAACGTGCGGGGCGGTGTGCGGGCCAAAGCTCGCGCGAGAGCCACGTACCTGAGTGTCATCGACCTTAGTGGCCGAGAAGAGGGCATCCAGCGAGTAGTAGCCGGGCAGAGCGAAACCGACGACGTTCACGAGGAACTCGCCGGCAATGTTGAAGAAGATCAGGAAGAAGTAGACGGCGCCAACGCCGAGGATGGCATAGACCTTGGGCACATTGGTCTGCTTCTCGAGGTTGACGAGGGCCGGGTACTTGGACAGCTGCGCACGCGTGACGGGTCAGCGGTGAGCTCGAGCGCTCAGGTAGTGATGACGGGGCGGTTGGCGTCGAGATTGCGACCGCGAGCGGGACAGGGAAGACCTGGCGGCGACGTACCTCTTTGTCGAGCTGCGAAATCTGGTGCTGAGCCTTCTCCTGGAACGACATTGTGGATAGGGTGGGGGTTGTTGTATGATGAAGTGTGAGATAGTGGGTGCAGATGCGAGGATGCAGATGGAGCTGGAGGATGAGAACAGGTGGACGAGAGCGCGTGAGTTTGGTTTGCGTCGGCGGAATCGAGGGTCCGATGACGACAGGCTTGCCGCCCGCATCATCGTGCGCGCGCCTACCTACGCCCACGCCCACGGCCAGCAGAACCAACACGCTGCAGTCCGCCCGAGCCCAGCGTGTGCCCGCCTACCGTTGTCCTGTCCTGCAGGGCGATCCATCAGCCGGTCTGGGCCGCCGCTGCAGCCGTCCATAACAAGCCGCGCACGTGACGGCGTCTGACTGAGGCAGGCGTGCGGCCGTCGGGCTCTAGCAACGGAAAACGAAGGTTTGTTTATCCTCAGCTGCAGCCACAACATCTCACCTTCTCCGCCCCGGCTCATCGCCAAACCTTCGCCCCTCCCGCTGAAGAACCCCCAGCCCTCGGCGCCCACAGCGACCGCCCGTCCCGCCCCGCTGCGCCCGCCTGCACGCTGCGCCTGCCCGCAACAAGCCGGGTCCAGTTCAGCTGCCCGTTGCCCGGACGCACTGTGGTGCCTTGGGAATCTCCCGCGGCCGGCAAACCCCCGATCGACGCCATTGCAGCGCCCGCTGCTCCTCGAGCGGCCTGGCCTTGATCTGCACGAAGGCCCAGCTATGGTCAGTTCTTCTTACCGCTAGTTTTGTGGATCCGCGGGCCCGAGGCGCTGCTGTAAACAGCCAAGGCAACCCGCACAAACAATCGCTGACCTCCAAGCACCAACGCAGGCCCAATCCCACCCGCAAATGCCCACCATGCCCAACCAGGGCCGGCGCTCGCGCTCCACCACCTCGGCCAGTACTAAAGCAAGTCAACGCCCGCTCAGCCGTGCTTCGACCACCAGCCTGCAGTCCCAAACCACCCAGGATCAGCATAGCAACGACTTCCAGCAGCCGTATCCCCAGCACGCTATTGCCCAGCCTCAGCAACACATGGGGCACCAAGCGCAATCGCATATGCAGTATGCTCCCGTCGACCAGAGCCTGCTGCAGGCCGCCCACTCCCTCGGCCACCAGGACAACATGATGATGCTGCAGTACCAGCAGCATGCCGCGCCGCAGATGATCCCCCAGCATTCCCAGGAAACCTACGCCCACCCGCCGCCGAACCCGTACATGCATCTGCAGCAGCAAGCTTCCGACTATGGCAACAGCAACCCGGCTGCTGCTGCCAGCGGCGCCGAGACCGACGACAAGAAGAAAAAGGGCGCCTCGGCCAGTGCCACCAACGACAAAGAGCTACGGGAGATGCTCACTCGCGCGGACGGCAGGTCGCTGAAGGAGGTGGCAGAAGAGGTGCTCCGCACCGAGCGTACTTCCCGCGCCGAGAAATCAAAACAGTTGTTTGCAATGTTATGGTGAGACGACCATCCTACCGTTACACACGGTATGCTAACAATCTGCAGGCTGAGACAAACATGTAAGCATGCGAAGACGTCAGTACCCAGGAATCGTGTTTATTCGCAATACGCCGACCGCTGTGCAACGGAACGTGTTCAACCGCTCAACCCTGCCTCGTTCGGAAAGCTTGTGAGGGTCATCTTCCCCGGCATTGCTACCAGACGCTTGGGGGTTCGCGGCGAGTCCAAGTACCATTATGTCGACCTGGCTCTTGTGGATGACCCGGTCGACGGCCATGAGGTCGAGCGCGCAGGCAGTGCTCACAGCCAGGACTTTAGCCATACCCGCCAGGGCTCTACGCACCTTTCTATTGATTTCAAGTGAGTGGTCGATCCGTCCCCAACGTAGTGCCAGCTCATACTAACAATCTGCGCAGTAACATGCCAAGGCTACCGGCAGACACTGCCGTCTTCCCAGCTCAAGAGCAACCTACCGAGCCGCAACAGAAGTCCACGGAGACAGGGAGGCCGTCGTTTGGCCGCGCGTTTGCTGAACCTTACGTTCCTGGTTATGGTAGCGCGAGGCAAACGTCATCCACGTACGAGCAGCAACTCAAGTTCCCCCCGCCGGATCAAGAATCTTTCCAAGAGAACGACTCTATTGAGCTCCCTAACATTCACGACTACGTACCGCCTAAAACAGACATTGATGCTGCAAACGCGTTAACAGCTTTGTATCGTACTCATTGCACCTCCCTTGTGGATTGCATTCGCTTCTGCAAGGAGAAGCAATTCTTCCGTTTGTTCACCTCGTTCCACGGCACGCTCACTGTGCCTGTTCAAAAGTTACTGGCGCACCCTTCCATGGCAATCTGGATAAGAGAGTGTGATTGGTTGATGTACCAAAAGATGATCCGTTTTGTCTCGAGGCTTACTTTGCAAGTAACACCGCCCGTCGTTTTGAACTTTCTGAACAACATCTCTCGGGAGTTGCATAAGCACATCAGCAAGACTTTCCAGGGACATCCACTTCACGTTCTTGAGGCAAGGCTAGAGCCGGCGACCCTTTTTGCACAGTTGCTTCACCGTATGCTTCGCGCAAACCAGGCAGCCCACGCTGCTGCCGCTCTGTTGATGATCGACCAAAATCGGAATCAGATGTGGATGGATTGGGTCACCTATGTCAACCCGAAACGAGTCATGGAAAGCGAGTTGCCGAACTGCGGCTACGAGGAGACGTACAAGATCCTCACCCAAGATGTCCGGAGTCTGCTATTGCCTCTTTCGACGCCTGTGTGGTTGGAAAACGGCACGCATTACCAAGAGGCAGCGCTTCAGGCCGCACGGCAGCACGGCGATTCCCCCATCACAAATGAAACGGTTATTGATCGACTGGCCAACTTCCTCTCCAACCTCGGCACCCGCTTCCCTAACGCCGATGCTCGGACACTCCTCCACTGCATTAGTGCCGTGGGTACTGCAGCTTGCCGGGAGATTACGGTGGAGAACGGAGCTAGCTTCTCTCCTTGGTGGATCACCAAAGTGTTTGTTGACGAGCTAAGTCTTTGGCTCGCATCGTTGGGTGGGTTTCTGGCGCATCGGGCGCCTGAGCGCAAGCGCATGTCGTCTCAACTGTCACCGATGGAGGGATCGATGGAAAACAGGGCGGAGAACGGAGGGGCTGTTCGCGGCAATAGTCAGGATGAGAGTCGGTTCAACAGTCTCGCGGCAGACTTTTCGGTGGATACGAGCTTCATGAGCTCGCAGGTCAAGGACGAGTCCGGTAATGACAGTATGTTATAGCCACGCCAGTCCACGGACTAAACTGACAGGGCCCGCCGTAGTGAATGCCCGAAACGCTCAAGAGTCCTTCAACCAAAACAAATTCCAGTCATTCGGCATGGACTTTGAAAACCAAGACCTCGATGACAGCGGCATCGGCATGTCATTGATGGACGACAACATCGGCACGTCGAAAGGCTACATTGGCGCAGACGCGAGCAATAACTTCACTCATGGCGGAATGAACGTCCGTTGAGCGGTGTGCCATCCGTCCCCCGCATCGCGCATGAAGCCAAAAGCCGAGTCACGAGTATACGACTGCCTCCGACTTTACGACTTGCATTGTGGACGGTGCAGGAGTACTCTGTTCATACCTCTAATCTTTGTACATGGGTCCCCGGCGATGGTCGCCGCTGTTAGGGGCTGACGTTTTGATTTCTTCTGCACTGCCTTTTATTTGCTTTCTTGACTTTGGTATTTGGGATTAAGTGATTTTAGTAATTGGTTTTTGCTTTCGGTGGGGAGTCGATATACAGGCCGGTGTTCTACGGAAAGGTGTTTTCGTTTCATCGGGAACAGGCGTGGGCGGCTCTTATGGATAACCCTGGGCACTTTTGGGAAGGACGGATGCGATACCTCTACTGGGTTGGACGTTGGAGTAGTGTTCTGTAGATCCGTTTAGCTTATGCGCAAGGGCTTTTTTGATCATCATAACCGGGCGGTGCAGAGGTGTGGCTGAGTCGTCGGTGAAGGCTGACGGTGCAACTTCTGACTGCAACTTTTGACTGTGCGTCTTCGGTGACGCCGCTTGGTAATAGCGGCGACAGGGTACCAACGAAGCCCGTATAATCAATAAATAGCGACCTGCGCCCTCCTGGCTGAAAGTTCAGCTCCAAGTACCTTTTTCTCTTTCCAATCTTCTCCCACCTGGCAAATGGCTGAAGTGCCAGAAATGACGCAAGCGATCGACGTGCGCGCGCCGAAAGCCGACACCGACGCGCCGCAACACCAAAAAGTTCCCGGCACCGAAAACACGACAGAAGCCGAAGCGCAAACGCAACAGGACCTGCCCTCCACCACCATAACACCCGAAGCCAGCCCACAACCGACACGCCAACGGACACCAGCGCAGCGGAAACGCGATCGCAAGAAGGGCGTCAATCGCCGCAACAACAAAAACCTACTCCCTCCGGCCGCCGAAGACGACGACGACGCATCGTCCTCGATCACCGAAGAGGGCTCCTCCTGCTCCTCCTCCACCCGCTCCTCCACACCCGTACCCGAGACCACTACTAGCATAACAACAACAACAACACAAATCCCCCCCTCAATGCCGCCACCAAAGGTCTCGGCGGCGGCGGCGAAGCGTGCGGCGGCAGCGGCGGCGGCAAAGGGCAAGATCGTGCCGCTCTTCATCGCGTCCATCGGCAACCCGGCGCCGACGTACGCGCACACGCTGCACTCGGCGGGCCACACGCTGCTGGACGCGGTGCGCGACGTGCGCCACTTCCCGGCGTGGCAGAAGGACCGCTTCTACGGCAACGGCCTGGTCAGCCGCCAGGCCGAGGCGGGCGTGAACGCGAACTTTTCGTGGTTGCCCGGAATCATCGGTGGCGGTGCGAAGAAGGGTGGTGGTGGTGGGGTGGGGGAAGAAGGGGAGGAGGCGTGGACCCTGTGGCAGAGCCCGAGCTTGATGAATGTGAGCGGCAAGGCGCTGGGGCAGGCGTGGGGCAGGTGGAAGAAGGAGAATAAGGATGGGGAGTTGGTCGTCGTGCATGATGAGCTGGAAAAGCCGTTGGGGAAGGTCGTGGTGAGGAAGGGTGGCAGCGCGAGGGGGCATAATGGGCTGAAGAGCATTGCGGCGCAGCTTCCGAATATGCCGTATGTGAGGATTGGTGTGGGCATCGGTCGCCCTGAGAGCAGGGAGCCGGATGTCGTGGCGAAGTATGTCTTGAGGAAAATGACGCCGCATGAGAGGTCACAGGTGGAGGGGTGTGCGGATGAGGTGATTAGGAAGTTGTGGGATGTGCAGGAGGGAAAGGTATGAAGAGCAGGGTTGGAAAAGAAGTAATGTCCTTCAGAGAGCGATTCCCAGGCTAGAGCTTGAGTACCGAATTGCGCGATACCCCTACTACACTTCTATTGAGCCTCTACACAAAGACGACGATCCTACATACCGAGATTTCCTGGCTGCCAATCGCAGCATGTCGTGGTGGGAAGAGCGCGATGCAATCACGATCCAGTCAGCTTCACCATTAGCCAAACGCTTCCGAAACGGATCGCGTATACGTTATGGTTGGCATTGAGTCCTTACAGAACTTAATGGGTTGACTTCAAAAAACACACTATAGGACTCCAGGCACACGTCTTAGCATCAACGGGTGTTTTAGTAGACTTGTAAAAATAGTAGACATGTAGAGAATAGAATCTACAACGTAATTAGATCTGAAAAGAGAATTGCATATCCTTGAGCACGTCCGACTTTTATCCCTACGTGTATGAGCGTCAGGTGTGAGAAGGAGAGTGGATCACAGCCGATACCGCCCGCCTCATCGCTCAGGTATTAAAGGAAAGATACCATTGATAAATGGAATTGCCCTGGCGCACTTGATATGGAGAGGGTGTTGAGAAATGAATAACTTCTAGAGCTCCTACACAGTCCTTACATTATTATTGCGCATCCGCAGGCCTTCCGCTTTCATCGCCAATGCCATTTCCACTGCCACCCGTTCTCCTGACTTCCCATGCCCCGTGAAGAAATTGCCGGCCTCATCACTATCACCTTCTTCGCACACGTGTCTCGTTCTACTTCCATAAAAACGCTTTTCTCACCGGCCTCACCCACCCTTCCCTCCATTTGCGGTCCACAAGCGCGCCCGCTAGCTCCTTGTATCCCACCGCGTCGTTTCCGTTCAACTCCTTCATTTTTGTCTTGTCCTCCGCTATGTCCGTCAGTTAGTTGAGGAGTTCCTGCTGTCGCTGCCGCCTAGGGCTCTGTTTACGGGACTTCACTGCGTGAAGAAAAGACGCTCCAGGCACTGCCATGTCTTCTTCATCGAGGAGAGGATGTTCAGGGGGCGGGCGTGTCGGGACAGTAATGCTGTCGAGTCAGGTGCCGCCGGGAAGGTGTTCTGATTGACGCTTCTGCTCTTTTCCAGCATCCACACGAATATACCAATTCACGATCGGCTAAGGGGGGCATGGGATTGGTAATGGCAGGGCTAGAGAGAATGGTATCACCGGCCTGTGGAAAGCTGGTTCAAATCGCTCCGGGCTGGCGAGTGACGCGCTCGGCAGCAGTACGGCGGGTAGGAGCATTCGATGGCTCAGGATGGACAGGATTGTATCGGTGCGCTTATTCTGCGCCTGAATGATCGTTGGGCTGCGTCGGTCGGCATGAATCCCTTGCGCGTCTTTTCTCCCCTCGATGCTGGAGCACTTCCTGGAATTTCCGTTCCTCGTTGGCAACCTGTATCTCCCAGTCCTTGAGATTGCCGCGCTCAGTGGCCTCCATCCGTCCTTTGCCCTTCATTGTCAGTCAATACAGTGTGATCTCCGTGGTGAAAGGAGGAAGAGACTGGTGCAACAGTGGCCAATGGGCATGGACATACTACTCGGTAGTCATGCTCCTTGCGCGAAGTTCCAAATTTTGTGCGATACACTCTGTGCGGGTCGCACGACACGGCGTCTATGGGTGGATATTGCCCCACGGATCCTTTGCGTGCTTTCTTCCGGGGAAAAAACCAAAAGAGTTCCTCGCAGAAAACCCGAAAACGGGACCGAGTTGTCGGAGCATACGGATCATGCGAACGGCTCTCGGATGGCGTGATAGAAGGGGCCGTTGTGGGCCCACTAGGCGCTCCGTTGGATTTGCTTTTGCGACGAAAAGAGAGACGTGAAGACCAACTCTTCTGAGATGCATACGAGGGCGGCGGTGCTGAGATGGCAATTGAGGGAGTCTGCGACATGGCTGATTTGCAGGAAAGAGCCGTAGTAGTCGCTCGACCCGTCTTCTTATTCGATAGCGATGAGGCTGGAACTTGTGGCTGCTCCGTATGCAACTGTCGTGGTGGCGGAAGAGACTTGGCTGGCGTTGCGGTCTTGGTACTTCGTCCCAGAGAGAGGGCGGAGCAGGAAATCTTTTGGTCGACGATTAGCTTGTAAAGGAAAATGCACATACAAGTGGTAGGTGTAATTAGTTAGGTGAGAATGATGCTCAAGCGGGTTGCCGGCCAGTGTATGGCGCGGCGATAGGTATCGATGGAATGGCTGCGCTTGTAAGGATGAGTCGCAGAGGGATCAACAAGACGGATGGAAATCACCACATGCCCAGTCGGAGGAGGGAAAGCGCGGTAGAGACCCAATGATTTTTGACCAGAACGCCAAGTCCCGGGTATCCAAGAAATTGCCTTTTTCGGTAAAGTGCACTTTCCTCCCGGATGATGCTCGCCCCTCTCGGAGGAAGCCTACTCACTCTTTACAAACGCCGTAACCTCCCAATTCGCTCACAGCTATGAATTTCAATCGCATACAGACAAATAAAATACGAATTACCTCCTGCGTGAGGGGAGGGCCCTCTGCTTGGGGAAGTCCAGAGGAATCTTCAGCTTGGCCGTCTTGTGGTTGACAGCCTCGGCCTTGGTGTACTTCCCTGCCTCGCGTTCCTTCTCCGTGGGATTTGTTACCTTGCAGCCCAGTTCGTGGTAGTACTGACCGACCCTAAAGAAATGGTGAGTGGAGCGCGCGCATGGTTTTAAAGTTTCGGTCTTACTGTTTGTTGTCAAGCCTGAGGTCTTCACGCAGGTCAAACGTATCGACGACAAAATCATCGATGTAAAGAGATAGAGCCGCGATGTGCGTAATCAGGTAGTCAACGTGCCACTTCGTCATTTCGCTGTAACTCGTGTTAGTATCCTGGATTTCATAACGGCCAATGGTGGAACCACGTACTTTCCGTCAGCAAACTTTCTCCTGACTCCATCCAGAAGTGCGCCGCTTGTTCCCGTCTTCTTCTCCAGATCGGCTCTCTGGGGGAGTTTCTTGGCGCCATTCCGTGCGGGCTTCAAGGCGGCCAGGAAGTCGATCAGAAGCAGCATGTATTTCAACACCTTAAGTTTCTTGGTGTTCTTTGACGACAAAGTTTTCTGCAGTCTCTTGGCAACGAACAAGCTCGGGGTCCTTATATCCTCATTCTTCTCAGCGGTTTCGAGCCAGCTCTTGACTTCGATCAGGCGCATGCTATCCCCACCAATGAGGACTTCGGGCGGATAGACTTCGGCGGGGGTTGCGGCCTCCAGGTTGGCCTTCGGTCGAGGCTTGTTCTCGTCAACAGCCTGCTGCAAGGCTTCGCGGCTGGGGGCGTCGGCCGTAGCCTCGGTCACGGACTCCAGGACGGCCTTGGCGACAGCATCGGTAATGTTGCCCTCGGCAGCACCAGCTGTTGGGTTGATGGCGTTCTCGGTGATGGAAGACAGAGCCTTCTTGGCCTTCTTGGTACCGAATTCCTTGCCCAATTGCTGGCGAAGAGCGAAATTGGTCTGGCGCTCCCGGTTGGCAGCGGCTTCCCTTTGAACGCGCATTTCCTCGGCCTCGCTCCTCAGAGTGCTCCGCAGCACCAGCTTCTGGGCCTCCATAATCTGAAGCGCACCGGTCTCGGGATCGTAGATGCCGACATAATCCTTGAGCAGACAGTCGGCAGTGCCATCCTCCTCCTGACGCGCGGTGAAGTCGAGCTTGGGGTGGTCGGAAGATTGCAGGAGGAGCTCGTAGCGGCGCTTCTCAATGTCCTTCTTGTATGGTTTGAGGGTGAGCTCAGAGGGGAAAGATAGACCGGGAGTGGCAGCTGTGGTGGCGTCAGCTCGGCGGAGGGGTGAGAGCAGATCGAAGAGGCATACCAACGACGGGGCCGAGCTGGTAGTTGTCGTCGAGGACGGAGAGCTTCACGGGGCGCGTGGGCTGGTCAATCTGGACCTTCTTGCTGGGGCGGTCGTTCTTGTCGGCATTGCGCTTGCGCTTCTTCTCGCTGAGGTCGGGCATGGCGGCGGGCGGGCGTGGTTGGCGGTGGTGTTGGTCGCAGGCGGTAACTTTTTTTTGGCCGGCGCCGCTGGGCACTTTTTGGCGCCAAGAGCGGCAGTGCACGGCCACAGCGCCTCACCGCCCGGGCGGTGGTGATTTCCATTCGACGCGCGATTCGCACCGTCGAGTGACGCAACGCGTGCGCTATTCGCATTGGCGTGCAACTACAGATCTTGTTTGGCTGCACCTGGTCACTTGCCACACAGCCCACGCAATCCATGTTAGTTGCTGGGCTGGTTCCCGGATATCAATCCGCGTCGCTCCTTCCTCCTTCTGCTTCCGTCACTAACCCATCCTTCGTCTTCCCTTTGTCTGCTCATCCCCTGCCTCTCCCTTGCCCGGACTACATCCTGCGAGCAAGATGGCCGCGATTTTAACCACCATCCAAAACCTCGCCGGCGCTGTGCAGGGAAAGGCCCAGAATGTCCTCGATGGCGTCTTTCCGCCCGAGAAGCGAGCAGAGCTCTTCGCTAAGCTGCAGGCATTTGCCGTCAATAATCCCAAACTCTCTGTATGTCTTGTCGCTTTAAGCATTTTCAAACGCGGTGCTGATAACTTCGCCCAAAGGCATTCCTCCTCACGAATTTCGCCCTGACCGGCCTGCCGCTCATTATGTTCGCCGTTTTTACTCTTACCGTTTTCGTCTTCTCCCTGGTCGCCGCCCTACTTGTCGCCCTCCTCGTTGCCCTTCTCTTCACTGCGTTCATGGTCGGTGTCGCCCTCTTGGTTATGTTGCCTACCATTTTCCTCACCACCATGGGTGCTTCCTTCCTGTTCTTGTGGGGTCTCGGCGGCTACTACATCATGAAGTGGTTCAACGAGGGAGGAGATTCGCCTGCTCCAAAGGGTGCTGCTATCGGCGATAAGCTGAACAGCCTGACTGGCGGCAGGCTTGACTTCTTGATGAACGATGCCCGGAGCCAGGCATACAAGAACGAAGCCAACAAAAAGGATGACGACGGCGAAAAGAACGCCAACGGCTCACCCAAGGAAAAGCGCCAGCCCAGGAAAATCAATCAAGCCGCCGACGTCGGAAACGCGAAGGACCAAGTCGAGAAGACTGCCAACACCGATGGCGTCAAGAAGAGAGTCGGAAACACTACCGGCACAGCTACCAACGCTCCTGGCACTGCCACTGGTGCTGCTGGAGCTGCCAATGGTGCCGTTGGAGGTGCTACTGGTCTGACTTGACACGGTGGTGGTTGTCCCTGATGTTTGAAATTGTCAAAATGTCTCAATTCTGTTGTAATATTTACTACATTTTCATTCTTCAGCGAGATTGCATTGGTGGTTGCGTTGGGGAGTCGGGATTTGAGAAGGTTAAGATCGTGCGAGACGGCTGGACTGAAATTCACGCATGCCATTAGCGTTCCCTAGATTCTCGGATATGTTTTTTTAAGCTGCAATATGCGCAGCAGTTTATAATTAGAAAGGTATCCCCCCAAACTCCATGTGGCATTGTTCCTCGCGTGATCGCCATTGGCCCCATATGCTTATGTTTAGAACAAGCAAGACAAACCATGAAAGGAAATGGGATGATAGCAAGTTAGACTGCCCTGTGAGAGGACTTTCTAGTTGCTCTGCACTCCCCGACCTCGCCGGTCCTCGAAAGTGTGTCTAAGCCGGCGACTGACCTTTGCAATGCTCTGCACTCTCCGCTTTCACATGTCGTCCAGCTGCTGGTAGCCATAACCCGTGCTTTATTTTGGCATAACCCCGGCAGCACTGGCTTGGCGAGCCTCCGGTCTTCTCTTTGCTTCCACCATCACTTCAACCATTTCGTCGACATCAGTCCACTTCACAAAATTTGCGCGTGCGAGACCGACGCTGCGAGTGCGACCGATGTCGCAAAGCACGATGGCCGCACCCGCTCGGGACAAGACGCTGGCCGAATCGATTTTCGACATGGATCGAATCGCCGACGAAACTCTGCGAGAGTTGTTTTCCTGGGACGCGGTCAAAATTCTCAACTTCAAAGAACACCTTCTGAGCAGATATCAGTCAGCCGCTTGGCTATTCAATAATGGCACCGCAAACTTCAAGAACAATGTCAATAGAGCGACTCTACGAGAGATAGGATCACAAGTGATGGAAAGCTGGGCGGAGGACTTTGGCAACGACCATGGCCTGACGGAGGACCAGCTGCGCTATATCATCGAGCAGGTTTTGCGCGAGAAAAAGAATCACTACGAAACTTCGAAGCGAGACCTCGCGAAGCAGACTGCAAAGAAGAGAACCGCAGATAACAGCATTCCGGTCCCTACATACCCAATTAAAAGGGTACGGACAAGCGAATCCGAGGAACAGCAACCTCAACCTAAAAGTACTAGACAAGACGCGGTTGAGGCTGCTGTGCTTACCGAAGCCACCAGCAGCGCGACCGGAATGATCAAGCTCAGCCCAGACTCCATCAACACTATTGTTAGTAGCTTAACGGATGCCTCGACTAAACTTACCGACAATGCCGCCATTGACGCAATCACTGCACGCATTACCCAGGCCATGAACGATTTGATTCGCGGCGCAGTCAAAACGCATCTGAAAGACACCATTGACGACCACCTGGACGAGCATCATCCGGTTTTCCAACGATTGATCGAGTTCATGGAGAATGACATGACGAATACCATGGAGACTTCCGCGAAGAGCGCCATGAATAATTCTATGGAGAAGGTCATGAAAAAGTCCATGAAGAAGGTCATGAAGAAGTCCATAGAGAAGGTCATGAAGAAGTCCATGGAGAAGGTTATGAAGAAGTCTATGGAGAAGGCCATAGAGAAGGCCATGAAGACGGCTATGGAGAAGACTATGGAAAAGACTGTGGAAAAGGCCATAAAGAAGGCTATGAAGTAGCCTTTTCGCGCAACAGAATTCCCGTTGTGTTGCATTTCACTGGAAGCTAAACCTCCATCCGGAATTCCCGCCGACCAATCCTTGCTCAACGCACTTACTTCGCTACGCAAAGACAAGTGCAAGTCGTCTGATGGCATTGAAGAAGTTAGCTTCGACGTGCTTCATGAGCGTGTACAGAACTCTTTCCCGAATGTTTTCAACAACCCGGTCTTAATTTATGAAGATCCTCTCGTCACCATCGAGGACGACGAGGGCTTCAATATGGGCATCACTTTGTTGTGGGGATACGTCTTAGCTCTAAGCATTCAAGAAGGGGAATGACGGTCCACTGAGCGTGCTTTACTGGCGGTGGTTAGACGGTGCCAAATTGACGCCTAAAACACAGTTGAATGTGAAGCTTAGGAAAGCTTTGAGCGAAGCCCATTGTGGAGCGCGGTGTGGGCCGGGAGCACAATTTAATGCAAAGACAGATTCTAGGAGTAGCAAGAACTGATTGCAAAACCTCAATTCTTCATCATGAATACGTCTTTTCTTTTTCAAGAACAGCTCAGCGCGCAACTCAGCACGCAAGTCAGAGAATTCTTGCTCCTGCTCGAGTACTTCCATATGACCCAAGTTCCCAAGGCTATAGGCGCCTTCTCAAGACTACTTTTGCCTCCACTGATAATACCATAACGATTGTGGGTCAGAATGTGGCTCAAAGCCCATCAGAAAACAAGAAACTAACACTCGTAGTAGTAACGAGGAATCTTGGAACGATTGATCTTCATCTGGAGCTCGGGGTCGCCGAGAGGCGATATCCATTTCCTATCACCTGTGCCCGGCAAAACATGAAGAAACTTCGTGAGGTATTGCGGGTCGTACTGGCTGAGCTAAGTCGTAACTCCCTCATCCGTTTACTCAAGTCTATCAGACCGTTAGCTCGCGCGCTTGAGAAGGACAAACTCATGTCTGTTTCTTACTGCTGATCTGGCGAGTTTTCACCTGGCGGGCCTTCATTATCGTCATCGGGAGTCGCAATAACCTCTGGCTGGCTGGACGCGTCGTTTACTCCGGGGCCGGACACGCCGCTTGGTGCGGAGGGGGGCACGCCGTCGAATTGGTAGGTGAACGCCTCGTTGAATATGGAGGAGAGCGCTTCGTCGAACGCGTTATTGGACGCGTCGTTCAATTTGGAGGACGCGCCGTCGAAGTCAAAGAAATCCGCGCCGTCGAAGTCGGAGGGGTCCGCGCTGTTGTTGGAGTCGGAGGGGTTCGCGCTGTTGTTGGAGTCGGAGGGGGACTCGCCGTTGTTGGAGTCGAAGGGGGACTCGCCGTTGTCGAAGTCGGAGGGGGGCACGCCGTTGAAGTCGGAGGGGGGCTCCCCGTTATTAAAGTCCGAGGGGGGCTCCCCGTTGTTAAAGTCCGAGGGGGGATTACCTTTCGGTGTGGAGGGGGACTCCCCGTTGTCGAAGTTGGAGGGGGGCACGCCGTTGAAGTCGGAAGGGGGCTCCCCGTTATTGAAGTCCGAGGGGGGATTGCCTTTCGGTGTGGAGGGGGACTCCCCGTTGTTAAAGTCGGAGGGGGACTCGCCATTATTGAAGTCCGAGGGGGGATTGCCCTTCGGTGTGGAGGAAGACTCGGTGTTGAAGTCGGTGGGGGGCGCGCCGTTTGGTGTAGAGGAGGACTCGGTGTTGGAGTCGGAGGGGGACTCGGTGTCGAAGTCGGAGGGGGACTCCCCGTTGTTGAAGTCGGAGGGTGTCTCCCCGTAGTCGGAGGGGGTCTTCCCGTTATTAAAGTCAGAGGGGGTCTCCCCGTTGTTGAAGTCGGAGGGGGCCTCGTCGTAGTTGAAGTCGGAGGGGGACTCATCGTTGAAGTCGGAGGGTGACTCGCCGTTGAAGTCGGAGGGGGACGAGCGATCTAAGTTGTTGGTAGAAAGACCATGTATATTGCTGAAGTTTATGGCTGCGATGAACTCTATTCGCCGGACTTCGTCGGCAAGGGCAGTGCAGACCTGGTTCCAGAGCTGCTCCGAATTTTTGACGTCATCGAGCCGCTTTTGCCTGTTGTTGTAAACCTGAAGTTCAAGTTGTTCGCCGGGGAACCGGGCCATGCCAGATGGGCGACGCAATTGCTCGCTGATGGCGGCTAAAAGCTCGTCGTAGTTAAGGTGTTGGATCGGAAACCAAGATGTGTCGTTGCGGTCTTCAGGGCGAGGGCGACGGACATTTCGGGCGAGTATATCAAACGTCTGCTCTGTCTGGGCGACATGGATGCGAAAAACGAGGCTAACTACGTTGGTTAAGGGTTCATAGACGGACATAGTGAATGATGGGATGTGATAGTTTCGAGCAAGACTGAATATAAAGTGACGTGGTGAGATTTTATGGTAGCGTGTCGTGGTGGAGTGTAGTAGAAAGGTAGTAGAAGAGACAGGCAGCTAAGAAATATCTGGGATTGTCATTCTGAACTGTGAAGGAAGGTGCCTACAACTCTGACTTCCCCTACCCAAATCCTGACCTCCCCTCCACCCTACCGAAATTTTGAACCCTCCCTGGAAATATCGACTTTGATTCGTCCCTGTTTCTACTGAATGACAGGGCTGTTAGAGCTGCTAATGGTTGTCCCACAATACTGGTGGTTGTCTGCGTTACTGGTAGTTGGCCGCATCGCTGGCGGTTGCCCGTGGTTGCATGGTTGAAAGGAAAGCGCAACGAAGAGATCTCGATCATGTGCGGCCCACCGTTTGGACTGACATACACCGGCAGAAGTGCTTGTTATTCTCAGTCGTTGGTACATCTGCAGGAACAAGTAGTAATCATAGTACTATTAAACGCAAGCGTCTTATGTACAAGCCCTATCCAACTTAATCATTACGTACCAAGGTATATTCAATGAAACGATACGGGTATTTCGGTCAGGCAGTCTGCGAATCAACCTTCTCCAGTTGCGGGGCCATCTCTACGAGGATCTTCACATTCTTCTCCTTCTCGTGAATGAGCGGCATGAAGCCCTTCTCGATGAGTTCTTCGAGTTGAATGCGTCCTGTTATCATGCGCTGAGGCTTCAAGTGGCCTGTGCATAGTACATTAGTCTCGGTAGATACGAAAGGAAGATAATTCTCACCGTTCGCCAGGTTCTCAATGACAGCTTCGAAGTCTTTCCGCTGGTATCCGAGCACAGATGTGTAGGTCGCTTCCTTGAAGGTGAGCATGTTGGGCTGGAATGGAACCTCCTTCTCCCATATGGCAACATTCACAACCTTCCCGCGAGATTTGACGGCCAAGCAGGCGGTATTGAGGCTGATTCAAGTCAGTCTTTTGGGAGTACGAGAGGAGCAAAATGCCAAACTTACCTTGCAGGCACGCCGGCGCAGTCAAAGACTACATCGGGACCATCACCGCCGCTCAGCTGCCTACTCACGGCCACCAAGTCATACGTCTTCGGATCCAAAACGTGATGGGCGCCAAACTCCCTGGCAAACTTCTGCCTCTGGGCGGCAACCTCGCTCATGATGATCTTCTTCACGTTCTTCGCGGCCAAGCACTGCACCACTGCCAGTCCGATGGGGCCGCCACCGAGCACCAGCACAGCGCTATCTTCAGTCAAGGACCCATTCGCAGCCTCGGTGGCGTGCCAGGCGACGCTCAGCGGCTCGACGAGGGCGCCGATGTCGAGCGGGACGTTGTCGGGCAGGGGCAGGACGGCGCGGGCAGGCACGACGACGGCGTCACTGAGCCCGCCGCCGCCGCCCGACAGGCCGATGAAGCCGCCGTTGTGGCAGGCGTTCTCAGCACCGTTGCGGCAGGCGCCGCAGGCCTCGCAGTAGACGGTCGGCTGGATGGCGACCTTCTGGCCCACGCGGAACTGGCCCTGCGGCACCTGGTCGCCGATCTCGCGGATCACGCCCGAGAACTCGTGGCCGAAGGTGATGGGGATGGTGTCGTGCGTCACCGGGTGCGGTTCGGTGGGGGCAAAGGTTGGCCCGCCGAGATATTCGTGCAGGTCGGTGCCGCAGATGCCGACGTAGGCGGGTGTGATCTGGGGTCGTTAGTGGGAAAAGAGTGCGGAGAAAAAGTGTGGAGAGCAGCTGGGATACACACTTTGATTTGGTGAGGGCCGGTGGGGGCCTCAGGGATCTGCTCGATCCTGATATCCTCCTTGCCGTAGTATCTCGCAGCGCGCATCATGTTGGAATCAATGGCACTCTTCAATAGTGTGGGGAATCTCGAAGGTCGACGAGGGGATTTTATTTGAGTAAAAGGATACTGCGCCGCACAGCTCACGAGACGCTCAGGAGAGGTGCGGAGAAGGAAGGATCTGGAACTGCAGCACGCCGACGGAGAACATGATACTTGTAGCTGAGGAGAGGGCGGATGCCAGTGCCGATCATTGACAGCTCGAGCGCCCAAAGGGTTGACATTCTCCGGTCGTGCGGCGACCTAGAGTGAAGATGGCGGGGTTAGATGCTCTGGGGAAGTTGCGGGGCACAACGCTATGACGGCATTCTCCCTGCCCTCACAGTATAACGGCTTTCGCCTCACGCACCGGCCAATCCACTCTCGGCGGGATGCCAATGTGGGTCCAACAAGCCTCTTGGTGCGGCGTCGTGGCTTGGGAGAAGGCCTGTTGGGAGCGCAAAGTTCCGCCTTATTCCACACGGCTGCCTGGAAGATGGAAATTTGAAAGTCGATCGCAGTTCGCCCATTCGATGGACATAGATCTCGGCGATTGAGATTTCCGGGTTGGAGAAGCCGAGCTGGCGGAGGTGGAGAGGAAGAATCGTAAGAGCGGAGGCGGCTGCCTTCCCATTGCGGCAAGCCGACGGCTAGTGCCTCTTCTGACAACGCCGACGCTTCCTCATCGCAACATCACTCCATCGCCTCATGCTGTCGGATTCCGGCACCACTCCACTCCCGTATGACCTTGCTTGGCGCACCACTTGTCTGCACTCTTCCTCCACTTCGCCACTATCCGACTCTTGTGCTACCGTTTGTCGACTTTGAGTTTGCTCAAGCTGTGTAATGCGCGGGACCTACCGAGCGTGTCACACCCCCAAACGCTGACGCCTGCCAGCTGCCTCCAGCCCCGCATGTGCTCGGGAAGCTGCAGTCTTGTTCCGAGCACCCACACTGAGAAGGACTGGCCACCTCCTCTACCCGGGCCGATTAGCGCTATGGAAGTCTTGATATAACGTATGAAAACCCCTCCCTGAATCGCCATTCCGAGGGCCACTTGGCGCAGCAGCTTCCCCGCCAATTCTAGAGGCTCAAAGGCTGAACATGGTTCCTGGTTGCCGGGATGCTCTTGTTCCCGGGTACGGCCCTCTTACAGAGCAGCCACAGCTCGAACTGTCGCCAGCTGCATCCATCTGAAACATTCTGCTCATGCTGCTGTACCACGCTCCTAAGGAACACTGCGCCTGGAAATGTTCGGAAGAACCTCATCCATCGAAACCCGGTACGTGGCGTCGTAGCGCTGCCGCCATTGGAAATGTCTCAAACAGTGTGGCAGACTTGGCAGCCACTTCCACTGTCCGCTTGCGTCGCCCCTCTTGCGGTGAGCCGTGTCGACTAGGAATAGTCATGTTTATGGCTTGGTGTCGAACCGAGTGATCCTGAACCGAGGCTTCATCAGCTGTCTGCAATCTAGAGTGCTATTGACTCAAAATATTGGGCGCAACACGCTGAGACAGCGCACAGGCCATAATTCAGCTGCGGCCACATACCATGACTGGCGCGAAGAATAGCAACGTCCTGGAGCGTAGCGTAAGTATGCCTCAGTTCTTTGTTTCTTCAATAAAAAAAACATGTGTGGGTAGTTGAAGCTATCATCTGGAGGTAAATGTGGAATTAATAATTATACATTCACGTCCGGACGATAGCTTCAACTACCCACACATGTTCTTCTTTTCTACTTGAGGATGACGAGAACGACCCGGACTTCATTGGACCTCCCGGCGTTGAAACCAAATTACGAATGCTCCCCGGTTTCCGTCCCAGAAATTTCCCAGGATACTACGTCATCTTCGACGTGAACTCGACCCTGAATTTCGGAGACCATATTGCGGCATACTCCGAGGCCAATTGTCCCGCAACAATTCTTTCTTCAGAAATTGAATGGGCACAGTTTGGTATCATGAACCATGCTATCTGAACTGCTCTTATTGAGCAGATCGAGACCTTCAAGTCCAAAGGCCGGGTTGGTTGCTGGAAGAGAAGCAAGACGGCTGCACGAACGAAGGCTCTTCCACCTCTACGGCATGGTGTCGATCGCCACACGCATCAATCTCATGTTTACGATCTTACCCGGATCGCGCACGGCTTTTCCGCGTACCAGCATTATGACAAAGCGCGTGTTGATCTGATCTTTATGATCGTCAACGGTGAGTTCTTCTACGAGAAGTCTCACCTGTGTGGGGTCAAAACCTGTGAGAACTGGTACCATGTTGTATTTGAGTCAGCCTACCTCAACTCGCAGCGCAAGTATTGCCATTCAGGAGTAAAGCTCTGCAGATGTTACCCGCGCTGTTTGACCAATCCGGGCTTTGTTTCTGTGCCCTTGATTCCAGGAGGCAACCCGGCCGATCCTTACGTTCCTGGTTACTGGACCGATCCTGCAAGCGTGGACTTCAATCTCCTATTCGACATCTACGAGACGGCAAACCAGAGTACCCTCAGCCCGCCTTCGCTCTCAGGCATCGACCCGAAGAATAAAGCCCGCCATGCTTTTCTCAAGGGCTATATCGACTTTCCCGTTATTCAGGAGCCTTCCCCGCCACGTGGACCGCCTACCCCTTGGCCTCATCGAGCAATCTCCTGCGTCCTTGACGCCATTGCGACATGGCATAGTCACCATCGATATCGTGACTTGCGCTCTCGGGTACCACCACTCCGTGAGATTGAGGAGGCGTTGAAGGATGGTGCCGCCTGGTCCAATGTACTGCTCTATTTGACTCTTCGAGATACCGCTCTGCATCCGGCAGAGCTTTCCCGTGCTGTCCGCCAAGCTGTGCGAGATAGAGCAACACTTAGAATAACGACATATGTGGGTAGGTGAAGCTATCATCCGGACGTGTAGGTAGAATTTTTAATTCCACATTTCCGTCCGGAAGATAGCTTCACCTACCCATGACATGACCAGAAAAAAATCACGCTAACCTTCGGCTGCCATACCCTGTAATACCCCTCTGTACTCCGCCCCCGGCATTGGGAGTTTGGCACATGAAAGAGAGAAAATGTCCAACCGGCCACGCATGGCCAACGGCCGCTGATTCGAGTCTTCCGGCATACTCCTACCGGGTAAAACGTGCAGCAGAGGAGGCGGTGGATCGACGCGCCACGACCACTTTGGTTGGTTTCATGCGACGTATCCCAAAAAGGCTACTCGAGTGGACGACTCTCCCACGCGCCGACCATCATACTGGGAGAAAGAATTGCAAAACAAACCACAGACCATTTGACAGAATTTTCTCTTACTGCCTCGGAGATTACATACACGCGTGCGCTACGCTTGTTCGCGTTCTCCCGTAAAGCCATGATCCCGGCTGGTGTTTGCCGACATGTCACAACATCCGATGCAAGGCAGGCTGCCAGCGACCAGGGTCATGGGCATTCGCAGCGTTAGCGCCAACGGTTATGGATCCGCAGGCTCTGGTTTTTCCTTCCCTTCCGCTGCATGCTCATGTACCCGTCTGCGCAGCCAATCACATTCACAACCGTCTCTTGTCACAAAGCTGGTCCATTGATCTCGCAGAGCCGCCCTGTTGTCCCGCCTCGTCCACGTCAAGAGCCTGCATTTACGTGCATTTCAGCCTTACATGCGCCCGACTCAATGTCGCATTCTTTGCTGGCCAAGGCTAGACAGGGAGTTGTATCAGCGAATGTACGGGGCAACTTTCTGGTTCCTGCCCGCATCCGCGTCCATTGCAGATGAACTAGACTTCCAATTGCTTGCCCGGAAACGGAGCCAGTCATTTCATGGCCATTGTCGCCTGAATCCTGCTCCTCCGCGCTTCACTGCAGCAGCGATGAGCCGACATGCACCAGAAATGGCTTTCACTGCGGAAAAAAGCATAGATACTCCGGGTGGACCGTGGGTTCGCCTCATTCCAAGCAACCACCCGTAACCACACTCTCAGACCAATTGGACAGGTCTGTATGTCCGTGCCGAGGTCGTGATAGCGTCGCAAAAGCAGTGTACTCGTGGTGGTAGCACACGTTCGCAATCCCACCATCCCTTTGATACCGCGTAGACGGTCTCTGTTGTCCACGCCCTGCCTAGCCCGACACATGCAGCCCGCATTCTACAGTCCTACGTCCGCGCTTTCTCGTGAGACGGAAGCCAGCAGTGAGTCATGTTTGTACCTGGCTCCTCTTATGCATGTTTATCTTGTTTGTACCCGCGTATTGGCCTGGTGCGTTGATTTGAGGAAGAGATCGGTCTTGACCACTCGTGTCATTACATTCCTGGATGAGGGCATGGTTCAGATAGTATTTTGAACTCTCTGTTTTTCTTTTCTCTCCCATATTTTCCTTGTACGAATGATGGGCGGATATGAATTCGCTACTGGCTCGCTGAGTACTGGTGGGTGCGCAGCGTGTACGACTCCAGGGCAAGCCAAGCGAAGCAAAAAGCCAGCCCTTCCGTCCCGGGTACCAGGTACATGCGATGTGCTGGGTCCGTGCCTCGTTTTTCCACCGCTGCTGCACGCATGATGTGTGGGGCGTGCATTCGTAGTGACTGGGAGCCTCGTTTTTTGCTTTCCCTCGTGTAGGTGGAGTAAGGAGAGAGGATGGTGGCCACGAAAGTGGCGCACCTATATATTTCAACCATCCGCCCCACGACCTGCTTTGAAGGCACCATCTCTTCATATCTTTGTTCAGCAAATCGAGAGTTTTCGCCGGGCCGTTGGTCTCGAATCTGAGTCTTTCACTCTCTCATATTTGAACCCCTCCAATCACTTCTATCCTCAAAAGACCTTTCGCCTCTCACACCTCCACCATTCGGCCAGTGAACTCACCGCAGTCACTACCACAATGGCCATATCCACCATTCCCCTCCCCCTCTCCATCCGACCCTCAACCAGCTCCTCCACCAGCAGCTCCTCTTCGCTCCTACCACCCACCCCGACAACACCAAACAGACACCACCACCACCACCAGCCCACCTACATCCGCTCCGGCATCGGCGGCGCCGGGAACTGGCACAAAGCCTCATCCATCCCGCCCCCGCCCCCACCTCACCAATCACCAGTAGCCGCCCACCATCATGACGGAGGCTTCGATAACAACTTCCCCACCACCTCATCCCCCCTCCTCACAACAACAGCAGCATCCCCGTACCCTCCATTGAACCACATCCCCCTCCGCACAACCTCCTCGACGCACTTCAAATCCGGCATCGGCGGCGCGGGCAACACGCACCCGCTGACGGCGCGCTCCGTGCTCGGCTTCGACGAGGAGCTGGCGCGCTGCCGGGCCGTCGAGCGGCGCCTGCCCGCCGCGTACCCCGTCGGCATCGGCGGTGCGGGCAACTTTCGTTGCAGGGACGCGGGTTATGGCGGAATGAAGAAGAGGCTGAGGCCGCAGAGGAGCGCGGGGGCTTTGGGGGGAGGAGGGGGGATGATGATGAGTATGAAGAGAAGTGAGGGGGATTTGAGGGTCGAGGCGGCCGAGGCCGGGAGGGAGGCAGTGCCGAGGGCGATGGTGGAGGTGGTGGTGGGGAGTGGTGGAGAGGGGGGTGTGGTTAAGAGGGTGAGTTGGGGAGACGACAGTGTGGAGGAGTTTGAGGCGGATGGGTATGAGGGGGATAACGAGGCGGAGAGGGAGAGGGAGTGTGTGTATTACAGCAACGAGCCGTTGCCGTACGGGGCGTTGGATGTTCTACGGAGAAGGTTGGAGAGGGCTTTTGCGAGCCGCCGCGGTGGTGCGAGGGAAGTATTGGCGAGCCCGAAGGACAAGGGGATCGGGGCGGTGTTGGTGGGCAGTGAAGGCGAGAGGAGGGGACTGAGGAGCCATCGGAGTATGTGGCGCTTCTGAGAGCGGTGCAAGGCTTTCGCCGTGGTTGGAAAGAAAAGAGCATGGATCGTGGCGGCAGGGGTGTTGGAAAAAAGCTCAGCCTGCATGAAGGCGGCGGCAGGACCGTTTGCCGTGCAGCTAAGGTGGTTTCAGAGGCACTGACTACAAAGGCCCTTCGCTACTGGTCCACGGAACCGTGGCGTCATTGCTGGGGTCTGGTGGCGGTCAGCGGGTAGCTGGGAGTGGTGAGAAGGAGTAATTTTTGGTCAAGGGCGACATTGCAGTGGAGCAGGGATGGTGAGGTTGCACAAATCTCTTCTCGTCTTTCTGTGCAACCGTCTCGTTTGAGGTTGAGAGCGAGGCGTGGCGTTCTCTTTGTTTTTTCCACTAGATTGCACCAAGCGGCGACGCTTAGTTTTTCTTAGGCGTTTTTTTTTGTTTTACTCGGGCTCAACGGTTCTTTTAATTTCTTTTGAAGTTTGTTCTCATCCATTAGGCGTTATGGCAATTCGAGCACTCCATGAATCATATCCCTGATAGTACAAGGTATCCGATAGCGCAGTGCAGCTGCATAATATTCACAAGCAATGAGGCTGAGTCGCTACGTCTTCGCTCTTCGTCTTCACCGGTTTTTCTTCCTCGAGACCGCACGGCCGGTTGATTGCAGTTTGCAAGTCTTCGTTGCATAATAGCTGTATTTCTGTTCGACTTGAGAAGCCGAGTGCTCGGCCACAGCGTGGATCCAGGCCGGTTCGCCGCTAGAGGAACCCGCCTTCTTGGCCGGAATCTTGCATGTCGACAATCATCCGTCGGTGCAGGTTGGCAGCATGCGGCTGAGTGGAAGGGTATCTTGAGAGCAAATGCACCGTGTGGTGCAATTCCAGGACGGGCCCGCGCTCCGGCTGAGTTCGAGTTAAGGGGCTTGTGCAGTTTCCCCGACTCAGTCCCAATCATCATCGTCGTATTCCTCTTCCTCCTTCTTGGCTCGCCTTAGCGTAGCAGTCTGTCCCTCGGTCATCTTCTCGCGCACCAGCACGCCGCACTTCAGCAGGCGCCTTTCCAGGTCGCTGGTGGTGAATTTGTCCGTGCCATATCCAAGACCCTCAAAGCCTACAATGCGGTCGACACCCTGACCATCGACGAAGGCAATGACGCAGGGCAGAACCTGGACCTTCAGCTTGGTTACGAGGAAAGGAGCGTTGTCTACGTTGATGCGCAGGAAGCGGGTGTCGAAGTGCTTGGGAGCCAGCGTCTGAGGGGTGCAATGTTAGCTCAAGCTCATCTCTGGCGTGTAGCAAGCTGGTGTACCTCGAGGTGGTTGTCCATGATGCGGCAGCGGTTGAAGTCGGCATGGAAGAAGTGCACGACGCACAGCTTGGTGGAGGTGGTGATGTCCATCAGGGCCTTCTCCTCCTTGATCTCCTGGTAGGTGCCATGCTCCGAGTTGCGCATCTGCTTGGCGCGGGTGAACTCTTGGTGGAGTTGCTGCAGGCGCTGCTCGCGGAAGGCGTCGAGGGCATCGTCGTCCTCGAGCTCGGCGATCAGGGCATCCTCGTCGTCGGAATCATGGGGCTTGTCGACAATGGCAGCGACCTTGGCGTCGATGTTGGACATTTTGCTGGGGCGGGGTGTTCACGACATGGTTTGGGAGACGCGTTCGGCGTTCTCCTGTCAATCGCGGGCGCTAGTGGCCGCCACGCCAATGCGGCCGCTCCTCAACGCGTCCCCCCAGCGCAGCGCAGCTGGACACGGAGATTTATGCGAGATGGGGTTGCACTTCGTGACGGCGGCTCGCAAGAGGATCGTGGGGGCCGCGCGGCACCAGGGCTGGTGCGTTCTACGAGGGCAACCGCGGGTGTGATTGTAGTAAGCCTGCGCCACATTAAGTTTGTGCAGTCTACGTAGCCCGTTCGTGAATTTAACACCCTCACTCACGCCGCAGAGAGTGTTTGCTATCTCTCACGCGCCGTCTGGCCTGTCGCGCATCCGTTCTTTTGCGCACGCTCCCTTCGCGATCCTGCGCCGGCGGAATCTCAGGACTCCAACCCCTTACAGCCTCTTCCGCCCGCACCGACCCCAGTCCGCCGCGATCTCCCTCTAGCCCCGAGCGCCTTCTATGGCCGACGAGAAGAAACGCGCCCTCAACCTCGACCTCGACCACGACTCTCCCAAACCCGTCTGCTCCCCACCGCCCACCATGTCGTCCTCCGGCCTCTCCGGCAACCCCATATTGCCCGTGTTGGCCTACTGCGGTAGCTCCATTTTGATGACCGTTACGAACAAATATGTCTTGTCAGGCACCGGCTTCAACCTCAACTTTTTCCTGCTCTGCGTCCAGGTGCGTGCCATGCGCCCTCCCCCAGGCCATTGCTGACTCCCGCCCAGTCGCTCGTGTGCATTTTCGCCATCCAGACGCTCAAGACCACCAAGGTCATCTCCTACCGCGACTTTAAGACCGAAGAAGCCAAGAAATGTACGCTGCGCCCAACACGACGCCAATGCCAGCTGCTAACCCTGCCCAGGGCTTCCTATCACTATCCTCCTCATCGGAATGATCTACACGAGCACCAAGGCCCTGAAGTTCCTCTCCATCCCCGTCTACACCATCTTCAAGAACTTGACAATCATCCTGATCGCATACGGCGAGGTGCTGTGGTTTGGCGGCTCCGTCACCCCCATGGCCCTGGTGTCCTTCGGCCTCATGGTCCTGAGCTCCGTCGTCGCCGCCTGGGCCGATATCCAGCACGCGCTGGCCAACTACGGCGGCGGTGAAAGCTCCGAGGCTTCGGACAAGATCTCCACCTTGAACGCTGGCTATATGTGGATGCTCTTGAACTGCTTCTGCAGCGCGACCTACGTCCTGGGCATGCGCAAGCGCATCAAGCTTACCAACTTCAAGGACTTCGACAGTAAGTTCGCCCCCCGAGCTAGTCGCGCAACCGTGCTAACGTGCGTGCAGCCATGTTCTACAACAACCTGCTCTCCATCCCCATTCTCCTCGTCGCCTCGCTCTTCGTCGAGGACTGGTCCTCCGCCAACCTGGAGAGGAACTTCCCCACCGAGTTCCGCACCTCCATCATCCTCTCCATGATCTTCTCCGGCCTTTCGACCATCTTCATCTCGTACACCTCGGCCTGGTGCGTTCGTGTCACCTCTTCCACCACTTACTCCATGGTCGGCGCCCTCAACAAGCTCCCCATCGCCATCAGCGGTCTGGTCTTCTTCGACGCCCCCGTCACCTTCGGATCCGTCAGCGCCATCATGATCGGTTTCGTCAGTGGCATTGTCTACGCCGTCGCCAAGGTCAGGCAAAACGCGAGCAAGAGCGAAGCCCTGCCAACCCAGAACATTCCCATGAGCGCCAGCAGCCAGAGCATGAAGGATGGTCTGAAGGCGTAGACGGGCCCTTCCGCAGCTACGCCGCCTTTTCCCTTCGAATGAGCCAAATGGGACACGAGCCACGTCAATTCCATTTTCTTCTCAACGGCTCCTCAGCTTCAAGTTCAGGTAGACCGCGCGGTGCTCTTGGCTTCAAAGTCATTGTTATTACCTATTTTGGAATCCCTTTGAGTAACTCAAGCCTGCGGTGTCCAAAATTATTATTCAGTACCTTCAATTGAGTTATGCATGATGTACAAGCCTTTGGCGCGATAGAATTATGATAGTCTGGCATGGGTCTAATTTGGTGTCTTATGTGGAATTTCTTTTCCCTTGTTGGTTGATGTCAAGGTTGTCTGCAGCAGAACATCGAGATACCTCACAGTCGCAGTGGAATTGGTCCGAATACGGTCCATTTCCGACCGAGAAGACCCTTTGAACGCTAGTTATGCTGTTTTCCCGTTCAAGTATCAATGTCACAGTTTATAAACTCCATTGCTTTGTCTCAATATGCTTTTGTTCATAGAACCACAGTCTCTAGACCAGGAGGTGTGTGCCTTCCATTTACGGTAAGCTTCGGGCTAGTCGTTAGCGGTTCAAACGGCTTGATCCTTCTGAGGATCTCGCATGGGGCGGTGAGCTGCTTCTCTGTCGCGTGCTCACGAGAGAGCGCACGTACCTTGACTAGAATGTCTCGAAGGATGATTCACATGTGCCCGAGGTTGATTGACAAGTCAGCACAAAGTCTTTCATTTCGAGCCACCCTCCGCCCTGTCTTTCCACCCCATGGACAGTGAGAATTTGACAGTAGAAGAGAAGACTCTCTACCACTCAGCAATCTGCTTGGTTAAAAAAGTCCTTTACTGTTCTGGAGTGCGTTGGAGAAGGCTACTATTACTGACCAATTACCACCACCACCACTATCATCACCACCACCACCACATCCATCATCACCACCACCGCCACAACTTCCCCACTCCGAAATTCCCACCCCACCCACCTCTTCCTCCTTCGCTATCACTACCGCCACCGCCTCGCTGTTCCTCTTGACCTCCTTCTGTCACGCGCAACGGTACTGGACACTTTCTGCCCACTCTCCAGTACAGGCAGTAGGACTTTTGACGACCAAAAAGAAAAAAAACTCACAAGAGTATCTTCATGAACCTGCTTCTACCAGGGCATCTAATCTCACTTACATCTGTTGTCGAATCCTAGATTTGGACACATTTGGACAGTTTCAAAGCAGACAGACACGTCCAGAAATCTGCTTGAGCTCCTCACGCATGAAACGATATTCGAAAACACATCTTCATCAGAAAATTTGCTTTGACTGCTCAGCTTTGAGCACGAGTTTGCGTTTAGCTACATGCTCGGCACATAGCCATGCTTTCTCTCCTCCCCCATCATGAAAATACGACTTCTATGTACAAAATTGCCAATATCTACCTGTCGCCAGTGACCTTCTCGAGCGCCTGAATTATCTGCCATACCCTCCTCCATCTAGAGCCGTTTGCCGCCAAGTCTTAGTCTCGCGACGCAAGATGATAAACCAGAGCCATATGAGCTCATGACCCAATCCGGCAACGCCATCGCTAAAACCAAATACCATCTTGCCCGCATGATCCATAACTCCACGAAGCTCAAAAAAGCCATATCTTCCCGTCCTCTAGTCTTGCCGAGGTATTCACCCCCATCACTCCCTTTCCCTTCAAACCTCACTCAAACCAGCACGACCACGACGAATAGCAATCTCAGTCTTCACCAACTTCAGCGTATCATCCGGAACCTCCTTCCCGTCCGCCACAAAGTCTTGCTTGTTCCATTCCCTCCGTCCAACCCACTTCTCGCCCCAACTCTCCGTCGGGGACAGCACCTCCTCCCTACCTGTCCCGCTCAACAGTATGCGGTCCCTCTCCTGCTCGCTCCTGATTCTCTCCTGCCTGAGCACGATCTTCTCCTCGTCACTGCTGATGACGTCGTGCATGGTCGTCACCTTGCGCGGGGCGAAGGCGGTTCTGCTCTCGCGCAGCTCAGCCTGGTGCAGCAGCTCGTCCCTGCGCCGCATCTTAGCCGCAAAGAGTGCTGGATCGGCGACGTCGCGGTCAGTGGGTAGCACGACGACGGCCGTGTCGAGCAGGGCGGCTTCTGCGTACGTCTTGATCTGCGGCCGGATCATTTCCTTCTCGGCTAGCGTGGCGCGGCGCTGCACGATGCAGCAGTCGGCCTCGCCGGCGCGGATGCAGCGGAGGCAGGCCGGGAAGCGGGGGTTGGCGGCAAGCGGGCGCGGTGCTGCGGTGGGTTTGACCATGTCGTTGTTGCCGTTGAGCAGCAGCGGTCCGAGATGTGCGTTGGCCGGCGAGGTGAGGGTCAGTGGACATGGGAGATTTTTGTGTCTGCATTGGAGGCAGGGTTCGATAGGAAAAGGCTGGTTGGACCATGCCAGGGAGTGGAGTTCAGAGAGTGTATGCGGGGACTTGTAAGGGCCGAAGGTGGTGAGCACGTCTGGGTCCAAGGGAGGCGGCTTCAAGAACGAAGCCGGTGATATACTGATGTACGAGGGGGTGTAGGTGTTACGCGTCGGAAGCAGTGACCCGAGCGTGGTAGAGTTCAGGTGAAAATTGCTGTCCGGCGATCCACGACGGATTCCAGGCCTGATTGATGGAGACGAAGCGGCGCTGCTGGAAGCGCTTGTGCTTGGAGAAGAGTAGTCTAGTGACTGGGTTGGGCTCTTCGACGCGAACTTGACTGATGGCGTTGAGACGATCTGGAGGGTACTGAAGGAGCACTTTCGACCGCTGGATTGACGACTGTCCGGGTTGAACGCTGAGCACTGAGTGACAGGCGAAGTCGCTACGCTACTCGGGCCTGTCGAGGCCAGCGAGGGACCACTGCTAGTTGAGACCGGCGAGGTGTTGACGGTTGTAGCTGATCCACTTGGCGATGCGAACTGCTGCTTCCGAGTGGGCGAGTCGGTGCGAGGCGGCGTTGTGGGCGGCATTGAAAGAGAGTAAGGTTTTTGCTTTGCTACGTCGGCTGGTTGTTGCTCTGCGTGCTTCTCAAGGTCGCTTTGAAGAGCCATGCTTGCGTCTTTGATAGCATAGCTGGATCCGGAGCGTCGGTGGTCTTGGCTATTGTTTGGCTCGACAACAAAGAAAGGGCTCATTGTGTAGAGGCGAGTAAGACTGAACTGTTTCGTGTTTGAGTCGTTTGAAAGAAAGATCTGAAGGCAAAGGCTGCCTGAAGAGAGCGAGAAGAGGCGTGAGCAGCACGGGCAGCACGTGGATGGCCAGCACACCGTGGCGCGTGATGTGTGCTTGGGGTCATTTTCAGCGAACGTGTGAGTTCTCAAGGCACGGGCAAAAGTCGCAGGCGGTTCTCCGGGAAGTCGCAGGCTGCAAGTTAGGGGTTGGCGGGGCGGTCCGTGGGGCGTGGGGAACCATGGTGGAAGGCGCGGGGAGTGTGCGTGGAAGGTGAGGGCGACAGCGCTACGGCTCAACGAAGGTGAAAGGACAATGACGTTAGCGCACACCGCCACCCCTGTCGACTGCGCGCTTTTCGGCCTTTTCGCTGCTAATTATTACTGTTGAAGTGCTGCTCGCTAATGACGTATTACAGGTTCCACGCGCTCGTACTGATACTTACAACGGGTATCTTGACTGCAGGCGAAAGCTCTAAAGCACAAACCCACCCACCCCCACGCAACTCCATTTCCTGAGCGCCTTGCTGTCTTCCAGTTCAACGCACCACCAGAGCACGTCCTTCGCCTTTTGGATCTGCCCGCCCTCCTCGTACGCTCTTGCCAGGGCGAACCACGCCTCGGAATAGTCCCATCCCGTCCCGAGCTTGGTTAGCGACGACAACAAGCTGTATGCCCGGTCTCTTGCTGCAAGTCGGTTGAGCTCTTCAGGGTGCGGTGCAATGCTCTTCACACCCTTGGCGCTGGGGCCTTCTCTCTCCGATGCACGTTGCGCCGACTCGGGCGGGATGACTTTGCTGTAAATGTCAAGCAAGATATTTGACAGGCCCACCACAGCTGCCGGGTGATCAGGGTTGTGTGAAAGACCCTTCTCAAAGTGTCCCAGAGCCTCATGCGGCTCCGCTTCGGCCGCTGCAATCTCGCCGCGCTGGTGCTTGTTAGTCAACCACAGTTGCTCAATTTGTCATTGGACACTTACAGCAGCCCAGATGTCTGCCCACAGCTCTTCGATGCTCTTCCCGCCACCCCATCCTCTTTCAAAAAATGCCTTGGCGCTCGATTGCTCTTGCGCCATTTCCGACTCGAGGTTGTCGGCAAGCTTGAATGCTTCGTCAACCGCACCCTTTGCGTCTTCAAACAGCGCAGCGCGCGCGTAGAGCCCGGCAATGAAGAGCCACACGTCGATCAGAAGCGATGTCGTGTGTCTCCGCTCCTGCAGCACTGGCAAGCGCGGCTCCATTGCTGCGAAGCTAGCCTGGGGGGGTGGAGCGGGCAGGCGAGTGTCTTGTTGCGGCGGTTGGTCGGCGTGGCCTGGCGGAGGCGGCTGCTTGCTGGGCGACATGTTGTGTTGGACTGGTCGAAGGGGCTGCTCTGCGCCAGAGCTCGACGGTGCGCTTCCTCGACGCGACGTTCCATTCGCGATGCCGTCCGACTTCTCTGAGTCCTTGCCGGCCGAGTCTGGCGATTTGACGTTGCTCGCACTTCTCTTTCGCAGCTTAATGCTTCCGGTGCTAGACTTTTCGTGATGCTTGTGATGGAATAAGCCATGGTGATGATGACTGTTGGGTTTGCCAGATTCATCCGTTACCTGAATTGTAGGTGCGCCTTCAGTGGCGTTCGTAGACGGCCGAGATGAAGTGCTTCTTCGCCCGGCAGGAGCTGCTTCTTGAGTGATGGTGTTCTTCCTGAGCGTCTTGGTCTTGCCGAAGAAACTTGCGCGATTGCCTGGAGTGTTTTGCACCGAGATGTCTACGGCTTCAGGCTGCTGGATAGCACCGGTCGGGTCTCCATAAAGCCTTTTGTAGAGGCCCAAGAGTTCCATACTAGCGTCAACTGCAGCTGTTGTCCCTTCAACGACTTCGAGCAGCATCAATTGCGTCACCTTCACTTGAAGGATGCTCTCTTTCTCAAACGACTCCATGCGATCAACAAGACCCCTGCTCGTACTGCGCCGTGACTTCTCGAGATCGGCAGAGCTCTCGTTCAGATGTTCGCTGCGGAAGGCCTCACCTTGGTTGCCGAAGAGGACAGTTGGATCGTCGAACTGATCGAAGGCGGCGTCGCATGTTTTCGCGGCCATGTTGAAGTCTGACTTTGCGGTGAGGAGTAGTGCTAGTAAGTGCCAGAGAGGGATCAGTTTCCGCTCATGGACGTAGTTGACGTCTTCATCGGCATCGCTGGCAACACCGTCGGCTGACCTCAAGCCATCACCGCGGGAGTTAGAAGAAAGAGCACGCTTGACGACCTTGATTGCTCCGTTGATGTCCCGCATCTCAGCAAGGAGCAATCCCAGCGCGTACAACGTCTCGAGGTTAGTCGTTTCTTGATACTCCGGATGCAATGCCTTCCGGAACGCCTGAACGGCTTGCGCCTGGAGAGTTGACCTTGCAGTTGCTTCGTAGGTGAGTCTTGCCCAGTGGGCACGACTGATACCTACCGCACGGTATGCGACTGCCAGCACACGAGGAGACAGAAGGCTCTCGGTCGATCTCTTCCCATGCGGGCCCTCGGAAGTGGCAGTCCCCGGCCTCGACGCTGGCGTCTGTTGCTTCAACCACTTCTCGATTTGCTCACCGACTTCCTTGGCCTTTTCGGCGTGTCTTCTCGTGCCGAAACGGCAGAGGATTCTCACCGCCTCAGCCGCGGTGCGCAAGACGGTATTATCGTCGTCCAAACCAGGGTCTTCTTCTCCACTTTTTTCTGCACGATCCTTACCCCTGCTGACGATCTCCACGTAGGAGTCAAAGGCCTTGAAAGCAAGATCAAATTCTGCTAGAGAGGCGTGAACAATGAAAAGATGCCGCAGTATGCGTGTTGAATGGTATGACTTCGTTGCAGCCCGGTAGAGGATCTGGGAAGAACCGTTAGTTTTCGCACAATCGAGTATCATGACTTCACATACATCAAGGACACCCTTGCCAACAGCAGCTTTGCCTCCTTCTCCGAGCTCTTCGTCCGTCCAAGCAGGTCCGCACATGATTCGCCAGTTGCTCATGACAGACTCGGCCCAATTGTCGACTTCTTCGTTCGATTCACTCGCCTTCGGGAACCGTATTTCTTTCAGTAGCAATGACTCGTACATCGTCTCGGCGAGCTTCAGTTCAGCACGCTGCTGTAATCTTGCTGACAGGTACTGTTCTTCGGAAGCATGCTCTGCAGCATCGCCAAGTAGCGCATGGTCGGGGTCGGACGAGCCACTGTATAGGAGGCCCCGGCGAAGGACGATTGAGAGAGTATCGTAATATGCCTTCCAAACAGCACGTCTCATGTCCGGCGGGTCGGTCAGGGGGTCGCCAGAAAACTGTGCCTTCCCATTCTCCATCAAGCGATCCCATAGCCGGAAAGCGTGCAGAGAAGCGCTGAGATCCTCGGGTCGATCGCTAGGCGTACTGACATCCAAAAGTATGCATAAACGGGCAAGGAGAGCCTCGGACCAAGTCTTGAACTGTAGGGAAGCAGTGCTCAGAATATCGGAGCCCACGAAATGCAGGACGGATTCATAGGTCTTGCGAGCCTCATCGATCTCGCCCTTTTTCTCCTGGACAGACCCTGTAGCATGTAAGATGTAGTGCGCAGCAATCCCTGAGAAGTGTGAACATACCCTTCAGGTAAGCAGCCTTGACAATGCAGACCTGAGTCCAGCCGGTGAAGGACTCATCCCCATGGCGCAAATTGTCGATGGTCTCGGGGACATTGCTTGGTAGGGTGGCCAGGCTCTCATTGGGCTGATCCAAGACCCAATGTATCCAAGCCAAACACGTCTCAGCAGCGAAAACGTCCTGCTTATGGGTGCCCTCCCCGTCCTTTGCAGCAGCCAACGAGTCGATAAGAGAGGAAAGATCAGGCGGCGGGGTGGTGGGCGTGGGCGGAGCAGACTCGGAGCGTTGTCGTCTGATGTGTGCGGCTACTTGGGCCTCGGCGCGGGCGGTCGTGTATATGCCTTGGTGGGGCAGGTCAGCAAGGGAGCTGACATGTAAAGGGAGGACATACAGGTGCGGTGTGAGGCATGCTTCTCGATCTTGCGCGCGAGCTCTGGCAGAACATCCCAGCGGCCATTGCAGCGGGCCTCGTCTAGTTGGCCTATGTAGTTGAGGGCCTTCGCGTTTTCCTACGCATGAAGCTGTATCAGCATGAGGGGAAGTCTGAGCTCGACGACCGGGGTGACGTCGTGGACAGGGTTCGTATGCAACGGCGGACAGCACGTACAGCGGGGGGCATTTTTGCAGTTGAAGCCCTGGCCTGGGGTAGAGAGGAGGTCAGTATGCCAACACCACGGATTTGGATAGGAGAGAAAGGCGTACAAGCAGGAGCGCGTCTGGGAGAGCGGACAGGTCGCTGGAGCAGCTCTCCGACACGCGGCAAGGAGCACCCGCGACCCCGGTAGTCAAGGGTCCGTGCGCGAATTTATTTTCCAGCGGCCATCATCACAATTCTCCGTCCTCCGCTCTCCGCCGCAGACCAGAGCAACTTGCAAAAATGGCCCCCAGCCAGGACGTGTACGCGGCCAATACCCTCAAGGCCGTCACCTACCGCCTCTCATCCGTCCCGGCCAAGCAGCTCCCGGCACTCATCCCCCATGTCACGGCGACACTCCCGGCCTGCAAGCCCGTGCTCTCAGCTCCGCAGAATGCCTCTGGGAAGGATGCCTCTGAGACCGCCGTGCTCGTCCACAAATTCAGGACCCAGATTTCCACTCTCCTCCAGGACCGCTCGGCCGAAGGGAGGTGGTCCGCCGTGATTCTTGCAAAGTCGGCCATCGAGCTCGGCGGCTGGGAGATGCTGCAGAAGTGCGGCCCGTGGGTCAGAGGCCTCCTGGGCATCTTGACCAAGCCCGACCCGCCCACCACCAAAGTCCTGGTCATCATTACTCTGACCCGCATCTTCATGCTGACGCGTGATTACCAAACCCTCGTGAGGGAGATTACTACGCCCTCCCTGACCCCGTTCATCACTTCTTGCATGAACATTCTCTCCCGAGCTAGGAGTGCGGATCAAGCCACCCCACAGCTGGTTGAGACCATTCTTGAAAGCTTTGCCCATCTGCTACCTCGCCACCCTACTACTTTCCGTCCCCACCTGGGCAAGATCAACCAATATCTTTCCACTGTGGTTGCTCAGTCCTCAACCGATGAGCATGCCTACCTTAGCGCTGATGGCCTAGCGGCGGCAAGGAACCTGTACGCACAGCTTCCGAATTGCGCGGCAAAGAGCGGATCAAAGGAAGAGTGGGAGAAGACACTCCAAAACGTCATCGTCGCCACTCATCAGGCTGCGGACAAGGTCTTCCGTGCCGTTATCGAAGATTGGGAGTCAGTTGCAGGTATCCAGCCTCCAAGTACCACAAATCGCACACTCGAGCAGGTTGTTCAGCAATCGGAGCCCGACCAGTGTGGTTTCCCTGCTTGGATTGGCATCTATGCCGGCGGTTCGCGTCTGATTGGCTTGCTCGAGCTTCTGGCTAAGCTGACCGCTTCCTCTACTTCTCCGTCCGGCCCCGTCAGTTTTCGCATCGCGCATGTCATGGATCTGCTTACGCGCGTATTATCCATCACTGCTCCGGCAGGCCAGAAAAGGAAAAATCAGGAACGCGGAATCACGTTCAATGACCAAATTGGAAAGGAGGAGCGTAATGACCTCTTTACGGTGCTTCCACACATTCACGTAGCCGCTCTTGGTCTGTTTGAAGTCATCGTGGATCGTTTTGGTAGCGTCGTTTCTTCTGTCATGGAGTTTTTCCTCGAACGCCTGGCATTCGTCTTCCAAGAGGAAAGATCACTTGCGAACGTTCGCACCGCCTCTTATTCCGTACTCTCCAAGTCCCTTCCCATAATCGGCTCGACGCTTGCCGCCCCGCAAGTAAAGAGCCTCAACAGCATCATGCACGCATGCTGCGAGGATCTCCTCCCACGGGACAACGACGCAGCAGCAGCCCCGAAGACCGGCTCAGCGACTGCCGCCAACGGCACCAAGAACCAATCACAGACCTCAATGAATGCCGACAGCTTTTTGAACAATTTAAAAAACAAAGCGTCGCAAACAGTCATCCCAGATAGTCTGCACGACAGCGCCTACGCGCTCCTGCCGCTCCTCCTGACCCACGTCTCGGCGCACGCCATGGACAACTCTGTGCGGGCACGGATCGACAGCACCGCAGTCCTCATCCAGCACGAAGAGGCTCTCCTTGCCAGCGTCCTCAGCCTCGACCCCAGGGGCAACCCGAGCCTCCTGCCGCTATTGGCACGACTGCATCCGCAGTCGCCCGCCGTCGAGGCTCTGCTCCGGCCACGTGTGCCAGCCATCAGGGCCAACGCCAGTGGCAGCCTCAACGTCACCAACGAAGAGGAAGACGAGGATGAAGAAGAGGAAGAGGAGGATGAAGCCGTGAAAAGTGCCCCCGAGGAGCCGGCAGCGGCGTCCATTCCGGCCGACGAAATGCAGCTCGACTCTGAGCTGAACGCGGCCGTATCAGAGCAGCCAGAGCCCGTCACCGTACGGACTAAACAAGCAGAGGGGGATGAAGCACGCAACGCTGAACCAGAAATCACCCCCGAGGAACCCCAGTCCGCCAGTAAGAGACCCAGCACTGAAACAGAGGCACAACCTCGTTCACCGAAGCGTGCCCGTGTTGAGAGCCCGCCGAGAGACGTGCCGCAACAGGGACAGCAGGAACCGCCTGCATCGACGCTACCGGCCGCGGTGCCTGTTGAGACAGGGTATGGCGAAGACGAGGATGACGACGGTGATGTGGAAGTGCCGACGCTGGTCATGGGAGATGACGAGGACGAAGAGGAGAGTGGTGACGATGAATGATATCAGTGAGTAGATGAAGCAGGCATCATCGGATCATAGATAAGATTTAAAGAATGAAAAGCCTCGACCACCTACGCAAGTAGGTGCAGTATCTCTTATGGGGGGTACTTGTTAAGAATAAAAGCTTTCGTAACCCACCGTCATGACCGTACTTTTCGTTCCAGTATTCATGATTCGGACTCGTCTATAACCAAAGCAGCCCTCGCAGAACCGCGAGGCAAATACCTGCGCGCCGTGTAACTCCCTTGACTTTCTTTTTCTTCCAATGTCCTTGAGCTCCAGGAAAGAAAAAACTCCATCATAAATGCCCGAGCATCCTACGCCCATGTGTAATGCACGCAAAAGCAGCTCATTCCTTTTTCAGTTCGGGTCCCCAAAAGTCGTCCGACTGCTTCTGGCTGTTCTCCCGTTCCAGCTTCCTCCTCTTCGCGAGATTTTCCGCCACCTGGCCCTCGGAGGCACCGCCCCGCTTCTGCGCCGCATGCAGGCCGATCAAGTCAGCCTTCTCGGGGTCGCTGCACAAGTCACGCTTGCGGGCGATGCGCTTGCACTCCTCGTCGAGCTCGGAGCCCTCGAGCACCTTGCGCTGCGCCTCGAGCAGCTGCGCGCACGCCCTGATAGTCGCGACGAGCTTGTTCCGCACTTCCCACGCGGCGGCCTGCTTCTCGTCCTGGGCGGCAGCGGCGGCGCTGGGGAACTTGGTGTCGACGTAGAATAGCGTCAGCGGCTCGTCGGCGAGCAGCATGGCGGCCAGCCAGACCTGGGCGGGCGTGTAGAAGAAGTAGGCGTCCGAGATGGGTGCTACGCTCTTGAGCGTCGTGCGTGCTACGTTGTAGGCGTTGCCGATGCGGTTCACCATGGCCCGCTCGTCGCTGGCGGTCGTAGACGGCACGCCGTCGGCCCGCTCAGGGAGCCTCAGCATCTCGGCCTGCGCAGCTTGAGGCGTCCTGCCGGAGCCAGGCAGCATGGCGGCCTCCCCCTTGGCCAAGGCTATCAGCTCCATGTTCCCACCGTTCAGACCCCGGTACGGATGCCTTATGTCGAATGTGAAGCGGAGAGCCTGGGCGACAAGGTACTCGGGGGCAAGGATGTCTTCGGCGGTCATCCGGGCGCCAAGTAGCGGGGCGAGTTCACCGGCGGGGGTCCAGTGGATTTCGGTCTTGGTGGCGAGGAAGAGGCATGTGGGCATGATCTTCTTGGGGTCGTAGACCATGATGGAGTTGAACAGATAGAAACGCTTCACATACTGGACTGCGGTGGCCTTGGCGGGTCAGCAGCGGTATCAGTTCTGGACGGGCACGGCTTACGATGACGTTTGTGGGGAAGTTGAACTTGGTGTTCTTTTTGGCAAAGTCGGCAAACTCGACGCAGGTCTTGCAGATCTTGGTGACCAGCTTGAGCTCTTCGTCCGGGGTAAGTGGGTCTATGTCGAGGCCATCGGAGCCAGTACTGGCGCCGCCGTTTTGTTGAGCGGCATCGTCGGCCGACTTCTGAGCCCTGAAGCGCTTGATGTTGGCCTTGACGCGCTCGGCGGCATTGACGTTGGTCGAGTTGCGCAGCGAGCGCAGGCGCTCGGGGGTGAAGGACCACAGGCGGTACTGGGTCGAGGTGCGATAGACCTCGTCCTCGGTAAGGTGCATGGTGTCGGTGCCAGAGGCTCTGGAGCGCAGCGCAGGGCAGGGAGCGGGCGTTGAGTCGGCGCACGCGTCGGAGGCTGCGGTGTCGGCTGAAATTGCCCCGACTGCAGGCCCCCACTGCCCCAATTCTCCACACACTTGGCGCGTCTTGTCGCGTGCAAGCCTCGCCCTTCCCCAGAAATGCTTGTCCCACCCCAAGCAATGTGGCAGGCTCAGCTCTTCACTAACACCGCCGCCACCAAAAAAAAAACACACCTTTTGCAGTCACCCGCGCGGTATCATGTCTCACATGCTTTTCGATCGAGGTCGCCGGCCGCAGGCATCGAACCGTCTGTCAGTGGCCGGCGGTGCGGGCAGCCGCACCCAGCACGGCTACGCCGCAAGCCACCCCGGATCTGACTGGCTGTTACCCCAGACCCGGACGCCAGTTCCCACGGGCCTGATGATCGTCCCCTTCCCAGTCCCCGGCGCCTGTTTTGATTGCGGACCTGGCTGACGCTGACATGCGGGGAATCACTGGTAGCCGATAGGACCGTCAATGCTGAAGTGACACCGGGAGTTTCCCGCATATTTTAAATGCAGCTGTTGAGCCGGTCCAGACCGCACATTTCTCCCTCCGTGACCCAGTCTTCGTTGCCGTTTCAGCTGTTTCCCCAGCTTTGCCCATCTTCTCTTCACTGACCTTATCTGCGACTCCTTCACCAAATCGCACGCTGCATCATGTCCGAGTCCTCGCCTAGCGCCGATATCGAAAAGAACAAAGAGGTGCACCTGGAGAAGGTCAACACCACCTGGCAGGACCAGAACGCCTTCGACGCCGCGCTGGAAAAGCGCGTTACCAGGAAGTTCGACAAGCACATTGTCCCCTGGCTTTTTGTTCTCTGGCTCCTCGCTTTCATTGATCGGAGTAACATTGGCAACGCTAGAATCGACGGCCTGCAGGAGGATCTTGATCTCGACGCCGATAAGTTCAACATCGCACTCGCCATCTTCTACGTCCCCTACATCTGCTACGATGTCCCTAGCAACCTCGTCCTCAAACACCTCAAGGCTGGATACTACCTCCCGGGGCTGGTGACTATCTGGGGCTTGATCAGCACCTTCATGGGCTTTGTGAAGTCCTATGAAGGTCTTCTTGCTGCGAGATTCTTCCTTGGCTTCGCCGAGGGTGGGCTGCTTGGTGGCATGATCATTTATTTGGCCATGTTCTACCGCCGCCACGAGCTTCTCTATCGTATTGGAATGTTTTACTGCGCTGCTCCACTAAGCGGAGCGTTTGGCGGTCTCTTAGCCACTGGTCTGGCAAGGATCAAGACGAACGGCTACAATGGCTGGCCGTTCATTTTCTTTATCGAAGGTGAGAAACAAGCGTTTCCACGAAATGCATTCTTGCTAATGTGATCTACTCTCAGGCGGTATCACGGTGATTGTCGGCATTACGACCATGTTCTTCCTCCCCCATGCTCCCGTCGAGGCGAAATTTTTGACCGAAGAAGAACGCAACTGCGCGGTTGCACGCATGCGCTCCGATGCCCACGGTGCTACAACAACTGGCGATGTCGAAGCGGAGACATTCAGTTGGGCTTGGGTCAAGCGTGCCCTTATGAACTGGCAGACAATCATTCTCTCCCTGAACTTCTTCGCCATCATTACGCCTATTTACTCCTTCTCGCTGTTTCTCCCCACCATCATCAAGACACTTGGCTACACGTCTGTCAAAGCCCAGCTGTATACGGTACCTCCCAATGTCGGCGGATTCCTTAGCGTTATTCTGGTCGGTCACCTCTCCGACAGATACAAAGTTCGCGGTCCCTTCATGATCGGCGGTGCACTGCTCGCCATCGTCGGATACATCATGCAGATTGCAAGCGCCAGACCGCTCACGCGCTATGGTGGAACTTTTTTCGTCGCGGCAGGCGTCTTTCCATGCTCACCTCTCGTGATGGGCTGGCTGGCGAACAACCTGGCTCCCCACTACGTCCGAGCAACGGGCACCGGCTTTCAGCTGATGATTGCTAACATGGCCGCCTTTATCGCAACCTTCACCTACCTGCAAAAAGATGCGTAAGTAGTCCGCTCTCCGTCTTGGCTAGTCTGACATGCGTCATTGTCGGAAAAGAGCCCAGCCTGGCTCGGCGCCAACTTTTGGCGCCGAGCGGAGTGGCTTACTGGTCCTGGGCTTGACTCCACTGAAGGATCATCATCCTTGCTAACTTATTGCGACATGTAGGCCAAGATACACTAGGGGCCACGCCATCAACATCGGCGTGTTGTGCCTCTCTCTCGTGCTCAGCACAACCAATATCTTCTACTGCTTGTGGGAGAACAAGAAAAGGGCGGCTGGCAAGAGGGACTACAGGCTGCAGGAAGGTGACGAGGGCATGCTTGGATACAGGCATCCTGAGTTCAAGTATACCATTTGAAGTGATTTTAGATGCTTGGAAATGTAGATTTCCACACTTCCTTCTCTCTCGACGGTAGCTGTTGCACTCAAGAGATGGACTCTCGGGCGACTAATTAGTCCTAGCGTAGTGTTGTCACATCTGATACAATGTTGATAAGATTCCGAATCACATTCACTGCACTTCAAGATAAGCACACCCAATCGCACAAAGTTCTCGCCAAGTCAGCCACAGTCCCCTTACACGGCGACGGAACTCGATGCAAGCGTTCCACTACAGCACCAATGCTACACATGTCGGCTCGCAACGGTAGTACAAAACCAGGGGATCGCAATCCTTCGACTCCGCCTAGCTCTACCACTCATGCCTACCCCTCCCACAATCGAAATCTCGACCACCCACCCACCTTCCAGTTCGGACGTCTTGGCGATGGAGCGAGAGCATGATTGATCCTTCGTGACTTGTGTTTCAGTGTGAGGTAACATGAGGCATGAATGACGACAGTCAGTGTGACAGTGACGACCCAGTAGAGCCAGAACCAGTGCCGGACGACGTTTTTGTGGTTCTTGGACGAGGCTTGAAAGCTGAAGAAGTGGAGAGGATCACTCGCAGTTTTCTCCACAAGGAATTATTCGACGTACGTGGGTAGTTGAAGCTATTATCCAGGCGTAGATTTTTATTTAATAATTCAACACCCACGTCTAAATGGTAGCTTCAACTACCCATGTAAGGAGAGCTTATCTGCCGATAGCAATTAGTTACGATGGTTCAGATTTTTCAGCATCCACTGTGACAGGACGGTTACGATCGATGTTGTCCGCATGGACGCACTATCTTGCGGTGGAGCTACGGCTTCCATCTTCGAGTGTCGAGCGATCGCCTTCGCCGCCAAAGTGTATTTGCGGCTTGTTCGAGTGATTTCATGCGAGTCGTGCGCCACGTACGTCGTATGCGTTGTCTTTCTGCGTGGTGAGGCTGTAGACCTGTATGTCAAGGGATTCAGCTGAGACAAAACATTTATGCGGATGTATCACAGTGGTAGGACGTGCCGGTTGCACCTGTGCCTGCGCGCGTCGCGAAAGACACTTGCAGTTCGTGTGCATTCCTCGGAAAAGACTTCGGATACTGTCTATTGTGACTTGAAGCTTGCTGCTCCTGTGCTTGGTGTTCTGATTCAAGTCCTTGATGAATACCGGCACCGATGAAAGAACTTCATAGAAATGCAGGCAAAACGCCACTGCCGAACAGACCTTAAGAAATTGAACCAAAAGAGGAGGTAAATCCAAGTTTTTTTAGTTGCCCATCCATTCTCTAGATCCTTCGGCAGCCTATTGTACGCTAGTTTGGGGTGGGGTTGCGGGCCTGTTAACCATTTAATGATATGGACGTCATTTTAGAGATTAGCAGCAAAGTTACAGGCCTCCTCCGAAAGTCCATGAATTAAAAACACAGCAAAAATAACGAGATTGCAAGCACTGCTGAAAGAGAGTCCTAGGAAGCTTTTTAACTGGTCAGTGTCCAATCAATGAGAATATGTACGAATGCATAAGTGAAGATGTTACCCTATGAACTGGTTTGTGACTCATGGAAACGCTGAAATACTGGAGGATATGACGGTTATTACTTCTTGGAATGTAGCCTGTGCCCTTTGTTTAACAATAAGCCATATGTAGTAGATTACCTATATGCTCACCCTCGATGCCATGCTTTTGTAAAAACTCATGGCAAATTGGGGCTCTTATAAACATCCCGACGAAGGCTTCGGCTATCTATAAAGTGCAGCATGTCTTGTGACACTATTTGAACACATTATTTGATTGACTCTAATTCACACTTTTCTAGAGAGCTGAAGCTCTTGTCCGGATGCAAACATCAATTTAAATATTAAACCATCACGTCCGGAAAATCGCTCTAGCACCCCCGGTTTGACAATTTAATGCCAGTAGCTAAATCCCACCAGTATTTTTTGTGCGACTGAAAGCACAGTACTATTAGGATGCATTTCTTAAGATACCACGATGAAAACCGGAGCCCCGCTTGAGCAATTGAAGGCATGACAGTGGCAGTTGAATTCTTCGTGTAATGTTAGCATACAGGCTGGGTACTATGAGAAGAGAAAATATAGAGCCATCCGCCGTTAAAGGCGCACAACTTAGTCTTTCCCCAAAGGGATAGTCTTTTCCTTCGAAGATGTTAGATTCGTTTCACTTATATGTAGCTGCGCGTTTAGTTTCGTGGTCGAGAAACTGTGTTCTGCCTTATTCAGGAACTTCACGCTTTCAGAGCTCTCCAGTCTCGAAAGTATCCGATGAGAAGCCCTATACCTACAACTCAGTGTTTGCAGTAGAACAGCAATGTGGCTAAGTCTATAGAACAACCCGTTACGAAGAAGCACTGTAACAGCGAATCCCTAATTTTCAGCGTTCTCTAAAGATTGGCGATACAAATCTTCGTTCATTTCCCGCCCACCTGGCGACAGGAAGTCTGAGTGCGCTTACCTAATTGGTTGGACGATGAGATATAAAAGCTGGAAGAAACTGTGCTAGCACAATACATACAACGTCAGGCGGTGACGAATTTTCCATATAAAGTGCGTGAGACTGAGGCTGTCTGCAGGACTTGCCGAGACGATCTCTGGTGCATACATTAGTACACCGCCGGGCTGATGGTCCTTCACTCTGATTAGAAAGCCTCATCTGGTGGACGCAGAAAGATACCAGGAACGTTGTTCCACGCAACCAGTGCCTTTTTTGCCCTGCCACTGATAATTTCCCTCGTATAACAGTGATACGCGCACGCAATTTGTCCGATTCGCAAAAGTTGAAGTTGTGCAGAAGAGCACAAGTACTTAAGAAGCCGTAGCGGTACGATTCAACAGTCAAGACGTCCGAGTAAGGGCTTGAACCATGTGGACCTTGTTGCAATAATGACCGGACCAACTTCGTTCTTGCAACACGAAGGAATCCAGCATTGATTTCAACTCCCCCAATCTCGCACTTTTAACCAGAGGTTCGAGCACCAGAGCAACACAAGTTTTCCCAAAACACTTGATCCAAGTCGGATACGTTCAGCAAGAATGATCCTCCAGTATGCCGAAAAAAGCGTTGGATTGGAAATTGTTTCGATTCGAGTTAGCGCAAAGGAGTCAAAATCCCCGAACCCGAGCCAATTCCCCAGCTCGTGATCATAATCCAGCCATTTGCTCTTTGCTTTTCGCACATGCGCCGATGAGATGGAAAAAACTCCTTTATCATCCCAACCCAGAGAGAAAATGCTCCTCCTCGGACGCTTCTTTCTATCCTTTTCCCCCCTTATCCCCTGACCATTTTTAAACCCTCATTGCCGAGCGTGACGGAAAGATTTACTCGGACTTGGCGGCCTGCTGAAGGGCCTTCTTGCCCCTGAGCTTGGCGGGCTTGGCGGCCTTGACGGGCTTCTGCGACTTCTTGATGGCAGAGGCGCGGGCGACGGCCTCCTTCTGGAGGTCAGCGCGGTAGTGGCGCTTGACGGTCGAGTTGATGATGTTCTTGTAGACCCTATCCCAAGCTGTCAACACTCACAACCCTCCCATGAATACTTCCAAATAGGCAGATCCTCCAAAGTTGCGGGGTACGTACTTGCGGGAGGAGGTAGCGGGGCCGAAGGTGGAGGTCTGGATGGCGTTGATGGGCTTGTTGTACTTGTTGGCCTTCTTGATGGTGAGCTGGACACCGCCGTTCTCGGTGGGCTGGATGCCGTAGGCCTTTAATCGCACAAAGTCGCGTTAGTCGGGATCGTTCCTATAGCCGTCGCTCATTGCCCGGAATTGGTAATACCTTGTCGTTGACGAAACCCTCGTACTACACGGGAAATGAAGTCAGCCAGACTGCACGAGAGAATACTTTGCAGGCAGAGCAATGCGGACCTTGCGGGCGTGCTTGTTGGTCAGGTTCAGCGGGTCGCGGGAGAACTGGACACCACCGGCCTGCTTGCGCTTGAGGAGGAAAGCGCTGGTGTTGCGGGTAACCTCCCAGACGAGGTCGGCAGAAACGTTCTGAACCATTGTGGCGGATTTGGGGGTTGTTGGGGGTTGCGAGGTATGTCCGTCTCTCGTGTCGCTGTCCTGCACTCGTCTCGTGTGGTCGTGGTTGTGCACTTCCAAAATCCCGTCGCCAAACCACCCACAAGCGGCCTAGCGCGACGCGCCGCGTGGATGAATGGTAACGCCGGGCTCCGGGCTGGCCGGGGAGGCGCAGCGCGGCGCTGACGACAGGTGATCGCCGAGGGATGTCGCCAGCCGGCCCAAGCGCATTACCTTACCTTTCCACCACCCGTCGTAAATGAGACGGCAGACTACGCACATCAGCTCCATGCACGCCAGCGCTATGCTGGGCTAGCTGCTCCACACCTGCCGCATACTCCGCAGAACACCACATCACAAACTATCGTGTACACGCGTCGCCGCTCCCTACCCCCGTTCCGTTCCGTTCCAGCTTTCGTCACCTGTACTCCGCACGCAGCCGCGCTTCCGTGTACCGCCAGCAATCCTCAGCTATCTCCACCACCACCAACCCGCCTCATCCCTTGCAACGTCCATCTTTTCCCCCAGCAAACCTCCGACACATCACCCAACATGTTTATCGACAACTATCTCGCCTACTCCCTCGCCCTCTCCATCTTCGTAATCGCAACCGGTACGTCTTCTGAATCGCCTCCTGCCTAGAAATAGCCAAGCCACGTTATTCCCATGACCCAATCTTCGCCACAACAACACCAACAGAACTTCCACTAATAATCACCTTTCGCCGCAGCCCTCTACTTCACCCGAGCACGATGGAGCTCGCACCTCCCGCATCTTCCCTTCAGCCGGTGGTTCTACTCGCGCCTCCCCGGCCACTCCTCCTTCGCCGACGACATGGAAGCCGGATTCAGCAGCGCCCACTTCGACCTGGCCGGCAACGTTGCGGGCGGCGACTCGCGTGCCGGTCTTGACGGCGCCGCCAAGGCTGAGGTGCACCGCATCATGCGCACGAGGGGCTGCAACTTCGACGAGGCCCGTCGCATCTACACCCAGGCCCGCTTCGCCAAGAACAACATCGGTCCCGATGGCCTGCCTAGGGATCCCAAGTTCGTGTCTTTCTCGTGAGCGTGAGAATGAAGCGTCCACGGTTCATGGCGAGAGGAGTGACGGACGGATTGTCCAGGAAAGAGAAACAAAGAAAAACGAGGCACCAAACATGGGAGAATCCAACATGGGCATATGGATGGTCCAGCAATGGGGAGAGGATAAAGGAGTTTGAAAGGTGGACTGGAAGGAGAATTTCTGGTTTTTGACTACATTTCTTAGCGAGCGCGGGCGTTTCTCTGGGAGGGATTTGGCTTCTTGATCTCCTTTTTTTCCTTTTGTATTACTGACAGGAGTCTCCTCCGCTTTTCCTTGCTGCATCTCTCGTGCTATCATCACTCCGGACTTTGTCTTCCGGTTTCCTTTTATCAGTCTGTTCGGAGGCTTTGCCCTCCGTTTGGATAGTCATCATCGCAAGCTCCACGTCTTGAGCAATAGAAGCGTCAGCTTCTCACACGAGGTCACTGTAATTGTGCGTCATTCAGCAGCAATTCAAACTCTCACCACCCACTCGATATGTTCTCGGAAGTGGATCGCTCGAGTCGCTGCACACGTTTTATTACTGACTGATCCACCTGCAAGAATAGCAGTTGGCTACTTACGTCCATGCCTGTAGGCATAAAGAACCCTTAGACGCCGACCCTGTTCCTTTGGTAGGCGTGTCTGTGCCCACCCATAACTTTTGTTTATTTCCGCTGAATGCTGAGGGGTATTTCACACCACCAACCAACCATAGTTTTACGACTTGAATAAATAGAATCCAGAAGGCCTTCAGAAAAGCGCAGCACGGTGCGGGATTCAGCGCCTGCTGTATCCCGGCTGCTGGAAGCCCGGAGGCATGCCAGGAGGCATGCCGGGCGGAGGAGGGCCCTGGCCAGGAGGCGGGAATCCGGGAGCGAAGTTGGGAGGAGGGGCAAAGCCGGGCGGCGGAGCACCGGCAGGCGGGAACTGGCCGGGAGGAGGAGCGGAGAAGCCGGGAGGAGCGTAGCCAGCCGGGCCACCGTAACCAGCCTGGGACGGCGGGGGACGGGCGGGAAGACCGGCGGGCGGAGGCGGCAGCGGGGTGGACTGGACCGGAGTGCGGCTCTGCTGGTGCGGGGGAGGGACGCTCTGGTAGTTGGGCGGAGGCGCGAAACCAGCGGGAGCGGGAGGCGGGGTCGGGCCGGCGCCGTTGAGCATGGCAGCGGGGGCGCTGGGAGCCGGAAGGGAAGGCTGCTGGAAGAGCTGAGGGGGCAGAGGCTGGGTGGTCGGCTGGACACCGTGCTTGCGAGCTTCCGCCGCGAGGGCACGCTCGGCAGCGTCACCATGGCGCTCACCCTTGCCGTCCTTCTTGTAGGCGTACTGGACGCTGATCTCCTTGTTCATGAGGTACTGGCCGTTCATGTTCGCAATGGCATCATCAGAGGACTCAAACGTAGAGAAGGAGACGAAGCCGTAGCCCTTGGATAAGTTGTTCTCGTCGCGTGCAACCTGTGCGTGATCACGTTAGATTTGGCTCGGAGCAATGATGGGCAATTCTGCATACCTTGGGAGCCGAGATGAGACTGCCAAACCTCGAGAAACAGTCGAACAGGACCTTCTCATCCACCATAGGGTCCAAGTTTCCGACGAAGAGCTCGGCACCGACCTCGACCGTCTTCTGCTTGTCGGCGCTAGCCTTGTTGACACGGATGGGCTTGCCATAGAGGCGGATCTGGTTCATGATCTTGGCGGCATAGTCGGCTTCTTCCTCGCTCTGGAATTCGACGAAGCCGTAGCCCTGGTGGGTCTGGGTAACGCGATCTTTCGGAAGGTGGACGTTCTGGATGCGGCCAGCCTGGAGCATGAGCTCCCAAACTAGCTTGTCGGTGACGCGCTCATCGAGGTTGCCGACGTAGACGGTAGCCTCCTTATCCTGCTCCCTTAAATGGGGAAGGTACCTTTAGACTTGAAGTGGCCTTGTTGAGCGTGTGAAGCTGTGGGACGGAAACTTACCAGTGGCGGCTGGGGGCCGACATGTTTGCGATTTGTATCTGACCGAGAGCTCAATGCGGCGACTCAGGTTCTGGAGGTAGGAGAAGCTCCTGCAGCGGATTGAAGGAGAGTCGTGGCTGCTGGCGCAAGGACGCGATGATGTCGAGCTTCGAGAGCTTACATGGGGCGGCGGGCGGCGAGACGCGCGCGCGGGCCCAGAAAACTTAAAGTTCGCGTTTAGCCGAAGCTCTGCCGGCGCGCATCGACTTTTCGGCCTCACGGTCCATGACGACGAAGCTTTGAGAGACTCGCCGACCAGCATCGCCCGCCTTCCCACATCTTGCCAAACCACCATTTTTCCACCACCAATCAAGATGTTCACTCTCTCCGAAGAATCCAAGGTATGCGCCCACTATCAAAGTCCTTGTTTTCACGCGCGCTGACCTTTCCGCAGGAGCGCATCTCCAAGCTCATCGACGTTTCCCGCGTCGCCATCCACTAGTACGCTGGCCTTGCCGTTCTTTGCCCTTGTTAATATTCTGACAATGATGAAGTGGCTACCTGCCTTTGATCCTCTACTTTGGTATGCGTTGAACAAGAATCTACTCACAAGCGTCGTAACTGACGTCGCCTCAGGCTGGTCGCAAAGCACCCCGAAGCCTTCCATCATCAGGTTTGCGCCCACCCGATTGCCGGCCTACCTCTTGAATATCCCAATCTGACTCGGAGCAGGCTTTTCTCTCCTCTCGCGTAAACGCATTCGTGATTTTCGGCAACCATCACTTCTGGCGATACTGTACAGTACACACACCTTGCGGCACTAGTGACATCCGGCGAAACTACGGAAAGGAGTGTCAAGAATGTGCGGTTGGAGGCAGCCCCTCCGTCGAAGCGGGTAATAAAATTATGCGAATCATGTCCTGGAGCGTTGGAATACCCCAGGACGATGACCCGGAGGATGTAACATTAGAAATAGAGACGGATTCTTTTCTCCCTTCACCTTACAATTCCCCATTTCCTCAAAGTTGGCAAGCTATACTTGGATATCTTACGATCTAGTTTATGCCAATCAAACCTCGAAGTCCGTCCGAGAACCGCGCCACCTACCAGCAACGCCGAACCTATAGGTCTGGTAACTGGATCATGGTCTGCTGTACCTCTTTCACCTTTTCCAGAAACAGAAACTTCTCGATATCCGAAGCGAATTCCACTCTCGCGCCAGTAATCCACTTCTTCCCCTCGGCCTTACCCGACTCGCTTCCTCTCCTGCCACCATTGACCACCCTGTCTCTGTCTAAAGGAATCCTCAATCCTTTAATCTTGATCTCCTTCCCTCCTTCATCCTTCACGCGGACCGGACAGGTGCTGGAGTTGAGATAGAAGGCGAGATATCCTGCCCGGAACTGGGCGCTGAAGTGGATCATGGCTAGAATTCCGCCACTGTCAGGGTCGGCCCAAAGCCTGAGGTTCTCCATCCCGCACATCTGCTCCTGGTAGGCCAAGACCCCGGATAGGCCTTCGTGTACCCTCAACGTCTTTTCGGTCTTGAATACGCCCACCAAAATCCGGCCCATGAGCTCATTCTGGAAGAGCGTTGCACCTGACGTCATGTCAGCCAAATCTTATCCTCACGGTAAGTCTTTTTGAAAATGCGGCAAACAAAGCTTACTTTTGACGTCTTCGAAGACGTAATTGGCCCAGGTCGTCTTCTCCACTTTGATAGGTTTCCCGCCGTAAACCTTATCATGGAACTTCAGCTCCGCAACGAGAGGGAGCGATATCTTCTCCGGAGCGAAATATGACGCGTGAGGAATGATTTCCACCCCATCGGCAACTACCACCGGGCATTGTCAGCAAGATCATGAGAAACGCCTCGCGAGGTTCAGAACAGCCATACGTTTTTGCTGCAGCCGCACTGCCCCGTCATCACTCAAAGACCAAATGCTCGTTGCAAACCGAATGCAGCCGTCGGGCCTCGCCAGTCGTTTCCTGACAACGAGTATCCGGCACGGGCCCATGGCGTCACCCATCTCGACATCCAAAGGCATGTTCTCATCTTTTGGAGGCTGCAAATATTCGACCTGTTTACCGCGTCTGTCCGGTCGATTAGCCTTCCGCCGAAGAGGCCCTCTAGAAAAACTCACAATGTGCAAAGAATCGCCGAGTCTCTGAACGCCTCCTTCTCGAACGCGTCCTGCTGGCTCTTCGTCGTAATCGACCGCTCCAACGGCATCTTCTCCACATCCGCCGGCGGCCCGAGCGACAGCCTCTGCAAGCCAACCTCTGGATCCGGATCGGGCGGAATCGCCGGCGACGGCAAGATGGACGAAGTACATGAAAGCCGCGAGTCCGCTCGGCACTGCTGCTGCTGCTGTCGGTATTGCGGCGGCGACTGCGGCGGCGAAAGAGGTGATGTCGGGTGCTGCCGTTCGCTCTCCCCCTCATCCGCAGCCTCTTCGATGCGCCATGGCGTCGTCGACTGGCGCCGTGACGATGACGGGCCTGGCGACCCTGGCGACATGGCCGACGACGTCGTCCTCGTCCCTGCTGTCATGGTCGAGAATGTGCCGCCGCTGCTGGACCGCCAGTCGACCGACGACGATGTCTCGGACAGCGAGGGCGCGGTGCTGGTGTCGGACTCGCGGCGCGACGAGCGGCGGCGGCCCGGCGGGTAGTAGTTCCAATTCCCACCGCCACTGCCTTCGAGAGGCGCGATGTCTGGGGAGCGCTGCGACTGCGATGTTCCGGACACGCGCGAGTAGTAGCTGTTGCGCAGCGACTCGGGCAGCGGTTCCAGCAGCGGGCTGTCCCACAGGGGGACGAGGTCGGAGGCGCGGCTGTCGCGCGGGTTCAGGCGCGGACTCGCGCCGGCGAGGGCCAGGACGATGGTGTGCACGTCTTGGATCTTGTCGCACAGGTCGCCCGTCACGGCGCTGTGGATCTCGTCGACCTTTTCGGCCATCGGATGGACGGTTTCTTCGAGGCGGCTGAGCGATTTGCTGGACGCGCGCCGACGCTTGTTAGAAACCAGAAAGAGCTGGACATATACAAGCAATACGAGGGGAAAGAAACGATTGCTAACCTCTGAAGCGCCTGCATGGTCAAATTGATGGTCGAGGTGTGCATGTGCAGCATGTTCCTCAGGGCCTGGATGTTGCCGCCTTCGGCAGTCCACAGCATCTTCTTGTACGCGCTCAGCACCAGGTCGCTCCAGCTGCGCTCGATGCTAAAGCCGCCGCTGGTGCGGTGCTTGCGGATCACCTGGTACTGTTCGACCAAGCTCTCAAGGTCCTTGAGCGTCTGCCGGCACGACTGCAGTATCACCTCGACGCCGCTCCGCGTCTCGGCGTTCGCCCGCGCCAGCATGCTGCTCCCTCCTCCCTCATATTCCGCCCTCCTGTCCGCACCATCGCCATCGCCCGTCGCGGGCGCGTCGCTGCTGTCTGTGAACAGCGTCTCGGCTAGCAACTTGAGCGCCTTCGCCAGCCCGTTGACCTCGCTCTCGACTTCGACGAACTCGGCCGGCGCGCCCTTGCGCCCCGCAGTGAAGGCCCGGCCAATCTTCCATGCCAGCTGCGACAGCATCAGGATGTCTCCGATGTTGAGAATGCCTGCCATTGTTGCTGATTCTCCCTGTCCACCTTTCAGGCACTGGGTTGCGCGAGAGGAAGCGATTGCGTGAGATGGATGACCGTAAATCTATAGGTCACTCCTACCAGGTTGTGGCACGTAGGATGGGAGGAATGGGGCGGTTGCGCGCGAGGTTGGCGTGGGCCGAGAACTACGTGCGATGCGACGGCGATGGTGTCTTGCGTGAGCAGATTGCTCGATCAATTGTGCTGCCTGCGGGACCGAGAGTCAGTCGTAGAGGTCACATGAGGATAGCGGCGCAGGCATAGGCATTGGGCATTGAAGGTGGACGCATGTGCTTGCGTGCCTGTGAATGAGCAGTCCAAGCCTTGACGTCAAGTTTTCTTTGAAATGACTATTGTTTGCGCGCGTCCCAATGTACCTTGTTGATCTTTGTAAGGCCGACAGCGGAGGGGAGTGCCAGGGGCGCGTGCTGAATACGCGACGATCCGGATGCAGATCAATATGGAGTCAGGTGGTGGTAGGGAAAAGAGGTATTCATGGTGGGAGGCTAGACAAGCTGTATCCAAGAAGACAGAAGAAGAAGGGGAATAGGAAGATGACCAAGGCTTTAGCTGTGAGAGAGGTTACCTAATGGATCCTCCTCTTTGCGCGTTCATGGCGCAGCAGCAAGTCGGCGGGCGTTTCGCCGTCCATGGCTGGTGCCGCGGGCAAATCGGTGCCAGGCACGCGGTCCGGGAATGCAGCTTGCAGATAGGCCAAGCAGGCATCAGTCACGGCCAGAATGCAGTCATTGAGGCCGCCCGAGAACAAGGTGGTTTAGCGAGGCTTGGAGGCGTCAACAAGCGCTGTCACAAGCTGCGCCCTGCCGTTGCTCCTGAGCGATTCTGGAAATCAGTACCCGCGGGGCTGTCGGGATGTAATGAAGGCCCCACCAATTGCGGCTCCTGATCGGTCTACCATGCATGCATGGCCGATCTGCGGGGCGGCCACTCCATTGTTGTTTTATTTCTCCTTCTCAAAGCTCCCTCGAGCTCTGCTCATCAACTATGCAGCGTCCCTGGCTAGCGCTGGTATTCGCTCTGGCGAGAAAATAGAGCAGTCAAGGACGGAAATTACCTGGTCAAGCGCGTACTCAAGCATGGGTGAAAAGTGGACCCCCAAGATAATATGTTGATGAGAGAGGGTCCAAGAGCTCCAGCACGTGGGGTCGGGAGCGCGCTGTGAGTGGCTGCATCCTCTCCGCACATCACAGTACCACCACCACGGCTCACCAGGGAAGATACGAACCCTTGACAAAACGGGGTCTTGAAGGAGTTTCGGTAGCGTGGCCGGGCTTGCAAACTGACGATATTGATGGCGATTCCCGCGGACAGCATCCGCGAGGGCCGCTATCGAATCCGGTCAATCACCAACCATCATGTAGCAGATATAGCGGTCAGCTAGGAGGTATAAACCGGTGGTTGGTAGTCTTCTCTGCCGTTGGTTAAATTTAGCTGCCGCATCCGCACCCGTGGTTGCCTTGCCGATCAGTAACGGTATCTGGGCCTTGGTGGACCATGCAGTGCCTGGTTTTGCTGACCGGATTGATTGCTGCTGACTGGCATGCACGCGGCTCTTCGCCCGACGCCTCCCTTGAGTCTTGCCCAATCACCAGCTGTTCCTATTCGTTGTTCTCTACGTCATGTCCGGGCTCTAATATTGCCCACCGCTCCAAATTTGTGAGCCAAAGCCACGTGGAAACTGTCCATCGTGACGATCATCCTAAAATTGCTATCGCTCGCAAGCGAAAGTTATTTGAGTCAGCAGTGCGTATCGACATGAAAAACGAGCACCTTTGGGAGATTCTCGCTAGCAAAATAGTTGTTTTCTCTACCTCATCTGTACCCGATCTCTACTCGCCTACCACTGTCATTAATCGTGACGAAAATATCCTCCGCGGGTATAGAAAGAGCATGCAGCAAGCACACATTGAGTGTTCCACCGCATAACTGCAAGCTTTTTTACGAAATGCATGAATGGTTTTGGGTAAGGGAAAACGCATGCTGATGCGAGGTGAAGCTACTCCCGAATTTTTGAATGTGGAACGAAAAGGCTCCTGTGTGACGAGCCAACTTTTCAGAAATTAGAAGCAAAGACAATAGAGAACGCCGATTTAGTATAATCCTTCGAGTTTGTTCAGAAGGTAATGAAGAAAATGCAGGGGGCGAACGAATTTCCATGGAATGCAGGCGTCGAGCTGCTGGAGCATCCTGTTGTTCAAGTTCCACGGAAAAGGAACTGCATGTCTTCGGGTGTGAGCTTCTCAATAGCAACCTGAGCGAGATATTAGCCTTAGAAAGATCATCAAGAGGATACGTCTATGCTTACCTGATCATTGTTCACGGTGCCGTTGATCAGCGCTGCCTTCTTTTCCTGAAGCATAACGATACGAGATTCTACAGAGTCTTCGATAACCAGCCGAGTGATGACGCAGGGACGCTTCTGGCCGATACGGTGGCAGCGGTCGGCGCTCTGCCACTCCGCGGCTGGGTTCCACCAAGGATCGACGATGAAAACGCGAGAAGCCTCCGTCAAGTTCAACGCAACTCCACCGGCCTTCAGCGAGACCAAGAAGACCTCAACATCGGCATTCTTCATGAAATACTCGATGGATCGCTGGCGCTGAACGGGGCTCATGCTTCCATCAAGCATGACAGTGTTGAAGCCAGCACGGCGGAGACGCCACTCAATGAGTTGAAGCATGGACGTGAACTGTGAGAAGACAATCGACTTGAGAGTTTGCTTCTTGCTGCGAAGTTTGTAGAGATCGTAAATGAGCATCTCAATCTTGGTCGAGGATGTCCATTCGTCCATCTTGATTCGATTGATGATGGAGTTCTTCTTGACAAGGTCTTCATCCTGCTCAATATCTGGCTGCTCCCAATCAATGGAAAGGGGAATGTGGCAGCGAGGACAATCCGCATCCGCATCAGAAGCCTCGCAGGTTTGCACATAGTTCTTGACGCAAGCCCTGCAGAACTCGTGATGGCAGCGAGACTTGATGGCTTCTTCGGCTGGCTCATCGCAGATGTTGCAGACCAGAACGTTCTGGCCCCCTTCATTCTTCTTTTTCAGGATCAAATCAGGGTGATCAGCAACCTGGCGCATTTGCATAATGAGACCGAAGATGTTGGCGTAATTGTTGAGCATCACACCACGCGAAACGTACGTGTCAAATTGACGGTGCGTGTTGGTCATGATGCTGGACGAAAAGTCGCGCTCCACCTCGCCAAAGAACTCGTTGTGGATCTTGATCTCCTTGGGAGGAAGTTCCATCGAGCTCGTGTGATCACGCTTCATACGCCGGAGCATGATACGTGAGGTGATCATGTGAAGCTTGTCCAGAGCTTGCTTCCTCTTAACCGGGTCGTCGCCAGTGATGGGGTTGAGCAACTCCTGATTGAAAACCGACAAGTGCTGCGCTCCAGCATGACGGCACTCAGAGCATTTGAAGTCCTTATCAAGGGTCCAGTGCAGTTGGGCACAGCTGCACTGCTTGCAGAAGTAGTCTGCAAAGGGGCGAACTTCCAGAAACCTGAGCAGCGAAAAGAACTCGCCGATGCGGTTCTGAACAGGAGTTCCGGACAGACACCACTTGTACTTGCCCTTGAGTGCGAAACACGCCTTGGCAACACCGGTCGTCCTTTGCTTGATACTGTGAGCCTCGTCAAGGATCAGGCGATGGTACTCGATGGCATGGATTGGCGAGGCTTCCTTGATAATTTCGTCGCCGCGGGTCCAGCCCTTGACCTGCTTACGATGCAAAGACTCAAGACTGTTGTACGAGATCATGATGACATCGTACTTCTTCAAGTCCTTGACATTGAGCTTCTTGGACTTGGCATTCGAACCATGGTAAACTAGGACCTTGAGTTTGCCATCAGTGTAGTCATTGATTTCGTTCGACCACTGCATCAAGGCTACAGGAGGAACAAGGACCAAAGTCGGAGCTTTGGCAGGGTAGTCCGACATGATCAGCGAGACAGCTTGGATGGTTTTACCCATGCCCATCTCATCGCCGAGTAGGCCGCCCTTGTAGGGAGTCTTTTCCTGTTTGATCATCCAGTCAAGACCTTCGAGTTGGAAAGATTTCAACTTTCGGCTGATGGAAGCCGGTTGCGGCGCAGGAGTTGGCTTGATGATGGGAATCTTCTGGAGGTCCTTCCACATCGAGTGGAGCTCCGGGTGCGACCGCTCGAAGTTGTCACGGTGACGCTTCTTCCTGCGCTCACGGAGGTCTTCAATTCTGTGGTACCCTTCTCGAAGGCGAGCTCTCTGTTCCTCGGTGAGCTGAGGAACATTGAATCGGGTTGTATCGGTAGTAGAAGCCTGTCCCGCCGAGGCAACCTGATTGATGAGAGGAATGTCCAGAGACTCGACGTCTTCGGAGTCATCTTCAGAAGCCGAGTCCTCGAAGTCGTCAGTAGAGTCATCGTTCGACAAGCTCACGGCCTCACTCTCGGAGTCAAGGACCATTTTGTTATTGCTTGCGCGTCCTGCCCGAGAACGAGTGGGGAGCTTCGTGGTCCTTGGAGGTTGGGCCTTGGCTTTACCCTTGGAGCCAGATGCGAGTGGCAGGAAGTCCTCGGCTGAAAGGTCCGAGGGAGCAGGAGACAGATCCTCCTCATCAGTATCCTTGACTACGGGCCTGAAGGGGTTCCAAGACTGGTCGTCCTCATCGTCGTCGTCCTCGCTGTCGTTGATCTCTCGCTTTGGCTTCTTGAAGTTTCCGTTGCCATACTCTTGTTCCTGCAAGGCAAGAGCGATTTCCTCGTCATTGGTGGTATCTCTGTTTTCGATCTTCACCTGCGAAGCCCTGGTGCTTCTCGTTCGCTTCGTTCTCGTCGATGGCGCGGGTGTGTTGGAGTAGCTTGTCGCCGGGGTGTCAATTTCGGCAGAATGGTCGCGACTCGTGGAGTCGATTGAGGACTCGGTGGAGGTTGCCTTCTTTCCCGAAGATCGTGTTGCTCGAGGTGCAGACATGATAGCGACCGCTTTCAGAGTGCCAACTTTAGGCGTAGCAGTAGTGAGTTCGTCCTCACTGTCGGAGCTGTTCGGAACGAAAGTGCGGGATCTCAAAGACCTAGTGCGACTGTTGATTGGGGTGACAGACTTGGCTGCAGGTGAGCCAGTCGAAGATGCTGCACGAAGAGTCAGTGGAAGACGCGTCGGAAGTTGAGCAGCCCGTATTTTGTGTTGCGAGGCAGCAGCAGCTGCCGCAGAAAGTGGGCGCCATCCGCACTTACCGGACTGGGCTGACACCCTGGGTCTCCCTCGCGCCATGGCAGGAGCGCAACAAAAAAACTGACACAGACAGCTGCGTGAGCGAACGAAGCCAGGCAAACGGCGGGGACAATGAGACTGGGCGCAAGAAAGAGAGGCAGCGCATCGGATTGTCTTACAACTTAGCGGCGGTTAGTAGCTTCTACGATTTGCCACAGGGGAAATTTGAATGGCACTGTATCGGATCGGGAGCCGACCGCTTCGCGGTAATCAAAGAGTGAGTGAAAGAAGAAGCCGGGTTTCGTGGCGATTTCTAAGTGCCGTGGATCTTGCTCGATCAATGAAGTGGAGTCGACGGCAGCTGCATCGACCCGCACGTCCCTTGCCGTGGTGCTTATCGCCACGGTCGCGTCGGCACTTGGGATACGCGCGCCATCACGTGCAACATCAAAGGGCAATTTGGCTTCCACCGCAATGCTTCAATTGGCCCAAGCTCCTGGACAAATGAAACATTCCCCAGACAGTCAGAATGCCATTCTGCTAATAGTGTCGCGTCATCTTGTCATGTATTGTGTGGTGGATATCTCCCCATACCACGCGCGTCTGTTCACATGGGCACAGTAGCCGATGGTTGGAGTGATACCATGAGCAATCTGACATTTATGCGCGTTTGAAGCTCGGTCTTAAACGCGTTTGCCTGTCTCAAAACCTGTACCGCATGAGGTCGGCCTCAGATTGGGCAGCTGGGGGCTGCCGCCGTCCTCGTACCGCAGGCTGCCTATTAAATTATCACGTCTTCTGTTGCACCACAGCGGTGAAACACAGGCTAATCATCTTCAAACCAACCTACTCAAGTCTTTTTTCAACAAACATTGCCATCGATACATAGCACTCCGCTTGAAGTGGAGTTTGCTTGCGCTCATGAAGTATTCGTACACGCCTACGCGTGGCTCTGCGCCGGCTTGAGGCTTTTGCCGCCGTAAATGGAGTAAGTTACAATCGAGCGGTGTCTCCCATTTAGTTCCTGAGCTTGCCATAGAACGGAATACCAATGGCGTTGAGCAGCAACCTTGCCTCTCTGTCAGTGGTTGCTGACGTCTTCACAATGATGTGGCAACCGGGGATCATCTTAGGCGGATACCTGGCGTCAACGTTAGCCAGGAGAAGCTCACACGCAAGTCCACTTTCACTTACATGTCGAAGTTGACCTCAATTTCCGGGTACATGGCCACGGCATCAGCAGGCAAACCAAAGGCGATGTTGCCGCTGCTGTCTCCCGAACTGCCCTTAGCTCCCTTCCATTCCTTAATTCTCGGTAGGACCAAGTCAATCGTTTTTCCCAAGAAATCGTACATGTCCTCGCCCTTCAGTTCGGCCTTGACAGCGACGAATTTGCCTTCACGCAGGCCCCATTGAGACACAGCGTGCCTGGATTTGTACGCAGTGGTGCGAACGTTCGTTATTGACTGAATCACCATTCCGGCAACGTGCAGATGTGCCGAGTCCTCTACCGCCTTGGGAACCATAGTATGGACCGTGACACCCTCTAGCTTCGGGACGTTCCTGAACGTGATAGGCTGTCGCAGAAGGCGGAGCGTGTCTCCACCGCGGGGGCCTCTGAGAGGGCGGTTCTTGAAGTAGGGCGAATCACCGACCCATTCTCGTAATCTTTGCGACTTTGGTGGTGCACTGTAGCCGGGGGGGTGGTGGTGGTACGCCAGAGTCATCAGGTCGGGCTTGATTGTGCTTTCGTAGGTTTGCTCGAGGCGCGGCAGAGTGAAGGGCCCGGGGACGAACAAACGGGAGGCAGGGTCTGACGGGGGAGGAGGCTGGTGCGGATGCAGAGGGCCACGGTAATGCTTTGGGGATCGGAACTTGTATCTGCCATTGATGCGTTAGTGGAGGCCAACGGTGACGGGTGCTGCAAAAAGTGCCACGACAGCACCAATTGTGGAGTGGCGCACCTGCTGGACGGCAGGGGCTTCTCTCGCTGCTTTTGCCGCGCTATTGGATCCCAGGTCTTGATGATTTCGCCATCCGGAGGCGGCGCGGCGAACGACGAGGCTTCCTCCAGGTCCGCGCCGGAGTCCGCGGCCGGCGACGAAGAGGCATTGCGGCGGCCAAGGGGGGCGGCGACGCTCAGGCAGGGGCGCGCATCGGTGCGGAGGGCACAGCTCAGGCGCGCGCCGAGCTCGCGGAGGGCCATGGTGGAGGAGAGGCTGGCGTGATGTTCAGTGATGTCGTCGGCCGGATGCGCAGATCCAGAAAATCGAAGACAGCTGCGCACGGACAAAGCGCTTGACCTCCGGCGGGCTCTAGCTGAGGCCGTTAAGAACCATGACCGTTGCAACAAACAGCACATACTCACATCGCAAGGGAGCTCGAGCTCTCCTTTCCCCTCCGCCGCTGCGCTCAGCCGCATCCGACGCCTCGCATTCGCTTCGCCTTGGGCCGCAAACAAATCCTCCGCGCAACCAGCGCCCACTTCGCCGTCTGCCTACCCCACACAGTCTGAGCCAACTCCAACCTCCCCGGCCGCCTTGCTTGATGGATGTCTGCGAAGTACGGCGGCGAAATCATGGAGGGGATGTCGCGATTCTTAAGCAGGCGCGGCAAGCGCTCTGCCGGTGAGAAGCGCAAGAGCCTGAACAACATCGAGGAGGTCAGTGAGGTGTCGCCATCAGCCGGGCCGCCGCGGGGTCGCTGCATGTTGCGCAGGGTCTCCACCTTCATCTTCAACGCCGCTACGCCTGAAAATGACGAGGGCCCTCTGTGCAGCCGATGCGCTGCCCCGACGGTCGACTGCTTGCCTCCCCCGCCCTGCCCATCCTGCTGACGCCGATTGACAGCCACCGCCACCAATTCCATCAGACCTGTACAACATTTTCCACACCGACGATAACAAGAAGCAGAGGACCGAAGAGGAAGAGAAGAAGGTGCGCGGAGCCATGTGACAGTCTCTTGTGGCGGCGACTGATATACGCGCAGGTCAAGGCGATTGCGCAGCGTCTCACTGCCTACGGAATCAACACCCTCAAAGAACCCCAAATCACGTATGCGCTACGGTCCCGGATTACGAATGGCGACGTCAAGGAAGCCACAGAGCTGCTTGTTCTCTTCGAAGACTCAGTCGACGGGATTCTGCGAGAATACAACCCCAAGACGAAATTGCTTGGCGCCGAAAACAGGTGTGCAGTCACCTGCTATCTGGACTCCCTCCTCTTTGCCATGTTCGCCAGGCTAGATTCATTCGAGGCCATGCTGTTCGACTCCTTTGCCGATACCCCCCGAAGACGACTAGCAACCATCTTGCGACTCTGGGTGAATCTCCTGCGCGCTGGAAAATTGATTACCGTTGACATTGTACGTGGAGTCCTATGCGTTTTGTTCTTGTCCAGGACTGACTGAGCTCTCGTGTAGACGAAGCATCTCCAGGAAGCCCTGGCTCAGTGCGGCTGGGAAGATGCTGCACAACTCAACCAGCAGGATGCATCAGAAGCATTTACGTTCATCACTGGTCAACTTGAACTGCCTTTGCTCACACTGAAGATGGACATCTACCACACTGGAAAAGAGGACATTGCCGATGATCACAGATTCGTTAACGAAAGGCTACTGGAAGTTGCCATACCGGAGGACAACCCGCACAGCGACGAGCCGATCAAGCTTGAGGAATGTCTGGAAATCTACTTCAACAACCGTATCGAAGTCAGGCGCCATTTAGAAAGGAGAAGCACCCTTCAGTCGGTTCAAGAGAATGAAGAGGCTAAGTCGAGCTTCCCGGAAAAATCCAACGCGGTGCATGTTGAGTCAGTAGAAGTGACATCCGGATCGGAGTCGCCAGCCGCACCGACCTACAGTAGTGCCTCCAGTAACCCCAAATCACCGGAAAGACCTGTTAACACTCGGCACCGAACAGACAGCATTTTCAGCGAACGACACTACGAGGTTGGAGAATCATCTGAGAAGCCTCCGGCTGGGCCTGGACGTACCCGCTCAAGTTCATTTGCAAAGAAAGAGATTACCATGCCTGCGTGGCAATTCTTCAGCTTGATACGTGAGTCATGAGTTGCTAGGCTGGCCGCTTCGATAGAGCTAACTGTTTCGCAGCCTGGTACACCGACAATGCGCCTGCCAACGATGCTCAAGTTGCTGCACACTTTGCAGCGAAGCGACCAATTTTGGGCATTTGCTTGAAGAGATACTCAATGCTGCCTAATGGCCTGCCGATGCGGCGAGGCACATATATTGACATTCCTTTAGAGATCGCGCTACCCCATTTCATATCGGATGACCGGATGCAGGAAGAAGGCCCTCTCTTTGGGAACTTTCAGCTTGTCCTGCAATCTGTGGTGTGCCACCGCGGCGCATCCGTGGATTCTGGCCATTACATTTCCCTTGTTCGCGGTCAGACTCCAAGCCCAACCGGCTCGAGGGATGGGCCGGAAAACTATCGGCCTGATAACGATGACGAGCACACGCCCTGGATGCGGTTTGATGACCTGGCAAAGCAACGCGTAACCTATGTCGACATTCACCAAGCTTTGAAGGAAGAGACGCCATACCTTCTCTTTTACCAAGTTTGTCCCATCGATGAGGAACTGGCACGAGGAGATCCTCCCACATACGAAGAGGCAAACTCGGAAGCCACGGGTGCAGACGACACAATCCTAGCCGAGAAAGGAGAGCTTGCGATTGACACGTCAGACTGGGAGCCCAGCCGCCCGAGCCTCGACTACACAGAAAACCATGTCTTGTCGACCGGTCAGGACGTGCCCGGCTCCAACGACTCTGCACGGGGCCGCTCGAGCTTCAACAGTACCCGGCGCAACAGCATCGCCTTCGACGAGAACAGCCTCGCGTCGCGCAACGCGACGGCGCCGTCAACGCCGGCCGATGAGACGCGCACGAGCTTCCTGTCGTCACGGCGCGGCTCCAAGGCCGCCAAGAAGAGCGGCAGCAAGAGCCGGCCAACCAGCCAGAGCGGCGAGGGCCGCCTCAGCATCACCATGTCGCGCCTCACGGGCCGCAAGAGCAGGGACAAGCTCGGCGAGACGGGCAGCACCAGCACGCTCCCGCTCGCCAGCAGCGACACCAAGGAAAAGGAAAACAACAGCGGCGCCGACGACAGCAACGACGTCGAGAGCGACCCGTCCAACCCGCTGGTCCTCGTCGAGGCGCCCACGAACAACGGCGGAGGAACTCCGATCAAGAGCTCGACGACGATGGGCTTCGGCCGCGGGAAGAAGGAGAAGAAGGTGCGCAGAAGCAGCAGCGTTCCGCTGGCGGCGGAAGAGAGCTCCACGATGAAGGACGGAGGCAAGGGGAAGGCGAAGAAGAAACCGCCGGACCGGGAGTGTGCCGTCATGTGAGACCGCGCGCATCTTTCCCATCCGCCGCCGTCTTTTCTCCGCCTTCTTTTCTTCCTACACCCCTTCATGGCGCTGGCGTCGTCATTTCTTTTCGCATGTATTGTTTGGCTCCTTTTGGCATCATCTTACCTGCGCGAAGAAAGCATTCTGCATGAGGCGAGCATTGCAATCCACCCAATCGCATCACAGACCATGTCTTGCGTGCGGCATTTGCTTTCTTCCTTCTTTCTATTCGGCTTTTCGTCCTTTTTTCTCTTTTCCTGTACAAATAATATATTTTAATTCTCCCCACGCTCTGCTGTTTTATCTTTGATTTATCTTTTTTTTTTGGCAAGCACTATTCACCCTCTACACCGTGAAGATACAGAACTGGAAAGGAAGACAGGTACATATGCGACAAAAAAAAGGTTCGGGATGAAGCGAATGATATCCATGTGTTTAGGTTTTTGTCTGTGCTGGGAGTGGCACTCATCGTGTTGATAGATGGCAAATGGATAAGGGCAGTCTTTTGGTGTTTCACGTCTATGTCCAAATTTGCAAGTGAGAGGGGAGACTTGGGCATATCCACCCATGGGAAGCAGACGTGCTGGTCCGGGTGGTAATTACAAGGGGGTATCGCAGCCGACGGCTGGCACGAAGAATAGTAAGGCCCCAAGCATAGCTTTTGCCTTAGCTTTTTCTCAGAAAAATGAACAAACACGGGTCGTTGAAGCTATCGTCCGGATGTGTCTGTAGGAATTTTAATTCCACATTCTCATCCGGACGATAGCTTCAACTACGCATGACATAAGTAAAAAACGTATCCACGCCAACCATCGGCTGCGGGAGGGGACTGTAAGGTATGGAACAACACATTCGCAAATGGGATTCAACTACTCGGAAAAGTCACTGTGAACAAGGAAACGAATTGGAAGACTGAGGAGCCTTGATTGTCAATGGTCAAGCCTCTATCTACCTTGCTGATGGTGGCGGTCTGGGCCTGAGGGGACATTCTGACGAACAGAGCTGAAGCTGCGCCAAGAAACCGAAGTACCTGAATTTCCCCAAAATGCCAATCGCCAACCGAAATTACTAGCCGTCTGAAAAAGAAGGCGCGCTTTTATAAGACCAGAAAGTGAATGTGCTATCAGTGTGTTGTGCAAACCGAGCGCCATCCCAAAGTCGACTGTGGTACAAAAGAAGCCGCTTTTTTAACGGAAGAAGGCGATGGTGATGCGGGTTTCTTTAGTTCACTGGGTGAATGTTCGGGCATCCGCACGTGCAGAAGCATTTTCCGGGCTTGTTCTGGCCCATCTTGGGACCGGAGAGCTCGACAGGACCGTTGAAAGCAATGCAGCGAGAGCCTTCACACTCGTCTTGGTCGCGAAAATGGTCTTTGCAATACGCGACGCAAGCAAGCTTTCCCTCTCCCTGTAATAATCTGGGTTATTCAGAGTTGCTAACGTGAAAGTTGGGAAACAAATGAAGCGAGGTGAGGTGAGGCGAAAGGGAAGAGGATCAGACTCACATCCACCTTGGTGCCAGTGGCCCAGTCGCAGTGAGAAGGCATGTAGCCGGCGAAGGGAGGGTCAGACTTGGAACTGTTGAAGCCCACGGAACCGTTGAAGCCCTTGGAACCCTTGAAGAAGTCGATGATGGAGGGAACCTCGACGAAGCTGCCGGGCATGTTGGTACTGGCGGGCGGCTTGTTGGTATTGGCGGGCGGCTCAATCTGGCCAGCGGGGTTCTCCGGGTGGACGCGTCTGGCGATGGCATGCTCGTAACGAGCAATCTGGTCCTCGGCCATGAGACCATACGTGCGGCGGCTCACATGGCCATCATCGACAAGCTTCTTGAGGTCGTCGCAGAAGTCGGCCTTGGCGATGCTGACCTTGGCGGTGCTGGCGCTGGCGGCGAGATAAAAAGCCATGAAGAAAAGAAGGAGCTTCTTGAAAGAGGCCATTTTGGTGGTATAGAACGAACGGAAAGGCTTGTCGAAAGCGAGAGATTGGGTTGCGAATGAACGAAAGCCGTGAGTCGGGCGTGCCAATGAAGCGACGAGGGTCGGGAGCAAACGAAAGTGGGTGGAGGAGGAAAAGGTTCGATGGAGGAGGAACGGAGGGTATTTATAGGAATGCCAAGACCGCCCGCCTGCTCAGCTGGAGCAAGGCCAGGTCGTTCCTTCCTCGTGTACGAAAGGAAGGTGCAGAGTTTTCTTTGCAGGAACTGATATGGTTGGCCTTTGTTGGAAGTGGCTGCTGTTTCGGGGTCGCGCGCGCGACCCGCGCGCCGGGACGGCTGCGGACAAAGCCTGGGCCTCCACGCTCCACTTGCTAACGCCATGGCAGGTGCTTTGGAACAGGGTGGTTCGAGGTTCGAAGGCCAGAGTGGCTGACAAGTACTTGAAAAGTGCAACAGAAGAGGTGTCAATCGCGAAACCGTTACTTAGAAAGCCAGAGTTGGCGGTTGGTATGAGAATACTCTGCAGCTCAATTGATCTATGTCTACTGTGTGATGTCTTTGAAGCCACGAGTTTACGAGATATGCACGACGTGATAGTTGTAGTTATACGTCTTGCTCTCGTCAGCCTCATCAGTGATGTTCACAGGACTGTCGCCAGCACCCATTGGAAGGTGGCCATCCTTGATGAGCTCAACCCTTTGCGGGCCCGTCTTCGCGCCCTTTACGCTGTGGGCGTTCAGGCCCGGCTGTCCTGGAATAGAGGCGAGCAATTCACCGCCGCTCCAAACATTGATGCCAACGCCCTTGGTGTCTGCTGGCAGCAAAATGGCAAAGTTGATGGCATCCTCGGCGTTCTCACAACCGGAAGGCCGACCCATGCTGTCGCCGGGACAGTGTGTGTGAGCCAGGCGGTCACGGTACCAGAAAGCGCCAGCAAAACCGCCAAACGGCACAATTTGAGAAGGGTGGGTTGCACCAGCCTTCCAGGCGGCTATGAAGGGTGCAATGACGTGGAGCCAGGCCTTGTGGTCGTAGCCATCGGTGTAGAGACCGATGTCGGGGCAACTGGCGATGCCCTCTGGCCACACATTGCCAATATAGTGGCTCTCACCAGCGTCGTTCCACGAGATGATCTGAACGAAGTCGGGAGACAAGGCCAGCACCTGGGCCATGCGCTGGGCGAGGTTGAGCTCACCGCGGCGATACCAGTTGCCGCTGCCGTCAATTCGCTTGAACTGCAGCGAAGACATGGGCATCATGTAGACTTTGCCAGAATTGTGGGCGCACTGAATGCCGACCTCGTCGACGGCGGAGCTCACGTCGCTGACGCCATCGTCCTTGAAAGGCCAGGCCGTCTCCCAGCTGAAGACACCATCGACGACGGAGTAGCGGTTGAAGAAATTGTCGTCATAAGCGGCGCCGCCGTGGTCATCAAAGTCGGGCACAAAGAATGGGATGATTCCATAGCGGTCCTGGAGCTGGGCACGGAACTTCAAGGTCCAGCCTTCGTTGGGGTGCGGCAGGTCAAAGGCCTTGCGACCGCCCTGGAAAGTGCTGACGAAAGGCAGGCCCTGGTAGCGGTAGTAGGCGGGATGGGCCTGGTAGTGGACGAAAAGCGGCAGGAAATCCACGGGGTCGGCCAGAACATCCATGTCAAACGAGAAGAACAGCTTGAAATCGGCGGCTTCGGCAGCGGAAAAGACCCAGGACAGCGCGGTCAAGGACCAGTCATCCTTCACGTTCTGCACGTTCAAGACAAAGGCATCGAATCCAACCGACTTCGCTTCCCTGACATCAGTGTGGGCTTGCTCGATGCTGCCCATGCTTCCGACCTGTGCTTCTGGTTAGTAAGCTGGGGGCGGGACGGTGCTGGGGCCAATTGAGTACCATGTAATGGCAGAAGATGCCCTTTCGGCGACGGTGGTAGTCATGATGGCAATGGTCCAGCTGCGGGCGCCGATCCTGGAATTGGTGCTGATGATTGGGGTGGGAGTCCAAGGGCGGGGGCGGAGGCTGCGCTGGGGCCTCGTCGTCGCGCAGGCCGACGTCAGCCAGCAGGTCCTTGACCTCGCGCTTGCTCTTCTTCCAGAAATCCCCAATGCGATCCATTGTCTGCGGGATCCATGGCGAACGGCGGTGACGGGATTATTTATTGACGGCGAGAGGTCGTGTTAAAGCGCATCCGACGATCCGACTGGGCGCTCGGCAAGAGGGTCCCTGCAGCTGCTGACTTCGCGCCGCCGACGCGCGAGCGAACACCTCTGCTTCCCAATCCAGATGGATTGATCGCGCACCCCCGTCCTACCATGCCCGCTCCCACCTCGCTGCAGCGCGCCCTGCTCACTGCCGCCAATGTCTTGATTCCCGTTGCTGTGCTAACCTTCGCCGTCGGCTTCTTCCCCTACAAGCCCTTCCTCCCCGGTCTTGCTGAATATGGCCCCTCTGTCTACGGCAGTCCGCCCGACGCCCCCTTCGACAAGGTGGTCTTCATGGTCGTCGATGCCCTCAGAAGGTGCGCCGCTTGGGACCTATGGCCTGGGAAACCCTTGCTAATTTGCGCAGTGATTTCGTCTTCTCCAACACCTCCGGCTTCGACTTTACCCAAAGGTATGCTAGCTGCGACCTCGAACCTTGATGTCTGCTAACACCTCTGCAGCCTGATCTCCTCCGGCGCCGCGCTTCCTTTCACTGCCCATGCCACCTCCCCGACCATCACCATGCCCCGCGTGAAGGCAATCACCACTGGTTCCATCCCATCCTTCCTAGACGTCATTCTCAACTTCGCCGAGTCGGATACTACCTCGACCCTGGCATACCAAGACACATGGCTGGCCCAATTGAAGGCCAAGAAGGGAGGGAAGCTCGTCATGTACGGCGACGACACCTGGCTGAAGCTGTTCCCGGAGACGTTCGAGCGCGCCGACGGCACCTCGAGCTTCTTCGTTTCGGTTAGTTGGCGCCGCCAATCCATGTACATAAATACCAATGCAGCTGAGACTTTTGCCCCGGCAGGACTTCACCGAAGTGGACAACAATGTGACCAGACATGTTCCCGGCGAGCTGCGCAACAGTGACTGGAATGCCATGATCATGCACTATCTTGGTCTTGACCATATCGGCCACAAGGCTGGACCCTTGAGGTATATCCCTGCGAGCGTGCTGCCTTCTGAATGCCAAACTGACTCTCGCGCCAGCCCGAACATGATTCCAAAGCAGGCCGAGATGGACGGAATCGTCAAGCAGATCTACGAGGCTATCGAGACCCAACCGCACCTCGAGTCTACCCTTTTGGTGCTATGCGGTGACCACGGCATGAACGATGGAGGCAACCACGGCGGGTCTGCCCCCGGAGAAACATCTCCCGCCCTCGTCTTTATGTCTCCCAAGCTGAAGGCCATTTCCAAGGGCCTATCTTGCCCGACAGCTCCCTCTCAGGACTTCGACTACTACGAGAAGATTGAGCAGTCCGACATCGCCCCGACGCTTGCTGGACTGCTTGGATTCCCTATACCATTGAACAACCTGGGAGTTTTTATCCCCGATTTGCTGCAAATGTGGCCAAAGGGTATGCCCAGACCGACTAAAACTGTGGCAGCTTGCTTACTGTCGTACAGGAGATGATCGCGCCCAACTGCTCCTAAGGAACGCATACCAAATCCTGAAGATTGCCGAAGCCACTTTCCCCAATGCGCTATTCCAGGATCTGTCATTTCTTGCCAAGTGTGATTCAGTCAGTTCAACTGGCGATGAGTTAGCCTGCAAGTGGCTCAGAGTGAAGGATTCCCTCGAACGGGGAAAGGGTCAGCTCCCGCAAGCTGAGCTGATCCTTGACCAAACACTCGAGGTAAGTGATCGTTATAGATTCATGTGCGTGGTCTAATATATTGCCAGTTCTGTCGAGCTGCTCAAGAAGCATTGAGTAGCACAGCCAGCAACTACAATGTCACCCTACTCATTGCTGGTGCTGCCTTGGCTACAGTCAGCACGGCACTCGCCATCGTTGTCATCTCGCCGAACCTTTTCCCGGCATCAGCTGTCGGCATCTTCTTTGCCTTGCTGACTGTCTTATATGGCATCATGATGTTTGCGAGCAGCTATGTGGAAGAAGAGCAGCATTTTTGGTACTGGGCAACGTCGGCTTGGTTTGCTCTGTTGTTCATTCTCAAGTCACGGAAGACCAACGTTCCCCGCAATGTTCTCCCTATTGGGGTCTTGCTGCTATGTCATCGCGTTACACGTCGCTGGAACCAAACAGGTCAGAAGTACGCCGGAGCTCCTGACATCGTGCACAGTGCGATCATGACACATCCGGTTGTGCTCTGGTCTCTGGTCAGCATTACGTACATCCATCTCACTATGCGAATCAAGACACACCTCACCCGCCGCTTTCCGAGGACTAGTCAGGGGAAACAGCTCCAGACTTTCGCAGTTGGTAACGCGTTTTTGTTGTGTGGTGTGGCTTTCTTGTTCAAACTCAGCTTCACTGCCCGAGATGCGCCGGAGCTTGTGCGTGGAGCCAGTCCCGGCGCCATGGTGTTTTTGGAAAGCTTAAACCTCGTCAAACTGGTTCGCTGTGTCTTCATCGGTTCCATTGTCGGTGTTGGATGGGTGGTTCTGAGAGAAACCGCAGAAGGCAAGGGAAAGTCTGGCAGTAAGTCTACGCTCTCCTACAACGCGCTGTGCTCGCCACTGACGACGTCTCCAACAGGCCTGATCGTAGACGCGCTACACGACTTCCTCGCGCTGACGCTCCTCACGCAAACGCGCGCGTCCAACATCCCGCTCTTCCTCGTCTTCCGCCTGCAGCAGCACTACCTCACACAGCTCAACCTCAGCGCGACCGAGCACACTCTCACATCGCTGCTGCTCGCGCACACGTCCTTCTTCGCCCTCGGCAACTCCAACGCCATCTCCAGCATCGACCTGTCCAACGCCTACAACGGCGTCTCGGGCTACAACATCGTCGCCGTCGGCGTGCTGCTCTTCGCCGCCAACTGGGCCGGCCCCTTTTACTGGACTTCGGCCGCCGTGCTGGGCCTGCTCGACGCCGCGCGCTGGAGCCGCGGCAGCGCCGCCCTGCGCCGCGTCATGCGCGAGAAGGAGATGCAGAAGTGGAAGGAGGTGCAGCGCCGCGACGCCGCGACCGGGAAAGTCGCGGCCGCGTCCGAGCCGGGCCACCTGCCGAAGCTGCAGAGCGCGTTGGAGGGCGTCGGGCTGGCCGAGGATGTGGAGGGTATGTGGTTCAGGCATTTCGCGCGCTTGACGGTGTGGGTCGCGGCGGGCGTCGTGGCCGTCATGGTGGCGTGCGCGGTGCTGCGGACGCATTTGTTCATCTGGACCGTGTTTAGTCCGAAGTATTTGTACGCCATGGCCTGGGCGGTGGGGTTCCATTTGGTGGTTAGTGGGGCGTTTGGGTGGGTTGTTTGGCGGGTCGGTGTTTAAGTGTATACCTTAAGAAAGAAAAAAGGGGCGTCGGAGGACTAAGCGGAGATTCGGTGGACGTTGTGTATAGATAGCTTAACACTTCTTTTGTGGAGGGGAAAATTGCCACTTCCTGGTTTGTTTTGAGGTGGTTTGGAAGGAAGTGTTTGTAATATAAAACTGTGGTTTCTTTCAGCCGACATGGTAGTATGCTAACGAGTGTCTACTAGCTTACAATGAATGTTTGGCTAAGTGATCGTAGAAGCATTAATGCTAGCCATTACACCATCGGCTCTTATTGATGTATAGTGAAGTGACGATTTACTATTATATTAGCGGCCTCACCACACATAAAATATTGGTCCTATCTCTTGTCGACAGCCTGTAGGGCGGCAACACAAAATCAAGATGCGTCCTGAAGCTTGACGTGCGGTACCAAGGTGCCTTGGGCTCTGTAGCTGCCGCCTGGTCACGCGTGTCTAGGCTTGGTGACTGTGAATGCAGGACGCAGCTCCTCTCGCGTGACTTCCCTTACAATCAACCTATAAAACGAGCTTTAGTTCTTCGTCCGCACAACTTCTTCCGACGCCACCCTCATCTCCTCCCTGACAATTCCCAACGAAGACGACCGTCTGCAGTACATCAGGCCAGCGTATGTCCTCACGGCTTTGATACTCGTCCTGGCTGCGACTAACACATAGCACCAGTTCTCCCTCGCTCACCAAGATGCACTACCTCAAGCTCCTCACCATCGCCTTCGCCGTCATGCTCGGCACGGTTATCACCTCTCCCATCAAGAACAGCAGTGACCTTGACGACCCTTCCGGAGAGCTCAATCCCGACGCCTGAATCCCCATTCCTGTTGATTGCGATCTCCGTCTCCAGCACGATGTATAGTCATAAAACACACCACCCCAGCCCATTTCTTGACGAAACGCTCCGTTCTACTTTGGGTCATCGTACTTACATGGCCGTCTTTAGAAAGGCAAGGCTTACACACTCTGCCCCGAGGCTTGCGTCAAAGCCCTGCGCAGCAAGAACACATGCCAACGATCATGGTGCATTATCAGGCCCGAGCTTGGTTGGCACAATGGTATCGGCCAGTGCTGGTGTACTTGCAATTAGCTTATCACACCGCTACGAGAAGCTCGGCCGAAGATGGTCACATTTTCTATCGGATTAAGAAGGCAGGGAGAAGGTTGGGGAAATCGGTTTAGCGGGTTGTGAAAAAAGACAGGTACTTAGTACCGTGCTATCAAAGTAACAACGGCTTCATGTAATTGTCATTTGCTGCAACTGTGAGGGGCTTTGCAGCCGACGGCTGGGGTGAATGCCTGTGGCCATGCTACTGGTCGGCTGCGGCGTAGGGGACGCGGAGGTGCGCTTGCAGCATGCTGTGCGAGGATCCATCCGTCTAACTGCATATCTTTGAATGGAAATTGGGAATGAGATAAACAGCACAGATTTAATATTGAGCAAGCTTGGTCGTCCATGCAGCTAGCGAGCCTACGCGTGGTTGGTACTTCAAGCCAAGTGACTGTGTGTACGCAGGAGGGTGTTAGTCTTCCAAAAGCATTCACATCCTCTCAAAACCCAATCACTACACGCAACGTCGGCACAGGAACGGCGGCTAATTAGTCCGCTCTGGGCAGCCAGGCCAGCTGACATGGCCCTCGTAGCACGCCATAAATATTCTCCTGCTGTCACTCCAGCACTTTTCCCCGACCATCGCTCACCTTACACTACCACTTGACTTGGCTTCCTGTGCGCATCTTGATTTAAACAGCAACGTCACCCTGTGAGTAAGTCTTTCCCATTCTTCTGGAAACCCCATCCGCTGACATAGATGCCCAGCACTTCCAACATGCAGGTCAAAGCCGCCTTGCTCCTCTCCCTCGGCATGGTCGCCGGCGTCGTCACCGCTGCGCCTGCTGAGCTTCCCACCGGCACGATCCTCAACAACGTCACCAGCCACGTCCTCGCCGTTGCCCACAGCTCTTGCACCATTATCCACCCTTTGGGTTGGATCGACGTCTTCTGTGACTACAAGACCGGCATCAACTGGAACGTAAGTGTTCTCACTCAGGCTTTGCGTTCATTCGAGTAAAAGTCCACCGAAACTGACCACTTCTCGGGGCTTCTTAGGGTCCGGGTAGGAAGCGCTGTCGCAAGGAGTGCGTCAAGCTGAACGGCGAGGTTGACTGCAGGGACGGCTCCCGCTGCATCGCCAGGTACGGCCCCGACATGCCGGGACAGTGCTTCTGCCCTTGTGGCCAGCGTGTCGAGTGCTAAGGCTGGAAAGCTCTCCTACACGTTCAACTCTCTAAGCAAATGATGGTGTTCGGTTTTGGAAGGATGTGCTTGAGGGTACTGAAGTTCCGGACTGTGGTCAGACATTGGACACATTGAGCTGTGGAGGTTACTGCTCCTTGGGTAAACACTAGAGGTTCTAGAGACCAATCAGCAAGTTTTGTGCTTCAAATGCTCATTGTGGCTTTCTTTGATTGGGCTGGACAGCAAATCAGTCAGCGGGACTATCAAGTGAAGCTTTGTTGAAGTCCTCTCGTGATACTCACCTTCATTAGTACCTAATTTTGGATGAGCTGGAAGTACGTAGGAAGTAACGGACGCACTTTTGTTAAGCCTGGGCAAGCTGCCAAAGTCCGTACCTGCCTCCGCCCGAAGTCCGGGGCGTTTTTTTTTTTTTTCAAACAGGCAGTCATGCGACCCGGGCTGCCACGCTACTACCCACCTCGATTCCTTCTCTGCGCAGCCCCGACCTACAACCTCCACCCAACCCACATCGCCTTGTGTGAACTTGACTACCAGACCTTCAACGATCCCACTGAACAATCCAGTAAGCAATCGCCGTTCCTCCCCCTCCTCCCCTCTCCGCTGAGCGCGCATCAACACTGACACCGAAACCCTCACCACCACAGCAATGCGCGCCACGCCCACCCTCACGCTCCTCGCCGTCGTCGGCCTGGGCGGCCTCGTCAACCTCGCCAGCGGCTTCGCCGTCCTCCCCTTCTCGTTCAACAGCGCCATTGACAAGCGCCAGTACAACCAATGCGAGATGGTAAGAAGTCCCCGATTCTCACATGCCTGAGATAAAAAAAAAAAAAAAAAGAAGGGCTTCTCCAAGACACCGCGCGCTGACTGCAGTCACTTTTTTGATTAGGCGACCGGCACGACGACCTGCATCGCCTTCTGCGCCAAGGAGATGGCCAAGGTCGCGGAGGAGTTCTGCCTGGACTCGTACTGCCACGTCAAGCACAACACCGACAGGTTCTGCGGCCTGTGCGAGTGCAGGTGCCACAAGCCTCCTGCTGAGTCTGAGTGAAGCGCTCTAGCTGGGTCCCGTTGAAGAAGAACAAAAAGGCTCGGATCTAGGGTCCATTGACTGGGGGAAAACGATGATCTGAAGGGGATGCTATGCTTCCATCTCTCGAACTTTGCTTCGGCCATGGAGGATTCCAGATACAATATTCCAAAGACAACCGTAAATGAAAGGAAGCAATGACATCTCAAACGGTCCCTCTATTCAAACGCATCTATCGACCGCCTTTTCCCTTAGAATCCCGCCCCACCGCCCGTCTCCTTCTTCTTCCTCTCCCTAGCCGCCTTCTTCTGATCCCTGATCTTACGCTCCTTCCGCCTCCGCTCCTTGCGCGTGAACTCGGTCGCGGCCTTGACCTCGCGGCTCGCACGCGTACGCGCCGCCAGCCGCTGCACCTCGGCCGGCGCCAGCTCGCTGAACACCAGTAGGTACCGCACGCGGTTCTCAAAGGGCAGGCCCGCCTCGCGCAGCGCGTCCGGATTGACGAGCCGGCGGTCGAGCCGCGTCCAGCGCGTGCTGCCCGTGCTACCACGCGCGGCCTCGGGGACCTGCGCCGCCGCGTCGATGATGCGGTAGCCGGCCGACACGTCCGGGTCCAAGGCGTCGCCGTCATCGTCGTCGTCGCCACCGAGGATGCTGAAGTTGTCGGGATCGGAGGCGCGGTTGTCCTTGTCGTTATCGTCGTACTCGTCGCCATCGTCCTCGTCCAGACCGATGGTGGGGAAGCCGTAGCGCGAGGCGCGCGCCTCGGCCTCGTGCCACAGCGCCTCCTCGCCGTCACCGACGGCGGCCGCGATGTTGTCGACCTCGATCCGGAAGAGGTGTACGGGCTTGCCGTCGGCCTCGTTCTCGCCGAGCCCGAGGATGTCGCCGCTCTCGACGGCGTAGCCGGATGCGCCGTGCGCGCGTGGTGGAGGAGGAGGAGGAGGCTGAACGTTGGCATCGTCCTCGCCGCCGTCGGGCGTGCTTGGGAGGCGGCGGCCGTTGAGGAAGGTGACGCTTTCGTGGTTGCTGACTCTGAGCATCCATCGCTGGTGGGATATGTCGGCGTAGAAGTGGCAGTGGTCTGCCGTAACGAAGGGTCCGGGGAGCGATATGGGGTGGATGAAGCTGTTCCCATCTTGGGGCTGGGAGCCGATGGATATTGTTGATTCAGGCCACTCTGAGTTGGGGTGCTGACGGGTGCGAATGAGGGACGGTAGGTTGCGACGGTGGCGGCGGGAGTGCTCGAAAAGTATATCAGTTTGCTCTGCGTTGAGCTCCCGCGTGATAATGATGTGGTCCTGATCGTTCTATATCATTGTCAGTGAATGGCCACATTAAGAAGACTAAATTGGGCTTACGCTGTCGAACTGGAATGGGAGGTCGTAGTAAAACAACGTGTCCAGAGAAAGGTGCTTGCGGTGGGCCTTGATGTAAGTGGGGGAGTAGTTTTGCGTAGGACTGTTCGGCCGTGACTTGATGGAGCCTCTTGCATGGCTCTCACTGTCTATTAGATCTCTTTGATCAAGGAGAGACAAGCCGCTGCTCTGGGAGTCTTCCATTAGGCTTGAAGATGGATGCAGATAGACGAGGGACAGCTTTGGTCCTTCCAAGACTTTACGCTCGCCTTCGCTTTCGCAAGTGCTACAAAGCTCGTGGTAGCAGACCAGGCAGTTGGGAGTTTCCATGGGCCTGGCTCGACACTTACAGCATGACCACAGAGAAGGCAGTCCAGTCAGACGGCTCAGGCTCTCCACCGATGCACTCAAGCGTGGACTCAGAGGCGGCCTCGTCTTTCTGGCCTCAACAGTGTCACTCTCTGTGTCAAAGCTATCATGCTGCTCTGGGATTGGCGATTCGGCTGAATTAGAACGGGCCGGGGATTCGATGCGGACTCCTCTTTCGCGCGGCTGTCCAAGGAGAGTCCTGGTAGGAGGGAAAAATCGCGGAATCATGTCTCTGTAGACGATCTTGTCTGTCTTCTTGTAGACGCAGAATATGATCTTCTGCAAGCCTTCGCCTTCACCGGCATCCAGAAACGCCCGTGTAGTTCGCAAGGCAATGGTTGCAGCCTCTCGACTCGGGAACCCAAAGCCACCAGCGCTTAGGCAAGGAAAGGCGATGCTCCTCAGTCCGCTGTTAACAGCGAGCTTGAGACAGTTCCAGTAGCAATTGGCCAACAGATCCTCGTGACCGACGAACTGGACGGCCTGAAAATAATGTGGCCGGACGGTGTGGATGACTTTGCGGCAGGGTAGATTGTACGCATTGGTCATCACTGCTTGACCCATCTTGCAGTCTGGAACAGTTCGACATTCCCGTAGGAGCTCCGGGCCTGCTGCCATATGGATTCGATAACTTATGGAATCCGATGCACCGGTATTTAGACCTTGGCTAGTTGCGTTGACAATAGCATCAACATCGATCTTAGTGATGTCGTGCAGTATCATCGATATTTTCCGGTTCACTTCGTCTTTTGGTAAGAGAAATGGGGTGTCTCCATCGTCCTTCAACATATTCTGCATCCAATCGGGGACAAACAACTCCGAGTTGATGTAGAGCTGTGAGATACTTGGAATATCCGAGGCAGATTTAACTGAAAATGCATCCCTCGACGGTTCAAAGACGTCGTCAATTTCGGTGGTGATGTTGCTGATTTGGCTCGCGAGTACTCTTGCTTTGTTCTGTGTAAATATGTTCTGCAGCCGGGTGAAGAATCGAGTGCGTCCTCTGACTTCTGACGAGTCTAGTTCGAAATGCTTATGGAACCACATGCTGGACCGTTTTAGTCCATTGGCGTCCACTCGAAATTGCTGATCCCATTGTTGGCGGAATCCGCAGGCTATTAGACAATCCTTGAATAAAGAGAAAGTTTCAAGATCAAACTTTGGCAAGACGTCTCGGGAAAAGGCTTCTTCATCCAGAATTCGAAATGCCTTGCCATCTTGAGCCCAGGCAATGGCCTTTTCGTGCTTAGCGTCTCCAAGAACACTGAATTTGTCAGCTCCCGTCGAAAGACAATGTTACACTATCTTACCTGCTTAATGTCTCTAAGAAGCCCTGAACGTCGAAATCTATACCAATGCCTCCTGGTAGAGACGTAGCCTTGCTCTTTGCATTTTCACCGCCGTGCTCCAACTCAAGTTCGACATCCGGAAAATTAGTCTTGTCAAACGCCAACAACGCTTCCGCGGCCTGTTTCTGACTGCCGAATGTGACGTGCCCCTGGTTTTCGACGTGTGGGTCGAGCGTGAAGCGCTGACAGCCCAGAGTCTCAAAGAAAGCGAAAAGCCGTCTGTTTGCCTCATCTGCTGCCGGCAAATTGGATATTCGGATCGTGCTTGGTTCTTCTGGATTGATGAGCGGTGACTTCTCCTTGCCGCCCCTTACAGATGTGTCGATGGAGTGTATCTCGAAAGCTGTCTTACCCTCATCCTTTATGGCATCCTTTTCCGCGCGTACAACATCATCATGGCTGGATTGAGATGCCTGTGCCTCTTTCATGAAGCGTGCCATCTTACCATCAGTCGCGTCAGGGACCGATTGTACTGCACTCGCAGAAAGCTCGGAGCGGTCAACATCCTGCGTCCCTTGATCCGGCCGACTGTTCGAAACCAGGGGATCATAATCAGAAGCCGTGTCTTTGGACCAATGGGAGCTAGCCGCTTCTGATACGTCTGATAAACTCCCTCTTTCGTGGAATGCGTCCATACTAGCGCCCGACTTGTCATCATCCGTGCCGGTGAACCTGGGTAGTGCGAACGAAGCAAATTTTTCCAAATGGTTGGCAATGTGGTTGTGCAGATTGCCTTCTATACCAGGTTCATGGGCACCCACAAAGCAAACTGGGCAGTACTCCCGTGAATCAATGGTAGATGTTTCGGCTACTGCAATGAGTTGTCTGATTTGCATTTCGGAGAGGTCGCTTCCGTGTACATCATCCAGATGGGTCCTGATTCCTGCTTGAGAGGAGTACACGGCGTGGGGATGGGTGGGACACCTCCAAACCTTTCTGTGTGCGGAACCTTCATGCTCAAGCCATTCACGACGGCTACGGAACATTTGGTCTTCTGAAGAGCAGTCCTTGTATGTGCATACGTACGGTTGCAGGTCTTGCAGAATATGAGTTCTGGATTTCAATTAGCTGGATCCAGTTGACAAAGTGTTGTGCCACCACTTACTTCCAAGATCGAGACCTTCCATATCGCGCCGGACAAATGACGTAACAATAGGGGCACTCGAAGTCCTTTTCTCCGTCTGCAGAGTTTGGCGGCGGGGGAAGATCAATGCCGTGGCCTCCAAGATCGCGGGCCGTGGTAGCAATCGAGGTGACCGACTGGCTGTCGACAGCATCGTCCAAGGTTTTGTGATGTGCAGTTGCTTCAGTTCCTGAAAGAAGAGTGCGCGGCTGCGCCTCACTCGGGGGTGCCCTCAAGTTCATCTTGAAAGCCTTGGGAGCCTCTTCTGGGGCCGAGATGCCATTCCCAGCTATCTGTGGCTGCACGACTTGCTCTTCACCAATGGGGGTAAAGTCTTCTTTTGTTGAGGCTGAGTTTGCAAGCTTGTCTCGGTGCTTTTTCCAATACTTGAATTGCTGTCTTCTTCTTGTGATAGCCTTGCTGAGTCGATCAACCAGGAAGGCAACATCCTCGTCCTTTCGTTGCGGCAAGCCATTCCTAAGATGGGCGAGAGAATCCTTTATGTACATTCTGTCGTATTCGGCGTACTGGCTCAGGACATCAACACCAGTGTCAGGGTCGACTTGTCTGTAGGCGGTAGCCTTTAGAGATCGAGTTCTCAGCGTGGGATTGCGGATCCTGATGGACAGACGATAGAGGCTGTTGATTATATCGATGATTTCGAACATCCTTTGCTGGAGCTCATATCGGGGCCGCTCTTCGTCGCTGCTTTCGTCGTCATCGTCCGAATCTTCGGAAGCGCTGTCATCACTGAAGTCGCCACGCACTGCTTGCTGCTCATACGGCAGTCTTGCACCCGTCACAACCGCATGAGCTGTGCAAATTATAAGTATGACATCTCGGAAGCAGGCATTTTGCCATACCTTCGTTAATATTATTCTCGAGTTCCTGCAGCAATTTTAGGACGTTGGATTGAAGTAGAGGGCTCTCTCGTAGACGATAGTCGAGCGAGCTGTGGCCTTTTTGCTGGGCACCGAGGTTTCCACCCCAGACACGGAACCGGCCATACTCATCCTCGAGGCTTGTCGGATCGATCAGGCTCCGGTGCTCGTTATTGCCACTCTCTAAAGCAGCGGCGAGAAGACGAAAGCTGCGCGAGCACGCAATGGAGCGGTCCCGGATCGAGACCATCACGTTCGATTGCAGTTGGGTTGCAGAGGCCAAAAGGCATGGCCGACAGTTGACTATCGAAACGCGTGATGATGGGCGGAGGTTTGCAGGAAGCTTGCAGGCAGCCGCCAACTGATCTACACTGGCCCACCCCCAAAATGGGCAAGCGCTGAACACAACCCCGGTCGCCTGCAGCGGCTGAGCTCTGGCACTCAGCACCGCCATGATTTCCAATCCTTCGACTTCAGACGTCTGCTTGCTCCTTTCCTTCTCCTCGTTGTTTCTATCGCGCGCACTTGCACCCAGTAAGCGCGGCCGACGTTGACAGCGAGTGTCTCCGCACAGACCCACACTTCGCACCACTTCTTTGTGGGGGCCAAAGGCAGCAAACAACTCTGTCATGCTTCAAGACCAATGACCCATCTAACACAGCATTTGACCCGATACGCAGCCGGCTGAGCAGCCCCTCTTGTCCTTGACTGCAAAATGAGTGGAGTAGAGCTCGCTGGCTTGGTCCTGGCCGTCCTTCCCCTCGTCATCTCCGCCCTCGAGGACTACAATGACGGACTGGACCCGGTGAAAGCATTCGTGAAGTGGGAAAACTACCTACCTCAATACATCCGAAAACTTCGGAATCAGCATGTGCATTATGAACAAACCCTGCGCCTGCTACTGGCCCCCATCACCACCGAGTACGAACTGGCCGAGATGATTGCGGAACCCCACGGAGACCTCTGGAGAGACCCGACCATGGCGGAGAAGCTCAGGTACAAGCTGGACGAATCATATGATGCCTATCACCACACCATCAAGGACATTGAGAAGATCATGACGACTATTGCCGAGAAGCTGGACCTGGAACGCGCTACATCTATCACCCGGAATGACCTGGAGGCCATGCTACTTGCCCATGGCCAACCCAAGGTAGCCCAGAAGTTTGAATTTAGGAAACGCGTTAAATTTAGCATGAACAAGAAGAAGGTCAAGAGGCTGCTGGAAGAGCTGGACGAATGCAACAAAGAGTTGGAGCGCTTTACAGAGAAGTCCGAGAGACTGGAGCCCTATCGGAAAAGCTCAAAGCCTTCGATTGCACAGAAGCTGCAAAAAATACAGACGTACGCCCGAGTACTACACGACGCTTTGGTCGATTCTTTCAGCTGCTCCTGTAAAGCTTCACACTGCGCGAACCTACATCTCGAGCGTCGAGAGCTCCATCCTAAGGCCAGCGGTCGAAGGCCCTCACCTGAACCGGGAACCATCTTTACTGTATCATTCACTGATAAATCCGGATCCTGGATGCTCCGGGAAACACAGATATGTTGCTCAGAAGAGGACGATGATCTTTCTACAAAAATGAGCAGTCTTCACGTCCACCGTCCTCGCCGAAGCGTCAGCTTTTCGCCAACCACACCGCCGCCTTCTCCAAAACCATCACACTCCCCATTGCGGACTATGAGTGAAGACTCTCATTACAAGGAAGTAAAAGACCTCTGCCATGAGATACAAAGCTTCGAGAGCGGGGCAAAGACTTGTATTGGTTTTTCAATGGAGAATGGTAGGCTCCGTGGAGCGTATCCTGTTCCCCTGAACGGCCTTCGACTTTCGCGCAAGGCAGAGACAGTCACGTTGGAAGAGATCTTAAAGGATGGCACCAAGATACGGTTAAGCAAGAAGGACCGGTATACCCTTGCTGTCACCGTCGCTTCTTCGATACTTCAGCTGCATGCTTCACCATGGGTCAGCGACAACTGGAGCAAACGGGACATCATGTTCTACCACACCATATCCGCACACCGCTCCATCGACATCGAAACCCCATACGTCAGTCAGAAACTCATGCCACTTCCTGGCAGTGTCAAGCCAATAGGGTTCAGCAGTAAGAACACTACTCTACTAGCGCTCGGAATTACCCTTCTGGAACTCTACTTCGGCAAGCCTTGCGAACAGCAAATGCCGGAGAATTTGTACATGGGGCCAGACAAGTCTCTAGCACTACTGTGTACCGCCCATCACTGGTACGAATCGGAGCAGGAGGACCTATCTGCAGCTTTCCAGGGCGCCATTGCACACTGCCTGAGATGCTTCGCAGACCCGAGCGGCAGCCTCCAGGATCCGGACTTCTTGCAGGCGGCCATGGAGCAGATTGTGTTGCCACTGCAAGATGAACTTTATCAGTTCTTAGGCACACGATGATCACACCTCCTTCCCGATCCTTCAAACCGGGGAGATTGCATCCCGAACTTGAACCTAAGGCCTGGATGGTTTTGTGCGACTTTACATCTCACATTAACGCCCGAAAATCTGCTTCAACTACCCACAAAAGAATGGTGGCGACTTCAGCGGTCCATTGTGACGCTCACCCAGCCTTCTTCAAGTACTCAATACGGCAAGGCTCAATGGTAGGCACTGTTGCTCCCGGACCGCACTCTTTTGCCGACGTCGGGACTCCGCCTGCATGTGACGAAGCGTAGCGTACAGCTAGGTGCCTATCGCCTCGGGTCTCCGCACGCGACTACGCGACGCGGAAAAGAAGCGCACAAGCACACAGACCTACCCGAAACGACGGTCAGCTACCCGAAATAGGCAACCGGCCCAACTAGACCCCTTCCAACCTGACGTCAAGCTGCTGAAGCCTGCAACGCGGACTGTTGCGTGACGCTTCGCGCGCTTCACGCGCGTTTTGACGGGCAACGCGACGCGCGACACCATTAACAACGCGGCTCGTCTCTCATTTCCAGCTTCAGCACTCGCGCCGCACAGAACTTATCCGCGCCGCAGCATGAAAAAAAAAGGGCCTGAGCGGAAGAAGGGTGCCCGAAATAATTTTGAAGGAGATAAGAAAAAAGATGAAGAGAAGAAAAGCAGAGATGCAAATGTGGCTCGTGCAGCCACGACGCCGGCCCGGCTAGGTTGGGAGAAGAACGTGGGCGCAGGGACCAAAAAGGGGCGCCGTCCAGCCAGGGGCACCGAACGTTCCACCCATCCATCCATTCCCTTTTTTTGTTTTTACCCCCGTCGCGCGTGCTTCGGGTCATGACGCACATACACACGCACCTTTGTTCATCATCATCCCCTTGAATCGGCGCCGTTCGGCTCACTCGCTCGCTCCCGTCTCGCCACCTCGGAGACGCGGGACGAGGGATACAGAGAGAGGAACGGAAGGGAGGCGAGGGTAGAGAGGAAGGACCGTGCTACGTACCGCGAACAACGTTATATTAACATGCCCAAAGAGCGAATGCCACGTTATCCCCTCGATCCACAGTGCCCCTTATAACCCCTTCTTTTCCGCTGTCTGCCAATCCCCTCAATCTATTTTCGGGGGGCGGCCTGGAGGTCAAGAGGAAAAAGAGAAGAAGAGAAAAAATTTTTGGAAAGAGCGGAAATGAACACTTCCGCCACGGTCTTGACGAATTTTGGGTAGGATCTCGCGTCCGGGCATATAAAATTTGGTTTTATGAAGGTACGCGAAATTGCGCGCCGGTTGCCGCCGGCGGGCGTATGGTCAAGGAGAGGGCGCCATCATTTTCGTGCCTTTTGTCACGCGGCCCGCAGATGGCGCAAATCAGTCCCCATTGATCTTCTCTTGGTGTGGCTGGCCTTGTGGCGGCCCAAAGTCGGGCCTGCTTGCCCTGAACTCAGGCATGCTGCGAGACAGCATTTGTGTGTTTTCTAGTAATATGACCAGATGCTATCATTTCGACATGAGACAAGAAGAAAGAAAGGAGAAAGGGCCGAAGTTTTGTCCAATGTCTCATTCAACTTTCATAGCTTCTGTATATCTGAGGTGGAATAACACTGCCAGTTAGTACATTAAAATGGCAACATTTCGCTTTCTGACGTTCGGCCGCTACAACATGTAATGTCCGGTGCAAACGTTATTTTATTCCACTCCCCACACGCCAAGCACGTCTCTCTTCCCTTCAACGGTGTTGTCGCCGGTCTTCTGCAGCTTCCTGACGCGTCTGACTAATAGTCCGACAGTTAATGGTCCGATGATCGTGCATAACATGATCGCCCAGGTAGCGACTAGGAAGATCTCATCCGAACCGCTTGGCGAAGAACCAGATGCGGAAGTGAATATCCCTTTGCTCTGCGCAAGCGACGAGATCAGAAAGCCAATCTCGCCGCGCGCCACCATCGCGCTGCCCAGGATGGAGGCCGGGTACAGCGAAATGGGTTTCTTGGGGTCGCGCGAAGTATGCCGGGTGCTATTATCAGCATGCTCGTCCTGTTCGGACGACGCGCCGTGCTGCTGAGCCGTGTCTTCTTCGCTTCGCGGAGATGTCTGGGCTTGAGATGGGATCTGCTGCTCCTCGCGCTGAGGTTGGAGAGCATCCGCGTGGCTGTGCTTCCGATTCGGGTCCTTCTTCCGCTCGGCTTTGGCTTCCTTCTTCGCCGATGCACCCCAGAGGTGGGGCATAGACGGCAGGCGGAGCTTACGGAGTTTAAGACGCTCGGGGATGTACGGCGAAACAGAAAAGCGGACTAACCATAGACCACATACCAGTTTCCCGAACAACATCAGGATTGTGTATACGATTCCACGCCAGACAACAGAGCCCGTAAACATCTGGGAAATGGGAATGGAGAAGCCAATCGAGGCCTGCACACATCGTCAGAAAGAGTAAAGTCAACCCGTCAGAAGCACTTACAAAGAAAAGTGGCTTCAATATCTTCTCCACAGCCTGCTGGTAATATCGCTCGTAAATTGCGACCCCAGATGTGTGAGCGGATGATTGGCTTCGGACGCTGTCGCCATTGTCAATCACCTGAGAGGTATTATCGTTCGAGACCTCGCCGGCGGAAGATTGTCTGCCAGCGTGACTCGCGTCCGTGCTCTGAGACTTCTCAACCGGCAAATGAGGCACCTCAACATCCCACCAGCTGATGGATGCACCAGCAAGATATGCGGTGAAGAGGTTGGAAGTCCCTGCAAAGGAGCCACCCGCAACGAAACCAAGAAGAACGGCTGTCTGGACGAAGAAGCTCGTCTGATGCATGGACAGGAACTTCTGCATCGGCCCGGAGGGGTGTGCCTCCCGGTGCTTGTTCAAAAAAAGAGTAGCAGGCTTGACGATCAGGCGGCAGACGAGCGGGATCAGCACGGCGAACGCCAGCGAGACGAAAACAGGCCTGATGACGGTAGTCGCGCTGAACGACGAGCCGGAGCCACCGAGGTTAGAAATAACTTGAACCATGACTAAACCCACAACGTCGTCCATCATAGCAGCACTGGTGAGGACCACGCCGAGACGAGATTTCGTGAGGCCGCTCGTTGCAAGAACGGTGAAGGTAGTTCCCAAGCTAGTAGAGCAGAGCGCAGCGCCTGCGGCGAAGGCCTGCAGAGGTGTCGCACCGGCCAGGCCCTGCAGAACGAACGAGAGGCCTATAGGCACACCAATTCCCGTGACAGCAACGGCGATGGAGAGAAGCAGATTGGCTTTCAGGGACGCGAACGACGTCGAGAGGCCGCCTGGCTGAGATGAGAGAGGTTCAATGGAAAGGGATAGGGCTAGAACGCACCCTCGTATACGAGCAGTATCAAGCCGAGATAACCAAGCTGGACAATGGCCTCTTCGGTCGACTCCGAGAGCCATTTTGCCCCTGGTGTGCCCCAAGCCACACCGACAAAGATCTGGCCGAGGAGGCCGCAGTAGACGGTGTTGTCCAAGATGGTATTGATGACATTGAGGATGACTAGGAACGAGCCCTGAATAAGGATAGTGGTGATTCCGGGCTCATGGTAGGGCAGCGAGGCGGCGCTACTGGCAGCCATGGTGACAGGGAATCTGCACGCGCGCGCTCCAACGGGACGGGGGTTAGCTGCGGGGCGCGGCTAGCTCGACTTTGTACGCCCAAACGTTGTTTACGCTGCCAGGACGAAGGAGCAGAGACGAGAAAACAAACGCAGGCAGCAGCGCAGAGGCTGGAGTCGGGCTACGCAATTGCTCTCAAGACGCCCAGCAGCGCTTGCTCGCGCGGAAGGCTTGGCTGACTCGGGTCTCGGCCAAAGCAGCAACAGCGTCAGGGATCAGCGCGGTCGCGGTCCGCACGCGCCTCCCTGAAGTGCTTGCCCGGTCGCCGGGGAACAGCCAACGGGAACTCGACTCTCGCAGTGCCGCGCCCGACAGGGTCCCAAGCCGCTCTACTGTCGGCCGCGCAGTCTGCTGTCAACACAACACCTCCGCCCCGAGAAACGCTGCGCCAACCCTCCCCGCTGCCTGCTTCCAATGCCGCGAAGGTACCATGGCTCCCCTTGAGCAGCAGTGGGTCATTGTCCAGCAAAAGACCTTTACGAAATGGTCCGTCTCTCGCCCCCCACTTGCCCTCCCGCCTGCTTCTGACGCGCCTCTGCCTGCAGGCTTAACAGCAAGCTCTCCGTCCGCGGCCTGGTCATCAAGGACCTGTGCACCGACCTCTCCGATGGCACCCTCCTCATCCACCTGCTCGAGATCCTCTCCCAGGAATCCCTCGGGAAGTACGCCTCGAAACCCAAGCTGCGCGTCCAGAAATTTGAAAATGTCAACAAGGCGCTGGACTTTGTCAGGAGTCGGAGTATTCAGCTGGTGAACATGGGCGCAGAGGATGTCGTCGACGGCAACCGGAAAATCATCCTGGGTCTGATCTGGACCCTCATTCTCCGCTTCACCATCAGCGAGATTTCCGACCAGGGTCTGAGCGCAAAGGAGGGTTTGTTGCTGTGGTGCCAGAGAAAGACCGCCTGCTACGACGAAGTCAATGTGCGCGACTTTTCCACAAGCTGGAACGACGGTCTAGCTTTGTACGTTCTTCAGGCGCGGTACAGAATAAATGCTATTGATGCTAACAAAGCTCTGCAGCTGTGCCCTGCTCGACATCCACCGCCCCGACCTTATCGACTATGACTCCCTTGACAAGAACGACCACGCCGGTAATATGAAGCTTGCTTTCGAGATCGCTGCCAACGAGATCGGCATCCCAGACCTTCTTGACGTCGAGGACGTCTGCGACGTTGCCAAGCCCGACGAGCGTTCGCTGATGACCTACATTGCCTACTGGTTCCACGCCTTTTCGCAAATGGAGAAGGTTGAGAACGCCGGCCGTCGTGTCGAAAAGTTTGTACAGAGTATGCAGGGTGCTTGGGAGATGCAGAATTCCTTTGAGCGTCGCATGAGGGAGCTGTTGCGCCAGATTGCGGAGCAAAAGAAGGAGTGGGAGGGAGCTGTATTTGACGGAACCTACGCCGATGCAAAGCACCAAGCTGCGCTCTTCACAACCTACAGGAGGTCCAAGAAGCGGGAGTGGGTCGCAGAGAAGTCGGATCTGGTCAGCCTCCTAGGCAACATCAAAACAAAGCTCAGCACGTACCGCCTACGTCCTTACACGCCGCCACCGGAGCTCAGTCTGGAGGCTCTGGATCAAGCCTGGGCCGGACTCATGGCAGCAGAACGCGCAAGAAGCTCAGTAATCAACGAAACGATCAGAGAGTAAGTCTCCCGTCTCGGACTCCCAGGTTTGGACTAACAAGGAGCGCAGCATCAAAAATGCCCTTCGCCGCTCGTTTGCCGACAAAGCGAATGACTTGGCACTTGCTCTGAACACTTTGTCCGTTTCTTTGTCAGGTCTCGAAGGTGACGTAGAAGATCAGCGGCAACACACGCAGAAGCTCAGCGAGAACGTAAAGCCATTGAATCAGTTCTTGGAAATAATCGCCGATATCGACAGGCAATGCCAGGAGGCTAACATCGAAGAAAACGACTACACAACATATACTTACGACGAGCTGGAGTACGAACTAGACTTGGTGAAAGCTAGCGTCTCGAAGAAGCTTGCTTTCCTCGACAACCAGATGGTGGCACGTAACATGACCAATTTGACACCCATTCAACTGGAGGAGTTCGAGTCCGTCTTTAAGCATTTCGATCGTGATCTGAGCAACTCGTTGACGGAGCTGGAGTTCTCTGCTGCGCTTGCCAGTCTTGGTCTGGTCTATGACGAAGAAGAAATGCACGAGCAGTTCATGGAGACGAGCGAGGGGAGCAATTACGTTTCGTTTGAGCAGTTCATTCGGTTCATGGTCAACGAGACTGAGGACCAGAACAACGCCGAGCAGGTCTTCGAGAGTTTCAGGGAAGTTGCGGACGGCAAGGTATGTGCATTCGACCCAACAGCGGAATGCGTGGATATTAACAGGGAACAGCCTTACGTCACCGAGCTGGATCTCCGCCACTCTCTCGTGCCGGACGAGATTATCGAGGATCTGATCAGGCAGATGCCAGAGCACAAGGGCCCCGACCTGCAGGAGGACCGCGATCTGCCCAAGTACGACTACATTACTTACATGAATAACTTCATCTCGGGCGGCAACCGCGGTAATGAAGGAGCTAATGGAGACGCATCTTAAGTTGGTATTGGCGGGATTGGGAGCTTGGTGTACATTCCATTCGCGGACGGAGGCGCAGTGCGGGTTTGTCATGGTGCATTGGACCGGCGTGGTTGGGATGCTCCTGATGCAATTGGGTTACTTTTCGCCTTTGGAGAGGCATTGTGGAGTGTAATTAGCAACAACAGCAGTGATAAAGCTTGCCGTCGCTCCGGCGTGACGGCGGCAGTGGCAGCGATTTATACGCATGCATGCAGGATCGAGTGGCGGCGCAGCTATATTTGTGACGAAGTATCTCTGAAACGCGTCGCGGCGGCTGTGTCGCAGGCTGATGGAGACGCTGGGCAGCTGCGCGCGTCGCGATAGGAGGCCGGTGCTTGGCGCAACGCATCAAGCTTCATTTGCTGTTGGGCTGTGGCGGCGCAGCGGAGATGGCAAGGGCGCGTTCTGGAAATTCTAGCAGGGCCGGGTGTGCGATCGCCGCGGGTGGTGCGGCGGCTATCCCGTGTCGCCTGGGCTCCCCCCAAGCAGCGGCCGCGGGATTCAGTTGACGGCTGACAGGCCTGCAACCACCGCTCCGCTCCAGGGTACCGCCCACGCCCCCGCTACCCTGTCAAAACTTGAGCACGCCCGCACGCCCTCACCTCCACTGTTCGTGCACTCGCTCACCCTGCCTGCCTGCTCGCTCCCAGCTCGCCAAAGCGCCACGGCCAACGCTGCCCAAGACTGCGCTCCCCCCGCCGGATCAGCAGCCCGCAGCATTGACTCGGTGCGAACTGCCGCCGTCGCGCGCATGAGCCTCACCGTACTTCGCGCTCTCTAAAAGTCGCCTCCCCCCGCCCCTATACCTGCCAGACCTCCTAGGCGAAAGAGCCGCACAAAGCACACCGCCGCCTCAAAGGCCCTGTTGCTTATTGTTCCTGGGCACGCGGCTGCGACGTCGAGCCGTCGATTGTCCCAGTGAAGCGCGGTCTGAGCGACCCCTCGACGTCGGGCAGATACCGCCCTCCTGACCATAATCAACACCGCTCGCGCCCTTAACCGACACATGCAATGGCCTCCCAACCGTAAGTCGCGCCCATAGCTCGCCCCCCGAATTGCGGAGTTTGCACTGGCCGCCCCTCTCGCTGTCGCTACCCACGTGCGGACCTCCACCCACTTCACCTGCTCCTCGCCTCCGCACCCCCCGACCTTGTGCTCGTTTCGCATTCCACCCAGCAGCGGCTATTCACGAAGGCGCTGTACGCTGACGCCCGGATCTACCAGTATGTACTCTCGCGATCAATTCATGAACCCTGGCCCTGCTCCAAAACCCCCAGCCGATCGCCCACGACTTGCTCTGACCCCATCCACACAAGGTCTACCTGGCAACATGTCTCAAATGAGTCTGAATTCACCCGGCTTCAGCGGCGCCACGCCCATCCAGCGCCAGCACACGGGAAACGAGAAGAGTGGCAAGGACAATGTCATCAGAGATGGCTGGGCCAAGGTGAAGGAAGACGGCATGCTGAAAGGCATGTTCTGGAGCGAGAAGTACCTCGTCCTGAGGGAATACCAGCTCGACTTCCTGAAGAGCAACAGCTCGCCCAAGGTATCCTTCACCATCTACCTTCGCGACGTGACCAACATCCAACGGTCGGAGGACTACCCGTTTTCCTTTGAGATCATCCGGACCGCCGCCACAGCTAACAACGGCCAATCACCGCCGCGCGACGGCCCTACGAAGCAGCTGATTTGCAAGGTCGAAACGGACGACGAGGTTTACGCCTGGATCGATTCCATCTACCAGCGCTGTCCCAGCATGGGCGGCGTGTCTAACCCCACCAACTTCACCCACAGAGTTCATGTCGGCTTCGACCCCACGAGCGGTGCGTTCGTCGGTCTGCCGCAAGAATGGGAGAGACTCCTCACAGCCTCCGCAATTACCAAGGACGACTACCAGAAGAACCCCAAGGCCGTGCTTGAGGTCCTCGAGTTCTACACCGAGAAGCTGGTCAAGCGCTCCGAAGATCCCGCCCAGTTCTCGAGCCTCACCCCCACGCCCGGTGCCGAACCTAACAAGCAGCTCGGCTACTCTTCGAGTGGTGCGTCCGTCGCCGGTCCTCGCCCCGGCCCCCCGAACGGTTTCCAGCGCCAAGACAGCTACGGCACGACCAAATCTCAGGCCAGCGGCAACAGCCAGCAGTCTTCGTACCAGCAGGCCCAGGCTGACGCCCGTCTTGAGGAAGAGAGGCGCCGCAGGAAGGAAGAGGAGCGCAGACAGCGCGAGCGCGAGGATCAGCGCCGCGAGGCTGAGAGGAGGGAACGCGAAGAGCTGGCAGCGTACAATGCCTCCCTCCCCCAGAAGTCGGTACCAATGGCTAAGCAAGAGCTTGGCGGCTATGGCGACGACAGCGACAGCAGCCCTGCCCGCTCGCAGCAGGACCGCTACAATCCTTCCCGCGCCGCGCCTCCAGCACCTACCGCCAACAAGCAGCCTCCCGGATCGCTCCGCCAGATGGCCGCCCAGCGTCCCGCGCCTCCGGCGCCTAAGACCCAGAACGGATACCAGGGCAGCGCCCAGACGAAGATTCCGACGAAGCCCCAGCAATCTTCCCAGCAGAGGTACCCCCCAGGACAAGGTCCAGGTCACACGCGTAGTCCTAACGGTGCAAGTGCTAGTAGTCAAGCGCGTGGTCCCGCTGCGCCCAAGCCGCTCAACATCGCAACGAAGCAGCCGACCGGCGCTCCGAAGAACGATGCCGTCAAGGCCGCCGAGGCCGCGCTCACGAAGAAGGAAGACCCTCCGACGCGCAAGGAGGTCCGTATGTCGGCCATGTCCGAGGGTGAGGTTATGGCGAAGCTGCGTGAGGTTGTCTCCAAGGAGAAGCCGCTTGAGTCGTACAACAAGCAGAAGAAGATTGGCCAGGGCGCGTCCGGCTCCGTTTACGTTGCCAGGATTCGCGAGAATGCGCCTTCGCGGACTGCCAAGAGGCTGCTTGCTGAGCACGGACCCAGGGCTCAGGTCGCCATCAAGCAGATGGATCTCCGCAATCAGCCCCGCAAGGAGCTCATTGTCAATGAGATTATTGTCATGAAGGACTCGGTCCATCCCAACATCGTCAACTTCTTGGATGCTTTCTTGCAGGAGGAGGCTTCGGAGCTCTGGGTCGTCATGGAGTTCATGGAGGGAGGTGCTCTCACAGATGTCATTGACAACAACCCGTCAATCACTGAGGACCAGATTGCAACCATCTGTCTTGAGGTGAGTGTCCGAATCCGCAAATTTCATGATTTTCGAGCCGCTAATCAATCTCCGCATGCAGACTTGCAAGGGTCTCGAGCACCTCCACAACCAGAACATTATCCACCGTGATATCAAGAGTGACAACGTTCTTCTTGATGGCCGTGGCAACGTTAAGATCAGTAAGTGGCGCAGTTCGAATTATGGCGTAACAATCATACTGACGTCTCTACAGCCGATTTCGGTTTCTGCGCCAAGCTTACGGAGCAGCGCAGCAAGCGTGCTACCATGGTCGGTACTCCGTACTGGATGGCACCCGAGGTCGTCAAGCAGAAGGAGTACGGCAGCAAGGTTGATATCTGGTCTCTCGGTATCATGGCGATCGAAATGATCGAGTCTGAGCCTCCTTACCTCAACGAGGAGCCGCTCAAGGCACTCTACCTGATTGCCACCAACGGAACGCCGCGCCTCAAGAAGCCCGAGAAGCTTTCGAAGGAGCTCAAGGCTTTCCTGAGCGTCTGTCTCTGCGTGGACGTCCGCTCTCGTGCGACTGCCACGGAGCTGCTCAGCCACGAGTTCCTGAAGAATGGATGCGGCCTGACTGGCCTCGGCTCGCTTCTCGCTTTCCGTAAGGGCTCTTCCCACTAGACGGAAGCGATTAATATTTTTCTGGTTCCTATTTGACTACCCTTCTCTCTTTAGTGACGAAGAAGCCAAATCACGCCAAGCACTGAAGCGAATCCGCCCGTGTTCCAACCCGGTTGGGATGATGTCGGTTCGAAGTTCCAGCCCAAGAAGCGGACGGACGGCGCAAAAGTTCTAAAGTGTCGGAAAAAAGGATGAAAGATACCCAGTTGCGACGAAACATCGCCTCTTCTTTGCGCGCGTCGTCGGCTAAGTTCAGCAAGCGCGACGCCAAAGTACTCGTTCACTCTCTTCGAGCGTTGCAGCCATTGGTCTCCGTGTGCGTTCGAGCAAGCTGGCCTTCAAAATTCTCTCAGTTGTTTCTGCTTTCAGGCGGTGGCGGCCCTTCCACGGTGTGCTTTTCGTTCCCTCCCTTTGGGCTGCATTTCCATGCATTTTGATATCAAGGGGCGCGAGGCAAGAGGTGTCAGTGAGGGTGGTTGAAATGGGCGGAATTTGCTTTTTTGATTTCTTTTGATCCCGCAAGTTTTTATTCATATTCCCGGGCGCCGCTGAGATGGACGAGCCCATGATTATTCACGGCTTTGCTTGCCTGTTTTTTGTTTTATGGCTCTCTCGTTTGTCCCAATACCCACCTCATATTAGTCTGGTTCCGGCATGACGTGTGCAGTGTAGAAGGGAGGGTGCTGGAAAGACGAAAAATTTGCAGAGGTGATTTGACTGCGAGGGGGGCCAAGACTACTATCCCCTGCTGCATTCCCCACCGCTTGGGTTGATCAAGTGGTAGCAGTTGAGGATGGGGATACTGGGGATCAGGCTCTTTCGATAATCGTGGGACACGATAGACATGAATTCACGGGAGTTTGGAATGGGACATCGTGTGCCAGGCCTAGAATCTAATAATGAGCTCGTGATTGTCGTATGGAGACTTGTTTTGCATCAATATCCGGAATGCAGCTACGACAAGCTGCTGGCTGTTGCGATATACCACTAACCAGGATTCATGCAACCAAGGAGATTCATTTCTCTCTTCCTCATACAGGATAGGCTGCACATGCTGCCTATTGCAATCGAACAGGTGTCGTTTGAAGATGCTGACTTTTGAGTGGATTATGACTGGTCGCTGGGTAAGATGGCGGTGCGGTCGTGGTTGGTGCCTGCAGCTGAGGGGCGCACGGCAGCTCGAGCAACGTCACCGTTCCACCCTGGAGCTTCCGACTGCGCTACCACGGCCAAGCCGCAGCTCTCTCACCACCGCAAACATCCTTATATCGCCCTCCTCTACCTCCTTGGATGCTTCGCCCCGCTTGATATTCGCCTTTCAGCCCTGCACAGCGCGTGCCTCGTCTTCCTTCGTGCGCAATGGCACCGTCCGTGAGCTTCACGAAAGCCACCCTGTCGTACCCGGTGTACTCCGCCGACTTCGACCCCTACAATCGCGGATACTTGGTCGTCGGCGGAGGCGGCGGCGAAGGTCGCAGCGGCGTCCCGAACCAGATCACCCTCCTCGATGTGTCGTCGCGGTCCGCGATCGAGGTGGCCGGCGAGATCGACCTGCCGCGCGACGAGGATGCCGTCATGTCTCTGGCCAACCTGGCCTCCAAGGACGGCCTTATTACTTTTGCCGGCATAAACTCTTCCGAGAATGAGCGCCTGGCAGACAGGAACAAACACCTGAGGTCCTTCCAGATTGAATACCCGCAGAAGAAAAAGGCGGCGCAAGAAGGAGCAGAGGCGAAGAAAGGTCGCGTTGGCTTCTTGGGCAAGACTTCCCTGTTCAGGACTCCTACTACAACTGCCGCGAAAAAGGATACCTACCAGCGTCTTCTGAGACTATCTCCGGCCCAAATAAGGGAGTCGGGGAGCAAGCGCATCGGCGCGATAGCCACGGATTTCAATCCTGTGTCGGAGCTGGTCATCTTCGATGCTACAACGGCGGTGCCGTCAGACTGGGATGTGATACAGAGGATAAATCCGAAGGAAGGAAAGGATATCAACGATGTGGACATCAACGAATCATCCGAGGGCAACTTCTCCGTCGCATTTTGCACCGACCATGAGGTTTTTGTCTCCCGCATGACATACGATTTTGAGAAGAAGAAGGCCACCTCAATCACTCCTGCCGACAGTCTCATACCCGCGTATTCATTGCCTTTTCCTGACGTTTTCAAATCCGGCTCGTCTCGACCAACCATCAAGTATATCCGTTATCTCACACCGCACCATATCCTGCTTTGCTGCAATCATGCCCAGCGCAAAGGCGCTGAGCTCCTCATTCTCCGCAAGCTTCCAGACGCCCCGGGTGAGGTCGTTCTGCAAAAGAGGCTCCCTAGCCGCATAAAGGCCGCCGGCGGCATGGACGTTTGTGCTCTGAACACAGATCCGGCGACTGGTGCACAGCAAATCGTGGTCGCCGTGGCCGGTCACGACATCTCCATCGAGCTCTACACCCTCGAATATTCAGGCAATAAGACCGACACTCTCAGCCGATTCAACAGCTACACTACGCTCCGCGACGTCCACCCCCTCCAGATGACCAAGCTCGCCTTCTGCCCCTACCACTCGCCCTGGCAGCAGCCGTCCTCGCCGGACAAGCCGCCCAAGAGCCCCGGCCCGCAGTACCTCCGCCTGGCGTCGACGTCGCTCGGCAACACGGTCGTCGTCGACACGTTCACGCTGACGCCGGTGCAGCCCAAGAAGGCGGGCAGCCGGTACGTGCTCAAGGGCGGGCCCAGCGTGCTGCTGGACCGCAGCCTCCCCGTGCTCGTCATCGGCTTCTCGCTGCTCGTCACGTTGATCTGCCTGCAGCAGTACCTCAACTTCACGGCCGCCCGCGCCGGCCAGGAGCCCCTCGTGCTCATCCGCCTGCCCGACGCCGTGCAGGAGTACCTGGCCGGCATCCGCGGCGGCCAGGACCTGCTGCCCCCGGGAGCCCGCCAGTTCTTCCAACAACCCAGCGCGAGCGTAAGCAGCGCCGCCACCAAGGCCTCCGTCGTCGTCGAGAACTCGTTCAAGGACGCCGCCGACGCCGCCGACCAGATCGTGCGCAAGGCCTCGACGCTGCACCTGCGCTCGCTGCTCGAAGCGTACGCTCCGAACTACTTGAAGTCGTCTTCTGACGAAGAAGACTACGACTACGACGACGAAAACACCAAGGCCATCCTCGTCCGCGCCGGCCCGACCGAAGACGAGCCCGAGGCCGGCGAAAGCCTGAGCACAGAGGTGCACGGCAACCGCGCCGCCGCGCGCCGGGCCGACGCGCACGCGCGCAGCTGGACGGAACTGAGCGAGGCGCAGCGCGCGGCGTGGCGGCAGCGGCTGGTGCGCGCCGGCGCGTGGGCCGTCGACGAGGGCGAGCAGGTGCTCAAGGGGGTGCTGTTTAGCGAGTATGCGGGGTTTGTGGGCAGGGTGACGGCGGAGGCGTTGAATGGGGGGCAGTGAGCTAGTGAGTGGGTGCCAGGAGGGAGGGGGGAAGGAGGGGGAGGGGGAGGAGGGGATGCTGGTGTAGGTATAATAATGGTGGGGTTTTCTCATGTCGTCGCTTTGGACGGATGGGTGGATGGGATGTATATATGACTTGTGGAGGTTTTTTAATGCGGATCTGATCTGATGACACACGGCCTTGCTTCTTGTTTTCTCTCTTCTCTTCTGCTGTTGATTGCGGTCTCGTGTTCTGTCTGTCCTGGATTATGGCTTCGTCAAGAGCGAGCGGGATAGACAGCATGTTGTTGAAGAAAGGTGAGAATGGGGAGGGAACGGGAGGAAAGCGAGCGTGTCTGGGTTCGTCTGAGCTCGAGGTTAGTTGGCAATGGAGGAGGAAAGAGAGAGCGAGAGCGCGCGGCGGGAGTGGTTTGTTCACAGTTCATGTCACGATTTGGCGTATCAAGAGGAAAGAGCGGCTTGAGAAAGAGCCTTCAGAACCTTTTTTTTTGCTTCTATCCTACGTCTCCAGAAGCTCCCGAATCTCAAGTCTGTCGTCTAGCCTTGCAAGAGGCTGAGACAAAGAAGAAAGGCCATCAAGGCCGTTTTGTGGTTGTGACGAACCAACCCTTCCAACATACAAAAGCCAATCGTGACGGAAAACCTCTCTTTGCTTATTCGCGGTTGCAGATTTCCATGCAGAGAGGATAAGACACGTCGAGGCAGCCGTTGCAGGTGGTGGGAGCGGCGGAGGTGGTGGGGAAGGCGTAGGTGCTAGTTCCGTCCTCGGTATAGTGGTCGGTGTAGCGGTCGGTGGTGGACGACGTCTTCGAGTAGCGGTTGCGGTTGCGGCGGGCCTCGATGCCAGCAGCAGGAGCAGCAGTCGCCTCGCCACGTACGCTTACACGGTGGCATAGAAATCTGCAGTACTTCCTGACGAACTTGTAGCAGGGGGAGTAGCAGCCGTTGTTGACGCTGCGGGGATGCATGTCGCCACGGTGCTGCTCTGCGTACCTTTTGATGAGGGCGTCGGTGGGGAGGGCTCCGAAGGGGGGCGGGCCGGTGGCGAAGTCATCATCGTCGGAAAAGACGTCGGGGGGGTAGTCTCCATAGCTAGGGAAGGCGTAGCTCGGCTCGTCGTCGTCGGCGGCGGCAGCGCGGCCAGCGACCGTCTTGGTGGGAGCCGGGGTGATGGCAGGAGCGGACTCGTCGTCGCCGGCCGCCATAATGGTGGGGAGGACGCCGGGAGTGTCGACGGCAGAAGCAGAAGACAGCGAAGTGACTGTGCCGTGGCTGGAGACGTTCGGCGGAATGTAGGGACCACCCATGAGGATGGGCCTCGCCGAGGTGTAGGGACCGACGCTGAAGACAGGCTTGGGCGTGGGGTTGTACTCGCTGGTGGACGGACGGACGCCCGGGTCGAAGATGGGCGAACGCGAGTGAGTAAGGCGCAAGATGGGCGAGTGCGAGTGAGTATGGCGCAAGATGGGCGAGGGCGAGTGCGAGTGAGTGTGGCGCATGATGGGCGAGTGCGAGAGGGCGTGGTCACCGTCGCTGGCCCAAGTGGAAGTGCCATTGGCATGAGTAGAAGTGCCGTTGACCTGAGTGGAAGTGCCGTTGGCCTGAGCCAAAGTGGCATCGACGCGTTCGATGATGGGGTGGTTGGCGGCACTTGCGATAGCGACGCCGGCGAGGACGACGCCCAAGGCAGCCGTGATGAAGACGGAAACGCGCATCTTGGCTTGCGTCTAGTCAAGGGAGCGGTCAGCTGGCTGGAAAGGCAAACTGGAGTCATGGACATACTCTTTTTCGAAAGCGAATGAAGTTGCTTGCGCGCACGAGGGTCGTGTCAGAACGAAAGGCGTCGTGGAAGAGTTTGAAGTGGGCCGAGGAAAGAAGAAAATTTATAGACGGTTGGCAAAGTGAAGGCACATGGCCGCCCTGTTGCTGGGGCAGCGTATCTTGGAAGGTGACGGAACCGTTCTCACTTAAGCACAAGAGAGAATGGATGGAATTTTGTTTAAATAATTTGACCATCTGAAGCACCCCATCATCCTGCTTCGTTCTCACTCATCATCCGACTCATCATCCGGCTCGGAACCTTTTTCCTCGACGACAATCGCGCTGGGAATGGCAACCACGCCGGGAGCTACCGTTCGTGGGTTCTCGAGTATCCGCTCCCACATCACAGACGCTACTGATGCTAGGTCTATGTCGCGGCGGACGCCAGGAGCGTGGGTAGCGGCTTTCTTCTCGTCTTGCTTGCTCTTGATGTGCTTGTACACCTCGTACGGTATCATCCTTGGAGTGTGGGCAGGCGTGGCGCTATCCACGGTTGCCGGAGTGCAACTGCCAGTCCCGACCAGGGCGCCGACGACGACGGCGGCAAGAAGTTCGAAACGCATCTTGGCTTTTCAAGTCTAAAGTCCGTGGTTAGCAAACTGTGCGCGGGAGAGAATGGATGAGGGCAATCACAGAGATGCGAGGACGCAGACTTTTGTCGTGGTAGAGTTCTGGTCGGCGAGGGTTTTATACGTCGTCGGGAAGGCAATGGGTCAAGCAGACCCTGTTGAGAGGTTCCAAGGCTCACTTTGACCGTCCTGGTCAGATTACGTCGTTGGTCCTGAACAATGCATAACATTTTATTTCTGTTCTCAAGAATATTTTCTGTCCCAATAAACACTTGGTCCCGTATCCAAGACTTTTTTTCCTTGGCAACGCCACTAGAAAAGGTCAAGGCCATCCGGGCCTGCCAGGGCATGCTTTGATGCAAGCAGCAACATTGCTGTTACCGAGGCCACAACACTTTTGGGCGCAGTCGTGGTGTTCCGGACTCTCGAGGCTACTACTGTTGAATATACGGACGTGACCATGATCTCTGATGGCGGCGCGACTAACGACCTGAGGGCAACTTTTCAGCCAAATGACAGGGCGGCCAAAGAAATGTTCAGAGGGCGTTCGGGTGGTAGAAGGAATAACGTCGGTTCTGGTCGCCTGGATGAAGGCAGGACAGTTGACACCGCAAGCGTGCTGGCAGTTCCAGTAGTACTCGTAGTTGCAGTTGACCTTGCAGTAGCTATCATGCTGAAACTGGCAGCTGTTGTAGCATACATCCTGGTCGAAGCACGAGCTGTTCTGCGAGAGAGTGGCCGTCTCGGGAGCTCCGGGGAAGGCCGTCTTGACGCAAGCGCTGACGCAAGAATGGAAGTCGCCGTCGTTGCTGCAGCCAGCCAAGCACGTCTTGTCGTCGGCATCCATGCACTTCAAGAGGCAAGGTCCATCGTCGAGGTGGCATTTTTCCGCACACTCGTTCCTCGAGACCGTCAATGGACCAATGCGGTGGACCTCGTTCGCGGCCGTCAACGCAGCAGGTGGACCAATGAGGTGAACCTCGTTCGCGACGGGCGCTGCAGCAACAGTGGCGGTTGCGACACCGAGGACGAGCAGGAGGGAGCCCAGGAAGCGCATCTTGGAAGACCTGCGTGGTCAGGTCAGTATTGCCCTCGAGGATTATGAGAGCGAAGTACCTTTTGACACGAGCAAAAAATGGGGTCGGGTGGGGGTGAGGTCTTGGTGTCGGATGAGAGTACGGTTGAGTGAATCACCCCGGATGATCTATAACCCAGCGAACAGGTCGTCGATCGCGCTGCTCTTGCCCTTCTTGGTTTTCTTCTTCTTCTTGGGTGGCTCCGGTTCCGGTTCAGGTTCAGCTGCTCTCTTTTCCTTCTTTTTCTTCTTCCTCACCACCACCTCCACTCCAGACTCCGGCACGTCTTTCTTCTTTGGCCCAGCCTTAGCAGCCACCGCATCGCGAGCCTCAGTCTCGTCGTTGTCTCTGCTAACAACCTCCCCGAAGTCCTCTCTCCTGCCTACAGCTTCTCCCAAATCCTCCGTGCGAGACGCGCTTTCGTCAGCCTTCACGGCGCCAAACAAGCCGTTAGCGTCCTTCGCAGCAAAGTCACGCAAAACCGCCTGCATAGCCCGCTCCGCCTCGTCCTCGTACGCAGCCGTAATGCCCGTGATCTGCGTAACGCGCGCCAGGACGGCCAGCAGCGCCAGCCCGATGGCCGAAAACTGCGTCGACGCTATGACGTCGGTGAAAGCGCTTCGAGCCCGTCAGCCAAAAAAAAAAAAAAAAACGATAAGGACAGGCGGAAAACATACAGATACCACCTCGGCACGTGATCGTTCTTCCACGCCTCCAGCCTCGCCGCCGCGCGCCTCGCCGCGACTTTGGAAGCTTTGGCCGAGGGCTTCTTCGGGCCCGCCGTCAAGGCGGTGGCGGCGGCGGCAGGCGGCTGGTACGTGTTGTACTCGGCTACAAAGTGCGACAGCTCACGCCGGAACACGGAGAAGCTGCGCCACCAGATGCTGTGCCGGTGCTGGTTCACGTTGCGATGGTGTACCAGATGCAGTATGTCGCAGAAGGTCGTCAAGTCGGCGTGTTCGTGCGGCTTGAGGCGCGGAGGCGCGGTCGGCACCGCCGGCTTTGCTGGAGTGGCCATGGCTTTTGTGGGATGTCTCTACGACGGATGACGACGTTGGGGAATAGGAAAGTCTGATGGTTGTACAGCGATTGGCAAGCACAAGAGATTTTTTGTATGGGTCGTAGATAGCGAATGCAGAGATATTTTCCAGGGTCGTCGAGATAATCTGGTAGGCGGCGTAAAGCGTTCACGTAGCGGCCATGCCCGAATTGGTCCAGGGAATCACGGTGCCGGAGTTGAGGGGAGGTCGATGAGCCGTGGTCGGAGCCGAGCGAGATTTGCAACGCTGTGGATCCTCGGCTGCGCATCCCATGGTTGGACAAGACGCACACCTTATCCCAACCTCACAAAATTTCTACACATCCTCTCGCAGCCGATGGCTCGCGTGAATTTATTTTTCTCATACCATGGGTAGTTGAAGCTATCGCCCGGACGTGTATGTAGAATTTTTATTTCGACATTCTCGTCTGGACGATAGCTCCAACTGCCCATGACATGAGCAAAATAATCCCTGCTAGCCATGGGGACTGTACATCCTCTCCGCACGCATTCCTGGGACGTTTTCTTTGCACCGACTATCAAATTACTTCCGTACGCGCTCAGAAGGCTCTCAAAATGGTCGACGCGTTTTGACCCTACCCTCAGATCGCAATCAGCCAAAATAAACAACCGACACTGTTGTGAAAAACATGCGACAATGTACTGGAGATATCTACATTCTCCGTATCTTTCGCACGCAGTCACCATGAAACCGAGACCTTTCTTGTGGCAAGAGATAGCACTCTGAGCCCATCTGCGCCGCACACTGCCGACTTACCAGGGAAGAGAAATGGAATTGCAGGCTCTTCGACTGTCCCCTGGTCCAGAGACCTTCTCTTTCTCTTTCGCCGTTGCCTAGAGCCTGGGTGTAAGCCAAGGCACAACTCGGTCTTCTGCTTTCCGTACAGCTTCTCTTTGCTGTCTCAGCAAGTCATCTCCCGCATAGACTGGTCTTGATCCAGATCTTCCGAGCATTTTTCCTTCTCTACAATCTCAGCCATGAGTCCTTTCTCTAAATCTTCCTCTTCTTTCACGGATGCCCAAGCGCCGATCTTCCCCAAGCCACGCCGGCTTCCTCGGAACTGGATATCCAGATCTTCCTCATAGCCACATGTCTCGCCTTCTTTGGATCAACTATCAGCTATTTTAACCACCCTCCGGCAGAGCATCTGCTTCTTTCAATCGCCTTTCAGCGCCAGATATTCCGCAGCTGCACGCGGAGGAATATCTCAGCTGCCAGTCCCCGCTCCACGGTTGCTTCTTGAGCACTGTCCAGGCGCATACCAAGGACCCTGACAGCTGCTCGCACCAGATCTTCCGTAACCCGCGCGACAGAATCCAAAACGGATGGTCCCTCTATCACATGGTTCGGCTATCCAATCACACGATAGGCCGTTGCTATTGTCGGGGGCATCATCTGCCGCTGCTGCCTGATATTGTTGTTTCAGATCCAGCCCCGCCTGTTTAAGGACTCCTCCTCTTCTTCCTCCGCCGCCGCCACCATCTTCCTCCTCCTCTTCCTCTTCATCCTCCACCCAAGCTCGACAACAACAGCAACCGTCTCCGCAACCTCTTGCTACCTTCGACCCCGCCGCCACTATTACTGCTTTTCAACAACCACCTCCAAGCCTTGCCTCCATTACCCAGGCGCAGCGGACGGCATGGCTCCATCCAAGATCTTGCACTCCCCTCCCAGATATTCCACTTCAGGACCTCTTTGCTTCGAGATCTCTCCAACTAGCTTTCGAGATCTTGCACAACCACCGTTGCTGCCTTCCGACAACGTAACCTATCCGCTGCCTCTGTCGGCAGAGCTACTCGCCAGATCCGCCACCTCGCCGCATGATCAAGAGCAGAAAAGAAATGGGGGAAAACGCCAGGCTCAACTGCCAACAACCCTTGTCCCAAGTCGAAGTCCCAGTCAACCGAGCCTTCCGCGGTCAAGAGATGTCTAAGAGCAAGGAATATCTGGCCAGACACCACCAACGAAGTCACTTTTCCTCCACGTCAACACCCTCCCGTTCAACAGGCACCTTGTCTCATGGCTCAGATCGTCTGGAGACATGAACCTTCGGACATCTCTGCTGGTCACAGTCCCAGATCACCATCACCACCCAATGAGAAATGCTGAGATAAGTCGACATTCGCATTTGATCCGACTATCATAGCCCCAACACCATGAGGCCGCTACTTCTTAATAAGACCAGAAAGTACCCGTTATGGCTGCAGAGATGTCGCTCCACCACCTGCCTTCTCGAAAACCAGAAAACAAAGGTTATCAGCAAAAGAAAAGCAAATCCCACCGTGCGCCTCCGCCAGAAAAAAAAAGCAGAAAACAAAGGTCATCAGCAATTGGAAGCAAATCGTTGTCGTCCCTTGAAATCGTCAACCAACCAGGCCAAGCATCATCCAGAGCCCGCACCTATCGCAAGAAATTCCCAAAGGAAACCCCAACGACAGGACACAAGAGGCTAGCGATGTTGCCTAGTAATAGTTGGCGCGACCAGCGCTGTACAGGCCGTTCGGGTTTCCACGGTCGAACTGGCTGTGGGTGTAGTTGTGACGGAATTCGTCACGGGAGTGAGCAGGGTAGAGACCCTGCGTCTCGGCATTCTGACGGCTGCGAGCAAGCTTGGCTTCGTTGTTCGACTTCGGGAACTCCTTCTCCGAGCCGACGAGAGGCAGTAGAAGAGGATCGGGGAAGTCCTGGAAAGTCCAGAACAGCTACTTCTGTTAGCTACACCAGCTTCGGTTAGGGATAACGAAGGAACTTACCCTGGGGCGGCAGTTCGGAAGCTCCAGCATCACGGACGAGTTCCGAAACTTCTCAACCAGGGACTCCACACCCTGAACAGTAGCATACGACATGGCGGCCCTCTTGGTAGAGCCCAAGTGGCCCGGCCATCCATGAGCATCAAGCTTCTGCTTGACTTCCACAATCGTCATAGGCATGTCGAAGTTGACGAAGGCATAGCCAACGTTGCACATGTTCGCGAAGTCAATGCGAAGGTACAAGAAATCAAACTTTCCCCGAACCCAAGTGTTCAAAAGCGCTTGAAGATCGTACTGGTCGGGGGTTATTATCATTACAAAGAATGGGGAATGAGGGAGACTTACCGTCGTCATCTGGTTCGGAATGTTGCGCAGCATCACAGTCGTGCGCACATCCAGGCCACGCCTGATCTTCTCCACATCGATCGCATTATTCTGGTCATCGCGACGGCCAGAGCCGAACGAAGAACGGCGAGGGCCAGAGTAGCCACGCTCGCGGTGAGGCTGGACCGGGCCACCAGGGACGTAAACCTGGAGCTGCATCGCGCCGGGAACGTTGCCACGCTGAATGAAGCGCTGGTAGCTAGGACCGCCGCGCTGGACGACGGGCATGGGCTCATAGCCGACAGGCTGGAAGGGCTCGACCTGGGCAAAGAAGTCGTGGTCCTACACTGGGGTTAATCGTGTCAAGTTGGCAGGTATGGCTAGCCTCTCACCTTGATCTTGCGGGGTGCGGACCAACCGTTCACCAAGTAGTCGGTGAAGCTGAGAGAGTCAAGCTCCATGCGGAACTGGATGCCATAGCCGACAGCATTGGCGGTCAGGCCCGTGCAGACGACAGCACGCTGAGAGTCGCTTCCAAGCCACTGGTCCATCCAGGCCAGCATAGCGAAGTAAGGCTCAGGCGTCTCAACCGTCTCGCCAAAGTCCTCGCGGTCATGCGTGATGTGGACAATGATCTGGCCCTCGAACTTGTTGAAGACCTGCTTGCTTGGGTGCGAGCTCCTGAGCAGATGGCCGTACTCGGCGACCTTGATGAAACGGGCGTGTCCCTCACTGTCGAGCTCGTTCTTGGCCTGGAGAGCAGCCTCGGCCTGAGAGAGCTGGTCGAACTCGAACACAACAGCATCCGAAGGGAGCTCCATCATCTTCGTAGCGTGGAAGAAGGCGGCATCCTTCTGTTCAAGTTAGGAAGCAGTGCAAGAGAAGGTTTGGTGAAGTGAAGTGAAGTAGTCGGGGTGAGAGGGATCAAGAAGTGAAGTGAGAGGAGTCAAGAAATGAAGTGAGAGGAGTCAAGAAGTGAAGTAAGAGGAGTCAAGAAGTGAGGTGGTCAGGGTGAGAGGAGTCAAGAAGTGAGGTGGTTAGGGTGAGGGGGTCCAAGAAGTGAAGTGAGGGGAAGTGAGGTGAAAGCAGGATACTTGCCTTGAGATTGGCCTTAGGAACACCGCCAGCAAACTCGAGCTTGACGTAGCGAGTGGGACCAGAAGCAGAGTCGGTCGAGAACTTGGCATTGCTTTGGTCAGAGAGAGTGCGGACCAGAGCGTGCAAGGTCGTGGTCTCAGTGTCGGGCGCCAGCTGGTGAGGCGCAACTTCAGGGAAGACAGGAGGGCCAACATCACTCTGGCCGGGAACAGAGAAGGGAGGGCTGGAGCTGGAGCCGGAGCCCAAGAACGTCGAGGCGGGCATGACTGCTGGCTTGACAAGAAAGAGCGTGTCTGCGTGGCGTTGAGCTGGGGGAGAAAGAACTGGCGTGTGCGAGACTTCCAGATCAAGGAGTAAAGGAAGGAAGATGCGGAAGAAGAGTCAAGAGTTGAAGAAGGGAGGAAGATGGAAGGTTTTAAAGCTCGCCGGCGAGTGCCAAGCCGCAGCCATGCACGAGGCTCTCGGTTACCGGGTTATCTAACCCATTCGAGGCTGCCCTAGTCCGTTTGGGGCGGGAGGAAAGCGGTTGAGCGAAGGCGAGGTGCGGTGCTGGCGGAAAAAGAAGGCGCTGTTGCTGGAGGGAAGGCGCTTGAGACCCGGCGTGGGCCATCTGGCTGCCCAGTAGCGCCCACAAAGCAACGTGGCTGCTATACACCGAGATTCGGGCCATGGGATTTGCAGTCCCACGCACATGGAATCGCAGATTGACTTTCTCAAGGAGGGAGCTGCCGTTGGACATGCTGTGAGATGGCAGCAGCGAGAAGGCAGCGGCGAGAAGAGGCCGTCGACCCCGTCCGCTGCCACGCTCGCACCTGCAGACTCGAGCGCATGCTGGCGGCCTCCCCTGTGAGTCGGGGGACTACTATCAGGCGAGCAGGATGGCCATGTATAACCTCACTTGCGAAAGCGAGCCTCCCAGGCGCGATTCGGCGAGCGAGAAGCGCGTTATCGAGCGCTGAGGATCCTCCTGCCGCTGCTCCAAGCGTGCGATCATGCTGAGAAAGGGGCCCTCTGCTCCCCTCTTGAAGACCCATTTGCGACCTTCGCACGGCGTCAGCAGCGGTGGCGCCGAAAAGCTTGCAAACAGCCCAGGCCAATGAAGCCTCCAGTTGGTTTTCGCGGATGGGTGTGGCTCTGCAACATGCTACCGCTACTACAACTCTCAGGAACGTTGAGCGGCTTGTCTACTGCGCTCCCAAGCCTGCCCGTGAGGGGGCCCATCCTCAACCCCTCACGCGGAAAGAGATGCTTCAGTGCGAGATAACTGCTTAATTTGGGCAAGGAGGAGCCATTGGCGATGGCAAGATTGCTACAATGACCTAGAGCATGCAGAATTGTACTCGCGGCGCCGTAAATCATAATCAATCTGCATCTTGACGCACTCAAAGTGAGCTCAAGGTGAGCTCAAGGTGAGATCAATGTGAGATCAAGGACCAGGCCATGCTTCGACGATCAAGAGCGGGAACAGGGGATCACTTTTGGATAGAAAATTCTGACGCAGGATCGCAACTCGCGAGCGCTGTCCAGCGTGCGGCATGCATGAATGAACTGATGTCTCACCGGGTCGCAGCTGCCAAAGTGAGAGGGCGAGGTGAAGTGAAGTGAAGTGTCGACAGGGGTGGCGGCACGCGGTTAGCGGCGGTCGTAGGGCTGAAACATGGCCCGCGCGCGACGGCCGCCTTCAGCGCCCGCGTCCAACTTCCGACCGCCGCATCATCACCGCCCGATCCAGCATCGCTGAAAGAACGCGCCCGTCTCCTGCAACTTAGAGCCTCCGCGCCGCGGTTTGCGAAGACGGTTCCCGCCGATGATGCTTGTGACTTGAATCGGACCATCTAGTAGACTCCAGTGGCCGAACAAACCGCAACTACTTGTCCAAGGTGCGGCTGCCTGCCCGACGCTCCCCCGGACAGCCCCCGCCTGACTTGGACCTCTCCGCGTAGCCCCCCGTCGCGCCCTCTGCAGCCATGCCCGCCGCCATAGATCCCGCCGATGACCTCGCCGCAGCCACCCAGCAGGTCCGTTTCCCCCTTATTGTGCCTGAATCTAGACTCATCATGCCAGATTACGCTTTCCTCCTCCGATGCCGACTACATCGATCAGCTGGCCCCCCTGCTGAAAGATGCTCGCAATGATGGAAACCGTGCAGGCCACATCATCCAGGCCTTGAACCAAGTCTCGGCCGCCCGCGAGTCCGATATTGAGCGCATGTGCAACTCCAACCACCAGGAATTCGTCAACTCAGTCAACCAGCTTCTGCGTGTCAGAGAAGGCACTGTCGATCTGACTGCAGAAATCCTGGATCTGAGCCAGTCTATTCAGGCCAGCACCGAGAAGCTTGCCGAGCAGAAGAAAGCCCTCGTCGACTCGAGGGGCGTGCGCCAAAACGTCGATGAAGCCACCAAAGCGCTCAACGCCTGCCTGGAAGTTCTGCGTCTGGCCAACCAAGTCCACGACCTTCTTGCCAAGAAGAGCCATTATGCTGCCCTGCGCGCCTTGGATGAGCTGCAGAATGTCCATCTGCGCGAGGTTTCCCGCTACAAGATTGCCGAAATGATCGAAACCTCTGTCCCAGCGACTCAAAGACTCATCGCTGAGGCCGTCATGACAGATCTGAACACCTGGCTGTATCGTATCAGAGAAGCCTCGCAGTACATGGGCGAGGTCGCATTCTATCACACGGATATGCGCCGGACACGGCACGAGGAACGCATCAAGCAGGACGAGTACCTCAACAAGTTCCGGTTGAACTCCCCCATCGAACTCGTCGCCGATGAGGGCGACGAGTTTGACATCCTCAACGACGATGAGACAGAGATCAAGGTCGATTTCTCTCCCTTGTTCGAGGCGATGCACATCTACGAAACCCTGGGCCGCAGCGACGAGTTCCGCGCAGAGTACGCAGCCACGAGAAGAAGACAGAAAGAACTGCTCATTCCAAGCTCATTGAATCTTCTAGATGAAGAAGACGGTGACTTGAGCAGCTTATTGGAAAGTATTGCAGGCTTTGCCATCGTCGAGAGAACTACGATGAGGAAGACTGAAAACTTGCGCACAACAGTCGATGTACGTTCACGCCCTTGCTGGTTAGGACAGAAACTGAGAGTCATTCTAGGTTGATGAGCTTTGGGACTCGATGTGCCAGAGCGCCATTGCGCTCATCACAAACGCGTTACATACCGTTGACAGCGATGAGAAATTGCTGAGAATCAAGGGCCGGATCGCCCTATTCCTCCAGACCATGGAGGTGCGTTGATCCACGTGCGATTGGGTGGACGGCGGCTAACATTGTTGTCAGAGCTGGGAATATTCCGTTACCAGCATCAATGCCTTGCTTCTCACTTTGTTTGAGAAGTACTCGCAGCTTCTTAAGAAGCGCTTCAGCGAGGACTTCCAGGAGATCGTTTCGACCGACGACTACATGCCAATGCCCATACAAACCCCTGACGAGTACGATAAAGTTGTCAATGTCAGCTGGTACACGTCAGAAAAACCACAAGAGGAGCTCACGTACGTGTTCACCCAGCTGTCAGAGAATTATACTAATGCACCTGTAGCTTCCCTTGCGTACTGCCGTTCTCGCAGATGTATCCGCTCTGTTGCATCGACATCCGCAACTTCCTCAATCAGATGTATCTATTCTCTGACGACAACTTCCAGCGCTCCACCGTCATTGACGAGACCCTCAAGAAGGTACGTACCACGATTCTTAAATTTTAGACCAGGCATACTAAATACCAAATAGTCTCTGGACGACTTGTTGTGTGAGAAGGTTTGCCAGATGCTGGTGGATCGCCTTAGCTCGCAATATCCTGGACAAATCGTCCAGATTCTCACGAACTTGGAGCATTTTGAGACGGCCTGTAAGGAGCTCGAGGTTCTCCTCTTCGAAGCTCGCTCATCGAGCGCAGCCGCCGGTCCGATCGTGCTGAACGCAACGGAGGCATTCCGTGCTGGCAAGAAGACGGCCGAGAAACGTATTTTCGAGCTGGTCAACAGCAAGATCGATGACCTGATCGAGACAGCGGAATACGACTGGTAAGCCTGAAAATCCAAACCGCTTCCTCCGTGCCAAAGCCACGTCTGCTGACACCAACACCCCCACAGGGAATCCACCAAGCCGGCGCCCGAGGTCAGCAACTACATGCAAGAGCTGACGCGGTACCTCTCCAACATCATGAACTCGGTGCTGCTGGGGCTGCCCGCCGAGATCAAGGAGCTCATCTACTTCGACGCGCTGTCGCACGCGGGCGCTATGATCCTGTCGCTGCCGCTCGACGACTCGGTCAAGCGCATCTCGCCGGCGTCGATCAAGACGCTGTCGCAGGACGTCGAGTTCCTGTCGTCGTTTGTCGACACGCTGGCCAACCCCATCCTGCGCGAGAACCTCGACGAGCTGCTGCAGACGGTCACGCTCATGCAGACGGACGACCAGCTCGAGTTCTTCGACGTCTCGCAGCGCAACCGCAAGTACGGCCGCGTCGACCGCGAGCACGGCGCCATCCTGCTCGAGAAGGTCACGCAGGGCCAGAGCGTCGTTGCCGACACCAGCAGGGCCGGCAAGCTCATGAACCGCATCGGCTTCGGCAGGGATTGAGTGCAGTAGTGTGTGTTAGTGCGTGTACGATGATGCGTGGGGAAATGAAAAGGAGTAGCGATATCGGATGTCTCTTTGGAAGTTATTGTGACTCATACAGTACTTTGGCTGGCGTTGACTTGTCTGCGTTGCAATCGACAGTGACTCACGTATCCATAGACAGAAGCTTGGCGGACCGTGTCAATGACATGGGTTTTCAATTAAGGACCAATTAATGGCTCGCTATATTGCTTACACTCTCAAGTCTCCAAGTCGTAATATCTTGTAAGATGGACTTCAGGAGGGGAAGACAGATAGGTCATTTGAACAAAGTACATGAATGAAGTCGTAATATTTTACTACATGCGGACGCTAAAGACTCTATCGAGCGGAAAGAACCTCAATTGACCAGCCATTTTGAGCCTTTTTTGGTATTACCCATTTTTTGTTCCCCTTTTATTCCCCGATGCACTTTGTCGGGACCGCTTCTCTTACCATCCCCTCTTGGCCAACCTCTCGGCCTCAGGCATCTTCTCGACGTTGAGGCCGACCATGGCCTCGCCCAGGTCCATGCTGACCTCGGCCAGGACCTTGGGGTCGCGGAAGTGGGTGACGGCCTGGACGATGGCCTTAGCGCGCTTCTTCGCGTCGCCGCTCTTGAAGATGCCGGAGCCGACGAAGACGCCGTCGCAGCCGAGCTGCATCATGAGGGCGGCGTCGGCGGGGGTAGCGACACCGCCGGCGGCGAAGTTGACGACGGGGAGGCGCTTGAGCTGGGCCGTCTGCTTGAGCAGGTCGAAGGGGGCGCCGATTTCCTTTGCGAAGATGCGCAGCTCCTCGTCCGTCATGTTGGCGGCGCGGGCGATCTCGGCGTTGACGGTGCGCATGTGGCGGACGGCCTCGACGACGTCGCCCGTGCCGGCCTCACCCTTGGTGCGGATCATGGCGGCGCCCTCGCTGATGCGCCGCAGGGCCTCGCCCAGGTTGCGGCAGCCGCACACGAACGGCACGCGGTAGCCGTGCTTCTCGACATGGTGGACGTTGTCGGCGGGGGTGAGGACTTCGGACTCATCGATGTAGTCGACGCCGATGGCTTCGAGGATCTATGCGGCGAAGGGTTCGCGTTAGCAAAACAACGGTTCCATGGTACAGTTCGTGCGGTATCGGGATGGGAAGCTTGGCGCCGTTGGCGTAGGCAGGGACTATTGCTTGGCCTTGGTTGGTGCTAGAGAAAAAAAAATCCTCTAGACTTTCCCGCGGAGAGAAGTCCATCCAAAGTCCTGCCAACATTGTTTCCCCCAGCCAATGCCAAAACGCTTGTATGAGTGTAGATGCGGGGAATCTGGGGACCTTGGGGCGAAAGGAAAAGGGAAAAGCGGAAGGCGGAGGCGGGAGCGGGAGCGGCGGACGGACGGACGAGCGGTGGCGGCGGTGGTAATTTTTGTTCAGCGTACCTGGCATTCGACGAAGTGGCCAATACGGGCCTTCGCCATGACGGGGATGGTGACAGTGTCCATGATCTCCTTGATCATCTTGGGGTCGGACATGCGTGCGACGCCGCCCTGGGCGCGGATGTCGGCTGGCACTCTCTCGAGGGCCATGACTGCTGCGGCGCCGGCTTCCTCTGCTATGCGGGCCTGCGCGCGTGGGTCAGCGATGGAATTGCTGGTTTAGGAAATCAATTGGAGCGGGCACGCACCTGCTCGGCGTTCACAACGTCCATGATGACTCCGCCCTTCAGCATACGGGCCAGACCGGCCTTGACCTGGAAGTTGTTGGCCTGGCCATCTGCTGCGGCGCCGGTGCCGTTGGTGGTGGGGAGTTCCGAGGCCATGGTATTAACTGTGGTGGCGGGCGAGTCCTGGGGAAGAATTGGGGGAAGAAGATGACAGAGAAGTGAGGGAAAAAAAGGTGTATTTACGAAAGGAAAGAGTCGGGACAGTAGTGAGTCACTAGCAAGCGGCTACCCGCGGCGTCAACGGCGACAAGAAATCGCATGTCGTTGGCAGCTAAAGGGCGCAGCGATAGCGGGGGCCAAATACGCTAGTGGAGTCGCGGGAGGGATCTTGCAGGGGAGGCTCGGATGTATTGGCCGGCGGCGGGTACAACGGCGCAAGTCCAGATGGGCCAGGTATTGTCAGCGGGTGCCAAGGCTGGGGAGCGGCGAGGAGGGGCACCTGATGCAGGGGCCGCCCAGCGACGCGGCCCGAAGCTCATGACGTGAACCATCACCCCGCCGAACCCGCCGAGCTGCAGCAATCAACGACCCTCCTCATTCGCTGTCGCCTGCCACCACGGTGTTCTCTTTTCGTCTCCTCTGCATTCGATCCCGCCACTTTCCCGTCCACTTTCCGCACGATTTTTCCCTTTCCCGGTCCTAAACGATCAAGCTACACCGAACATGGCGTCCCTCCGCCTGCTCCGCCCGCTCTCCGTCGGCTTGACCGCGTCCGCCGTGCTCGCCGCCCCGCTCCTCGCCCGCCCGTCCTCCTTCCGCCTCCGCTGCGACGACACCGCCGGCCGATCCCCCGTGTCCCCGCGCGACTGGTCTTTTGAGCAATATTCGCGCGAAGCCCGCACCCCTGTCGTGCGGAAGGGACGGGTCAATCCCCGCATCTGGCGCCAGATCAGCTCCGGAAGCATAATAGGTACGTTGGTCGGGAGCATCCGGGTCTCTGTTTTACCTTGAGACCTATCTGCAAGAGAACCGGAAGCATTCACCGGGCGAATGGAGCAGCGGCCATCTCGATTGGAGCTTCATGGTGTTGAGGGGCTTGCTGCCTCATTGGTGTGCAAAACATGGTCTATGGGGAACACCAACGACCATGTTTTGCACATCAACACGCATGTGTTGGCAAAGGCTTATCAAAGTGGATAAGTTGCAATACCTGGAGCGCGGGCAGAAGCGTGGGAGCATGACCACAATGCTGACTCTTAGCGCATTTTAGGTGTACTTGGTGGGATGGCAGTCAGCACCTTTTCCAAGCCATTGGCACTTCTCATTGGATTGCTGATTTTGGGCAATCAGGTATGCTACAGGCTGCTTCTATTTTCCGCAAACAAGTCTACTGACTGAGTTTATTTTCCAGTTCCTTGAATCCCGCGGTATCCACATTATTCCATACAACAAAATCCAGCAGTATGCTAAGGGCATCGACGTACGATCTTCTTTGCAAGATAACGTTGCTTTCAAGTTGTCCCTTGGAACGACTTTCGTGCTGGCTGCATTTGCCGAATTTTAACGAATCCTTGCTACAAAATAGCACGACATGTACAACTACCCCGAAACAGCTGGGACTGTTAATGCACTGTAATAAAAGACATTCGGAAACAGGCCCGAGCGCCTCATCGGGTTGATATGCACAGACTCAATAGAAATAATCATTATATTGCCCAGACCTTCTTTCTTGCTCTTTGTGTGATCGTTCGGGCCCAAGCGCTGGGCTGCCCATCTGGATAATAGATCAGACATGGAAAGTTAGTAAAGAAGGCTCCGGCTCGACAACCTTTCCATCACACTAGATCTTCCACTCTCGTATCAGAATAGTCTGACAGAGTAGTGGTGCCGATGCTTTCAACGCACCGTCAAAGCACGTCCGGTTAAAACTAGTACCTTGGCAGGGCAGAAGGTCTATGACTCGATATATCGGAGAATTTTCCATCTAAAAGAAGTTTCCCCGGCGAAGCTAACGAAAGGAGAACACGTCAAGAAAACTATAGTAGGTAGGGTGGTCGAAGGTTAATTTTGGCGGCTCCAAGATACGGGTGATCGGCGGTATCCCTGACAGAGTTCAAGGCTGGGCGATCTGCGGGACTGCGAGTCGTATCGTCCCTCTCTGACGTGCAGATCCCTCGATAGTAGGTAGATCTAGATGGTAAGGTAGGTGCGCGCTCAAGAGAGCGGTCTACAGAGCGGTGTATGACAAGATAGTCGTGCGCGCGAGTATCATATCGGGCAAGTTGATGGACCATGCCCATCATGCGGTCTCTCGAGAGCATTCAAGAGGAAGATCAATGGCTTTTGCCACCATTGCCACCTCCCCCGCCGTAAAAAAAAGAAACTCTTCTTGAAAGACAAAGCAAAAACATTCATTTCGGTTCATGCCTAACTTCATAGGTCGTCTCGACGCGGATTCCAAAATCAAAATCCGACATGGTATTTCGTGCCGGCGCTCTCCCATGGCCGCCGCTCCCGAGATGCCCATCATTATCGTCATCATCATCATCCCTGCCCGGCCGCACGATGTCCGCACTACTCGCCCTTGTCGCTTCGACGACGCTGCTGCTGCTGACCCCTTGAGCGTACCCGATGCCGCCAATGTCGCTGATGATGCGATCCGTGCTCCGCGCGTCGTCCTCGACGTAGCCCGCCGACGGCGGCATCGACGCCGTCTCGCCGCCGCTGTCCGACCCCGCGCGGTGATCCACAATGACTTCGATGACCTGCGGTTCCACTTTCTGCCCGGACGCAGAGTTGCCCAACTCGAGCGACTGGCCCATGACCGGCGACGACGAAGAACCGTGATGGTGGTGGTGGTGGGGGTGGTGCGGCGACGAGATGCTCGATTGCGTCATGTGGCGGCTGTGGGAGCGGGTCGAGCGGAGGAAGGAGTGGTAGGTGATGAACTGGGACGAGCGATTGTTGCTTTCGATGTCGCCGTTGTTGGTCGTGTGCGGGTAGCGGTGCGGCCCGTCGCCGCTGAGGTTGAAGCCGGAACCTGTGCCGTACCGGCTGCTCCAGCTGAAGAAGGAGCCGAAGTGACGGCGGAAGAAGGGGCGGAGTGTCGGCGCGCAGACGCAGACGATGCTGACCGTCGTCTCTACGAGGCTGTTGGTGGTTTGGAATTTAGTGTGAGTCCTTGTTTTGAAAAAGGGGGTTGTTAGTCCAGATGGCTGTTTGACGACTTACGACCATATCGCCAGCTTGGACGATTGATATGTTACATCGCCATCGTCATCCATCGCATATAAGATGACTGACTGCAGCCGGACTGCACTGACAATGATCGTTCTGTTCGATACCAAGTGCAGACTGGAGTTAGCCCCTTGTTCTATCCCTGAAGTGGGTCAAGAGAGAAGTTCAGATAAACTTCATAAGGAAATAAAGAAAGACCCATCGACTTACGCAGATCCAAGTGAAAATAATATACATATCGTGATTTTTTGTCTAAATTCGAGCGAAAGATTCCAGATGATAGGAATGGGTAGTATCAGGATCAAAATGTCACCTGCATGTTTGCTGATTAATACATGTGCCTGACGAGTTGAGGGCTGGCGTATATCTGCTTGGGATGGGTCAAGGCGTACTGATGAGGTTGAAGGCAGTGTTTGCAACGTAGAATGCCCATTTTGCAGGAGATTTGTCCCCTGTTTCATGGGCATGCCTATAGCATACTTAGTAAAAGGCCATAGTCGGAGCGGAAGAGAAACATGTCTCTTACCACTTCGTATTGACGAGCGTCCAACCGAAAGCCGATGCGATGGCAATAACGAGCGAATAGCTGATGGTGAAGATGGTGATGCACCACCAGCGCTTATTAAAGTCCTCGATGGGGAAGAGTCGACGGTATAGCAGCAGGATGGAGAGCTTGCAGGCCAGCATAACCGTGTTGTACAGTGTAGCACCCGCCACCATTATGCGGATGAACATGGTCTGATCGTTGGGGTCGACGTCGTCCATGTGTGTGCCCAAGCCGTACTGGGGGCCGATCTAGGGTCAAGCCTCAGTAATGCAGTCCGCTTTCGTAGAGGGGGTTGGTGTTGAATTTACCGTGAAAAGCACCATCATGGCGAGCCATGCTGCAACGCTGACTATCAACGAATCTGACACCGATTGCATCAGTACTCCAGTGTTTGAATCAAACAGGCAGGGGTCATCTCACAATCATCGGATCCCATGCCCATCACGAGAAGAATTCTCGTGTACAAGCGCAGCGTCACGATGACCACTACAATGACGGTACACGCGATACTGCATGTTATGACAGAAGACGCGCCCGACTGCAACCGTGGTCAACTGTACAATTCACATTGATAATCAAGACGTTTCCAACACACCTCATTATGTGACATCACGACGACAGCGTCGTCTCAAGGATTAAGAGACTTCAGTACTGGCAAGCCGACACGAACCTGCGGAAGCATTGGTGTGCGGCTGACCGGGTGGGAAACAAAAGACGGGAAGTGAGAAAAGGCGCAACGGCGATCCGTAAGGCGCAGTATAAGGCGCAAGGCAAAAGGAGGACGTGTGATTAGCCTGCCCCACGAGGGATGTAAGAGAAATTTTTCAAGAGATAGTAGTCACCACAATAGAGTGGAATACGAGTAATTCGGCGCCCAAAGCTTACAAGAGCCGCACTTGGAGTTTCGGCGATAGCGCGAAAGATTGCCGACTAGACAGTTAGACGGGCAAAGCACGCCGCACTAGCATGAGCGGTGGGGATAACAGGCGGTTCTAACGGGGCTGCAGGCACGTATTCGAATGAAAGACTGCGATGGGGTCTGTGATATGTATGGGAGATTCCAAATCCGTGGCAGCTCGGCCGACGCGCCTGTATTCTTTTCCGACGTGTGCCTAGCATGACATCTTGCAGTGCTCCCGGAGGTTGAGACAACAAGGAAAGGGCAACTACGGGCGTAGGTACAGTGGGGGGCAGGGGTTGGTGTTCGCCTGGGGGGGCTTCCACCAGTCATGGCGCGGGGGGAGACGGTTCCGGAGCTTGGGAGGGATTGCTTTGGGCAAAGGGTTCATGAGTCGGTGGTGCGTGGTGCCTTGCTTGATGCGGAATCCTCTGATGAAACGGAAGCTGCCAGCCACTCGCGAACGGGTCGGGACCGGGGAAGCAGCATATCTCGGCTCCCGGGCCGTCCTCGACTCAGGCGTGGTCGGTGATACGTCGGCAAGTTCATGCGCATATGCCAATGAGCGCTGTGGCTGGCTTCCTCAAGCTGAAACTGAGAGGCCGCGCATGCGCTGACGGAGAGCCTGGACGCCAAGCCCAAGAGTCATGTCGCGAGCGAGCTCACGAGAACAGGCTTCGCGCCGTCCTGCGCCGATCTGCCTTACCGCAAGGATCACCTTTGCAACGAGGATCCCGTATTGATCGGGGTCAGGTACCCCGAACACTGCTCATGTGCCGCAATACACTGCCAGCTTGCCCAACGCCCTTTTCCATCACACCCTCGCCCTTGGCGCCAACGGTGACAAAGCCCAGAGTTGATAATGCTGCTATTATTACACGGCAAGGCTTACATACCCTAATCCTTTGTTCTAGACGCGCTTCTTCATCTCCTCGTGCTTTCGTATCGCATCTTCGAACAGCGCCCGGCACGGCACCCTGCTGCCCAGTCGAGCACACAGCAGGAAAGCACCGCTCAATTTGCGGTGCAGCGAGTACGTCTCTTCGGGCGGCGGTGCGAGCCGCTCTCGGACCATGGTGGGGATGAAGCTGCGCACTCTGTCGGTGATGGTCTGGTCCCTGAAGTCGTACACGGCAGGGCTGTCCGCCTTGAACGGCTCCGCCAGCGTGAGGACAGAGTCGATGTGCGCGTTTAGCATGGCCGACGACTCTGCACCGGTAAGATAGCCGAGCTGGATCGAGAGATCGCGGATGATATCGCGATCGTTGCGGGACGCAGCGATGAGCACGTTGACATAGGGCTCGGTGAATTCCAGCGGGTAGTCGCGGGAGGCCCCGAAGTCGAGCAGCTCGATCTTCTTGTCCTGGCCGTTGTACAGAAAATTTGTCCAGTTGGGGTCCGTCTGCATGAATCGGAACTCGACCAGCTCGCGCAGACACAGCCGCAGGATGTGTGTGCCGATCCAGTCCCTCTCCTCCTGGCTGATTGAAGACAGCTTGGTGACGCCCTTTCCGGACATCAGTTCCGCCGTCAGCACCTCTTTGCCCGAAGCCTCGGCCACAACGGCCGGGACCCTGAATGTCTCCGTTTCATCAGCAAGCAGTTTCCTGAAACGCTCCTGGCACTCGGCTTCGCGAACGTAATCGCATTCCCAACCAAGTTCCGTGCGCGCGTTGGCAATCGTCTTGTCGAGGAACAGGCCCTTCGGCAAAAGCCGTGATGCCGTCAAAAGAAGCGAGAGGTTGCTCAGATCTGAGTCAATCGAGTTGGCAACGCCCGGATATTGCACCTTCACCGCCACAGCCTTGCCGGTCGATTTAAGCACAGCCTTATGCACTTGACCAATGGATGCTGCGGCTATCGGAACATCCTCGAAAGACTCGAACAAGTCTTTCCAGTTGCTGCCGAGGTTGCGCGCGAGCACCTTATTGCGCTGAGATGCAGGCATGTAGTCTGCGCTGTCCTGGACCCTTTGCAGAACATCATGGATCTGCGGAGGAAGCATCTTGATGTCTGACACCCAGTCAGCAATTTGATGATTTTTACACTTGCCATGACTCACCTTGAAAGCTGATCATTTGGCCAAGTTTAAGAGCTGCGCCACGCATTCGCGAGAGCTTGGCCACAAGCCGTTCCATGTTTCCAGCACTAAGCATTAACGAAGCACCCGTCGCCGCTCCGCCGGTAACCCGACGCAAGCTTTCGCCAACGGCCCCAAACGCCATGCTGGTTCCAAGACCGGCGTATTGCCAAATTCTGCCAAACCGAGACGAGGGGACACGGGACTCTCGCAATTGGTAAGCAGCCCTCTCGGGATTGGAGCTTATTTCTGGTGGTATCTGCCGGGTGTCAGCCGGTCCGCGCTCGGCCTAACGAAGTATATCTGGAAGTACCTCTGCTGTCGAAGGAGCGTTTGCGGCATCCTTCGCAATTTCCTTTGCCAGATTTTGGATGTCTTCATCTCTTGAATGAGAATCCGCTGCCTTGGCAGCCTGCGGCGGAGGCGCGGGATCTGTTGCTTCAGAGTTACGCACATTGAACGTATCCTGGTCTTTTCCCTCTGCGAGCTTGGTATGATCGACGGGGGCCCGGCGAGCAAACTTCATCTCCAATTCCTTATGACGGTCGAGTCCTGGCTTCCTTGCGCCAAGCATACGCGCCACGCGGGGAGAATGGAAGACGTCGAGGTTGATGCCCTCAGGAACCTCGTCCTGCTCAGGAATAGCCTGTTGCTTGGGTACCGGTTCCTGCTCGCCATGCCTCTCCGCAGAATAGTAGACCTCGGCATTGATTGCACCGTCGTCAACCTCATCAACTGATCCTTGCACCGTTTCGGCAACCTTGGGAACCTTGACTCGGGGCAGAGACGAGAGTTCAGGGCTCGTCTTGCCTGAGCGGAACTGGAAAACGTCTGCGTTCGGCTCAGTCGTCAGATTGCCTTCGGAATCAGCCGACCTTCCAGGAATTTGTGATTCTGCTTCCCGCTGACGTATCCTTGCTGCTTCGGACGAGAGCTGGTCCCGCGCTCCAGGTATTGGTATGGTAGACTCGGACGAACTAACAGGCCGGACGCTTTCCGTGCCAGCTGCCTTCTCTTGCGCAAGCGGTGCCTTTGCAGGCTCCGGAGTAGGACGAGATGAGAAGAAGTCGAATTTCTCTGAACTAGATCGCAAGTCCGTATCCGCCGCTGGAATCGTGCCATCTGGCAACGGTCGTCTGTCTGCTTCCTTCTGCGTCACGCCGAGCTCATCCTCAGGCGGAGGTTGGTGCACGGCGTTGTGTTCAGAGCGGTCGTAGTGGTGGTCCTGCTCCAACCCGGATTTCTGCTGTATCGGCTCATCGTCGCCCTTCACGGTGCTCCTGCGAGGAATGTGTTCATCGCGCTCTTCCGATGTGGCTTCGGTGCGGGTGTAGGACGGCGGAGGTTCGTTGAAGCGTTGCGACAGGGCAATGGCGGCGCGAGCAGTGACGGTGACGCGATCAGTCTGGTCCTTGACGGCTCTGGCGAGAGAGGAAGTTTGAGTGTAGACGTCAAGCTGGTGCGAGCGGAGAGCTATGTGCTGCTTAGCGACGGCGCGCGTCGCATTGAACAGCTTAGCCGCATCGAGCAGCCGTCTTCCAGCCATTGGTGCGGAGATGGGACGGAATTATAGTCGCTACCGGGTTGCCATGATGCGAAGGGCGGCGAGGGCTGGTGAAGGCTAGGGAATTCTGCGGAGCTCTGGGTTCGCTTGGTGGGCTCGTGCGCGAGAGGTGAGTCGATCAACGTCGTCATGCCGCTTCCCCAGCCTCACACGTGACGCCCATACAACTTCCACCCTCCACTCGCCTCGTTCTCTTGTTACCGGTGCGTGCTACCTATGGTGTCTTGAGTTTTCCCTTTCCTACAAATAACGTCCTCACAACGTGTGAATTGCTTGCTGGTCCATCTTCTGCTTATCTTCGCTGATCGTCTCCTTCATGTTTTCAGACCAGTTGTACTTGACGATATTTATTTGCGCTCTAGTCTTCAACAGTCATTTCCAGCTTCTCTTTTAGCTTTTTTTTTTCCCCTTTCACTCAACTTTTTACATGTTCTATCCAAATTCTTGCCAGGCAGATAGACCCTTTACCTGATATCCATTCTCTGATAAACTTGCACAGCACCTATCCTTATTTCTGTTCTCTTCTTGAACGTCCTCCGCCCACACATTCCACCCCGCCAAGATGAAAGTCGCCTGCCTGCAGTACGCGCCCGAGGTGGGCCAGCTGCACACCAACATGGCCAAGGCCAACGTGCTCATCGACGACGCCATCGGCGAGGGCCGCACCGTGGGGCTGGACTGGCTGCTGCTGCCGGAGCTGGCGCTGACGGGCTACAACTTCCCCTCGCTCGACGCCATCGCGCCCTTCCTCGAGCCGACGGCCGCGGGGCCCTCGACCAAGTGGGCCGTCGACGTCGCCACCCGCCTGCGCTGCCACGTTACCGTCGGCTACCCGGAGGCTGCCGCCGACGGCCGCCGCTACAACTCGACCGTCACCGTCTCGCCCGCCGGCGACGTGCTGGCCAACTACCGCAAGGCCTTTCTCTACTACACCGACGAGACGTGGGCACATGAGGGTGACCGCGGTTTCTTCTCGGGCACCCTGGGGACGCTGGGTCAGGTGTCGATGGTAATTGATATATCACTTTCCAAATCCAGCCCTAGACCTGCTATCAAGCCTAGATTTGGCCACAAAAAGAGTAATAGAAGCCCTAAATAGCTTACACATATAAAAACATCACAGGGCATCTGCATGGACATCAACCCGCACAGGTTCCTCGCGCCGTGGGACGCGTACGAGTTCGCGCGCGCCGCCCTGGCCGCTAACTCGCCCATCGTCGCGCTCAACATGGCCTGGCTGACGCGCCTGACGCCCGAGGAGCTGGCCGAGCGCAGCGCCGAGCCCGACAACGAGACCATCGCCTACTGGCTGGAGCGCTTCCACCCGCTCGCCGACTTCAGCAACCGCCCCGAGTCCGCCCCGCCCGTCGTCCTCATCCTGGCCAACCGCTGCGGCGTCGAGGGCGGCGCCGTCTACGCCGGCACCAGCACCGTCGTCAAGCTCGACCGCGGCAGCACCCAGATCTTCGAAATCCTGGGCAGGGGCGAGGAGAACCTGTTGGTCGTGGATTTGAACGATGTGAGCCTTCTTTCCAAGTCTTTTCCTTGAGCGGGATTTCGCCGTTGCTGGAATGGGTCAGTACTAATGTGATCCAACAGGCACCGAAGTATGCCGTGTACACTAAACGGGGATCGGCAAATTCGTGAAGCCGTGAGAATAGAAACTTGAGGTAAAGATGGTATCGGTCCGGAGTCGGTTTAGGCTTTGGCGAATGCGTAGACGCAACACTCATAGTGGGCTTTCCGCGACTTTTGGGACTTGTGGAGCTGCATGGGAGACGAGCCTAAAGTTGCCAGCCCGGTCAAGCCTGGCAATGGTTATTTCCTGGGACAGATGCTCCAAGTGACAGCATAAAACACAGGTTGGATCGGCAAGTTACTTCATTTGCACTTGCGTACAATCCAGGTGTTCCCCCCCTCATCGCGCCCTAAATCATGCAAAGAAAGCCAAAATGTGCACCCATCGACATCAGGAGAGAAGAAAGCACTTCATGAATGTTTCTTGAATTTTTGTCCCCACCGGACGACTACCGGTCATCCACCCATAATGTTTGCTTTTGCAAGAAAACTTTCGCCCAGCCGCCACGAAACCCCGTGTCAAAAAGGTCAAAAGGTATCGTACGTGAGCATCGTCGGTTGCTGAGGCGCTGATCCGGACTTCAAATCGACTTGAGAGCGGATGAGGTCGAGGTAGCGGGTGTCGGCGAGTAGCTTAGATGCCGATGCGGGTCTTGCGCCAGTGCCTCCTCTTGGCGTTGTACCTGTACCGTGGTGAAAAAATGTCAGCGCTGCTGTCCTGCTGGCTTGCGTCGACTTTCCTCCGCAGTCCATTCGTCCTTGTTGGAATCGGCGGCGAGTGCGACGAACCTGATGGTGTTGCCGGTCCTGAGGCGGATCCACTGGGGGATGGGGCGGTTCTGCTTCTGCGCCTTCGCAAGCTTCTGCTTGGTGCGGAAAGACTTCTGGCTCTGTAGTTGTCCTTGTGGTCAGCGCACGGCGTCCGGCGACAGCATGCCGCTGCGAGCGGCTTGACAAGGGTCTGCGCGTACCGGCATCTTGACTGTTCGTGCGGCGTCGTCCGATGTCGATGGTGGGTGTTCGTGGTTGTCGTCGCTGGCGAAGGTCGGGAGTTTCGCCGTGGGTTTTCGCGGTTGTGGGCCGAGATAACGCTAGCCTCTTTTGGGTTGGCGCATGGCCTCCCGGGACCGCCCTCACAACGGCGGCGAGCCCATCAACAGTGCAGCAGTGCAGAACGAAGTGCAATAAAAAGGATGCTGCCGAACTCGCGTTAACAGCTATTTACATTGGCACCACCCACACCATAATCAAGTGATCCTCTAAGCCCCTGCTATTCTTGTCACATCCTATCTAATGCTAAGCGAGCAATGCTAACCAAAACTACTGTTGCCACCTCATGGTCGAGAATACCGCGCTTAGCGGCTCGAGGCAGATCAAAACAATCGCTTGAAACTTCTGTTCGCCACCCGCATGCAAATGCTACCGAATTTCCCTATGCAGCCCAACTGGTATCCCGAAGCGCCTCTCCATCTAATCATAAAAAGCGAGAAAGTAGATAAGGTTGCCAAAATCCTCGATATCCTGGCTTGAGCGTAGAAAGTCAATAGATATTCTAACGCTGAAAGTCTCGGCATTTCTGCCAGAAGTTCATCGAGACGGTCTTAGTGTTCAAGCCACCGCGAGCCCTGATGCACCGTTAGCATTTCATGCGCCTGTCGGGCAGACGTCAAGACGACTTACGCAATAACCATCCTCTTGAACCACTGCCTCTCCTTCTCGGGGACCTTTGGAGCTGGAAAGTCTGGTGCATTGAGCGCCTCATCTATCCAGGTGCTAACTCGCGGGTGCTTTGTGATGATGCGCCGTAGTGGAAGCGTAACCTCCTCAAGACTTGTGCGTTGAGCTTCACCTGCTATGTTGAACACGAGTACCTTGACGAGGATCGCGCCCAGTGCCTCAAACACTTGATCGAGTGGCATCTTTGCTGGGGACGAAGCGTCATTTGATGCAGTAACGAAGGACGCCCAGAAATGAGCAGCAGCGCGCTTTGGCAGGACATCCGGACCTTGCAGGCAGCGAATGGTGAACATGAAAACGAACTCAGCGGCCTGCGGTGGCTGTCCAAGAAGGATCAAGGCGTTCTGGCGCAGGATCTGCTCCAGCACTTCCACGCAACTGTGCGCAACGTCTGGCTCAGTCGCTGGATCTGAGATCGATTGCATAATACCCACGACGTGTTCAATGAGCAGTCTAGCTGCTTGAGTAACTGGGCTTGCATCTGTCGTGAGCTGCGAGGAGTATGCATTCAAGAAGGTGCACATTGTTGAGAGAATTAGCGTGAGACGTGGCGTCTCGGCGGTTGAGCGCTGAACGAAGCTCACGAAGACATGCGGGGGAAGAACAAGAGGCCCTGGTCTCCGCTCGGCAAACCCGCTCTTGAAAACGGTGCAGATGGCCTCGTTAACTTCGCCAAATTGTCCGAAAACACTGCTTCGCTTAGTCAAATTTCAACCGTCGAAGTATGCTAGAGGGGACTTACTGCGCCATCATGTCTATGCATTTGATGATTCGCTCCTGTAGTTCAATCCCTGCGGGTTGGGTGTTCCAGAAACTCACGGTGGCGACGTCTGCTTCTTCTTCCTCCAGATCAATAACACCCAACTTCTCCGATTCATAAGATTGGAGAGCCTTGCCCATCGCAGAAATGCAGTGAAGCGCTGTGCAAGCTGCTTGCTCTGCCTCAATCGGCATGTTCTGACTCATGTACTCGAGAGACTTACGCACGTCTTCCTCGATGTGCCTCAGAAGTAAGCCAATGTACTGACAACGCTCCTCGTCTGAAGGCATTGCCTGTAGGATCGAGCAAATGCCGTTGATGACCTTCTCCTTTGTATACCTATCCGCGGTAGGAGAGTCCATGAATGCTTGGTAAGCATGCAAGAAGTTTGGCAACTCCGGGACAAGCGCTTTCCTACAAGCGGAGCAGAGTAAGGCGATGGCCTTTGCAGAGGGTATCGCCGTCTCCGGTGAAGTGAGGGCGGAAAAAAGAGAGTTGAGGGGTGCCACAAGGAACTCTTGGCGTTTGATGAAGAAGTCGGCATAGCGGCCAAGTAATTCGACCGCTGTACGCCTTGTCTTGGTGGGAACTCCGGGGGCAAAGACATCTGCCGTGAGCAATGTAGATCCCAGAAGTTGCGACAGAGTTTCCTGGCAGAGTTTCCTCCTAGCGGCGTCTTCCGACATCGACTTGACACAGAAAAGGGAAGCTTCAACCTTTATCCAGTCTCGCTCCTTGATGCTGTTAAGAGCAATTCCAACGAACCCGCTCAAAATCTCCTCTCCACAAACGCGGAATGTGTCGCCGAGGAAGTCCATCACATCAGTGCGAAACGAAGCAAACGCCTTGACCGTGTCACTGTCCCACTGTTTCAAGCCCTCGGGTGGCGGGATATGGATTTTCTGCCAGTATTCTTCTGCCGCTTGAAGCAGATGAGTCTTCATAACGGGCGAGAAGACAACCTCATCATCAATGGGATCAGACATTTCGCTAGCGACGTTGCCCCAAAACTCGAGCGCCTGCACAGAGGCACTCTCGTCTTCTATGGGATAGCCGGGAACTTTGAGAATTTGGTGCATCAGAACTGTAAAGTCGTTAGCGCAAGTCTGGTATGACTACTATCATCCTTCGTGCGGATGACAAGTAGCCGTTCTTATTGCTCGCTTTTGAGCCTATCAAGAAAGTGAAAGGAGGTTGGTCAGGACTTACCCAGGAGGTTTTGCCAGTCATCGGGGCTAGCTAGCAAGCGATCCAGGATAGCGGCACAGAAAGCAAGCAGCAGGGTGAGGAATGCGTCCGCTTCAGGATCTCCTTCGAGCAAACTGCTCATTTGCTGCGCACCCCATGGGCTGGTGATCAAGTTGTGAATGAGCTGGATGTGCTCTGCTTCAAACAACATGTCTCCCCTCTTCCTCAGAAGGTCTGCGAAACCCTCGGAGGAATTTTCCGGGTCAGCGTGCATGCAATGCACTGCTGGAACGATGAGAGATTGGATGAGCTTCTTGCGTCGGACTACATCTTCTGCTTCGCTCTTTGTCCGGGTAACAAAGTAAGCCCATTCAACCATGCAGCCCATGCCCTCTTCGTGCATTCTGTCTGAAGATGGTCCCGCATATTGGATAGCGTGGTGTATGATGGAGACAAATTCCTCGGTATTCTCCTCGATACGGCCTTCGATCTTGGCTAGGACGCTAGCGCCATATGTCGTCCTCTTTGATTCCTCAACCAGGTTGCTTCCGAACCAGAGAAGGGTAACGACTTGTGGGACCGCCAAGCCGCCAATGAGTTGATTGGTCGGCGGATAGTGCTCAAGGTCACTTGTCAAGATGGCCTCGCCCTTCACGAAAGAACACACAAGCTGGCGTGCACAGTGGTTCCAGGTCACGTTGCCGTTGAGAAAGAACTGGACCAAGGTAGTGCAAAGCTTCCGTGTCACAAGGTCCTTTTCGCCCTCAGAAACAAGCTTCACAAGCCACCCGATCAGCCTGAAAAGGAGCTCATTGGCAGCGTCTTCGTCGAGAGATTGGGGATCAGAGGTCAACTTGACTGTAAATGTCAAAGCGCCAAAAAATCGTACGTTGACGTCGCTGCTTCCGAGCAGAGCGTCGGCGATTTGCCATGCTTGAGGAGACCTTTGAAGTTGCTGAAGGTCTTTTTCTATCTGGCTGATGGTTGCAGGATCTCCAGGTTGGTACAGGCGCGTGACGAGGGCTTCGACCTCAGCGATGGACGTGACGCCAGCCATGGTGGTTGCGAATGGGCGCCCTGGACGGTCCTAGCCCGGTCGTCCTAGAGAGCCCGGAGCTTTTAGTACGAATTCGAAAAGGGCAAACCCAGCTTAAAGACCCTTTTCTATTACGAAATGGCGGGTAGCACACGGCAGCAGTGACATTTTTCACAGCGCTGGAAGTGAGTCAAGAAGACGAGATAGGAAATTGCATAGTTTTGCACATGGAAAAATGACTCACTTATAGAGTGCGCGGGAAGCTCAACAGGCTAGAAGGGTTCGCACAGCATTCGGGCGGAAATAGGCGGCTGGTGGTGTTTGCGCGGCAAAGGAAGGATGCACGTCAATGCCAAAAGTGGTTGTCAGCAGCTGCAAGGCTGCAGTACCGGCGCTGGCTCCGCAAAATTTTTTCGCCCACGCAGTTTTAGGCCAGCAAACTTGGAGAGTGCGGGAGTGTCGAGCCGCTACAGGTGAGCATAGCCAGAAGCCGGGAAGCGGGCGAAGATTTGTGAAGGTGGTGGACAGGAGCAAAGCGGCGGGCGTGCGGGCGATCGGCGTTTTTGTTTGCAGGGTTTGCAGCTGCTGGCGGGCGCCTTGGCGAGTGCGGCGGGGCAGCCGCCCGTGCTCCAGCTGGCAGGTGGGCGTCACTGTCGCTCGTCATCTCAGGCAGCTCCAACCTTCCCCACGCTGCTCGCAACCCGCATGCAATTCGTGCGCTTCTTCGCGCGCGCCCACTCTTCCCCCATAAAATCGCATGCTGCCCGAGCTCCGCTCCTCTTCAAACGCCCTTTCCACTCCACTCTCTTAAGACGGAGCACTGCCGACATGGAGACCGTTGTAACCACCGAGAGACTGACGCATCTGCGTCGATTGATGCTGGATAACCAGCTTGATGTCTACAGTATGGTCGCGTGCCCGCACTCTCGCTCTCCCGCATACTGATGGGCTGCCTTGTAGTCGTGCCGTCCGAAGATAGCCATCAGTCGGAGTACATTGCGCCGTGTGACGCCCGCCGAGGTTTGACGCCGCCCCGCCCGCAACAAAGCCCACCATCGATGCTCATACTCCGCATGTAGAATTCATTTGCGGCTTCTCCGGCTCCGCGGGAACTGCCGTCATCACCCTCAACAAGGCCGCTCTCGCCACCGATGGCCGTTACTTCAACCAGGCTGAGAAGCAGCTGGACAATAACTGGGAGCTCTTGAAGCAAGGACTGCAGGATGTTCCGACCTGGCAGGAATGGTAAATTCGACTGCGCGCTTCTTTGCAAGCATCATGCTGAAGGCTGTAGGACCGCTGATCAGTCAGAGGGCGGCAAGACCGTTGGCGTTGACCCCCAGGTTATTACTGCGTGTGAGTACCCTGCCATGAAGATGTGTGCTTCGAGAGGCTGACGTGGAGCCAGCCGATGCACGCAAGCTCGCCGAGAAGATAAAGAAGAAGGGTGGCGCCGATCTCAAGGCGGTCAGAGAGAACCTCGTCGATACCGTCTGGGCCAAGGCTAAGCCTGCGCGCCCCAACGAGAAGGTCCAGGTGCAACCTTACGAATTTTCCGGAAAGGAGTTCAGTGAGAAGCTGTCAGACATACGCCAAGAACTCAGCAAGCGCAAGAGTGCCGGCTTCGTCGTCTGTATGTTTTCATGGCCGCTTCGCGTAACCCAGAGCTGACTGGTGCTAGCGATGCTTGATGAGATTGCCTGGCTATACAACCTGCGTGGAAACGAGTAGGTCCTCTCCACCCATAATACATCATGCATACTGACAGGAAACAGCATTCCCTACAACCCAGTTTTCTTCTCCTACGCTGTCGTCACTCCAGAGGCGGCTACGCTCTACGTTAATTCTGATAAACTCACCCCTGAGGTCAAGGCTCACCTGGGAAGTTCTGTCGAAATCAGGCCATACGACTCCATTTTCGGCGATATCGAGGCCCTGAGCCGAAATGCGGCCCCCAGTAGCGAGGATTCTGAGACTCCTGCCCAGAAGTACCTGATCTCTAACAAGGCATCATGGGCGCTTGTTCAAAGTCTTGGCGGCGACAAGAAGGTCGATGAAGTTCGCAGCCCCATTGCCGATGCTAAGGCGGTCAAGAACAAGGCCGAATTGGACGGAATGAGGGCATGCCACATTCGGGACGGTGCAGCTCTGATTGAATACTTCGCCTGGCTCGAGGATCAGCTCATCGCTAAGGGCGCCAAGCTTGATGAAGTCCAGGCGGCGGACAAGCTTGAGGCTATCAGATCGTAAGTAAATATTGTGAGGTATTTTAAACACAACTAACAACCTCTTAGGAAGCACGATAAGTTTGTTGGCTTGTCATTTGACACCATCTCTTCCACAGGGCCGAACGCTGCTGTTATTCACTACAAGCCTGAGCCAGGCAACTGCTCGGTCATCGATCCGAAAGCAGTATATCTGTGCGACTCAGGCGCGCAATATCGCGATGGCACCACGGACACGACACGTACACTTCACTTCGGCGAGCCCACGGAAATGGAGAAGAAGTCCTACACCCTTGTGCTTAAGGGCAATGTTGCTCTTGAAAGGGCAAGGTTCCCCAAGGGCACGAGCGGTTTCGCTCTTGACACCCTCGCCCGCCAGTTCCTTTGGGCGGAGGGGCTGGACTACCGCCACGGCACCGGCCACGGTGTCGGTTCCTTCCTGAATGTTCACGAGGGCCCCATTGGTATTGGCACCCGCGTCCAGTATTCAGAGGTTCCGCTGGCAGTCGGCAATGTCATCTCGGACGAGCCCGGCTACTACGAAGACGGCAACTTCGGCATCCGGATAGAAAACGTCATTGTTGTCACAGAGGTTGACACTCCCCACAAGTTCGGCGATAAGCCATACCTGGGTTTCGAGCACGTCACCATGGTCCCCATGTGCCGCAAGCTGATTGACGAGTCTCTTCTTACGCCGGCCGAGAAGAAGTGGCTCAACGACTACCACGCTGAGGTTCGCGAGAAGACGAGTCCGTACTTCAAGGATGATGCGCTCACGATGAAGTGGCTGGAGAGGGAGACGCAGCCTTACTAGATGCTGTGTTCATGAAGATGATATAGATGGGACCAGATATATATAGGTAACGAGGCAAGGAAATTTTGTGGGTAGCTTTGGGTTAGATATCATGTACTGTTAGTATTGCATTAGCTAGAACCGACGAGAAAAGAACTAGTTACCTCAACACCTGCGTGAGAAAAATCCAGGCTTTCTCCCTATGTCTTTCGAGAAGACCTTCCGGTTTTACAAACTAGTGATATTTTGATTTCCTTTGACCACGGTCGCCTGGGGGGAGATGTGAGCCCCTCGAGTTCGTATTTTATTGCTCTCAATTTTTCTTTTCTCAATTTCCTATTACCATGGCCGGAGAAATATGAGAGCTGTATGCCACGAACCTACGCCACAACCAGCCGTCCGTGGAACGAATCAAAGGTACTTATTTGCATGATTGTGCCGTCCATCTTCAGCGTGAGGCGTTGGATATATCGGGATTTTGCATCAGGAGTATCCATGAAGATAACGACATGAAAAAGCAAAGAGTTGAACAGCCACAGATGAAAACGATATATGATTTCTTTCTTCCGCGTTTTTGGTATCTAATGCTATGCTGCCATCGCAAACTATGCTCGCTTTTCTCATGCAATATTCCACCAATGTTTCCGCTCTCCTCCCCAGACCCTCAATGCACTACAAAGTCTCACCCACCGATTCCCCAACACTGGGAAGAACAGAAAGACGATCACTCGACCAGCTCCTCCAACAAGCTCTCCAGATCGTCCCGTCGGAACGGCACCCACAGCCTCTCCACGCCGCCAGCGTCCTTCCTGCTTTCGATCATCTGATGGTCGTGGAATTCCTTCAGCAGCGTGCGGAAGCCCATTTCGTTGCTGCACACGAACTCCTCGACCGCCTTGTGATACAGCACCCTGTACTCGACACCGACGACCGGTGCCGCGGGCGTTGACGAAGGCAGCGGCACCTCCTTCGCCGCCTTGGCCCCCCTACCCCTCCTACTCGGCGTCTGCGGCGCGTCCGCGAAAACGTCCCTATCGTCGTCGTAACGATCCGCCGCCTCAGCCTGGGCCGCGAGGGCGGCGGCAGCGGCGTCGTCGTCCAGGTCGGCGCTGGCGGCGAGCTGCTCGGCGACGAGGATGCGGAAGAGGCCGCGGGCGTTCTCGGGCAGCGAGCGCAGGACGAAGCCGACGCCGTCGCGGCCCTGGACACGGCGGCCGCTGCGGCCGAGCAGGTCGTTGACGGCCTCGACAGCGTCGAGCTCGACAGGCGCAAAGGGCGCGAACGTCGTGCAGTCGTGGAAGAGCAGGCCCAACGCCGACCGCGTGCCCAGGTCCCACAGCAGTGGGAAGGTTGGGGTGTCGGCCGTCGCGAGCAGCGTCATGTGCGGGTGCGAGGCAAGGCTGGCCAGGAGCGCTTGTGTCGCGGCGCGCCGGAGGGAGGCGCCGTCGAGGGAGTGGATTATGAGGGTGAGTGGCACTGCCGGGGGTTTGGTGGAGAGGGTGGTGAGGAGCAGGGCGTGAAGGAGTGGAGGTGTCGCTGGGAGCTTGACGCTGGACGGGAGGAGGGAGGAGAGAATGGTCGTGAGGATGTCCTTGGTGGTGAGAGTGGGATTGTAGCCGTTGATGATGATAATCCGGGGGGTGGATTTCGCCGCAGAGCTTTGGTGGTGATAAAGATGGGCGGCAAAATCTTCCGCAAGCCTGCGCTTCGAGCCGAATCCATACAGACAGATGTTGAAGCCATTCTCCAATTCGTACACCCATTGGTCGAATGAGCGGGAATGTAGCCCATGTAGATAGGCCATGTCTTCCTCATGCGAATCCTCATATTTCTGCATCTGAGCAAAGTACTCGTCGTGGTTCAGAAGGGCATGAGAGGGAAGTGTGTTATTTGACGTCTTCGTCCCTCCTGGTCGATTCTGCCAGAAATACTTCTCGTGTGGTGGAAGGTCTCGGGGTGGTGTCGGGCTACGCTGTTTCTTCTTCGTGCTGCCTTTAGGCCTTCCTCGTCCACGCTTCGTCGGTGTCTCCGGGACTGCAGCTGCCTCAGGTGCTGCAGCCGTTTCTTGGTCCTCTGCAAGCTCATCTGCCTCTTCGTCGTCCCAGATCTGTCGAGCCAGAGCATCCTCGTCTTCTATGCCCTCGTCACTCTGGTCCCCGTCAATGTCGCGTTGTAGCAACCTTCGAGCGCTTTTTCGGCGTGCAGATCTGTCTGCATTTCTGACAATAGTCGGAGTACCATTGGGCGTCTCGTCTTCGTCGTCGTCATGCTTCGTAGGTGTTGCGAATAGAACTCTTCGTTGTGATTTCGGTGTTACTGCGCCACTGATTTCATCGTCGAGCTTGGCACGAGCAAGGCTCTTGTTCAACTTCTCGGTCGCAGTCTGACGCTTCGAAGGTGTGCTCTTTTTCGAAGGCGTAAGAGCTATCTCGTCATCTTCGTCTTCGTCGAGCGGCGATGCGCGCCGTTTTCGGGGGGTGGTGCTCTCTGGTTCGACGGCGCCTCGCTTCCTCTTTGCGCTGGGCATTGGCGACGTTGGTAGAGGCTCGTGGTGCCTGAAAGAGCCAACGAGCGCAGAAAAGGCAGCGCGCTTTGCGAGCGAGCTGTTGACCATTCCGGCCGTCGCGACAGGGAAACGCGTCGGCGATCGTCGAACCAATCGAAAGTCGTGGCCCAATCAGCACGTGTGAGCTCTGGGCAGGCGGCGATAAGGCGCTCCGTCATCGGGGAAGCTTGGAAGTTTTCCGAGTGAGTCGCATGCGCGAATTGTGAGTCTAATCCCCTCATACCAGTCAGACCCTCTGCAGGTCCTCGTCGAAGCTTGAGCTTCGGCTATAAAAGGTACTACGTTCTTTGGTCGCCCAATTGGCGCTTCATTCGCTACCAACCGGAAGCTGACGCGCAGTAACAGGGCCGTCAACATGGCTTCCTCGCGGCCGTCAACCCTCCAGCGCTTCATGCCTGCCATGAAGAACTTCGTGCGCAACTACTCTGCCCCCGGCGAGGGCTCAATCCCCCCGGCCAAGCAGAAGTACATTCCTACATCTGGCACCTATCCGAAGGGTTTCCTCGCTTCCAGCGCCCATGTCGGTGTCAAGGCTTCGAACACCCGTTTCGATGACCTTTGCCTGATCGCATCCGAGACGCCTTGTTCCGGTGCCGCTGTCTTCACCACCAACAAGTTCCAGGCTGCACCGGTGACTGTCAGCAGGGATATGCTTAAGGCGCGGAGTGGTGCAGGAATTCGGTCCGTGGTTGTGAACTCGGGTTGCGCCAATGCTGTCACTGGCAAGGGCGGTATCGAGGATGCAGTTGCCATGGGTCAGAAGGCAGACGAGTGTTTTGGCGGCGAAAGCGATGGCAAAGGTAGCCGGAGCATTGTCATGAGCACTGGTGTCATTGGCCAGAGGTAAGCGGCATTGTCCTGCTCACTTTGGCCATCCGTCTAACCATGACTTGCAGGCTTCCTATCCAGAAGATCCTCGATAAGATTCCGACGGCCCACCAAGGTCTGGGCAATGACCACGCCAACTGGCTCAAGGCTGCTCGCGCTATATGCACCACCGATACTTTCCCCAAGCTTCTCTCCCGGCAATTCACTCTCCCCAGCTCCCCGAACACCACGTACTCGATCGTCGGCATGACCAAGGGCGCTGGCATGATCCACCCCAACATGGCTACTCTTCTCGGAATCATCTGCACTGACGCCCCCATTGCTCCTTCGGCCCTGCAGCCTCTTTTGACTGCCGCTGTTACCAAGAGCTTCAACTCGATTTCCATCGACGGCGACACGAGCACTAACGACACTGTTGCAATCCTGGCTAACGGCGCGGCTGGCGGCTCTGAAATCAGCTCCGCTTCCAGCACTGGCTATGCCGAGTTCGAGAAGATCCTGACCGATTTTGCTGCCGACTTGTCCCAGCTTGTCGTCCGTGACGGCGAGGGAGCTACTAAGTTTGTCACGATTCGGGTTACCAACGCTGCCACCTACGCGGACGCGAAGAAGGTTGCATCCACCATTGCTCGCTCTCCTCTGGTCAAGACTGCTCTGTACGGCAAGGACGCTAACTGGGGCCGCATTCTGTGCGCTACCGGCTACGCTGAGGGCGTTGAAAGTGTCGTCCCCACCCAGACCAGCGTCAGCTTTATCCCTACTGATGGCTCTGAGGAACTCAAGCTGCTTGTCAAGGGCGAGCCTGAGAAGGTTGATGAGGCTCGTGCGGCTCAGATCCTCGAGGCTGAGGACCTGGAGATTTTGGTCAGGTTGAGCGAGACGCCTGGCGAGGAGGCCGTGTACTGGACTTGCGATTTCAGCCACGAGTATGTCACCATCAACGGCGACTACAGGACGTAGAGGCTGTTTTATCTTTTTGTAACTAAAGCGATGTCTTTTTATACCAAGCAACATTGGGTAGGCCGCAGCCGCCTCAAATATATCTTATGCTCATGCCACAACTGATAATCGACCAAGGTGCATTGCGTAACATGATCCCTGAAGGGTGCTAACCAATCAGGATGCGCGGGTTGGAAGGGTGTGTTGATGAGGGGCAGCGCAGGCACGGAGCACAGCCAGGCGCGCCGGCGCTGACGTTGATCTGCAAGGCGTCATCGCTATTCACGCCTCGAAAATATATGCCTAAGCCCGCCGCCCCCGCTCGTCATAACTCTCCTCCCAAAACTTTCCACCGTCCCATCCTTTAACGCGCAAACCACCCTACACACCCCCATCATGAAGGCTTACTGGTTCGACAACCTTCCGGTACCGCTCCCCGCCGCAAACCATTTCCCTCTCCATCCCCACCGCCGCCCAAACGCCGGCCGCTAACACCGACCGTCTTTCGCGCACACACAGGGCGACCAGCGCGAGCCCCATGACTCGGGCCGCGAGGTGCCGGCCGACTACCTCGAGGCGCTGGGCATCCGCTACTTCCACTACCCGGACCTGGACGCCGTCAACGCGCTGGCGGCCGAGCGCAACTACAAGAACCGCGACGAGGTGACCATCTCGCCGACGACGCTGCCCGAGTACGAGACCAAGGTCAAGAACTTCTTCGCCGAGCACCTGCACGAGGACGAGGAGATCCGCTACATCCTGGATGGCGCCGGCTACTTCGACGTCCGCAGCGACGGCGACGAGTGGGTGCGCATCAGGCTCGAGAAGTACGACTTGATGATCATGCCCGCCGGCATCTATCACCGCTTCACGACCGACGAGAAGAACGTGAGTGGACCATTGATACTAATTTGGGTGGAGATTGAGGGCAGAATGTGGAGCTGACGGCGAAATTGTAGTACACCAAGGCTATGCGCCTCTTCCAGGACGAGCCCAAGTGGACGCCGCTGAACCGCGGCGAGGAGACCGATAAGAACAAGTTCAGGCAGGATTACCTGAAGAACGTGAGCGGCGTCGCTGCCACTTCGGCATGAGCACCGGCCTTCAGAAAATAGATGAAAAGAACGACTTGGAGACTGGCGGTTTGGTGTCAGATATCCCGGACAGAATGTTGAATTGATTATTTACGCTTCAGCTTTGTCAAGGGGCCCAATCGCTTGTGATTACTCAGATGAACAGCAGCAGCGCCTAATTTCTTATTATCATCCTTTGGTGGACGATACAATGCTAATGATGCAAGCTATTTTTCTAAGTCTCTATCTCTTGTCTTTCTCCACAGTACCCTTCTATGCTACCACCATTCTCCTGTCTCCCTCATTGAGAGCGTTACGAAAAGCGAGGAGAACGAAATACTCCACGAGACGAAGAGAGAGTGAGGAAGCTTATCATCTGGATTCGCCCTTGCTAGTCAGCACTGGTATGCGGCCCGCAACTATGCTAATTTTACCAATACCAGTCGTACACTCCCTCCAACGCCCGGAAAGAACGGGTTGCACAGAATTGTATGGGATTTCGACAAGCTAGTGCGACGCTGATCGTAGGGGATCACTTAGGTTGGCAGGAAGAAACGCTAGAGGACGTGGGACTCGACAATCCGGAGACTGACAGCGCAACCAGAGAAGAAGTGCACCTCGGCTTCCTAGAAGCTAACTTCCGAGACTAGTCTTGTTTAACCTCGTTTCCAATGTTCTTTTCAGGGATAAGTAGGAGAAGAAAGGCTATGCTTTCCGGCTTAATAGGAGCGGCAGTGATATGCCAGACTGCAATACAGGCGAGCGTCAGGCAGGCAAGCGTCGGCAGGCTATTTATTATTCATTCTCAAGGTTTCTTAAAGCTAACGAATATGTAGATAGGACATACCAAGGGACAATCCAGAAGCACACTATTTCCTCTTCCCATACTTGGTTCATGGATTCTGGCTGCTTAAATGTAATTAACCCAACAACCAGTAATGCTTGCATTGTAGTCGGTGATCTTCTCAACATATTCAGTAACAAGTCGAATCGGAACGCATTCCGTATAGCGGTCAGGGCTGTTGTCGATGAAAGATTGAACCGAGGCGGTTGTGACGACATCTTCGCGGTAGAAAACCATGCCTGGTGTCGGGTGTACAAGAAGCAGTCAAGGCGGGGTTGGGGCTGCAGGCGTCAGCTTCGAGCACGACCTGACTAGACTTTTGCACGTGCACAAGGCGAGACAATAGTATTTGGGGCTGCTGACTTCGTTTCTAACGCGTTGAATCCTACGTCGGCTAAACCTTGCATCAGCCTACGTGAGACTTGCACTTAAGCAGCGAGTGAAAGACGAGTGGTGCGTGCAGGTTCAGAAGCTGAGTAGCTACCATGATTGGTATTTCCCATACGTCAGTATGCTCTTCTTTCGAGGTTGTCTGATCGCGAAGTATTCTCTTGATATGGGCGTTTTGTTTCGTCAAGTACAATCAATACTCAGGCATCTAGAATTGCTATGTTGCTGTGATTGGGCCAAAACAAAAGATGCCAAGAGCAATGCCCCGTCGTGAACTGTGTTCGACAAACCGCCTTTCAAGGCTGGGCACACCGTGGCATTGCTCTTGGCACACTGCGCTGTAATGGGGCCTGTGGTGCGGGTTAGATAAATTGCGGTAACCTCTCATAGCATTCAAAAAGCAACACGGCCAAGAACTTATACACCACTGTTACTTCTTTTGCATCCAATCCGGTGATTGAAATGGCAAGCTATCTCAACCCAAATTCTACAATCATCTTGACTGCCGGTGAAGAGGGCTGCGGCCGCTGGGATGCGAACATCGACACCGTCGCGACCATCACCTTCGGCACCCTTGCTCTCGCATTCAATATCTATGGAGTCCTTCGAGATATCGCAAACCGTCGTCGTCGTGCAAACTTCTAATCGACTGTACGTTTTAGGTCAACGCCTTTTAAGGCAACAACTAAATCATGAGCTAACCTCGTCTGCGCTAGTTCACTACTTTATGGGGAACTGAACAACATCGATTCAAGTTCATTACCTCAAAAAGTGTTCGACTGGGGTTGAGTTAGATGGGGTTCTACAATCGCAATCATAGACTTCAGCCTCAGCAGAAGATCCTTCAAGCATTTCAATCTTACTCGCACATTTGGGAGACGCCAGACCCCTGTCGAATATGCTGCCTTCCACCTACGTACCTCAGGCGATCCGAGCAAAACATGACGACACATACATTGACTATGATGATTTATGGCATGCGACTCTTGCAGGAGCGAAGCACGCGGAAAAGAGTAGTAGTTCAATTTTTAATCACTTTCGAGATGTCTTTTCTTGTTAGTAGACTTCGTTTATCACGCTCTTTAGAAGAGGGTAGCATGTCGTAAAAGAGTTTCACATACGCAGTCTACAAACAGCTGTGACACTTGCTGAACCGGTGTATCTTAATCCTATCTTACTCTACACTACCCACCTACCTGCGCATCTATAACCTCCACTTCCTTCAGCACAACTGCTCTTTTGAGGAAGACGTATCAACCCCTCTCAAGCACACACCCGCCCCGTCTCAGCATTATAAGAGATGAAGCCACGGAATAATAATGAGGAAAGGTTGAACGCCGCCCATTGCAATTTTCCCTCACGCTACTAAAGCGGAGAAAGAGCCCCTGACTGAGGGAAACAAATAACGAAAGCAGAGAGAAAAAAACAAGAAACAACCAACTCACTCTCAATGCGAGCCACTGCCCGAGCCTCCGCTATGCCGACTTCCCGAGTTGGGATCGAGCAGCAGATGCGGCTTGATGAAGCCTTCGTCGATCTGCCTGAAGGCGCTTGCCGGATCCTCGCTCAGGCCCGTCAACAGCTGCCTCGCCGCGGCCGTGGCGCCCGTCATTCTCTGCAGCCTTCCACGTGGTTCGGCCGGCGCGGCCACTTCCTCCGTGTACGGCGACGATGACGCGCCAGGACCGGAAGTGTTCGGTGAAGAGCGACGAGCGGGCGAGCGGCGAGCCGAAGGAGGTAGGTCGAGATCGTTGTCGACGTCCGAGTTAGAGCCCGAGTCCTCGTGCTGCAGCAAGCCTTGCTCGGCATAGTCTTGAGCACGGAGGTTCTGCGTCCGGCTGGAGCTGCGGCGCGTGGACATGCTACCATTGGGACGGGCTGCGGGGGAAGAGCCACCATTGACAGTGCTGCTGCTGAAACCTTTGCCGCGGCCAGAGTCGTCCAGATCCACCGGCGTGAGAACGAAGCCGTTCGCGCTGGGTCGAGGGTTGTGGCCGAAGCCGCGGCCTTGTTTGGAGGTATATGTGACACCACTAGCGCCACTGCCGCCTCCCGGAACAATCTCGATGTCAAACTCATCGTCTGAGTCGATTTCCTCCACCACACCCGTCCGGATCTGCAGAATCTCGAGCATGCGTGCCGTTGTGCCTCCGAAAATAATGACAGTAAGGACGACAACAACCAGTACGGTGGCACGGAGGGTGTATCCGTTAGTGCCAGTAAGACCAGCTGCAAGCGCAACACCAACAGCTCCTCGAAGTCCAGCCCAGAAGAGCATGGCCTGGTGGGACCAGGGCAATTCCTCAGCCACCTCACGGCCACGCCTGCGAGCCTTGTAGCGGATAATGCCATTCACAGCTTTCGAAAGGGGGAAAACCGCACAGTAACGGGCAATACAGATGCCAATAACGGTAACGAGGATAAAGAGCGGCTTGTAGTCGAGCTCGGTTTCGGTAAAGAGGGACAGACCCAGATAGATGAAAATAAAGTTTTCGGAAAGTTGGGCCATGACTTGGAATACGAATTTGGTCGTAAGTTGCGTGCGCCTGGACATGTTGTGGTACGCGTAATGCTTCAAGCAAATACCGCAGAACAGAAGCGAGACAATACCTAGATACGAAGTCAGCGGACACAGTAATTTAGCGAGACTTTTGCAGCCCTACCGGACATGTGAATGGCGTTGGAAAAGAAGTAGCTGAGGTACGCGATCAGAATGACCAGGCAGCTCTCGATCTTGGAGAAGCGGCGCACATAGGTAAACTTCAGAAGCAGCGAGGTCATGACGCCAATAACAAGGCCGATGATCAAGCTGCCGAAGAAAACCAGCAAGAAGATTCCAATTGACTCAAAAAGAGTGATGATTGTCAAACTCTCCCCAGCGGCGTCCTTGTATCTCTGGGCCGTCTCGAACAGGACGATAGCAATGGCATCGTTAAGGATCGATTCGCCGAAGATGACGGTGTACAGTTTGGGATCGACCTTGTATGTGTTGAAGATGGCAAGGATGGTGACGGGGTCGGTAGCCGAAAGTGTTGCGCCAACGGAGATGGCTTCGACGAAAGACAGCGAGACACCGTCCAGGTTCAGACGAGTCCAGAGCCACAAGAAGATACCAAGCACCAGCGCCGAGATGAATGTGCCGGCGAAAGCGAAGGTGAGAATGGTGCCAATTTGCCGGAAGAAGTTCGCCTGGTGTAGCTCGTAACCGGAGGCAAGGATGATGGGCGGCAGGAGAAGGTTGAAGAAGAACTGGTAGTTGAAACTGACGACGCCCAGGACAGCCTCATTCGCCGTCAATCGCAAGATCAGCCCCACAACCATACCTGTGTGCAGGTAAGCGGGTGTTCGTTTGGCAGGGGCGCACTGGGCATACCGGCGAAAATAGATACAACCGTCTCGTGCACGGCCTGGATCTTTCTCGTCTGCAGCATGTAGCTCGTGAAGAGAGCTATTATGAGCAGCGAGATAAGAATAAAGAGGGACCATGACGCGTAGATCTCCTGCTGGCCAGCCTCCGGTTCTGTGTGTGGTTGTGTCAGGATTCGCCTCTGGGGGGGAGGGGTCAACGGCGCAGTCGGGGACTAACCCTCGGTATCGGCATCTTTGGTCTCGCGCTCTGGGATAGCAGCAACGTTAGCGGAGGCGTGTCGCAGGCTGGCGCAGCGTAGGAGAGGCTGGGGGAGACGTACTGACGAGCTCGGTCACAGCCCAACCGACATAGGAGGCCATGGTGGAGCAAGTGGGCTAGATGAGCATTTGCTTCGCGGCGCAGAGATAGCGCGCGGCGGGAGGCCGACAGCGGCGGCGGAGGCTGGCTGGGCGATGGGTCGCAGACGGCAGCTAAGCTGGGAGCAGCAGCAGTGGAGAGCGCGTGGTAGGAATAGCTGCGCGAGCGTTGGGCGAGGCGGCAGGGAGAAGTTGTCGGTGATTGATGAGACGCAGGCAGCGCTTCCGTCCCAAGGGTCGGCCTGCCTGAGGAAAGCTGTGGCCACATTACGTTCGGCGCGCACGGGCCGGCCACACGCGTTCCTAGGTAGCCACGCGGTGCGCTCCACTGGCTCTGGCGCCTCCCGCGCTCCTCGCCGTTGCCAGTCGCGGCAAAGGCGCGCTGTCATTAATGGCTGCTCCTGCAATCGCGCCCTTTGCTCTCCGCCCTCCGCCTCCCGCCCGGGGCGGCGCTGCGCTATCTTGGCACGGCGGCGGATGCGGACTGTGCAGCGCTTCCCCACGCTGAAACCGCAGCGGAGCGAGGGCCAGGCCGCCCGCCGCTGCCCGCCGACGGCCGCTAACCGCCTGCCGTAGGGCTGCACAGCGGCACAGCGGGCATGCTGACTGCTGCGAGCTTGATGTGCTGATTCGCGCCGCCCCCGGTTCTCCAGGCACGGCAGGCCGCGCTTTCGGGTGCATCCCCACGGCCTGCGTGACGCACGCCTGCCTCAGTGTCGATCAGGCACGGCGAATGAGCTCTTGCCAACGCTGACTTCCGCCCGCCATCAGCGTGACGGAAGCACCTGACGTATGTACAATTGCACGACCGCAAACGCCCGCCCCCGAGTCCGGCCGCGTGCCGAGTCGGGTGACGTCGATTCTCGAACATTTCAGCTCCCATCGTGACCCAGAGCTATGGCGCCTTCCGCCCAGGCTTCTCCTAGCTTCCAAAGCACGCCAACCTCACTCCTGATCCATTCTTTTTGCGCCCCACCCTGAACCCGGCTCCACTTCCCCCAGATTCCTTTCCGATTCCGGCCGGTGACCACCTCTGCCACCCACCCACGCTGCGACACGAGGCCTCGCCCGTTTTTAGTCCCGAACCATGGCAGGTGCTCGACCCTCGCCATCCCCAGACTCGCCTCCACATCGAGACTCCCCGAGCAGCCCGATAAACCCCGCCGCCGCCACGCCGCTGCCAAAGATCGTCTCCTTCGGCCGCCCTTCAATCGACAGCCCGAGAGCAAGCCAGTCCCGCGACCAGATGAACGAGACGTCGCCGCTCCTATCTGCCCGGACATCGGATGAAGAGAGCAACGGTTTGAAACCCGTTGGCTCTCCGCTCAGTGACGATGGCTGGAATGCTGAGACTAGGGAAGAAACAAAGAGCACTTGGTACCTGGTGCTGCTGACTCTGGCTGCCGGAGGGTAAGAAGCACTGTCCATGAGTCGACGTGTCAGACACTGATCTGGCTTGCAGACTGCAAATAGCATGGGCAGTTGAGTTGTCGTACGGATCTGTGAGTGCCGCGTCGATCCAGCCATCCCGCCCGCTGAGCCCCACTCTAACCGCCTTTTCCATAGCCGTATCTACTATCCCTCGGCCTCAGCAAATCGCTGCTCGCTCTCGTTTGGATAGCCGGTCCGTTGTCGGGAACACTGGTTCAGCCGTACGTCGGCTTGAAAAGCGATAACTGCAGGTCAAAATATGGGAAAAGACGACCGTTCATAATCGGAGGTGCCGTTTCGACCATCATATCCTTGTTCCTTTTAGCATGGGCGAGGGAAATAGTGGGCGGCGCCTTGTCCATTTTTGGCGTCTCTTGGGACTCGCCTGCGACCAAGACAATGACGATCCTCTTTGCCGTGCTGATGGTGTACGTCCTCGACTTCGCCATCAACGTCCGTAAGTGGCAGCGATCCCCAACCTGATTAGGTGCACTGCTGATTTGGCACAGTCCAAGCTTCTCTTCGAGCGATCGCCGTTGACTGTGCACCAACCCACCAGCAAGAATCAGCTAATGCATGGTTTATACGATGTTCCGGGATAGGCAATATTCTCGGCTACCTCTCCGGATACGTCGATCTCCCGAAGCTGTTCCCTTTCTTCGGGAACACGCAGATGAAAGTTCTATGCGCAATCGCCTGCATGGCGCTAGCCGCTACTGCGACAACAACCTGCGCCACCATCTCGGAGCGTGATCCGCGAGGTGACGGCCCCCCTACGGCCTCAACTGGCTTGCTTGCATTCTTCAAGAACCTCTTCCAGGCCGTACGTCGGTTACCACCTCAGGTATCTCGGGTTTGCCAGGTGCAGCTTGCAGCATGGATTGCATGGTTCCCTTTTCTGTTCTACACTTCAACCTATGTTGGGGAGATTTATACTGACGCATTCTTCCGGGAGAATCCCAACATGTCTGAGGAGGAGATCAACAAGCTGTGGGAGAAGGGAGCTCGCATGGGAACACTTGCGCTTTTCATCTTCGCCATCACCACATTCCTTGCCAGCGTTTTTCTACCTCTAATTGTAGCGCCAACCTTCAAGGCACCGGTCCCAGAGCCTACCACGCCCCTCACACCGACAAGTTCCCACGCCAGCTCGAGCTACTTCAGCCTCAAGAAGAACAAAGGCAGCAAGAAGTCCCTCGCGCAACATCTCAGCATACTCGACCACCTACAAATCAAGTCCCTGACCCTCCGCCGCACCTGGCTTCTCTCGCACTTCATGTTCGCACTGCTCGTCTGGTCCACCATCTTCGTCAACTCCACCACCGGCGCCACCATCATCGTTGCCCTCATCGGTATCCCTTGGGCAGTCCATAACTGGGCGCCCTTCGCCCTCATCTCCCAGGAAATCTCCAAGCGCGATGCCATCCGCCGCGGTCTACTACGCGCCCCCAACAGCCGTGACGGCGCCCTTCTCGCCGCGGGCGAAGACGACGCAGCTGACCAGGCGGGCGTTGTTCTTGGTATCCACAACGTCGCCATTGCCGCGCCACAGGTCATTGCCACTCTCATCAGCTCCATCATCTTCAAGCTCCTGCAGAAGCCGAGAGGAACCCCGGGGGATGACAGCGTTGGGTGGGTGCTGCGGTTTGGCGGATGTGCTGCTATCGTAGCTGGTATCTTGTCCAAGAGGGTCTTCGAGGAGAACCAGGCTGTGCTGGAAGCCTCGGGGGCGCTGCAGCAGGGATCTGATGAGGACGAGTGAAGGAAAGTATGGTCTGAGAGACGCAGGGGAGGACATCTGGAATAGACTGGATGGGTGCATAATAGCATCAAGACGGTATGGCGTAAATTGGTTTTGAAACATAGCGTGGGGTCTATGGGCTTGATATAGGTAGAACTCGCGCTCGGTTCAGGAGTTTGTAAGGAAGGCGAATACCTATATGGATGTTGGGAGGTAGACTGAATTTGTGGCGTCCTGCTCGAGCTCAGATACCAGTCAATCGTGTTTTCAGTTATGTACGCTATGTATTGATATACTGATCGATATGATATGTGAAGTGGTGATTATGGGTACAGTTAAGAGCTTCGGCTTTACAGCAAAGCACCTTAGTGGTCAACACACAGAGGGGTACTGCAGCCAATGGCTTGCGCGAAGAGTATCAGGGCTCTTGAACATAGCTTAAATATGCCTCAGTTCTTTTTTTTTTTTTTTCCAGGAATGAAAAAAGACATTTATGGGTAGTTGAAGCTATCGTCTGGATGGGAATGTCGAATTGAAAATTCTACATACACGTCCGGACGATAGCTTCAACTACCCATGGTATGAGAAAAAAAAAAAATCACGCTAGCCGTCCGCCACAATATCTGTAGACATCGCTTCCATAATCGAGCGCTGGAACATTTAACAATGATTCTCTTGTCTTAGCTCTATATACAAGGAAAGGACGCAAGACTCCAGCAAAATCTGTCATGGCCGCTGAAACCAATAGGAAAAGAAAGACCCGGGTACTTTTCACACTATCCAGCCGTTGACCTTCTTGCGCGAGCAGGCAACCAAAATACAATACACGAGGCGAATTCCCCTCCCAGACGCCCCTCGAACACATCTTCCCATCCAATCACAATCCCATCCAGCGCAGTCTGCTTCTTTCTCATCACTCACAACGCCATCCCTTCAGCAATGATCTTATACTCCTTCCTCTTCTTCTTCTTGCCGGGCTGCAGCCTCTCCCTAGCGCGTCCAATCAGCCTGGCCAACCCCAAGAACACGTACTTCTCGCAGCACCACGCGATGGCGAAGCCACCGAACCCAAGGACGAGCAAGAAGGCCTTGAAGCCCCAGCTCAGCGGCGTCAGCTCCATGAGGTCGTACAGCCACTTCGCCTGGCCCGTGTAACCGCCACGCGTTTCCTGCTGCTGGCGCGCCTCCTCGTCCATGGCCGGGTCGGGGGCGACGAACAGCAGCATGTAGGTGGAGACGACGAGGGCGAAGGAGAGGGCGAAGACGAAGGGGGCGTTGGACAGCATGGGGCGGCGGAAGGGCTTGCCGATGCTGAGGACGATGGCCGACAGGATGTACTGGTAGCAGGAGAGCAGGAAGAGGGCCGTGTTCTCGCTGTTCTTGCTGTTGCTGTGGTTGCGATCGAGCACGGGCGGCACGAACCACGGCTGGCTCCGCACCGCCTGGAACGCCACGGCCTGGAACAGCACGCACAGCGCGATCTGGCCCAGCAGCGGAGTCAGCACCTTGCGCGACACCAGCGACGCCGTCGGCCGCTTGCGTGACAGCACCGGGTACGCCCCCGTCCACCCCATGAAGATGGCGATGGGTAGGATCAGCAGCAGGTCGATATATAGGAATTGGAAGTCGCCCAGGTTCGACGCCGACGCGTACAGGAACGACACCGACGTGAACTGGATTGCGCTGTATAGCGACATGTACTTGAAGCAGCTGAAGCTGGTGACGAGCGCGGCGCGGCCCTCGCGGATGACCTCAGGCACGCACGAGATGTCGAAGACGCGGCTGGTGAAGGGCGCCGCCACCGACGCTTCGGCTTCCGAGAGCGAGATGCCTACGTCGGCCGCCTTGAGGGCTCCGCAGTCGTTGGCGCCGTCGCCGCAGAATCCGCAGCAGTAGTCGATACTCTGGAGCTTCTCTACCAGTTCGTGCTTCTCGTCTGGAGACATACGGGCGAAGACTTGACCGCAAACGAGCATTTCTCGGAGAACCTTTTCAGAAGCGTAGTCAATGATCCAGCGGAATACATCACCACTGACGGCAACCGAATAGTTACGGAGGTTTGAGATGTCGTAAGGAAGAGAAGCGTCTTCTTCAGCTGGAGGAGGGAGTGGCTTGAGCGTGTTTTCGTCCAGTTTGAATGCCGGGTTGTCGATACTTTCCCAAGACAGGCGAGCAAGAGGTGTACGAGCATCCCCCTCGACGAAGTGCGGCACAAAGCAATGAGCTGTCTTGTCGATGAGGTTGCACTCCCTGGCGACACTGATGGCGGTGAGAATATTGTCACCAGTGCACATGACTTTACGGATGCCAGCCTGAGCAAGCTCGTTGATGATACCGGTCGTCGTTGGCTTGAGCTTGTTCTCGAAGATGATGAACCCAACGAAGTTAAGGTCGGACTCAGCTTCCTCACGCTTCATCTTCTGGACTTTGACCCAGTTGAGCTTCGGAATCGTCTTTGTAGCGCACGCAATGACACGGAAGCCTCTATGGGTGTAGTAGCTTAGAAGCTCCTCGTAATCCGGCGGAAAGCTGTCCGGGCGGCAGATGTCCTTCATGCACTCAGGGGCACCCTTGACGTAGATGTGACCTCCGCGGTCTCCAAACTGCCTAACCACAACGCTGGCTCTACGCAGTTGGGAAACGAACTCGTACGCCTTGATGATGCCAAGCTCGATCGGTTTCCGGTTAGGGTCATTGGGGTTGTCGAGGTTGTATTCTTGACCAGGAGGAGGCCTTGCCACCGAAGGAGAAATGCTCAAGCTTTCCTCCTCGTTGTCACCACCACCCCCGCTTTGCTCTCCTTCTTCAAATTGCCAGCTGGTAAAATCGAACATCTTGACATCAAGGGGATCTCCGACAAGTTCTCCATCTACGCTGCGAAGAGAGTGACAGGTGGCCATGGTGTACAGGAGTGACCTGTGGTTCTTGTAGTCCACGTTGGAAAGCCTCTCCTCGGCATGGGGTAGGACTGATCCGCAATCCGTAAGAATATCGCTGAAATTATTAGCGGGTTGTTGAACTACTCTGAGTCCCAAAACGTCGAGACCCTCCTCTGTCAGAGTACCAGTTTTGTCGAAGCAGACCACATCAAGCTTGCCGCCTACATTGACTCTTTGCGGGCTGATGCAATAGATTTGCTTCTTCTTGAGTCTGTTCAGCGCGAAATTGGTACCAATAGTCAAAGTAGCGGGGAGCGCCGGAGGAACCACAATAGTAATCAGATCCAGTGCTCGGACGACGATGAGGTGCCAGGCAAGTCCTAGGCGCACGAAGTTGACGAACGATACGATAAAACCAACTCCAGCAATCATGGCCATGACTGAAATGTACTTGAACGAGTCTCGGTAGAATTTGAATCCGGATGGCTTGGGAAAGAGCATTGAGCGGACAAGCGCCCCCTTCGTTGTATTGAATCCAGTGCGAACAACCAACGCAAGAGCAGCAGCCTCGTCGTCTTTATCATCCTGGGGACGCCGCGCCCTGATGATCTTGGTACCACAGAAGAGAAAGTGTCTTGCTACTTCCGGGTGGATTGAGGCAGTACTGAGACTCAAGAATTCCAGAGATTCGTTGGTGGTGGGAACCTTGGAAACGGGCACAGATTCTCCTGTGAGCATGCTCTCGTTTACAATGCAATCTCCAGAAAGGAGCAAGCTATCACACGGGAACTGAGTGAGATTTGGGTCGGTGATTTCGTAAATGTCTCCGGGAACAAGCTCGCTGGACTCGACGTAGCGCCAGAAGCCGTTGCGGAGAACTCGAATGTCGCACTCAAATCTCGAAACCTCGCGGAGCCGGCGCATTGTTGCCTTCGTCTCGATCAACGTTGTCGTGATACTGACAACTGAGATGACAAAGATACAGGCGGCGTAGTAGTAATACTCATCAAGAGACCAGAGAATCAGACTGGCAATCTGAAAGACGTAGAAAGGATGGAATGCCTCATCAACCAAAAGCTGAGACGTTGACTTTTCCTCGATATCGATCAGGTTCTTTCCGAAAACTTGCTCCCGGTGGCCTTTCTCCTCGTTGTCGAGGCCATCACGGATAGTCCTTACGTCGGTCCAGGCAGGGTCCTTCCAAGTGTTCCCCAGGATGAACTTGTCTCTGACAGGGTGATAGCAGAATCGAATATACCGGTAGTCCAGGGTGCGTAGCTCCTTGATCACTGGGTCGTCATCCTCGTCGTACTCGCGGTATCCGCCCTTCTCCACAATCCCAAACACCGAGGACAAAGATTGTCCGTACACCTGTTTCCCGATATTCTGCACAGCCATCTCTCCCCACTGGTTCTCGATAACCACCCAGTCACACTCATGCAGCGGCGCGGCCTTTCCAACAATCTTGATCCGCCAGCCCGGCAGCCACCGAAAGACAAGGTATCCAAGACCTGCGGTTAGAATGCATAGAAGGAGATATAAGGTGAACCCGACGACGGAGGTGCGGAAGCCAGCGACGACGATGGTCAAGTCCTCAGTAGCAATGTAAATCTTCTGCGTGGATCTGCCACCTCTCCAATGTCCGGAAGCCTGGGTGCTCGAACTCGAGCCGCGGCGCAGCAGCGGCGCACTGTCCGATCCCCTCGACCGCAAGGAGGAGCGCGCCGAGTATGTCGATGACTTCCGGCGGCCGCTTGAGCGGCGGCGCTGGTGGCCGGATTCCAGGTCGTCATCCTCCTCTGCGTACCCGTTGACATCGTCCAGCAGTTCCTCTTCCTCCGCAATAGCCTCCTCCTCGAGCGTATCAACTGAATCCCTTTCATCGTCGTAGAAGGTAAAGCTTGTGATGCTGACGGTCGAGTCTGCGCGAGAGCGCTGGCGGTGGGCAAAACCGGTGACGCTCGTGGGCACACTCTCGGACATGGGCCCGGAGAAGATCTACTCGCAGGTCAGCCATCTGCGCTGAGCAGCACCCCAGAGCCCGTCGTAGAAGGACAGAAAGCCGAGCAGCATCCTGCGTCTCAAACGCTCGTCGCCCGCTGCCAACTTTCCTTTCCCCCGACGGCAAACCACCAGCTGAAGACAAATTTACCTCATCCTGCGCCATCGGGACGTCGGTCAGGAGACTGACGCTGCGATACGTCTTAGCACATTTTTATTTCCTTTCCCTTACGCGCACGCGCGGCGTAATCCTACTCACTCGCTCATATTGGAGCTCTGGCGGTACAGCGGCGTGCCGCTGCTGCGGCGCGCGGCCGCATAGCTGCTGCGACGGCTATCGCCGCCGGCGTCCACGTCGGAAACCACCATATCGCAGGCCTCTCGAATCGTCTTCTCGTCAACGCATGTCGTGGTCGGGCGTGCAGGGTGTCAGGGCGCAGCAGTCAGGGTTGGTTGTTGATCGCGTGTGTGGCGCCCGAGAAGGGAGCTGACTAGGTACTAGCCACGGGCAAACCCATCGCGAGGATTGGTGCCGCTAGATGCCTTATCGCGTACCTGCGATAAAAAATGGATGCTATGAGGTCAGTCCCGCACCAATCCCATCAACACCATCATCACCGAAAAAAAAAAAAACAGTACTCTGTTGAGGCCAGCATTTTGCCTAGATTCGGGACGCAATTGACTAAAAATTTTCTAGCAAGATGGGCGAATTTTGGGTCCCGCCGGCGCTGCTGGCGGGAGATGTCTTTCCCTCTTGTACTCGACCTCGTGCATCATCGTGAGGGAAAAAAAGGCCCGTTCCCCACGCATCACGGGTCCCACGTCGCCGTGGCCGGGACCACACGTCCAACGTCGGGCACAAACAAAAAAAATCAACACCCAACGACAGTGGTCGTGTGAATGCACAGTCACGAGGCCCATGAACGCCGGCGCTACGAGACAAGGCCGAGAACCTCTATAATCCACCAGAAGCCCTGCGTGACCGCCGCATTACGACTCTGTAGCCCTATTTGGCACGCCTGAAAGCCCAGGCTTCCAATAGTCGGCTTCCTAAAGAGCGATTTTTCGATTTTTTTTAAAAAATCCCCAGCCAACTATTTTTTCTGTCGTTTATATGCTTGAACCCTGGTCTTCAGAGCACAAAGGATGATGGATAACGCACGGTGGCTGGTGCATATCCGTGCGGAGTTATGAAAGTATAACTCACAAGCACTATTGAACATCTCCAAACAGTTGTGAGAGCCCTACAAGCAGTGACCATCTCCCCGCTGTGCAAGTCAGCAGCAATACGAGCACTTGCCCTCATGACATGGCTACCTGTGGACAGACCGCTTTGCGGAACTTCGACAACGAGATAACCGACACGGGCTGACGTAGCCTTTTCTGGTTTCGGTACGATGAGATATTGTGCTCCGCGTGCGTAGTCCTGATCTCTTACCATGTGCGATACGGACTGTAGTGGAACCTTGCAAAGAGAAACCGAGCTCAATTCTCACGACACAATGGTGCATAGTCCGTAAGATGAAAAAAATATCGGATTCCATTGCTTACCCCATGGCCGATGGGGTTCCGGCTTCTGCTGACAACGGTGCTATTCCCATGGATGTGCCTTCGAGTCCAGCCGGGCATGTTTTCCTCCCATGTACGCCTCAAAGCCGCCCGTGGACCGTTCACTGAAGCACTAGGAAAGCTGGAAATTGGAAATCGGGTTTTTGGCTCTGATTTTCGATTCAAACGATAACACCTTTTTGATGCCTTTAATAAAGAGCAAAACCCGACCGTCGTGACAACCCGTCCATCCTTAAACCGTTTAGACGCTCTCCAGAACAGTCTCCTTGAACTCACGCTCGACCTGTACGGCCTGTTAGCAGGACAGGCGTGAGCGATTGGCATTGTTGCACGTACCTTCTGGCCAGACTCGTCGTGAGACGCCTCGCCGTGGAGGGTAAGGAGGGCACCAAGGTCGAACTTGGGCGCCTTGAGCAGCTTAACCTTCCTGACGTGGACCTATTCCTAGTGTTAACCTTCGCGGCACTCTCTGGCTCCATTGTGGCCCGAAAACGTACGTTCTGGAGGGGGTAGATGCCCTGAGCAGCCTTCTCGATCTCACGGCCAATGACCTCGGGGATCAGCTTGGTGGTGAGCTGGGAGAGGGTGCAGCTCGAGGCCTCGCGCGACATGATCTCGGTCATCTTCTTGCGGATAGCGCGAATCTGGGAGGAGGCGGCGTAGGTGGTCTTGCGGATCTGGTTGGGGCGGCGCTTGGTGAAGGCAATGCAGAAGAGGCGGATGAGGTAGTCGTCGGTGGTCTTGACGACAACGTTGGCCTCAATCAGCGACTGCCATTTCCGGACGAGCGAGCGGAGCTTGTCGGAGGTGAAGTCGAGACCGTGGAAGTTGGTCAGGCAGTTCTTGCCCTGGACCTCGTCGACACGGAGCTTGACCTTGCGGAACGCGTGGTCCTCGTCCTTCTGGAGGTCGGCCAGGGAAACCTCGAAGATGCGGCCCTTGAGAGCGTCGTTTGCGTTCTTCAGACCGGTCGTGCGGTTGACGAGGGTCTTGCCAACACTGCGAATGCGTAAGCGTTTGCGATGCGGAGGCTGGAGCTCTTTGCGCCGTACTCTCTGATGGCGAAGGTCGAGGGCGCCTTAACGGAGTACCAGTCCTTCTTGGCGAAGGCATCGGTCCTCTTCTTGATGCCCTTCTTGCCCTTGGACAAACGCTTGTTCTTTCCGACAGCCATGGTTGCAACCGGTGTGTGGTGTCGGGGGGCGGGATTGTCGTGGTCGTCGTCGCTGATTTCGCGCGTCTGCAACTGGCGAAGGAAAATCGCCAAAGTGCGTCTCGGTAAACCGGTGAAACCGTTGACCCGCGAATTGTGCCGACCCACATGGGTCCTGTGCGCCGAGGAGTTGCCGCTCACGTGCGCATTTGCATCCCCTGCAAACACTCACTTCAGCCCCATCCGCGGCAAAAGAGTGGAGTGGCGCCAACTGCGCCTCATGGACATAGTTAGCAGCGGGTTCCCTGGCGCTCTTTTCACCGGGACTTGACCGGTCGGCGATCTTCAGGTACTTCGCGCGTCGAACTACTGCGCGATAGTGTGCTGACGGCACCTCCGAGCGACTTCACGCCCTTCAGCCGCCGGCTATCACCGGTCGCGGCTCGCCGCGTCTCGCTGCCGAGCCGTGCCTCAGAAGACGTTCAAACTCTGCGCAGGAAAATTTTGGAGCGGGGCAGGCGACGCTGACCATAGTAACCCCGCCAACCACCCGTCCCGTCTGGCGCGCGCGCGCGACGTCACAGTTTGCAAAGTGTGCGCAATGTTTGGTTCAGAAGGCAACGGGCGCGAGCGCCCGCGGTGTATTAAAATTTCCTAGTCGCTTGCTATCCCAGTGCGCTGCGAGCGACATCGTGGGTGATTCCGTCCCAGCCCTGCTCCTGCCCCCACCCCGGATGATACCCTAACCCCTCCAAGTGCAACAACCTAACGCTGGGTTGGATTATGCACGCTGCTTGCACAGTCCGTCTAAAAACTCCCAAACGCCGCCTCGGATATCCTGCCTCTCGGGGCGGCCGCTGAGACACGCGGCCGTCTCGGGGAAGTCCTAAATAAATATCGGACATGCCTGGATTCCGGGTCAAGGATGACGAGTGAATAGTCGCGCGTTTCGCAGATTTTGCTCCGCGGCGCGTCAAAGGAAGGTCGTCCAGTGGATGACAAGAAGAGTGTGATGATGAAGAAGTGGAGATGCGATGCCTTTGCGGGCGCGATGCCGCCGGTTCTTCACGTCCTCTCTTCCTGGTAGCCGTCCTGGGTCGGCGAGCAGTACTTCTCGAAGTCGGGAAAGCTGATGTAGCCGCCTGGTGGAGCAGAGTTAGCACGGCCGTTTGCGGGCGAGAATGGAATGCATTGCGGACTGACCTTCTTTGCTGCCGTTGTACCAGTAGTCTGACGTGTCCGAGTTGATGCTGGACCTCTCCTCTGCGATGCATGTCAGAACACGTGGGAGAATATGCAGTGCGCAAGGTTCACGTACCAGGAGACTGGGGCGGGCTCGAGGGATCCGACGCTCTCCGCGAGCCGCTGGAGGCCATGCGGGTCAGGATGGCGGTCGCCTTGGCCGGGTGGACGCCAGCATCGTGCTTGGAGGCGCAGGAGGTGTGCGTGGTCAACGATGGTGGCGACACGCCCGGGCTCGATGGCGTGAGTGGTGAGCGGCGCGAGGCCTGCTTGGGCGTCTGGGTCGGAGGCATCTGGATGTAGAATCTGCTGGCCATGGTGGCGACGGGCATGTGGTGTTGTATATGAAGAGGAGGTTGTTTGCGCAGCAAGTGTCCGGCACTATTTGCTGGTAGTGTGGTGGCTTGGGAGGATCTGATAGAACGGCGGGCGGCAGATGTGCGCTGGGGATGCAGCCTTGATATGCGGGCACCCGGGACTGCAGGCGTTGGATAACCGGTTTTGGCTAGGACCAATGGGCGGAATGCACTTGTGCTGGAAGACGTGGGCTTTGGTCGCAGGAGCAAGGCTCGGTGCGCTGTCAAGCGTTTATACGTGGGCAGTCAGCGACTGCATAAGCTTGTGCTGGCGTGGAATTGCCGTCGATACGGGCGCCGACGATGACCGGCCAGCCCACATCAGGGGTTCTGGAACGGCGCTGATCCAGAGGGGCCATCCGCTTTCCCCACCCTTCGGCCAGGCGTCTCGTCACAGCTCACCGCACAGCTGCGTTGCATTCGGCCGATTCGACCCGCCCGCGCGGCGTGTCAGGCTGGTCAGCCCATTAGCCGGCGCCCGCCAGCGTCGTCGTGGGAGCGCGCAAGAGCCACTAGCCCGGATTGCGTTGGCGCCGCGGCTTCGAGCCGACCGCCCGTCCGCCGCCGCCCAGCAGGCATGGATGCGGCCACGTAAAGCATGGCTCACCTCCAGCGAGAAGTCCTGGCCCGCCTGACTCGCCGGCCACACGCGTCCAGTATGCGCGCGCTTCCGATAGAGCTCGATGGAAGCTCGTCGTCTGACCGGCGCCGCCCTCACCGGCTTTTGATCGCGCAGCATCGACGCCGTCTCTTCGGGCCGGGCCACCTCTGGGTTTAAGGTACAATCACCCGCCCATGCCGACAGGCTGCAGCAGGTTGGATCAGCGGATGCATTCATCTAGTCTCCGCGACGGTATCTAAGCGGCAGCGGCTCCGAGATAGCAAAATCCCACCCATCAGGCCAACCCATGCCTTCCCCTGCCCCTCCCGTGTGCTCCCCCGCAAAGAGCACTCCAGCCCAGCGGCCGAGTGCCGCTCGCGGCCCCAGCGTCCAGCGGGGCGCAAATTAATGCTGTGTTTTGTGTGTCAGCGGCGTCGGGCATGCCTTGTTTTTCACCACTTACATCAACGTCATCCCATGCACGGCCCTGCACGCTGGCCAGCTCGTCCAGGCTGAGCACCTTTCCTGTCGTGACTGGGGTCTGTCAGCCGTTGCACCGCACCACGTGGAACGCGAGTCAAGCAATGGTAATTGGGATCCCCTACAATAGCCCGCATGGATCTTCGCGTCAATCTCCACCCGGCTGTCCTCCGGAATCATCTCGTCGGGGATCGGTACCCGTTCGTGTATCGGGATCCCCTGCTCCACGATAGCGTCATGCTTCATGCTGTTCCCGCCGTCAGTACAAAGACACCGGTGCGGGGCGGCCCGACAACGCAGCTCGACAACTTACTTGGACATGCTGAGCATCCTGTCGATTTTGGTGATGCCGAGCCAGTGTAGAATCTGTGCTCCGGCGAGGTGCGGTCAGTAATCACAAGACAGCGCAGCGGAGCGGGGGCGTGTTGCTCACATCCGGCATCAGCGCCTGAAAACGCATGTCCTGCGGTGAGAGTGCAATCAGCGTCCGATCTGCCAGCTAATGGTGTTGCAGAGACAAACCTTCACGCCTGCGATGTTCTCGGTTCGCTGGAAGTATTCGCTCGCGCCTATCGCCAATTAGCCGTTGCCCTATCACCACCTTCCCCATGGGAACACCTACGATCGGTGCCACGTTTGCCTGCCGCCCACTAATTAGCTTTTCGGGTCCACCACCAGCTGTTTCACCTCCGGCCGCGAACTTACGTGCGTTGTAAACAAGGTACTTTGTGACTTCACCCAGCGCACGGCCTTCCTTGCGGAAGTAAATGACGACGCCGCTGCCGCCCTTCTGCGCCTCCTTCACAGCTTCCTCGATGCCAAAGATCAGGTAGGGCCGACAGGTGCAGATGTCAGACCCAAACACGTCGCTGCCGTTGCATTCGTCATGCACGCGGAGGGCCAGGCGCACGTTCGGGTCGGACATCTTGGCTGGATCACCGAAGACATAGACCGTCAAGCCACCAATCGGCGGCATGAACAGTTTGATGTCTCCTCTGGTGATGAGCTCCGGGTACGAGCCGCCCGTCTCCTCGAACAACGTCCTGCGGAGCGTTCCCTCGTCTAATCATGCAGTTAGTCAACATATACGGATCCTACGCTGACTGGCTTGTGCAACGCTTACCGATTCCAAATCGCTCAGCGACGCCGGGCAGGTACCAGACGGGCTCGACCGCGAACTTAGTCACAGCCAATTCACCCGTCTCGTTCAGGCAGATCTTGCCGTCCGGCACGAGACGGCCCTTCTTGACGCTCTCCTCGAGCTCCGGCAGCTTCATGTGCGCCTTCGTCACCGCGATCGTCGGCCGGATTTCGACGCCATCCTTGTCAATGTAGTCCTTGTAAAGCCATGGCGCCAAATGGCCAAGCGGATCCATTGACACGATCTTCTTCGGGTCGCTCCATTGCGGGAACGGCCCAATGTCGGCGGCGGGCTCGGTGTTGGTGAAATCAGGCTTGTGGTTGATATCCAGGTTCTTGCTGGCGACAGCCAGAGCATGATAGATAGAGTACGAGCCGCCGTGGGCGCCGATTGCTGCGATGGATCGTTAGCCTCTGCAACACACGCTTATACTTTCAGCTAAACGCCGCGCTAACGTACCGTTCCTCCTTCTTATAGTGTTGGAATGGCGAGAAACAACGACAGGCCCACGCACTGCCGGGTCGACGTGACCCCAGTGCATTGGGATGGGATCGACGCCCGCCTGGCCGGGATAGGAGGTCAAGATGATCTTGTTGAGCGAGGTGCTGGACCGGCGCGGGGCCGCCTCAGGCTCATACTGCTCACTAACGGCTTTCACGCTTTCGGACGGCTTGGTATCGTCCTGCACGGGAGCGGAGGCGTGGCTGTGCGCCGCCGTGTCCTGGACCTGCTTGATTCCCGCGAGCATGTTGACACGGCCGTTGATGGCATCCACCTGGGACGACAGCGAGGCGTTATCCTGCTGCAGCGCCTTCAGACCGGAGAGGATCTCGCCCAGCAGGGCAGAGACGTCTGGATTTGAGGACATGGCTGGAGATGGCGGAGAGGGGACAAAGGGCTCAGTGGAAGCTGCTGAGACAAATTGGATTGCCCTACTCCTAGAAACACGGCAATGTATCTAACGCTGCGGGGAGACAGAGCTGCGCTTGTCCGCGGGGAAGCCGGAAGCGCGAGAGCAGAGAAAGGGAAAAGGAGATCGTGAGGGACGAGACGTAGGCTACCTGCGGCTCGAGCTGCAAGGGGCCACGGCCTTTTGTAACCGCGGCCAGCGCAGATAGAGGCTACCCAACGCGGCGGTCACATGGGGTGGGAGGGCGCGCGCCGGCGGCGAGAAGTCGGAGCACAGACGGGAGGGCGCTGGTCGAAAGTCGACTGCGGGCGGCGGCGCGGACCCTGGTTCGCAATCACAGCGATAAAGCTACAAAACCGCGCTCGATTCTTAGCGAACGCTGACGTGCATCGAGCTCTGCGATATCTTCTTACGAAGCGCTCAGCTCCACCACCGCGCGCTATCAACGCTCATTCACTCTCTCACTCTCTCCTATCACCGCAGATATGGGAAAGCGCAAGAAGGCGGCGAAGAAGCCCGCGCAGCCAAAGAAGGTAACCACATCCCGCAATCGCCGCACCGCATGCGCCGCGCCGCCGTGCACAACCAGCAGCAGCGCTAACGCCTCGCAGAAAGAGGCGCTGTCGACCACCTTCCAGTGTCTGTTCTGCAACCATGAGAACTCGATCCTCGTGAAGCTCGACAAGAAGGCTGCCATCGGCCACCTTTCGTGCAAGGTGTGTGGCGTGTCGTTCCAATGCAATATCAACGGTAAGCAGTGCGCGCAATCAATATCCCCTGGCCGTCGCTAACGGCGATTCTCTCCAGCGCTCTCCGCCGCCGTCGACGTGTACTACGACTGGGTTGACGCCTGCGACGCCGTCGCCGAGGGAGAGGCCGGTGCCGCCAGTGGCAAGACCTTCCGCGAACCTGGATCGCTGCAACGAGGACAAGCCGGTGGCGCTCGCCGTGGCGGAGACGACTTCATCGAGGATGACGAGGCCGATGCGGAGGGCGACTACGCCGACGACGATTGAAATAAGGCTGGATTAGAAATTGGTTTCTTTCAAAATGGCGGCATGGCCTTGGCGGGTTTAGGGCACACATCCCTTCCCTAGGCGGGTGCCTTCACAAATGCACTGAGCAGGCTCAAAAAGGACGGTCTGGCTGGTAGAGGCGGAGTTTAGGCGTCTGGTGATGAAGGGAAAACTCAAGCATAGCCTTTCCGGCGCTAATTGGTCGATTTCGGCATATCGGCCATGAACTGATGTACGCGTAGGCGTCCAGAAGAGTGCATTTCAAGACACTAGTAGCGAGGGAATCCATGGATTTCTCGCCCTTCAAGCAAAAATAATACGCTTTAACTCAGGGTTTCATTGTACTTCGCCAGGGGTCAGACGATCCAAGACGTCTGGAGCTATGAATCTCAGTATTCCCTTCTTTCGACGCATGGCTCAAAAGGGGGGTTGGCCCTGACAAAGGTGTCTGCACGCCATCGTCGATCCCCCCTCTGAGATCTCGACCACCGTCTTACGATTCAGATGATTCCATTCTCACGCTGACACGGACGTGAGTTGCTTCAGTAGACCATTCCTCTCCCTGTATTTCAAACCAATTGCGACTAGCTGACGTGAATCCATTGCAGACGTTTCTTCACTCAGCCCTGAGATCTGTTCCGGGACCGTGCAGATGCGACTGGAGCTCTTCTGAGGTTGAACCTCAGCTTGCCTATGCTATCAAGCTCCTATGCTAATATTGAATAGGCGGCGGATAAGTATCCAAACCATTTGGCTGTAAATTTACATGGTGTAGAAACGGTCGCCAAAGTCACCGAGTCCAGGGACAATGTAGCTATAAGTTGGTTAGCTCAAACTATCATATCAACACGAGTGCGACTCACTTCTTCTCGTTCAGTCCTTGGTCAACGAAGGCGGTGATGACGCGGACCTTAGGGAACTGCTGGGCAAAGTTGGCAGCGCCCTCGGGGCTAGCAATGAGGTTCAGGAAGAGGATGCGGTCTTCGGGAACGCCGCGAGACTTCAGGACATCGACAGCCATGAGCGCCGAACCGCCTAGTTTTCTTGGTGAGAATTGTTGTTACTCTTCACAACTGGCCAGGAACCTACCAGTAGCGAGCATGGGGTCCAGCAGGAGCACCCAGCGGTCTGCAATGTCCTCGGGCAGCTTATCGTAGAAGAGCTTAGGCTTGGCAGTCTCCTCATCGCGCTGGATCAGGATCTTGCCTATCCGCACGGAACGGCAGCAGTCGCGGAGACCCTGCTCCATGGACTCGCCTGCGCGCATGATCGACACACCGCATATCTTGCCCTCGAACTTCACACCAGAGTATTGAGTGCCGAGAGGCGTGGTGATGGTATGTTCCTGGACAGGCAAGTGGTTCAGGCCCTCTTCGACAAGGAGACGAATGATACGGTTGGAGTAGAAGATGAAGTTGGCCCGGTCGGTGTTCTTATCTCTGATCATACTGTACGCGCGTGTCAAAGGTGACTGTCATAGCATTGGAGATTTACGGGTGAACGCACGTCAGAAGGGCAATGAGCTGCGGCGTCTGCGACAGAATGTGAATGTTGTCGTGTGACACCTGGGTAGAGACTGTTGCGGTCGGCTTCTCCGTCGCAGGGCGGTAGTCGGGACCCATGCATTTGGAGGGTGCCTGCTCAGATTGGGAGGAAGACATGGTGTGCTTGCGGTAGAAGTAAAAGCTTTGGCTGGGCTAGGGATTGGCAGATTCGGTGTTTTAATGCGGGCAAGCTTGCAAGATCAGCAAGGGAGAGAGGATTGGGATCGGGGGGGAGAGATAGGATCCAGGAGACGGCGGCGCCCAGGGGTGTATATAGCGGGAGCTCGAGATACTGCCCTCGTGCTCAGGTCGTGCAGCAGATGCATGGCTAGATGGCCGTCGGCGAGCTCCTAGATGCCGTGGGATGCGCAGACCCCACCAAAAGGAAGCGATTGGCGGCAAGGGCACGAGAGCTAGACCACATGCGGCGGGCGGTGTGCAGCAGGCGGGACCGTTTTGCGCCGCGGAAGAGGCGGTCTTGTTCGGTGGTCAGCGAGCGCATCGCCGCGCGCGCGTCAACAAGCCTGCTGCATCATCAACATACTCCGCTGCACATCGCGACCCCACACATCCACCGACCGTTGCACTTTCTTCTCACCTCGCGCTCGCTATCCGTGCACCAGCGCTCCGACACCCACCTGCTCGCGCACTTCTCGCGAAACTCACACCACGCTTTCACCTCCGACTCGACTCATCCGTACTTCTACTACCACTCTGACAAAACAATCACCACCACGCCTGCTTCGCCATTGGCCCGTTTGCAGTCGCGCAGCTCTCTGGACCCTGCAATGATACGCGCATGCTAAATACCCGCGTTTCTAAAGCTGCTCTAGCCCGCGCGGCCGCTGCCTCTCACTTCCGATAAACAATGGATTTCCCGCAGCGGCGGAAGAAGCCTGCAACATATGGCAAATCTTCGCGCAATACGAGCTACAAGATCTTCAATGACGCACCGTCGCCTGAGAAGCCGCGCCTGTCAAAACCATCGTGGACCGCAAGCAAAGGATATAGCATTTCGTCTCACCAGGATGTCGCGGCTGCCAAAGGTGCTCCGGTAAAGGCGAAGGCTGACTCCATGTCTATATTCGACATGCCTTCTTCCGACGAAGAGCTTTCCAGACCCTCAAAACCTCTGGCAAAGAAAGCTCCAGCCAAGAAGGCTGCGCCACGCGCTTTACCAAAGACCGAGGACGCCTCTTCCGAAGATTCTGCGTCGGAGCAATTACACAAAGAAGTTGAAGCCGCAGCGGCGAAAAAAAGCATCCGGAGACGGACTCCATCAGTAAGCAGGCGTCTAGAGGATTCTGCTGGGAAAAAGGCATCCATAAGTGGAAGCCAAGCCACGCGCCGTGACCCCGTTGTTCTTATACACCGTCCACGGCAAGAGCCGGCAAAGGAAAACCCGAGCAAAAGGAACCATGAAATGGTGGAAAATTCAGAGGATGATATCAGTGCGGCGGGTGTAGTCAATGAGAGGCCTCACAAGTCCGTCAAGAGCCTACGGGCAGCTAGTCCTCGAAGACAAGAACCCACACGCCTGGCTCCTGGCTCATCTACAGACGAACTGGCAGGCCCGTCTCAGAAAGGCAACATCAAGCAAAAGGTGAAAGCACGGCCTACACCCACTGTGACGGGAATACGAGCCACGCGCCTGCAAAAGAAAGAACCGGAAAATGATCCAAGCAGCCAGACAGACGCAGTGAAATCGTCCACAATGTCTGCAACCCAGGCGATCAAGCTAGCAAGAGCACGGAGGACTGAATCAAAATTCACATTCACCAAGCCCTTGATCCAAAAAGGGAGGTCCGCGCCAACAGTGCTACAAAAAATGCTTCCATCACCAGAAACCAAACCTTCTAGCCCTGATGAATCACCTCATTCCCCAGAATCATCCGACTCGTCAGACGAGGATGAGGAAGAAGAAGATGAAGCACCGACACCTGCAACACCGCCAGGTAGGACATCGGAATCTCCCTTCGGAGCTGTGACCCCGCGGCAACACACGGCGTGGAGCAAACTTTTAGACGACACTACAACAGGAAGCCCTAGTGCTCTCAACTTCGATGAACTGAAATTAAATCAGGCTGTCAAGCCTCGTCGAAAGGCCATGCTACAACGATCCAGCTCCGATATGACCCACACGACTGGTAACAGACGACCACGTCTGATAGATACGTTGAAACAAGACTCCGAATCGGAAGAGGAGAGCAACGATGACGAAGCTATGACCGATGCGGATGAAACGCATTTCACCAAACACGAAAGGAGTAGTCCCAACCAAGCCCCTGCTGGTCCGTCGTCGAAGAGCTCCCAACATACTGGAACGGCCTCAAGCTTTTCTCAAGAAGCCACATCATCTCAGACATCAGTTCCAGGAAACGCAGGCCCAAAGCTTACCTACGCCCGTACCAGGTCATATCTTAACGAGAACAGTCTCGAGGATGAGCTGTTACTGGGTCTTCCTAGCTTGGAGAGTTTAGGTCCATCGCGCAGAGCACGAGTCCAGGACGACCTCGATGAGCTTGAAGACGGTGGCGGTGGCATGCGGAGTATTCATGAACTCCGTGCGGGAGGACGTGCTCTACGTGTTGCGGACGACATCGAACATCTCGTTGGTGATACTGAGGAAAAGAAAGCAAATCCCCCGGCGAGGAGACGCAGTGCTCTGATGGAGCTATGCACGAAATTGGCTGATAAGTCTTATGTCACCCGCATGGTCGATGGCGGCTTGGACAGCCGACTTTTCCACTTTTGTGGTGCAACCACGGATCCTATTCTCGGGTTCCTAGTTGCCTGTGCAATGAAGCTCATGGTATCGGCTGAGGTACCAAAATCATCGGTCGCTGCCATGTACAGCGCCGGATGTCTGAGGATGCTGGCCGGCCTGCTCAAGCTCGATTCGGACATAGCAAAGATTGCGCGCGAACGTCGTAACAACATGTCTAAATATGCACAGGGCGAACTGGTCAAATTTCGGTCGCAGGTTATGAACAGTATCTGGCCCGAAGAACACCTGGAAGTTGTCTCCCCAAGGGCTATTGCGCTAAAGAGCTTAGAGGCTGTGATCCGCAAGCTACGGGAAAGCAGAAACACGGACGACCTCCTTGGCTTCCGGGCCTTTGCAGATGTAGCGGCGCTGGCCAAGGACCCGGCACACAAGTTGGCGTCAGGATTTGCCTCACCCTCGGACACTGCATTCCTTGAGCTTACGTTGTCGATCCTGGAGTCTGCTTCCCTGAATGCATCAGCCTGGACCAACTCCTCTACGGATGCTGACGCATCCATGGGTCAGCTTGCAGGCTCTATCGATGCAGTCCTTGGCTCAGGACCGTCATTGACCGAACAGTTGGAACCGCTTGCTCTTCGTCTCACATTGAACGTAACGAACAACAACCCGGAGGTTTGCAACGTCTTTGCCCGGCCAACACTCGTGCAGAACCTATTACGCTCGATAGACAACAGGTGTCAGGCATTGGCTACTCCATTGAACGAGGAAGAGCACGTCAAGACTTTGGATCGTCTGATTCTCACGCTTGGCGCAATGATCAACCTTGCCGAGTTTAGCAATGAGGCAAGAGTAGCTTCCATGAAAGATGGCGATGGGTTGCTCAACTCCCTCGTCAGATCCTTTCTCGAGGGCATGGAGCGAGCTGCGCAAGCAGATTCAATGGAAGAATCTCAATCCAGCGTTGCATACGGTTACCTCGCGGTCCTGCTTGGGAATCTCTGTCAAACTTGGGCTGTCAGAGAGAAGGTCCGCGCCAGGCTGCCGCAACAGCGCCTGGATGTGCTGATCCATGCGGTTGAAGAGTTCATCTTCGTGCACCAAAAAGTTGATAAAGAGGAGTTCGATGGTGAAGAAGGTAGAGAGGTCTGGGCAAACTACACGGCAAGGCTGCAAGGAGTCATCTACAGGCTTCAAGGACGGCACACCTAGATGCAGAAAGGAACCCAACCAAAAGAAGAAAAAAACAGGCTGGCCTGCTAGAAAAAAATCCTCACGTGAGGGATTGATCTTGTGCAAGGGCGTTTTGAGTGTTCCTTGGAACGGTGGGCAGTAACGGTAAAGTATGGGAGGAAATTCGAGATACCCGATACCCCGGAGAATGATTTTGGGCGAGAGACGAGGCTCTTTGAAAAGCATGTTGTGCGGCTTGATGTGGCTGAGACATGCAGCGTCATACATCTTGGAGGCACCCACTACGAAACATTCTCTCATTTGGAGCGACACGGCCAAGATTGTAGATAGACAAACACACTCGTTGATCTTGCTTTTTGTGTCCCGGACGCTCGTTTAACGAAGCCAATGCGTCTGCGACTGACAAGTAGACGTCTCCTCGGATGGCAATGGCCCGTCGGATGCGTGTGAACACGATCCGGTGGCTTACACGAGAGACCCGCTGCAGAAGTGAAATTGCATGGTTCTGAAACTGCATTGATCCGGCGCCTGGCTGATTTCTCCCAACCGGATGAATGATACGACCGCACGTGCTGATAAAAAAAAAAAAAAGAAACCATCCACGACATGCGTCCGTGGGCATTCCTCCCCCCAAAGACGAGAAAGGAAAATGTTAAAAGCAAAGCCGTCTCACCGGAGGCTGCGAGGGTACCACAGCGACATGCCACCTGATGTGACGGCGGGCAACTCCGAGCACGAGGGGCATGGGGCGGACTCGGAGTCCCAGCCCTGCGGATATTGCGTCACGATTCAGACTCGACCTTTGTGCCCGACGAGGCTGTAGTCGCACAAGCTGCCCTTGCAGGCGGCCGACAGCAGAGTAGCTGCACAGGGCTCGCCAGCAGTATAGGCGCGGCTTGGCAGAGTCGTGGCTGCGGGCTGAGGCAGGCGGACGAATAGGTGTGGCTTGTTTCCATTACTCGATCAATTGTGGAACGGGCAGCCTCTTAGGTAAAAGGACAGGCTGCCATCGTAGGGTTGCAGCTTCGACCTTTTCCTCCTCCTCTCGCACCTTGCGCTTGCGTCTGCTGCTAGCTTGCAGTTGCCCGCTGTTCCTTCATAGGCTGGACCGGTACTGCGGCACTGCCGTCGTCGTCACCGCCTAAAGCTGCTGGGCGCCAGTCCCAAACACTATTCAAGCGCGGAGCCCCCTCTAATTGAACTACCCTTTCTCTCGCCCGTCCTTGCTCTTAATTTTTTACTACCCTGGATTATTCCTTCGTTCACCTCGCGTACTCCCCAAGCAGTTCGAGTGCGAAGATGCCTGCGCCTCCGAAACAGCGCAAGATTGCAATTGTCGGCAGCCGCTCTGTCGGTACACCATCCCGCTCCCCTTTCTCTGTCTTGCCTGCGCCCCGCAGCAGCTGGCACGGCGCTTGCTAACCACGGCGTGTCCTGGGCTCCCACAGGCAAATCCTCCCTCACGGTCCAATTCGTAGACGGCCACTTCGTCGAGAGCTACTATCCTACCATCGAGAACACGTTCAGCAAGGTCATCCGCTACAAGGGCCAGGACTATGCCACCGAGATCATCGACACGGCCGGTCAGGTACGTCACGACTTGTTGGGAAGAGGGGTACACACGGGAACAAGCTGGCCGAGCGAGACGGCCTTCTGGCCTGGAGCAGCTCTGCTGGGCTTCACAGCACAAGATGGCTGACGAGTGAGCGTTTTCGGCCCACAGGATGAGTACAGCATCCTGAACTCGAAGCACTTCATCGGCATCCACGGCTACATGATTGTCTATTCGGTCGCGTCCAAGCAGACGTTCGAGATGGCCCGGATCATCCGCGACAAGATCCTCAACCACCTGGTAAGAGATGACCCGAAACGCCACCTCTCGACGCCTCAACGCCACCAACTGCTGCTCGGGTTTCCCTGCTTCGGCGGTGCCGCTACATGCCACACGCTGGGAGTGATGGGCTTCGGTGCCGACTCGGGGAGAGTGCGAAGCAGCTAGGCATCCGGGCAGCAAGCGGCACGAGAGAGAGACAGAGCATATGTTGACGCTGCAACCTTTTCGGATACAGGGCACGGAATGGGTCCCGCTGGTCATCGTCGGCAACAAGAGCGACCTGCGCCCTGAACAGCGCCAGGTCACGGCCGAGCAGGGCAAGGCACTCGCCGAGGAGTTCAAGTGTGCGTGGACCGAGGCCAGCGCGCGCTACAACGAGAATGTGTCCAGAGCTTTTGACCACATGATCGGCGAAATCGAGAAGAGCCAGAACCCGGGCGAGGCCCCCGCGGGTGGCAAGTGCACGGTGATGTGAGCACAGAGAGAGGGGGTGGCAGTGTGTGATTGAGGGGCTTGCAGCGGGGCTGAATGCTTGATTGATTGTTGGCGTTGAGACCTGGGGGAAATTTTCTGAGTCACCAGCGGGGGAAGCTTTTGGTTCTGCACGTGATGGGAGTAAGCGGACGGACTTTCACTTCTTGGATTCGTTGCAAAGTAGAGGCGTTGGGATGGGAAGGATTGGGGAAATCCCGTTTGCTTTGAACGTGGATAATTCAACATTGGCTAGAATGGTAACTTTGACCTCCTTCCTTGCTGCCTTCGAGAACCTCAGCCGTGACAAGCCACCATCCGCCCTGTCGGCGTCGCTTTGTCTCACCTCGACGCCGTCCTGGTCTCTGGAAATGTGTGGAACACAGCGACTCACAGCCTCGTATCCCATTCATCAATTCTGCCGGCCAAATGATTTTCCCTGCCAAAGCGCATCTCTCGTCATATTAGTAATATCCGGCATCTCTAAAAATTGACCGGGGTTGGCGAACCCGCGGAAGAAAGCATTGTCAGCAACCACTCGCCATGTTCACTGCACGAGTTGCGGCGCCGCTCAGGCTGGCGCGTCACGCAAGTATCAGGCCATTCAGCACCTCGCGCCCGCTCGCCCGCCTGGACCTCTCCTACGACCTGCATGAGCCGCCAAAGTCGCAAGGGTCCTCTACAACTGCTTCTGAGAATGCTCCCATTATTATGTTGCACGGCCTGTTCGGCTCCAAGAGAAATAACAGGAGCATAAGTAAGTACGGTCTCTTTTACTGGCCCCTTGGCGACTGCAGGGCGTCTTGGGCTTACGGTGTTGAGCAGGCAGCTTGCGCGCGACCTGAACCGCCCCATCTACGCCGTCGACCTGCGCAACCATGGCGACTCTCCGCACGACCCCCGCCACGACTACACGGCGCTCGCAGAGGACACGGAGGACTTCATCGAGCACCACGGGCTGAGCGGCTCGACGCTGATCGGGCACTCGATGGGCGCGAAGACGGCCATGGTCGTGGCGCTGCGGCGGCCGGAGCTGGTGCGCGACCTGATCCCGGTGGACAACGCGCCCGTGGACGCGGCGCTCAAGAGCGACTTTGCGCAGTACGTGAAGGGCATGAAGAAGGTGGACGCGGCGCAGCCCAAGAAGCAGAGCGAAGCCGACGCCATCCTGAAGCCGTTCGTCGAGGAGATGGGCGTGCGCCAGTTCCTGCTGTCGAACCTGGTGCGCGCGCCGGGGACCGACCACCTGCGCTTCAAGATCCCCGTCGGCTACCTCGCCAACGCCCTCGACAACATGGCCGACTTCCCCTTCACCAACCCCGACGAGACGCGCTTCAGCAAGCCGACCCTATTCATCCGCGGCACCAGGAGCCACTACGTCCCCGACGAAACCATACCCATCATCGGCAGGTTCTTCCCGCTGTTTAAGATGAAGGACGTGGAGTCTGGGCACTGGGTCGTTTCCGAGAACCCCGAGGGCTTTAGACAAGGTATGTAAGCTTCGTACTTTTTTACTTTTTACTTTTTTTTTGGGTTTCCCTTGCACATTCTCGAGCTGTGGCCCATGGTTACTTTGCCCGCGTTCTCCGGCCCAATCCAGGGCATGCGCCCTCTTCAAGGAGGATTTCGCACTTGGAGCGTCGATCCTTGTGCCGCGGGCAGAGCAGTCGAGGAAGGGATGTGGCATTCGTGAAGCAAGCCAGCAGCGCAGGAGCCACGGTCTGATGTCAAGACGTGTGGTTCCCGCAACCCGATCCGGTATGAAAAATACCGGCTTTTGGGGCCGCGGATGGACCCCTGAACACCGAGCGGCGGAAAAGCAAAGCAATAGCTTTTCCGCGCGGGCGCTACCTTTTTTCCAACTCAGCTGAATGTTGTGCTGACTCCGCAACAGCCGTGCTCGAGTTCCTGCAGGATCAAGAGTGAGAATGTCCTTTTTCTACGCGGGCCCCTAAAGTGCGAAAAATTGCACGCTTGTTGCGCGGCGACGAGGGCGATGTCGCTGTCGGTCCATGACGACAGGTCGGGGACGCTTCGGAGCTTGCGAGCAGATCACAGGGTGCACGTGGAGACCGGATGGATCTCTCGAAATCGCCCTGGCCATTGACTAATCCGCCGGGCGGATACTTGTACGCATTCGTTTAATAGGTACATTTAGATAGACTGTGCATAGAAAGGGTGGACCGGAATAGATAACCCGAGCAATCGGCATCTTGGGCGTGGGAATTCTTCCTCGAATAGCCCGGAGAGCGGCAGGTGCAGGCGTGCGGCGCCGCCACGGTCTCCGGCGGATGCTTTGCAATGAGGCGAGGGGGATCAGATAAGAAGTTTTATCGGCGGACCAGGGTCGGCGTCGCTCGTTCTGCGGTGTGGCTTGAGTCTTGCAAAGCACGCGTCCTAGCTCCCAGAGCTCTTTTTCTGGTCCGACGTCACCGTGCTGGCGACTGAGACACGCGCAAACTCACGAAGAATCGAGGGTGTGTGTGCACAGGCGTGCGGCTGGATGCGCCTGCGGCATGCCGAGGAGGGGCATCCGGCAATATGCCAATAGTTCGTCGCCCACCGGGGCGGCTACGCTCTGTCAGCGCCAGAGTCAGCACGTCTGGACTTTCGGGGAGGGGCCTGGACGGCGCCCCGCGGAGCACCGAAGCAGCGGTGTTCATACGCAGCCATCCAAGGCCACCACCCTCCTGCGGCCTCTGGCGGGGGCAGCAGCTTTGGGCAGGCGGCACGCTACGGCCTACGGCGGCCAGGTCGGACGTGGCATTGGCGACGTGTGGGTCGCTGAGAAAGCGGCCGCGGAGTTTTTGGATGGAGTTAACGGACGCAAATGATGACTGATGCGAATCGGTAAAGCTGTGCAGTCCGGTCATCGGCCGGTACGCATTTATTGACAGCGCCCGCAAGACAGGCGCCTGTGGGAAGAGCCGTGGTCCATCCTGCTGTCGCAAGCATTGGCGCCGATCCTGTGATTGTGCTGAAATTTCCTTCGGAGCTTCTGTCCCCGCAGCCTTCAGTCGTGCGACGGGCTGGGTGCACTGTTGCGCGAGAGCGAGAAAGCGCCGTCCGCCGCAGCAAACGTCACTGCTCCGAAGCGTCCGCCTGCCGCTCACTAAAATCAACCCCACCAGGATCTCAACGACTTCTATCCACCCACGCCCTCCCTCTCCGTCGACCATTCTGCCCGGACTTTTTGCGTCTTCCTCCCGTCCATCCATCCCCCCCTCAAACCGCGCTTCCCTCCCCCAAAAAACACACGCCGCAAACCACCTCCCACAGACGCAATGGCCGACACGCTGATCCACCCTGACGTCGACGCCAACGCTGGGTGAGTAGCTGCCCCTCCATTTCCGCCCCGCGCCCGCCAGCTGCTCCGACCACGTTTCGCTGAGCGCATCGTCGCGGTGCGCCCGCGGATGCTGGCGGAATCTTTGTGTTCCCCCAACGCATTGGCTGCCGTCGGGCGCCGCGGGCGCACGCGGCGGTCCGCATTGGGAGCTGTTGCAGAGCTAAGACGGCTAACCGCGCGACCGCCAGCACCATCGAGCTCAAGGACAACACCATCGTCGTCGTCCTCGGAGCTTCCGGTGACCTCGCCAAGAAGAAGACTGTAGGTTTCGCCCGCGCCCGCGCTCTTCTCGCGCTTGCCGATAGCTGACCTTGTTTTTCCGCCGCCCAGTTCCCCGCGCTCTTTGGTCTCGTAAGTGTAACGCAGCTATTTCACAGCGCAGCAGAAGGCCTGACAGGCTTGGCAGTTCCGCAACAACTTCCTCCCCGCCAATGTCAAGATCGTCGGATATGCGCGGACGAAGATGGACCGTGAGGAGTACCTCAAGCGCGTCAAGTCGTACATCAAGACGCCCACCAAGGAGATGGAGGAGCAGCTGGAGGAGTTCACCAAGTTCTGCAGCTACATCTCGGGCCAGTACGACCAGGACGAGTCGTTCATTAACCTGAGGAAGCACCTTGAGGAGCTGGAGAAGGGCAGGAAGGAGACGCACCGCGTCTTCTACATGGCTCTGCCTCCCAGCGTCTTCATCACCGTCTCGCAGCACCTGAAGCGCAACTGCTACCCCAAGAACGGCATTGCCAGAGTTATCGTGAGTGGCACCACTGTGGAGAATGCGGAGAAGAGGCTAGGCTGACACCGGAAACAGGTGGAGAAGCCCTTCGGTAAGGATCTCGGGAGCTCTCGTGAGCTCCAGCGCGCTCTGGCCCCCGACTGGAAGGAGGAGGAGCTCTTCCGTATCGACCACTACCTGGGCAAGGAGATGGTCAAGAACATCCTCATCCTTCGGTTTGGTAACGAGTTCTTCGGCGCTACCTGGAACAGGAACCACATCGACAACGTTCAGGTATGGAGAGATTGGGCTTGCGAGCGCCATCAGCTGCTGACTTCGCGCTAGATCTCTTTCAAGGAGCCCTTCGGTACCGAGGGCCGTGGCGGCTACTTCGACGAGTTCGGCATCATCCGCGATGTCATGCAGAACCGTGGGTGTTGTGACTCGTATGGTTCGATGCATCAGCTAACTTCGACACAGACTTGCTGCAGGTCCTGACGCTGCTGACCATGGAGCGCCCTATCTCTTTCTCCGCTGAGGATATCCGTGACGAGAAGGTCCGTGTGCTGCGCGCCATGCCTTCGATCGAGCCCAAGAACGTCATCATTGGCCAGTACGGCAAGTCGCTCGATGGCAGCAAGCCTGGCTACAAGGAGGACGACACCGTTCCCAAGGAGTCTCGCTGCCCCACTTTCGCTTCGATGGTCGCCTACATCAAGAACGAGAGGTGGGATGGTGTGCCCTTCATCCTGAAGGCTGGTAAGGCTCTCAACGAGCAGAAGACGGAGGTCCGCATCCAGTTCAAGGACGTCACCTCGGGTATCTTCAAGGACATTCCCCGTAACGAGCTGGTCATCCGTGTCCAGCCCAACGAGAGTGTTTACATCAAGATGAACTCCAAGCTCCCCGGTCTCAGCATGCAGACGGTTGTTACCGAGCTCGACCTGACCTACCGCCGCCGCTTCTCCGACCTCAAGATCCCCGAGGCATACGAGTCGCTGATCCTCGACGCCCTGAAGGGCGACCACTCCAACTTCGTCCGTGACGATGAGCTCGACGCAAGCTGGAGGATCTTCACCCCTCTGCTGCACTACCTGGACGACAACAAGGAGATCATCCCCATGGAGTACCCCTATGGTAAGAACACGCCACTCCCTCGCTATGAACTATATTTTGCTGACTTTGATCCCAGGCTCCCGGGGTCCTGCCGTGCTCGACGACTTCACCTCTTCGTACGGCTACAAGTTCAGCGATGCTGCTGGCTACCAGTGGCCGCTGACCGGCGACCAGAACAAGCTCTAAGCGACTGGTTGCGGGGAATTAAATAAATGAAATGTGGCTTTCGTTTTTGGTTCAATGAAAAAATACCAATAGAGCAACCAAACGTACGGCGCCTGAACAGTTTCATTCAGTCCCGACCAAAGAATTTGGGAGACTGTCAGAGAGACGAGTTTTTTCTTTTTGGGGGGGTATTCGCGCGTCTTGTTTGGTCGTTTTGGCTTTTGATGTTTTCAATTTTCTATTTTTCCCAAAGGACGGTTTTTGCGCTACTCAAACATGTGAGAGAGCATGTGATGGAGTCTATGACAGCCTGGCAATGAAATCCTTTCTGATGAACTCTGAATAGCATGTTTTGAATCTGGCAGGTCAAACGCGACTAGTTTCACTAGTTTTGTGGGTGTTGTACTCCGATATCCCGAGCCGCATGTCTTGTGCAACCTGCAGCCCACCCATGCCGTCATCCATGGATGCCAAAAAGCTCTCGGGCCGAGAGCGCGGCTGAGTTCTGGTCCATCCCGCTCTCTCCAAAATTTCGGAAGTGCACCACCAGTTTGCACCACAGCAACACTTCCTTCTGCGCTCACACTCTCGCTTCCTCGTCGCCGCACCGAATACCGACCAATCGTTCAGCTACGTTACCGCTCTTGCGCGATTTTGAAGTGGGCGCAAACACCCTTTCACGCAAGCGAACCACTCCGAGCGGCGGGGCTCCTCCGGTCAACAACTTTCTACCTACCTACGTACTACGACGATAAACGAGCAACCACCAATCTCTTACACGACCAAATAACGAAAAAGAATCATGGTCAAGCGCACGAGCCCGAACATCATCATCACCGGAACGCCCGGCGTCGGCAAGACGACACACGCGCAGCTACTGGCGCAAAACTGCGCGGGGGAGCTCAAGCACCTGGCGATCAACCAGGTGGCCAAGGAGCGGGATTGCTACGACGGCAAGGACGAGGAGCTGGGGAGTTGGATTGTGGACGAGGATAAGGTATGTATGGAGTCGTCTGTTTTCTAAAGTCCGTATGCGACGAGGATGTGTCGTGGCTCTTTTTTTTTTTTTTTTTTCCATGGTTGCTAACGAGCTATGTTTTTCCCTTCTCCTACAGCTCCTCGACGCGATCGAGCCGGACGTGCTGCGCGGCGGCAACATCATCGACTGGCACGCGTGCGACCTGTTCCCGCGCAGCTGGATCGACCTGGTGGTGGTGGTGCGGGCGGACAGCACGCTGCTGTACGACCGGCTCAAGGCGCGCGGCTACAACAGCCGCAAGCTCGACGAGAACATGGACGCCGAGATCATGCAGGTGCTGCTGGACGAGGCGCGCGACGCCTTCGACGAGCAGATCGTCGTCGAGCTGCGCAGCGACTCGGCCGACGAGGTCGAGCAGAACTGCGAGCGCATCGAGGCTTGGGTGAAGCAGTGGAAGGAGGAGCATAAGGATGGTGTTGAGGGCGTGAGTGGGTTGGGTGGGGAGGAGGATGGGGAGGAGGAGGAGGATTGAGTGGGGGATGCGGTTCTGCTTTTTTTTTTATGTTGGTGGTTGGGAAAAGTCATTTTCTACATATACCCGTCTATCGTCTTGTGAAGTTTAGGAGTCATCTATTGACATGGGAAAAGGGAAAAGTTCATGGGTGGCGTTTCTTTTGATACTAGGATAGACATGGATTTTTCCCCCCTCTCTATACCTTTAACATCGTGATGAGATGATGGTGGTACGCTATTGAAAGTTTGGTGGCGAAATCTTCTCTATTTTTCTTTTCCCTGTTCCTGTGCCCCCTCTTTACTCGACGTGGCTCTTCAGCCACTCCTTCAGCTTCTCGAGGGCCTTTCCGCGGTGCGAGATCTTGTTCTTCTCGACCTTGGGCATCTCGGCGTAGGTCTGGCCCTCGTACTCGAAGGTCGAGTCCCAGCCGAAGTTGATGGGGCCGCGCGACGGCACGATCCTGCCGTCCGTCCGGCCCTGGAAAAGGATGGGCTCGTGGCCGGGGCCCTCGCTGTAGGCGAAGGTGCAGACGGCCTGCGCCGACTTGTCCTCGAAGCCGTCGAGCATCTTGTGCAGGTTCTGCACACCGATGGACTGCATGAACCATTTGCTGTGGGCGAGAGAAGCGGGTCAGAATTGGAGATGTGCAACATGAGAGGTGCAATTGGAACGTACATGTAAGGTCCGGGGAGGTCGTTCATGGCCTTGAAGCAGAGGCAGGTATCCTCGACGAGGACGGGACCACCGACCTGGAGCATGGCTTGTCAGTATTTTACATCCACATCATTCGGAAAGAATTGGATATCGAGAGAGTTGTTTCCCGTGTTCTTCGTTGCTTGCGCTTTGGGAAGGCGGGAATGGCACGTACATGCTCGGCAGCGCGTCTGCACTTGTCCTTCGTCACCTCTTCCACGGTGCCCTGGATCTCGACCAGATCCACGCTCTGGCTGCGCAGCTCGACGCCGCTGTCTGCCAGGATGGCCTTGACCTCGGCAAGCTTGTTGGCGTTGCCGGTGATGAAGTTGAGTTCCTTTGGCGCCATCTTAAGTAGATTTCCCTGCTCTTTTGTGGTTTGCTTGTCTTCGGAAATAGCCAATGGACTGGAAGTGAGAGTCAAGGGTGGTGTTCAATCTTTCGCTGTTGTGCCTGTGTGGTTGTTGAAGATGTAGGCTTGGTGCAGAGCGTTGACGTTAAATATATGCGGGCACAGACGGCGATAGGGCTGAAGAAAGTCGATGTTCTTTCCGCTGCGATGTCATCTCGTCCAAGCCACCACAACACCGCCTCTCCGTGACTCTTCCTCCCTACTCCACACACTACCCGCCTGTGCTACGGTGGTGATAAATCAATTGCGCTTCCATTCCGCGCAGCTGAGCAATCTGGAGCATGGTGCTTTCTGGCCATTGAGAATCGAGTCGCTAGGTTCAGCTCGCTCGCTATTTTGAGCGGTCACCGCTTTCGGCTCCGGTAACAGACACCGGCGAGAATCAACTTGCCCCGTCAACCACACCAGCCGTCGATCACGAAAAAAAGATGGCGCTCGGCTTGGCGGTGTATCTCGAGCGGAAGACGCTGCTATGGACCAGCGCCTGGGCCCTGGCTGCATCCGCGCTGGTGATTGCCAAGGGTTGGATTTCTGGTGAGTGGAACATCGCCCTTCCCCTTTCCCCTGTCTACGCCCGGGGGGTTTTGCATCAAACTCCGTCGCGCGCCTTGCTACGTCTTCCTGTCTCGTTTCTGTTGTTATCTGGATTGCCGGTCTGGACTATTGTAGTCATGGCTCTCTGCTGCGAATCTTGTCCGGTTTGGCCGCATAGGCGGCCATGACTTTTCTGCCCGTAACATGCGGTGCAACACGAACAGTCGCAAGATCAGAGCGCCATATACTGACATGAGACGCAGTGCCAGAGCCAGTCAATTCTTTGGAGACGCCGATCCGTGCAGTTGGAGCACTTGTGGTCACCGTCGTAACTCTGCTACTTACCCGCATCTGGACCGGTGTCAAGTATCAGAATGCTTGCAGCAAGGCAGGCGAGAGAAGTCCTGTTCCCGTCCTTCCTTCATCTATCCCCTTCTTTGGCCATGGACTGCAACTTGTTTGGAACACAGATTCGTTTCTGAAGAAAGCCAGGTACGTGAGAACCATATCAGACATATCCTTCTGGGATGTATGGTTGATGGCTTTTAACTAGGGACGAGGTCACGCAGAATTTATTCGGACTGAACCTTTTTGGCACGAAGCATGCCATTCTGGGATCCCCCACCGTGGTTGTTGATGAACACGAAAAGGTGGATGATGAAACCTTCGTTTCCACTATCCGCAAAAACATCTTTGGCTTCTCCAGCGAACATCCAGCGGTGAATTCCTCCGAATTTTACGACAAGATCTTTTCGGAATCGAATATGGAATCACTCTCTAAGAAGGCGGTGATCCTGCTGAAAGAAAACATACCAGATTTCATCACTTTTAATGAAAGTTTTGTCGACCAACAGGCTTGGGAACGGGCAAGCCTGACGACTTTGGTTGAAAATACCGACTCCGAAAAGGACCTCTCAGAGTCAACCCTAGAGTACGTATGATCTATCCATACATATAATCAGATGCTGACAGTAGGGGTTAGCATGCTTCTTCGAGACTTTGCCGGCCACATCATCAACAATGCTTTTGCCGGTGTAGCTTTCATGGACGACTATCCCGCGTTCAACGAGACACTCCAAGGTTTTGAATCCAAGACTGGCCTCCTGGCGACTGGCCATCCTCGTTGGGTCCCCATTCCCGGGCTCCCGGCAGGCTACATTGCGCGCAAGGGGCTGCTTGCAAACACGAGCAGCATACAGAAGTCTTACGAGAGAGAGCTCGGGGGCGAGGACATCATCTCGACGGAAGAGAACGTGGGGGATTTCTCAGCAGCTTTCACCACGTCTCGACGCCTATTTACGGAACAGAAGGTGCCTTCGGCAGTGCAGCCCCATGTCGACCTCTACATGTTTTGGGCGTTGAACGCGGCAGCTCGCGATCTGATCTTCTGGATGATGATCCACATCCTCGCCGAGCCCGGTCTGGCGGAACGTGTCCGTGATGAAGTCCGCCCTTTTGCTCGTGCCACGCGGCCGAAGAACGGCTTTGGGCTCATGGAGCCGCCACAAATCAACTTCGATCTCGAAGGGCTGCGGACCAAATGCCCGCTGCTGCTGAGCTGCTACATGGAAACGGTGCGGCTGTACAACACGGCGTGGTCTGTCAGCAGAGCGAAGCAGGACGTGGTGCTCAGCGATAAGTCGGCTGGCGGCGTCGCGGTGGAGTACGTAGTCAAAAAGGGCGAGTACGTGGACGTGTCCAACAGGCTGCTCAATACGGACAGCCAGCACCGGAGTGCGGAGAAGTTCATTGCAGACAGATTCGTGGTGCACGACGAGAAGGGAAAGGCAGTCCGGGCGGACTGGGGCACGGTCAGACACGACAATGGCATGTGGCGCATGGCGGGGTTGGAGGTGTTCGCGCAGAGCCTTTGTCTGGCTACGGTGGCCGCGGTGCTGGGCGTGTGGACGCTGGAGCCGGTGGACAAGGCGGGCTGGAAAATACCGCGGAGAGGCGACGGCCCGCTCACGGCGCGGCCCAAGGGCAACGTGAGGGTCAGGATCGGGCGGGCGCCGCTGGCGAGCGAATAGGGCGGGAAGGTGAGATGCTAGTTAGGGGGATGCGGGAGCGTATGAAATGATTCAAGGGCCGTAGAGATTGGGATTGATCATGCCGATGACGTGCGCGTGGAGCAGCGGGAAATGGCAAAAGAAACAAAGCGCAGCCGCAGCGGCCGCGGAGCGGGCGTTGGTTGACGGCGGGCACGACGGCACGGGCTTGGGCTAAGAGATGTCAGCGAGAGCATGCCGGCGCAGGGCAGGGGCGCTGCGAGACGCGCGACGGGCATTTCCATCCTCCGCGCCAGGAACCGCGCGCGCCAGGCACGCGACGGAGATATAACTGCGGTGCGGCGCGGCGGTGGTGTGCGCGCTGCTGCCGGCCGGCGGAGGAGGCAAAGGCGGCGGAGGCGAACGCGGCGGCGGAGAGCGGTGCAGCGGCCGTCTGTGTTGCCGCGGGCGCAGGGTCAGCCTTCAGGGGCTGCTCGGCCCAAAAGCGGTGAACGCCAGGACCCCGTGCGTGCAAGGTCCAGTTTCAAACCGTCGGGACAGCATCTCTAAATAATTGACGACCTCACGCTGCGCGCATACCTGCCACTCCACCCTCTCGTTCCGCCCTCTCCAGCTTCTGCGATCCGCCTCTGCCCCCGCCCGGCCCCGCGGATGCCTGGCGCCCTCCGTTCCCTTTCTTCCATTTCGGTCGTTTGTTAGTGCGGGAGTTCCACCGCCATCCGTTGGAGTCGCCTTGGGGCGCGCGTTGTCCTCCCCAGGAGTCGCCCAACTCCCCACCGAGCACACCCCCATCCGCCTTCGCTAGAGCACGCCTGCGTGCTGCTCGCCATAGACAATGTCGCACCTCTACGAAATCGGCACGCGCGCCTGGCAGCCCGACCCCACCGAGGGATGGGTTGCCTCGGAGGTCGAGCAGAAGATCGTGGACGGGGACAAGGTCAAGCTTGTCTTCCGTCTCGAGAGCGGCGAAGTGCGTCTCCGCCCGTGTCCTCCCGCGACGGCCCTGCGCTGACCCCCGACCAGGAAAAGACGATAGACACCACGATAGAAGCCCTCCAAGATGACAAGGACAGCACTCTGCCCCCGCTCATGAACCCGACGATGCTCGAAGCCAGCGATGACCTTACGAACCTCTCACATTTGAACGAGCCAGCCGGTCCGCTCCGCCCGCCGCCGTCTGCTCAGGATGCCCGCTGACGCCGGTGCTACAGTGCTGCAAGCTATCAAGCTCCGCTATGCCCAGAAGGAAATCTACACATATTCTGGCATCGTCCTGATCGCCACGAATCCCTTCGCTCGCGTCGATTCGCTATACGTTCCCGGCATGGTGCAAGTGTATGCTGGCAAGCACAGAGCTTCGCAAGCACCGCACTTGTTCGCCATTGCCGAAGAAGCTTTTGCGTACGTGGCCGCCCTCCCATCGTGAAACAGCCATCTGCTTTATTAACACAGCCCGCACAGAGACATGCTTCGCGACAACCGCAACCAGACCATCGTTGTGTCTGGTGAGTCTGGTGCCGGTAAGACCGTCAGCGCAAAATACATCATGCGTTACTTCGCAACCCGCGAGTCGCCCGACAACCCCGGCCAGCGCAAGGGAAAGGCAGATACCATGAGTGAAACTGAAAAGCAGATTCTGGCCACCAACCCCATCATGGAAGCCTTCGGTAACGCTAAGACGACCCGTAACGACAACTCGTCGCGTTTCGGAAAGTATATTGAGATTATGTTCGACCAGGCGACAGATATTATTGGTGCCAAGATTCGTGTCTACCTTCTGGAGCGGTCAAGATTGGTCTTCCAGCCGCTGAAGGAGCGTAACTACCACATTTTCTACCAGCTGTGCGCCGGTGCTACCGACGCTGAGCGTGAGGAGTGGGGTTTGAAGAGCCCGGATGATTTTACGTACATGAACCAGGGCGCCGCTCCCGTCATCGACGGTGTCGATGACAAGGCCGAATTCGAACTAACGAAGAAGTCGCTGGGCACCATCGGCGTCAACGACGACGCCCAGCATCAAATCTTCCAGCTCCTGGCTGCGCTGCTGCACCTCGGAGACGTCAAGATCACCGCCACCCGTACCGACTCCTCGCTCTCGCCCGAAGAGCCCTCGCTCATCCAGGCCGCGAAGCTTTTAGGCATTGATGCGGCTGGCTTTGCCCGGTGGTGTGTTAAGAAGCAGCTCATCACTCGTGGAGAGAAGATTACCTCGAACCTTACGCAAGCACAAGCCATCGTTGTGCGAGACTCGGTTGCGAAATACATCTACTCGAGTCTTTTCGACTGGCTTGTCGACAAGGTCAACAGGAGTTTGGCGTCTGATGAGATTATCGCTGCTACGAAATCCTTCATTGGTGTTCTCGATATCTACGGTTTCGAGCACTTCGCCAAGAACTCCTTCGAACAGTTCTGTATCAACTACGCCAACGAGAAGTTGCAGCAGGAGTTCAACCAGCACGTGTTCAAGCTCGAACAGGAAGAATATCTCCGCGAAGAGATCGACTGGACCTTTATCGACTTCTCGGACAACCAGCCCTGTATTGACCTCATTGAAGGAAAGCTCGGTATCCTGTCTCTGCTTGACGAGGAGTCTCGCCTTCCCATGGGCTCTGATGAACAGTTCGTCACAAAGCTGCACCACAACTACTCTGGCGACAAGCACAAGTTCTACAAGAAGCCGCGTTTCGGAAAGTCGGCCTTCACCGTCTGCCATTACGCCGTTGATGTCACGTACGAGTCGGAGGGCTTCATTGAAAAGAACAGAGATACTGTTCCAGATGAGCACATGGAAGTCCTCAAGGCTTCGTCCAACAAGTTCCTTGTCGAAGTCATCGACACGGCGGCGCAGATTCGTGAGAAGGAGACTGGTGGCGGCTCTGCTGCCAAGCCAGGCACCGCTGTCTCTGCGGGTCGGAGAGTTGCGGTCAACCGCAAGCCCACTCTTGGTGGTATCTTCAAGGCCTCTTTGATTGAGCTGATGAACACCATCAACTCCACCGATGTGCACTACATCCGTTGCATCAAGCCCAACGAGGCGAAGGAAGCCTGGAAGTTCGAGGGACCCATGGTTCTCAGCCAGCTTCGTGCTTGCGGTGTCCTCGAGACTGTCCGCATCAGTTGCGCTGGTTATCCGACAAGGTGGACGTATGAGGAATTCGCTCTGCGCTACTACATGCTGGTGCCCTCTGTCGAATGGACGTCCGAAATCAAGGAAATGGCCAACAGGATCCTGCAAGGTGCCCTAAGCGACGAGAGCGGAAAGAAGGACAAGTACCAGCTTGGTCTCACCAAGATCTTCTTCCGTGCCGGTATGCTGGCGTTCCTGGAGAACAAGCGTACTGCTCGCCTGAACTCGGCCGCCATCATGATCCAGAAGAACCTGCGTTGCAAGTACTACAGACGCAGGTATCTCGAGGCGCGTGAAGCCGTCATCTCCACTCAAGCCCTTGTCCGTGGTTTCTTGGCAAGAGCACGCACCGAGGAGATGCGCCAGATCAAGTCTGCCACGACCATCCAGCGTGTCTACCGCGGCTACAAGGAGAGGAAGAAGTACGAATACGTCCGCAACAGTGTCATCAAGTTCGACGCCGTCGCGAAGGGTTGGCTTCTCCGCAAGGGTCTCTTGGACAAGCGTTTCAACGATGCTGCTCGCTGCATCCAGCGCAACTGGAGGTCGCACCGCCAGCTCAAGGACTGGAGGTCGTACCGCCGCAAGGTTGTCATTATCCAGAGCTTGTGGCGTGGTCGGAAAGCCCGTCGCACCTACAAGGGCCTGCGTGAGGAGGCTCGTGATCTCAAGCAGATCTCCTACAAGCTGGAGAACAAGGTCGTCGAGCTTACCCAGTCCCTTGGCACCATCAAGCAACAGAACAAGGCACTTCAAGGACAGGTCCAGAACTACGAGAGTCAGATCAACTCCTGGAAGAGCAGGACCAATGCGCTGGAGGCCAGGACCAAGGAACTACAGGCCGAAGCGAACCAGGCGGGTATCACCGCTGCTCGCCTCAGCCAGATGGAGGAGGAATTCGGCAAGCTCCAATCCAACTATGAGGAGAGCACTGCCAACATGCGCCGCCTGCAGGAGGAGGAGAGGCACCTGCGCGAGACCTTGAGGGAGACAACCGAGGAGCTCGAGCACACTAAGCGCCGCTCGAGCCAGGTCGAGAGCGAGAAGATCTCTCTTCGCCAGCAGCTCGCTGATCTGCAGGATCAGCTCGAGCTCGCTAAGCGGGCCGCACCCATCAACGGTGATCTCACCAACGGCGCGAACCACGCCCCGGCCAGTGGTCTCATCAACCTTGTCTCGTCGAAGAAGCCCAAGAGAAGGAGCGCAGGCGAGCGCGCCGACATCGAGCGTTTCAGCGGCGCCTACAACCCCCGCCCGGTGTCTATGGCTGTCACTGGACAATCCCTCCACAAGCAGAGCACTCTCTCTGGCTCCACTTTCACTCCTGGCTTGGACAACATCGAGTTCGAGCTTGAGAACATCCTCTCCGACGAGGATGGCCTTAACGACGAGGTCACCATGGGTCTCATCCGCAACCTCAAGATCCCGTCGCCGAGCACCAACCCCGCTCCCAGCGACAAGGAGGTTCTTTTCCCTGCCTACCTCATCAACCTGGTTACCTCGGAGATGTGGAACAACGGCTTCGTCAAGGAGTCCGAGAGGTTCCTTGCCAACGTTATGCAGTCGATCCAGCAGGAGGTCATGCAGCACGACGGCGAGGAGGCCATCAACCCGGGTGCTTTCTGGCTCTCGAACGTCCACGAGATGCTCTCGTTCGTCTTCCTTGCCGAGGACTGGTACGAGACGCAGAAGACGGACAACTACGAGTATGACCGTCTGCTCGAGATCGTCAAGCACGATCTGGAGAGCTTGGAGTTCAACATCTACCACACGTGGATGAAGGTGCTCAAGAAGAAGCTGCACAAGATGATTGTTCCGGCCATTATCGAGTCGCAGTCTCTTCCCGGCTTCGTTACCAACGAGAGCAACAGGTTCCTCGGCAAGCTGCTTCAGTCCAACAGCGCGCCTGCTTACAGCATGGACAACCTCCTCAGCTTGATGAACAACGTCTACAAGGCCATGAAGGCTTACTTCCTTGAGGACACGATCGTCACTCAGGCCATCACCGAGCTTCTTCGCCTTGTCGGCGTCACGGCGTTCAACGACCTGCTCATGCGCCGCAACTTCCTTTCGTGGAAGCGTGGTCTGCAGATCAACTACAACATCACGAGGATTGAGGAGTGGTGCAAGAGCCACGACATGCCCGAGGGCACGCTTCAGCTGGAGCACTTGATGCAGGCGACCAAGCTTCTGCAGCTCAAGAAGGCTACGCTGAACGACATTGAGATTATCCAGGACATCTGCTGGATGTAAGTACTGCTGCAAACGTGACATGTAGGCGGATTCGCTAACCAGGTGTGCAGGCTTTCTCCCAACCAGATTCAGAAGCTTCTGAACCAGTACCTGGTGGCCGATTACGAGCAGCCGATCAACGGCGAGATCATGAAGGCCGTGGCTTCCAGGGTCACGGAGAAGAGCGATGTTCTCCTGCTCACCGCGGTCGACATGGAGGACAGCGGACCGTACGAGATCGCCGAGCCTCGTGTGATCACTGCTCTGGAGACGTACACTCCCTCTTGTAAGTGACATTGGTTGGACTGAGCGACGAACGCAAAGGCTGACAATCAAATAGGGCTGCAAACGCCGCGTCTGAAGCGTTTGGCGGAGATTGTGTCGGCGCAAGCCATGGCACAGCAGGAGAAGCTCGAGTTCGAGCCGACGCACACCAACGGCAGCGGTGAGGTGCAGGGTCTGGCAATCACCGAGGTGGATGGCATGTAGTGACGGGTTGCACGACATTTCCCAACGACGGACGGTTCACGACCAGCGGATTTGGATACTGCTATAGCTCCCACGTAATTTTTGAATCTTCTTTTGCGGGGCGGGAATATTGTGGAGGAGGCATCTGCGCATGTACGGCATCTGGGAGCGCTGTTGTAGGATTTGCAGAGTGCCGGTCGGCGTTGGAGTGGGGGAGCGGCGTTCAGGATATCTCGCGCTTGCGCATACCACACGGGATGTTGGTAGGGAGCTGACTACGTTACGCCTGCCATGCGTCCATGAGAAAGCACAGAGCGAAAGATGTAGATTTCCATTTTATCAGGATTGAACTGCCACTGTTACTGCCACCGGCCCGTGTACCTGCCAAAACGGTGCGACCAGCCGATCGGCCAACGGCGGCGCAGCCTAAGTCTAAGCTCGCTGCACCCCGGCCAGCACAGCCCGAACACCAGGGAAAGAGCTAAAAACCGCGTCACCGCCCCCGGACGGGAAGCTGCACGTCACCTGCTTGCGTGACGCCCAAAACGGTCCCCGGCATCCTCGATCTCGTTTCGCTATGAGCATGACCAAGACACGCGTTTCCTCAGACTAAGCTTATCCGCGACACTATTTTCAAGGCCGCTCACCCCGGCGGTTGCTCCACTTCCCTCCAACTTCCACAACATCATCGCGCAAACATGGCCAGCGCTTCGAATATCTTGGAATGCCCGTTCTGCGCCTACAAGAGCCTGGACTCGTACGTGCTTCAGCTGCACGTCGAGGAGCGCCACACCGACGATTCGCCGTTTGTAGTTAGGGAAGGTCCAGACGCAGTCTATGACCAACGTCATCATGGCTCTTCCTCCGCCAGCTCCCCGAAAGAGGCTCCTGCCGACAATGACTGCAGATGGGTGCTCTGTCCCGATCCGGAATGCGGCGAGCAGATTCCCATCGAAGACCTCAACGAGCACCTCGACCTGCACGACGCCGAGACACTATTCGAATCGCAACAGGAAGCATCAGCACCAGCACTTCATAGCACAGCATCGTCACATTCATCATTGTCCGCCAAGCCCCCCAAGAAGCTCGTCAAGATGCGTCACGGCACGCCCGTCTCTTCCATTGCTTCGGAGCATTCTTTCAGTCCCGCTCACGATGAAAGCTCCGACTCTTCTGCCTTTGCGCTGGACGGAGAGCCCCCGCGCTACCATCATCAGTACAGCAAGCATGATCACCATCATCACCACCAGCATGGCAATGTCAAGACCAGGCCCCGCTCCGATTCGGAGAAGACTTCGCTTCCCCGCTCCATCACCGACGTCCTGGGCTTTTCCAGCAGCAAGAAGCCGGACAAGGGTAAGCAGCCAGGTACTCGTAGCGCCCGTCTAGGTGTAAGCGGTCCCAAAGTTCTATTGTGATTGATGTGCAGCACTGATCATTCGGTACAGAAATCAGAGTTGGGCCCGTACGCGTTTGAGGAGCAGATGCCACGATGGCTTTACAAGCAGATTGAAGCCGGACCCAAGACCTCTGTCGTCAACCACATCGGTCGCGACGGCAGGCTGATCAAGCACACGCTCATCGACAATGAGACTCCCGCAGTCTTGCCAATTCTTGCCCAGTTGTGCAGTCTCGACAGAAGTGTCGACCAGGCTTATTTATGCCACCCGAGCACAGTCCACATCTTCAAGAGACCGAAAGAAGGTGGTTTCTGTGGCTACCGCAACCTTCAGATGCTGATCTCATACATCCAAGGCGCTAAGGCGCAGGGCCACACCCTGTTTCCTCCCGGAACGCCTGGTATCCTTGTCTTGCAGGATTTGATTGAGCAAGCCTGGGATATGGGTATCAATGAAGTCAGTCGCATCCAGACGGGTGGCATCAAGGGCACTAGGAAATACATTGGCACTCCAGAGGTATGTGAACCGACATTATTATGGACCATATGCTAACACAAGGAAGGTCCAAGCGTTACTTCGTAGTCTTAGGATTGACCATGGCCTTCGGATCTTCAGCGATAGCGCCGAGACTGGCCAGGCTCACGAGCAACTCCTGAACTACGTGGAGTCTTACTTCAAAGAAGGCAGAACGCAGGAGCAGCGAGAGAGGCGTCCCAAAATCATCAAGACGCACCTCCCGCCCATCTATTTGCAACAGCCTGGTCACTCCGTCACCATTGTCGGTTATGAGCACCACAAGGATGGCAAGCGTAACCTTCTGGTGTTCGATCCGATGTTCCATACCTCACCGGGCATGAGCAAGATCCTTGGACGGCGCGATCTCAGGGGCCATCGGCCGGAGGTGCTTCAGGCGTATCGGAGGGGCAACCGGCAGCTCAAGAGACACAGCGATTACGAGCTGATCTCATTGAAAGCACACCCGCCGCTTTTCCCGGTGTGGGACGTATGAGCTTGCCTATCCCATCCCTTCGCCCCCTCCTCGACCCCATCACTTTAATATAACTACTTTGCTCTGCCTCTGAAACGTTGATTGGGCCACCAAAAAGTTTTCTCAAGCTAAGCTCTTGTTCTAAACATAGGTACTCGAGCAATATGGCGATCATCCCTTCGTCTATACCTTCTTCTGCGTTCCGTCCTTCACCTACGATGTCATCCCTGAGGATGAGTTTCCGATTGTGTTTCCTTGGTGGCGCTATGGCTGTCTTTTCTGCACCGGTCATGCACGCTTTGCTCATCAGCCTCGTACGATTGATTACTTCGATGACTTTGACTGTTTCAACGTTGAAAGAGTTCACCAAGAGACCGACACTGGCTTGCTTGGTGGCATGCCTCCGCTCCAAGACACAGGGTACCTCAACTGGGTCGGAATGTTTGACAAGATCAAACGAGCATCAGCTGGCTTCAATGTGGAAGCAAGGAACCGACTGCATCAAGCGCTGAGAAGTGCTCAGCCTGACAACGAAAGTGATTTGCTCTTCCAAGAACCACTTCCTGAAGACGTATACTTTGAGAAGGCTGTCGGGTCATGCGTCGCAGTTCACTACGCCTGCGGTGGAGTGCTGCGACCAGGCTACAAGCATTACTCTTTCAAGAGATGCGGTCCTTCCTGGCCTCATTCAGCCTCAGAATCGTCCTCTGCTCCATCAACAAATACTCCAGCCTCATCCCTTTCGCCAGATTTCCAGCAACCGCTTGGGAATTTTTTCCCATCAACGTTGCAACAGCGAGGAGGCAGGTCCCATATGGCAGCTGCATGGGACACACCCCATGAGGACACTACGTCCTCGGCGGGCCATTTCCATCCTCGGCACTACATGCATCAGAGAGTTGTGGATGACATTTCACCACGAACATCGCTTTCAGGTACTACCCTACTCAACGATATCCTTGAAGCCGACCATTCCGCCGCCTTCCACAACAGGCGCGACTCAGGCACCGAGATTCTTGGACACACCGTGCCATTCACGAACCCGTTCTCAGCACCATCTGCTCCTTCTCAGAACGTCTCAACCGCACCAATGACGCAAACTGCCATCCAATCTCCGCGGCGCCCTTCCATCACTCCCCGCTACAACAGCAACCACCGCTTCAATGCCCCCCTCCGCTCCGTCTCCCACCTCCTCAAGCACCGCCATCGCCGGCGCCACGACCAGCAGTCCTCCACCGACGAGACTACCACTCCTCCTCTCCGTCACGCTCCCGAATTTTCAGCCGCCCCTCCTCCTGTCGTCGACTTCGGCTCCGTCGACCTGGCGCTCGCCTTCTCGCCCGATCCCTCGACCGCAGAAATCGTCTTCTCGTCCTCTTCGTCCGCATCGTCTCCGCCTTTTGCTTTCGTCGGCGGCAGGAACGACAGGAACAGCGCTGACGGCGGCAATACTACTACTACCTTTAACAAACGGCCGCCGACGCCGATCCAGGAGCTACGCGACTTCTTCTTCGAGCGCTCGGCGGAAGGTGTGAGCACGCCCGTCTTTTACGGCACGGGCGGGAACGATGTGTCGAAGGGATGGAGGGCGAAGATGGGGGCGGAGTGGTGATTGATGGTGGGATGAATCAGGTTTGGGGGGGTGGCTTTTCTGGTTTGGATGTGCTTTCTGTTCAAGAAGAAGAGAGAGAAGGGCTACAGGACAGGAGCGGTGGTTTGCGGCGGGATTTGATTTGTTCCTTTTTTCTATTGTTTCTTTTGGCTGGGCTGGGTAGGATTACGTGACTGGGAGGATCTTGTTCGACCCTCCATTGTTTCCCTACTCTGCGATGGCGAGGGGTTCTGAGAGGCGCTTCAGTGGATTTTGGGTTTGGAGGAAAGCGTTGCATTGGTCCGTCCACCATTTTTGTCTCTTCATGGAGTTTATCGGGCACAGGTAGGGAGGGAGGCCTTGCAGATAGGACATAGCACAGCGCTGGCGCTGGCGAGATATTAGATAGTGAAGTCAATCAAAACTGCAACAGAGCAAGCTCTCTGAAAAGCTCCGATCAGGAAAAAAACACCATGACCTGTCTCATAATCACAATATCTTGCATAGTGAAAGGGAATGTCTGCTTCTTCGTCCGCTTTGAAAAAAATCCCGTTTTTTCCATTTTCAGATTCAGAACTTCTCTGCTTTTTTGTTTTCAAATCTCCCTCAACCCAGCATCGTCCCTTGCTAAAAGTTGGGATCAAAGAAATACAGAGAAAGTCGGAAATCCTACTCCATGCTCTATAAAAAATCGGTGCCCGTAACCCTTTTCCCGGGAGGGGAAGACATTTGAACCGCACCTCTTCTCTTCTTTTTTAATTCAGTTGACGAACGAACCCCACTGACCACCGCATACTCTTTCTCCTTTTTTTTTCCTCCTCCCCGCCCCTTTTCAACCTCTGCTTTTGCCCTCGTAAAGAACGCTCATTTTAAAGGGGGAAAATCAATCGCAGATAATCAAGAGGATGGGAAGGAAGAAAAAGGGAGCATGTCTCTCTTTCTCGTGTGGAGAGAAATTATATCGAGGAGGGGTAGAGCATGATGCGGACGGAAGCGCCGAAGGACTTGGGGGGGAGGTTGTTCCTGAACTGGGCGCGGACGATGCCGGAGTTGCCGTGAGTGCTGTGGATGGGGCAGAGACGTTAGTTTTGGACTTGATTCCAGCGGGAGGTGGTGCCGTGTAATGCAGATATGATAAGGGGGACTTACCGGGTGATCTTGCCCCAGATGACGCGAATCTTGGTGCCACGGACCTCCTTGTTGGTGCGGTAGACGAAGGCGACGCGCTTGCCGTTGTAGAAGGCGGCGTCCTCGGTGTTCTCGACGCCCTCTGTATCTCAGGTTAGCCTCCCGTATCTCTCAAAGACCGGAATTGCATCCTGCCGGCCCGCATCTTCTTCCTCTTTTTTTCCAGTATTCCAAGCTTTTGCTCCCTGCAAATGAAACTTTGAGGGGTTGGGGAGAATTTGCTTACCAATCTTGATCAGGCTGGTGTTAGGGTTGGTGTTGCGCTTGCCACGCTGGTAGCTGATGTGGCGGCCCCTACAGAAAAAGTCTTAGCATGGTTATTCCGTTTCCATTTCCTTGCGTATGACAGGCGGGTGTAGAACAGTGCGTGGGGGTTAGAGGCGAGCCCAGAGCGGAGATATCCGGTAACAAGGCGAGTGCGGCCAGAAATGCCGTTGATTAGATTTAATAACATGCATCGTGATCGTAGGCGAAGGCTTATGCGCAGACATGGTAGGGTGTACGTGGCCGGCGGTTGGCGCTACGGTGGGGGCCAGCCGCAAGAGAGAAAAAGCCCCCCATTCCTGCCCAATCGCTCGTGGCGGCGGCGGCGGCGGCAGCGGCGGTTACTTTTTTCGCGATATTTCATCCAAGAGCGAATGAAACGCGCAAGGCGAAGCCGCTGAAGCCTTCGCGAAAGAATGGAGTGAGACCATCCATCGCGACGCCTCACCCAACCAGCGCTTGTCCATCAGACCCTCTCTCCAACAACTCCTGTCACGGGGCGGTAAAAGTCAAACTCTTGTGAAGACGAGCCGAAGGACAAGCGCGTTCGTGTTGGTGGTGCCGTCGTCGCAGGCGTGTTGTCCGGCTTTCGGTCCCTTTTCCCGCCACGCTCGCTCTACCATGCCTCGCATTTGGGGGAAATCGGCCTTTTCGTGAACGCAGTCGAGTTTGTCGGTGGTGCGGTTTGTTTTGTCCGTCCAATTTGGTCCTCATCGTCATGACTCCGGTCGGGGCCCGCGGCAGATTTTGTGTGTTTGGGCATTTTGGGGAAATGGTGCAAGTTTGACTTACTTAACGTAAACTACAGAACATTAAAGTCAGCTCAAAGGTTCAAAATAAAAGTGCAATCTCTCGGGTGCAATTGCAGCATCCGCCGCCGCGTCGTGAAATCGAGGAGGGACGTGTCGGCGTCGCCTCCCGAATTTTTGACACATTCAACGGGGCGACGGTGCTTCTCGGAAAACCCGCGAGGGGGGAGCCAGAGGAAGAAAAAAAAATCTGGGAGACGTACGGCGGTTACCGGACTCGGAAGGCATTTTTGGCGGTTTGGAAATTCGTCGAAGGGCCGGGGGGTTGGGTTGTCGTCTGTTGTCGTCGTCGTCGCTTCGTCACATCGCGAGTGTGCGTTTCGGCGCCCCAAGTGTTTCTGGTGTGGGTTCCACGCTCGCTCCAGCCCTCCGAGTCACGTGCGCGCTAGCCGAACTTGGTCCGCCGTCACCGCCCGCCAAGCACACTACCTGCACGTCAAGCATCTGCACTTCATTCGTTGCGGAACATTAACTTCATTGAGAGACTATGTGCGCGAAGCGTGCTGATATGAACAGAACGAAGATCCTCCACAAAATGGCCATTCGTGTCCAACTTTTGATCCAATTCCTTTTTCCTTTTTTTCACTCTTTTTTTGAACCTACCCAGTTTTCTTTATGTATGTTTTTGAATTTGGTTGTTGAACGCCTCCCATGCAATAACATCGAATCCCATCTTTTTTTGTTCTACCCCAAACGGAAGAACGCCATGTTGAATGCTCGAGCCAAGACGCACTGCTCTCCCCTGCAGGAGAAACGGTGCCATAGTAACGAGAATACTTACATTTAGTAGAGGACGCGAGTCCTGATGTTGGACTGCAGGTCCTCGAGCTCCTGGTACAGAGCCTTGATCTCCGCCTCGTTGACATCAGAGATATCGGCGAGCAGGTAAGCAACCTGGGGATGGGATTAGCCAAAGTTTCAGGCGATACAACTGGAGCATATCTTACCTCGCCCTTAGCATCGACAGTCTGCTTGTCGATGTTGTGGTCACCAAGAATATCGTTCACGCGACGCAGCACACCAGGAATGTTCTTGTGGATGAAGCAAGCACGCACATGGTTGGGCTCGTCGGTGGTGAGCGAGCGCAGGGCCAGCTCGGGCATGTTGACCGACTGGAGCGTGTTGCCCTCGTTAACGTACTTGGTCAGCGCGCTGGCAACCTCGATACCGATGGCGCTCTGGGCCTCCTCGGTCGAGCCACCGATGTGGGGGGTCAGAATGATGTTCTTCAGCTTGCGGAGATCCTCCGCCCACGGGTTCAGCTCAGAGTTGAAGTAGGGGCCATTGCCAGCCGGCTCGTTGGGGTACACGTCAAGAGCCGCGCCAGCCAGGTGGCCGCTGCGCATGGCGTCAATCAGAGCGGGGATGTCGACAACACTGCCACGGCTAGCGTTGAGGAGGTAGCTGCCGCTGCGCATCTTCGCGAGCTGCTCGGCACCAATCATGTTCTTGGTCTCGGGAGACTCGGGGACGTGGAGGGTGACGAAGTCGGCGCCGGCAAGGAGCTCATCCAGCGAGTTCATCTGGCGAGCAGTGCTCATGGCCTGTAATCAAAGTTAATGGGGGAAGTTCGGTTGGAGAGAATGAGTCACTTACCATCAGGTTCATCACGTCATAGTAGATGACCGACATACCCATGGCCTCAGCCATAACCGACAGCTGGCTACCAATGTGGCCGTAACCAATGATACCGAGGGTCTTTCCTCTGATCTCCCAGCAACCAGCAGAGACCTTGTTCCACACACCATTGTGAAGTTCGTTGGAGCGGTCGCCGAGCTGCCTGGCAAGGGCAATGATCTCGGAGATGATCAATTCGGCGACACTGCGCGAGTTGGAGAAGGGCGAGTTGAAGACGGCGATACCGTTGGCGGCGGCGTAGTCGAGGTCGACCTGGTTGGTGCCAATGCAGAAGCAGCCGATGACAATGAGGTTCTTGGCCTCCTTGAGCACCCTCTCGTTCAGCTTGGTCTTGGAGCGAATGCCAATGACGTGCACGTCCCTGCGATGTGTCAGACCAGTTGCCAGTCTCCTGATGTTCCCACAGTTCTCCGCACTCGTAACGAGCATTGCGCGAAAAATGTCAGTGTCCGATGCCGGCCGGTCGAAGGCTGGGCAGCGGCGCGCGGTTTTCCTGACCACAATGCAATGGCACAGAAGAGAGCAGCTTGCTTACCGGATCTTCTCAATGAGCTGGTCCTCGGGCAGAGAGCTCTTCAGGTACTCGACCTGGTAGCCCTGGCCCTGCAGGATTTCCCGTCCGGTCTGGTTCACGTTCTCCAGCAGGAGCACCTTGATGTCCTGGGTCGCGAAGGGCTTCAGGTGCTTCGCGCGGGCGGCAGAGGCCTGGTTTCTCGCTTCGGCGCCATAGCTGGACGGCGGGGAGTGGAAGGCAGCGGAGGGGCTGGTGGAGAGGTTGAGGGTGTTGTGGACGGCGCTGGCGAGGGCGTCGCCGTGCGAGGGAGAGCGGCCGGCAATATCAACAGCAGGCGTCATGGTGGCAATGGGTGTCGAGGACAAAGAGGTGGGTGGAGTGCGACAATTATTAAAGAGCACCGCGGGTTGACTCAAACCGCGGGGCGCGTCATCCGACTCCGGGCCCTCAAAAAAGTTCTCCGCTGAGTCCGCCCCCGTTCCCGTGCCCCTCGCCGCATGAATCGACTGGCCCGCCGCCGCCGGTGTCCGGCCTGCGCCCCGTCGCCGACCACTCGGCATAATCGGCGCCATCGCGCAGGCTGACATATCTCCGGGTGGTTCGGGCTGGTGCTAGTCTGGACGTTGACGACCTGGTGCCGCCGGATGCGCAGCCATTGCCGCCGGAAGATTCCTTTGTTGCTCTATCCATTTGTTTGCTACTGCGAGGACATAATGCATTAAAATTCAATAGACCAATGGAAGCCCGCATCTGGTGACGAAAGGACGACGACTTTCCGTTGTCTCTAACAAGCTACGACGACTTTTTCTGTGCTGTGAAGAAACCTCTACGCTCCGCCCGAGAGATTAGATGAACCTGCTTGCCGCCTCCGCTGCCGCCGTCTGCAAGCATCAACATGAATAAGGGAAAACTACAAAAGACACCCTTGCCGCAAAGCGCCCGGTCCTCCTGAATTGTGCAGAGCAATCTCGACCTACTATCTAGCCGAAAATCAATCGCCGAAGCACGAAGGGAAAAACTGCAACCCGAATAGCCTACAAGCACGCATGATGCCCCGGGGCCCTACCAACGATGGTATGGGGATGATCGTGGTGCTGTATGAAATGTCTGTTGCCAGGGAATGAACCAAATGGGGTGGGAGGATCGTGAGGGGGGAAATGCCGTCTACATCCGATGCCGTTAATGCAGCTCGCGAGGAGCCATGGAGGGGGACAAGAGAAGATGACCTAGGCGGCGCGATAATCTAGCCTGCTGTCGAGCTATCGCGAGCGCCCAGCCTCTAGCTCTGCTTGCACTCGGCCGCCTCCTGCTTCGGCTTCGAGCCATCGCCCTGTGACTCAAGTTAGAATGTTTTTGGCTGGCACTGAAAATTTGGCGGGCATAGCGTACCTCCTCGTCCGACTCATCGTCCTCGTCCCTGTCGTCGCTGAGGTCGTCCTCCTCCTCATCGTCCTCATCCTCGAACTCGCCCTCGTCGTAGTCGTCGATCTGCTCGAACTGCAGGGCCTCGCCGGTGAACCAGTCGATGGCGCGGGGGATGAGCTTCTCCTTGATGTCCTCGCCCAGCTGGTAGTCGAGCTCGAGGCGCTCCTCGATGTCCGACGAGATGTCGTCGTCCTCGTCGGTGGGGGCCTTGGGCGGGGAGAAGAAGTTGAAGAAAGACTCGGTGGGGACCGTCTTCTTGACAACGCGCGTCTGCTTGGTGTCTGTTCAAGGGTTAGCCGTGCCAATATCTCAGGGTCAGTACATCTTACTCTTGTTCCTCTGCTTCTTGCTCTCAACGCGGACGGTCAGGTCCTTGCCGGGCAGCCAGTCGATCTTGTCGCCCTCAGCGTGGTCGTAGATGAAGTCACCCTCGTATCCGTTCTCCTCCTGGTAGTAGTAGGTCTTGGTGATGGTCTTGTTGGTGAAGAAGTCGTTCTCGGCGAACTCGAAGATGAGGCGGAAACCGGGCTTGTCGAGGTACTCCATGCGGATGTCGGTCAGGTATTTCAGAGCGGCCTCGTCGCGGTCGGTGATCATCTCGGCAAGCGAAACCTGGTTCTTCATGGCCGACAGCCAGAACTCGGGGATACCCTTGACGGGGTCGGTGGGCTCAGCGGCCTTCTCCTCCTCACTGGCCTTCTCGGCCTCCTCGTCCTCCTCATCGGCGGCCTCGCCGGCCTTGATCTCCTCCTCGGTGGGCTCCTCCTGGCCATTGACAATCTTGGCACGCTTCTGGTACAGCGGGGTGAACTTGGCGAAATACTTCTTCTCCAGCTGCAGGACCTCCTCCTGGAACTCGGCCTCGAGCTTGGAGTGCTCCTTCTGGACGCCCTTCAGGCCGGCGACACGCTTGCGGACATCTGCGGGAAGGGACTCAATGTAGCCGGACGAACGGCCGACGAGCGAGCCGAGCTTGCCCTGGATCATGGACACAAGCTGGGGGTTCTGGGCGAAGATGGACGCGGCCGCGGCGCGGTCGAAGTCCTCTGGTGGGGTATATTAGCCTCGGCGCTGGAAATGTGGCGGGTTTGCAGCGCGCTGCGTGTTTTGGACAGCGCTGCGGGCGGCTGCAAAGTCGTCTGCGGGCCGTTTGTGCGTCTCGACGAGCGGCATTCCCGGGCACGTCGCGGAGACGCTAGGCAACGGCAGACGGCGCCTCAACGGGCCCGCGCAGGGCGACGACGACGTGTTTTGAAGCCTTGCAGGCGGGGGATTGCTCACCTTCCTTGATACTCGCAACGCCAGGTTGCTGGGCGCGCGAAGAGATGGGGGCGGCGTTGGCCGGGGTGTTTTGCGGCGTACTGAGCACCGGGTGGTGGTTAGCGGCAAGTGTCGACATGGCTTGGGTGTTGGAGGGAGGCAGGAAGACGTACGGCGCGATGGCCTGGTCGGCGCGCTTATTGCGGATGGGCTCAGACATTATGCGGGTGGAATTTGCTGAGCGCGGTCGAGGGTGGGAGAGAGGGAGGGGGAGCGGTTGAGAGTTTGTTGGACGTTGGGTGTTCCGTTGTGGACTTGGGGCAAGACGCCTGCAGTTTTTGCCGCCGCTAAGCTAAGAGAGCCCGCGAACAATGCGCGTCCGTCGGCGCACTCCAAGCCACGCTGCCCCCGGGTCAAGCGGCCGGGTCAGTGAGCAGCATCCCTACGCCTCCGCGGCTGACTCACAGGGTGGGTTTCTGCGCGCGCCAGGCCAACGGCCTTTGCAGCGTCGCGCCGCGTCCCTCGTGGCACTGCATGAAACACATCACCGCGCGCGCAATTGGACCAAGCCCTCACCGATTCTATCTGTCTACGGGTATCGTCCTCAACAATAATGATGACGCTCCTAGAAAAAAAAAGCGCCGCCCACCCGCGGCCCGTCCGCCAGAGAAACGCCGTTGCCGTTGCCGATGGCTCCGACCTGATGCGGAAAACTAGAAAAAAGCAACGAAAAAAAATAGAAGCGCTGCTCGCTCGCCACTACTCGATGTACCGCAGCCTGCTGGTTGCGTAGGCGGCCCCTGCCGCAGACAGAGCCCCGATAAACAAACACACGGCGATTGCATTCGGTCCGTCTGTAGGATGTGTCTCGGCCGGATGGGCCTCCTTGGCCAATTCTGGACTCTTGCCTGGCTCGAGCAGCGAAAAGACAGCCCAGCTGTGGCCAGCGCAGTCAGCTATCGATAACCGCCCGCAGCAACGCATTCAAACCCTTACCTGATGAAAGTGCCCACAAACTGTGGCAACGTCGTGTAGAGGTTCAGAATGCCGAGATAGACGCCCGACACCTCGCCACTCTCGACCCGCGCTTCTCCATGCGCCCCGGTGGACCCCATCTCGATGGCACTGTTCGACACGCGCCTGTACCCGTTGGCTGATGCGGATGATCCTAGCCGGTTGATCTCTGCTCCGGCCGTCAGACACCCGCAGAAAATCTCCAGATGCACAAGTCATCACTCACCAACGCCCATGAAAGTAAATGGAGCCCAGCACGTAATTGCCCACGGTATCCCGCAGATCGCGACGATCGTCGTCGCAAAGCGAAAAGAGTCAGCAAACGGCGCCAGCAGCATGGAAAAGGTGAAGACGAGGTGCGACAGCGTCCACGCCGTCAGGAGCGACGGCTTGTTTTTCTCGACCTGCTCCACCACCGACGCCAGCCCGGCCGGCGGCCGCGGCGTGAATTCTGGCTTCTCGTCGTCGGGCTTTTTCACCAGCCACGGCAGCACGATGGACCCGACGAAGGTGATGATGGAGAACACGATCAACGAGAGGCTCCCCACCCGGCCGATCTGGCCAAGTGTATCCTCGGATGAGCGGGCATCCACCGGCGCATCGTAGCGAATCCAGATCTCCCCGACCCAGGTCGTGCTGTAGAACAAAAAGGGAAACCAGCCTGCGTCGATTAGCTTGAGACTGAAGTAGAGAAATCTGTCACCTACCAATCCACGCCCAGAACTGGACCCAGCAGATGGCTGCGATGCGGGGTGGCAGGTTGGTAGCTGTCTTTAGAATCTGGGTGAATATATCTATCGCGCCAATGCTCTCGGGCTCCTTGCTATATATACGTGCATTAGCCTGTACTTTGGCAGAGACAGCCGCATGACTTACCCATCGTCCTGAAGGACCTTTTCCTGCACAGCCCACGAGGTAATGCCGACGCACAAGCACAGCACTACTGCAGCTACTACTGTGAGCTGTTTGAACTGCGAATCGCCAATCAGAGTGCCGAAGATACTCCCCAGGTCAATGGCCCCAGCGGCGTAGCCCACCAGGGCGCCGACGGCGACCATCCGACTAGCTGATGTTGACAAAATAAGCACGCATGATCTCACGCCCGCGCAGCCACCAATTAGGACTCACCCCAGGCAGAGCCGATCTGCTGCTTTGGGATAGGCAGCGTGTCCACGATCAGACTTCTACTTGACGCTTGCACTGAACACGCAACGTTAACAGCAGGGAAGCAGCCTTCCCACAGACGACATACCGGCATTGATGGCGAAGTCAATGACATAGATGCACGCCACGGCCAGCACAACCGTCGCATTCTTTCTCGTCTCGCCCTCGGCAATGAAGAACGCGGCAATCTCGGTGGCCCAGCCCATGGCCAGCAACGCGAGGGACACGACGAACGCGCCGCCCACCATGAACGGCCTCCTCCTCCCCCACCGCGACTTGCTCCTGTCCGCGATTATCCCGACTATGGGCTGCATTACGAGACCGGACAGGGGCCCGGCGATCCATACGAGCGAGACGGTGCTTTTGGCCAGGCCGAGCGCAAGGAGGTAGGGAGTGCAGTAGGTCATTTCAATGCCCCAGGTGAACCTTCAATCAGCGGTCAGCCGTGTTCTTCGGACATTCGCCAGGGCGCCGGACTTACTGGATGCCAATGAGCGACGCTGTAAGGTAGGCCATGCGGGCGGACTCGGAAGAGCCCTTGATGCTGGGGGTGCCTGCCCAGGGCGCAGCGAGCGGAGGGGTGCCGGGACCGGCGGACGGAAGGGCTCCTGTAGGCATTGTTGCGAGGGCGCTATGGGAAGACAGGCACAGGCATGTGAAGTGCAAGGTGTCGCGTGCGGGCGGTTGTTGCGTTGGGCTTTTTCTGGCGGTAGTGAGGGCTTCACTTTTCACGGCAGCGGAGAGCTGAAGGGCGTCTGGTTTTGTTCGATTGGATTGTCGCAGCGTTATCTGGCTTTGAGGTAGGTTGCGCAGTGCTTGGCTGAAGCCAACGTCAGTCAAGTCGTAAGCGGGCGACCAGGGGCTTGTCTGAGGCATCCATCGTATTCTATTCTCGCGTACGTTGGCCCGATCCGCCTTATCCGCTTTCTCAGCTCATTCCGCTGCAGCAATAACAAATGCCAAGTCCGCAACAGCAGCTTCGAAGGGCAGGCGGAGCTGGGAGAAGTGCAGCGTTGCTTGGCCGCGCTAACAGCCAGGGTCCTGCAAAGCGTTGCGCCCCGCATGGAGAAGCTGCGCTCCACAACGACCTGTTCCTTGCGCTACCATCCTCCCCGCTTAGCGCCTAACTTTGAGCTTACAATCCACGCCTACGATTCAGCCTCCGTTAGCCGCTTACGAAACTTCCCGCAGCGCGCCCTGCCTTTTTCCGCCGGCTCTTAATCTGTTGTAGCAAGCTCTGAGATCCGAAAGGCCGGCCGTCTTTGGTCCAAGCTCCTGTCATATTCCTTCTGTCAGCTTGGCTCCCGGCACGCATGCCCGACGCTCCTCGAAAGCCCCGTCTATGACACATAGCTGGACCGTGTGTAACATATAACATAACACGTAGAGATATTGCCTTGCACAAGTGCTCCCTGGCCTGGTACTGTCTAAGACGTCGAGGGAGGGGACAAAGAGTTGAAGCAGTCGTCATCGTTACCATTTCCACACTTCAACGCCTTTGACGCTGATTCAAGGTGTCACATGGGAACGGTTTGTCTCGGAAGTCGACTATTTAGGAATGTCTTGCATTGGCTCAAAACCACACTTGATCTTATCTGATCAAAGCGGTGGCTGTATCGCACTGCCACCAACATCGACATAAAATGGTGCCAAGCATCAGTTGGATTCGCTCTGTTCCCCTTTCGAAAAGGTGGTTCCCCAGAAAGTCAATCCTTATAGGCTGGAAACCAGACTTGGATTTAACTGCACGCCGTTCTCCACATATCAAGTGGTAGGTGTTCATCCAGCCCCCAAGGCAGCTTCTTCCTTCATGCCTTCTTTCAGCTCAACACGTATCTATTCATGGAACATGCTTAGGCAACCATGAAGCAATAGACTGGCCAGCGGGTGTGCACCATCGAATATATATTTGACAGAGTATGCCTTCTTGGATCCGATAATCAGAAGCCTCGACACGCAAAGTCACAGCACTTGACATCATTTGCAGCTAGCTCTACCCAACACCATGCGTTTCGATACCGTAAGCCCAGACTACGGTCCTTTCTCCAATGTAATACTCATCATATACTCACCAGGCCTTTCTCTTCTCCGCCCTTTTCGCGGCAGTCGTTAGTGGCAATGCCATCCCCAACGCCGATTCCAACGACAATCTAGAGGCCAGGGCTTCCGATCTTTGCCAGGGAGGCAACTACATGGAATGTGTCAAGATCCAGGAGGGATTTTGCCCGGCTGTGTGTGCTGGCAGCAACATTCGCACGCGCCTGGGCTGCACCTCGAGGTGCATCAGTGATGCCCAGATAAATTGCCAGAAATGGTGTGCCGAGTAATGAACTGGAAAAATGGCAATCCAGCAGGGAGAGCCGAAGTTGCTCATGCTGTCCCACCTACAAATTATGATAATCCTGCAACTCATGGATTTGTTGAGTAGTTTGTTCGAAATTGTACTGTTCATTCAGTGCCTACAAATCTACCAAATTTTCCCCATACATTTAATTTTCATGCAATGTGTTGTGAGATACCGTTTGCAGAATACGCTGCTCAATTTTAACTGTTCTCACATTCCGAAAATCTGTACAAATTTCTCACTTGTCCAACGCACTTGAGAAATAAGGTTGTCATTGATGTCATCTGATCAGGAACATATGCAGATGCATTGTATACTTGGCGAGTAACGAGGATCAAACCAGGTTGCAAAAGATATCGACCATCCCGAACCTACCATACCAGGAAGCTTCGTAGGTAGCTAAATCCAATGACCAGATGCATGTACACAAGTTTCAACTCCCATTCATATCTAAGTTTTACTTTTCTTTAGAGGGTGCAGTCTTCTGCAACCTACCGTAATGCCATCACAAATTTCCTTCGCTCCCTCCACCAACCAGCCTCTGTGGACAACAAGGTTAGATGATTGTCAAGCTCTCCGGTATATCACCGATGTTCGTGCACACTGAAACGCCCTCACACACTTAGGTCGAGCCGAAACACACTCGGCAAACCTTCCCCGGACTTAGATCCATGTCAACATTTTTATTTTTTCCTTAGCCGCCGCCCCTCCTCGTTTTCCCCAATCATCTTTTTGGACGAGGGGAAGGAGAAAAAAATTTAAAGAATCACGAAGTCGGTTCCAGACGCGTTCGATGTGCTTCTTCTCCACGCCAGACTCCACTCTGCTGACAGAGACCCAATTATTTCCGCACGCCAGCGCGCTTGCCTGGGGTGGAGCAGAGCGAACCAGGGCCCGACTGACCGGTCGGCTCTAATTTTTCATCTGCTAAAGCGGTTACGAGTACGCCCGCGAGTGACAATGTGAGGGTGACATTTTTTTCTTCTCGCTTACAGCGTGGCGTGGGGTTCTCTCATAGCAGAAGCTTCTGCCTGTTTGCTAGCAATAATTTGACAGATTTTATTTCATCGCGCTGTTGAGAGGAGGCAGAGCCCGTCGTTCCGACAGTGTTGTGCAAGACGTCCCCATGTAAGGTCGTGAATCCTGGCTCTTCTGTCGGCACAAGGTCGGACGACCTGTCACTCGCAACGATGAATTTTACTGAAAAATAACGATAAGCGCGCTCTGCGGCGCGTTGATCTCGCGCTACGCGTTCACGTGGATGGTTGGTGATGATGATGGATATTTAGGCTGGCTTCTTCTCCGACATCAGACCTGCCGCCTTAGGAGATCACTAGTAGATCTTGGAAATGGTCTGCTTGACAGCCCGAGGCTCATCAGGTTAGCCGTAGATTCTACTCGGTTGTCACTAAGGCAACATTGGCGCTGAAAATCGACCTGAGCCCTTTTGATTAAAAAACATATCGCCACCTGCTCGCTTTGCAGGTTCCCGGGCATAAAATGATTGCTCATCGTACCTGGCGAGTCCCACGGATTGGTGATGAGCAGAGTAGAGCACAACACCCACCTCGCAGCCCTCATCCACAACACTTGTTCCCCCAGCCCTCCTACCGTCCCGCAACCCGTCCTGGACATTCTCAATGGCAAAACAGATGCCCAGAGGGCAAAAATGCGTCGGCCGGGAATCGAACCCGGGGCTGATCGAAGCTGGGTGTTGAGCTCCTGGGAGCTCTACTTGGCAACGATCAATTTTACCACTAAACCACCAACGCCTTTTCTTGTTGTTGAAGACATTATGTATTGCACAAAATATATAGTGTATGCTATAGAGAATCTCAGAAAACTTGGATGAGCCGAAAAGTCTTGAATTTTACTTCCCGCGCTTGTCTATTTGTATTCTATATTTTCCTTCTATGAAAACATTTTTAATATATAAAAATTTCATATGGCAAGACTTCAGGGTAATCTATATATAGGTCGTTGAGATATTGGGGTTTCCCCGCAGGGTTGTCGGTACGCACTTTGACGTCTACGAGGAACCACATCAGACTGCCAGGAAGGAGCAGTGGCTTTTCCCCCACACATAAACATCAATGCGAGGTCCTCCGATGCTAGCCTACGTGGTCTTTTTGGAGTAGTTTGCAATTGTGCCTTGTGAAGTGATAGACGCCACACCAAGCCAAGAATCCAACAATCAGCAGCTTGCGAATGATGCGTTTCCACCCAACACACATATTCCACCTCCAAAACCTCAGTAGAGGGAGCTACTCATGCTTGCTCCCTACCAACAAGATGTATAAGCCATGCTACCAATTTTTAATACCCTGCACTTAAGCCACGCCCGCAGCACCGCAAAAGAAGCCATGTCTTACGGAATAATTCCGGCTGCTAGAAAAGCATATAATGGGTATTTTTAGCCGAAATTCGTGCTCCAGATATTATAATGCTTTACGGAGAAGAATGAGACGCGCTTCTGTTAAGTACAGCCCTTTTCCGAGCCACGCATTACGATCTTTAGCGCTTTCTATTTTTTCATCCAGATCTTACTACCTCGGATCAATGGCCTTTCGACTTTCTCTCTACCATGTAACTACCTTTGCCTTTTCATTTGCGACACATTAATTTTGATAAATTCTCAAGCGGATTTCATGATATCCTTGTCTCTTCGTTTATTGTTTGCTGTTTGTTGGCTACTGGCGCGTATTCTACGCTGCCCCGCAGATAACTTATGGATTATACTGCGCATTCATCAATTTTTACCTCATTCGTCCACTGGTTGGATAGCAGGCAGCACGCTCCTCAAGCTGTAATGCCCCAATATATGCTTCCGCTACAAGCTTTGCTTTTCATTCTTCATTTTTATTGTTCTGCTCCATTCCAAAATATGGTCTTGGTTTAGATATTGACTTCACGAGGAAAAGATTTTTTTTTAAAAAAAAAGGTGCTCACGCACTTTCCAATGCATCTTACAGGCTCTTAATTCTCGTTACCACTTTGTACTATACTGAATCCAGTGCCCATTATCCCGTTTGTAGAGTATCTTTTAACATCTTCTTCACTTTCGAGTTTTTCCCATGCCTAATGCCTTTAATTATTAACGTACAAAGTTCCCACAATACAATACTACTACACCTTCGAAACTCTCTTTTTTGTTCAATCGTTGTATATGCTTATCCCCTAATATTAGAAGAAAGCCGATTGCATTCTTATAACTCCACGGTCCGATATAACAACAGCAATTCGTACTTAAAATAAACGCTGAATTTCCTCTTACTAAACTTCCCAAGAAAAGCTGTGAATCGAATTTTGGACTACATTTACCAGAAAAATGCCGCCATCTAAGAAATACGATGGCACGGATCAACCCAAGTAGACTACCGACATCGGTAGACTCGGGTTGAGCAGTGTAGATATGGTGCTGTTGATACGATCCCAGTGACCAATAATGGCCGAGTATCGTATCAGGCCGCCGATAATCAGTGGAAGTGTAAACCATCTTAGATAAAGTCTATAAATAATTGTCGTTGACCAAATCAAAGCGGTGTGTGCGGCGTCAAATAAACCACAGGGACTATAATTTACAATAAATCATGAAATCATTTGGAAGAGTTGGTTGGCCATCTGTAGCTCTGTTCCAGGTGCGCAGAATGTCTGCCGAGGGCTTTCTCCGAAATTTCCCATTGAATAATTTTTTGCGGGGTGTTTTCCTTCCTCGAGGAAGTCGGAATAAAGTACGACGACGCTGAAAGTCTGAGGCCGAGATTTGGGTGTGATGTGACTGCTGAAGGTTATAAGGGATTTGAAGGCGCCAAAGTTCGACGATATCCACTCATAAACAGTAAGAGTGAGCTCATGGAGTTCCTTCACATGCTCTATGGGTGTGACCGAAGTGCGGCAATGCAATGAAAAGCACCAGATTCCAACCACTTCTGAGGTTGTATGACAGAAGACGTATATTTATTGCACTCAAGTCGGGGTAGTTGAAGCTCTCGCCCGGACGTACATGTGGAATTAACCATTGCACATTCATGTCCGGACGATGGCTTAAACTACCCCGACTTGAATAAAATACTGAGTGGATCGATGCTCTGGAAACACTGAGAAATCCGGTTCCTGATTAAATGTGGGAATTAAGTTCCAGAGAGCATAATGATGAAAGGGGATTCCTCTGATAAACCATGATTGGGTGGTTTGAATTTCAATCTGAGCGTCCGAAGACTGATTCAAACAGGCATCAACTTGAGAGTTCGGAGATGTAGAATGAATTAAATGAGATGCTCATGAGTGCGTAGGAACCACTTGTGGTTCAAACATCAAATTTTTGCTGTAGATGACCCCCACCCCAGGATTCGTTCAGAGGCAGGATCAGAGAGGGCTGCTGATGTCCCGGTCGCATTCACTCCTCCTTATCATCCTTTTCATTGTCATTGTTATTTTTGTTATCATAATTGTCGCCACCGCCCTTTGGGCCGAGGATTCTGCTTCGGTAAAGGAGCAATTGTGGTGGGTCGGTGAAGGCTACTTCTGGTATGCGAAGATAAAAGGGAATAAACACTACAGAGCTTGACCTCTGCCCGCACGTTTTTGTCTAGCCAGACAGGAAGCTGATTGAAAGGAACATTAGCGTGTCGCCTAAGAAGAGCTTTGTAGGATACCCATGTGCAACCATTCTCAGGCTAAAGGTTAACGTGTTCGGCCTGCAATCCACAGAGGAGCGGACTCCAGCATTGGTTCAAATACCGTTCCGAAGTCTGAAGGACTTCGAGCACTGGATAGGGGCTACCGAATTCCTCCAGTCGAAGATCCCCTACTACGCGTCAACAATCAAGCCGCTTGAAAAAAAAAGGCAGCATATGGGGAATAGATTACAAAGTATAGCAATGAGATGTAGTGATAACAATTCGAGCGAATCGATGAAGAGCTGACTCCTCTTAAATAAACACTGTATTTATGCATATCTGCTGTTTACAGAACGTGACCGGTTTCCTTTACAGTGCTCTACCCCTTTGGGCGTTGGTAGTTTAGGGGCACTTTTTGGCTTTGATTAAGTTTTACTGAGAGGTAGTGAGTGACTATGGGCCGGTTGGTGACACAGCTTATCTGTAATAGTATATTCTTACCTGCTGCCATGTAAGCTATTCGAAGGAAAATGAATGCTGGCATAAGCTCCGAATAAGAACTCATTTTTGTGCGTAGCATGCGAGTGTACTGGATGATAGAAAGAGCATAGGAGCTTGATTTTGTTGATTTAGATCAAGAAAAAGAATTGTAGTGGATTCTTGGTTGTTGCGAATTGGAGAAGACTTCGCCCATGGCCAAAAAAGCCACCACTGTTCTGAAAAAGAAAGTAAACATGAAGGCGTGTTCTATTTTTTGTTGGGACAGACCAGAGCCTACAGAATCTAGACGCTACATGGCCTTCGGACTTCACTTCCGAGTAAATTTTGGAATAAACGGTGATGTCGGCCGCAGTGTTCTCGATGGTCCCGTGTGCGCCTGTTTCAAGACCATGAGAGACTCAAAGAAGCTTCTAAACGTCTCCCCAATGTTACTAATGCATCGCGCATGCGTTATTTTCCGTTGATGAGACCGTACTACAACTTCACAATGCCGCAGTGGCCTCAGCCCGGCCACTTTAGTCAGGGGTATACCCTTGGTCATCAACAAAACAGCCTGATTGCAGCAAAACTTATTCAGCATTGCAATGGACAACTGAATCCCGGTACAGGGCATTTCACAACGAAAGCGCGCATCGTCGAGTCTACTTAGTAATGTGGTGCGGCTGGCACGAACTGATCACCCTCCCCAGGATGGTCCCTAACCACAACCAGCTTTGCAGAAGCATAATCACATAACAGGAAAATTACTTCAGGCTCTCGAGAGTGTGTGGGCTGAGTTTCGGGCGCTTCCGTCATTCGCCCACCTGCCAGTGCTGCTTTCAAGTCGGACACTGGGGCCACCCCCTTTTCGACTACCACTTGGAAAATCACTCGTATATAGGCCCCCCCAGAGCTCTCCCAGTGCCTTCCCCCCATATATAGGATGCTGAGAACGATTCCGCAGTCTTCGTTACTCGGGAAAATGTCGGCAAACGTCGGTATCCCTGTTTGAAGTCCGGGTGCCCCCCACGGCCTCAAAATTGCTCCCACAAGTTTTATACTCATCCTACCGACCCCAAATTTCATCAGAAGCATCACGGTGGTATGGTGTAATGGTAGCACAGCACGTTGTGGTCAACAACGCCATCTAAGATGGTCCAAGGTTCGCTATTAGTTCCGTGCCAATCTGGGTTCGATTCCCAGTACCGCCAAGCGTCGCGCTTGAGCCTCTCAGAGGTTCCAGGTACTTTCTTTTTGCCCTCTTTTGCCTCTGGAGTCCATGGGCGCGCTGAGGAACGTTTTGATGGCCGAAGAGGGGGCTGGTGGGTGCAAAAGTCAGGGATTGTAACAGATGGCGGTGATCCGGCAGCTTTTTGGACAACAGGAAAGCAAGAGCGTGTGCTAAGCCTTCTACTGTGGGCGTGGGAAGCTTTGAAACTCCTCGTGCGACTGGGTGGTAAGCCGAGCCGAGGTCTCCCAACACTTGGCGAGCACCTCGCCATTCCACGACGGATCAAGTCCGTGTATTCTTTAACACAGCAAGAAAGTGATCAGAATCATCTGCATTATGTATCTACACGCTACGGCGCGCCATTGAAGTTCGGGGTTTCTGCCAATCCGAATTTCTGGCTGTATGCGCCGCGGCGACAAAGAAAACAGACTACAATGGTATACAATGAGCAAATAAATTGAGTATTGCGCTTCATGTTAAGAGCGAAATCGAGCCCTGTAGCTGTTATTCGAAAATAAGATATCAAGCCTGAGCTCGACCTTGTCGCGGCGGAATTGCTGATTGGAGCTGCAGCCCATGGGTTTTAACGTACTCCAGGGAGCTTCAGATTTTAACGATGACCCAATTGACTTTTTGGCAATTGAACACTTGAGTGTCTGTTCAGCTTGAGTTCTTTGTAAGCGTTTGTTGCTTTCTCTCCGCAGCAACTTTTTATGTGCTGTTGAACGTCAGTTCTCTGCACATGAGGTTTAGTGCTTAACTTTACTCATCCCCGCGAACATTCTCAGGCTTCTTCTACGCCATTGGAAGTTCGGCTTAGTGTGATGGCTTCGAGTGATTCCCGTCCGAAGCAAGATGCCACGCTCCCAAAAGAGCAACACGCCATGCCTTCGGCACCCATAACATCATAGTTTACACTCCCCCGAACTATTTGTTTCGAGGCGCCACTCGGTGAAGCAGGTTTATCAAGAGCCTGCTTTGGGTGCTATCCTTCATCAACACCCGCTTGTCCGGCTCCCACCCAAACAGGTTTTTGGGGGGCAGAAGAAGCGTCGTCTCATCAGGACCATCGACAACCCTCCAGTAGGTTTGACTAACGCAAGCAGCACCGTGTATCACGCTCCACACGGGGTAATGCTCCTCGTCCGCAGCCACCTTTGGGACGAAGGCCGTGTCCTTGACCCATTTGGTGATGATGGAGAAATTGGTCATGTTCTTGGACAATTGCCTTTGCCTCGGATAGAAGGGATGCACTTGCAGTTCCTTGGCCCCAAACAGCCGGTTGGGTTCCTCCCAGCCGCGATCGGAGCCGATGACGCTGGCGCCGGCGGCGGCACCACCACCAACGAGCTTCGCTGCCCTCGCGTCGCACGCTAGCGCGTGAACCATATCGCGCGCGGTGAGCCCTATTTCATTGTTCTGCTTCGATTGCCAGCACATGTAGACGCGGCGCCCGCAGCCGGCCCACGTCGGATGGTGGTTCCACGCTGTCCTGGCCTTGACCCACATGCGGCCCACGAAGTCGAAGGCGAGGGCGGGCGTGGGGAAGACGTAGCCGCGCTCGAGGTAGCTGTGAGGCTCCGTCTTTATGCGCCAGGGCGTTGTTTGTAGTCGTTGGATCGCGTCGCAGAGAGCGCGGTCAGGGTGCAGCTGGTTACCGCCCGAGTCTTTGAGGATTTTTGTGCCTGGAGGGAGGAGATCGTATGGGCTGGTGACGCCGATGTACGGGTCTTTGGGGATATCGGCGGCGGGGTCGTAGACGTCAACCGGTATCCGCGGCAGTAAGATGTTGTCTGCTGAGTAGAGCGAGGGTCTGCTCGTCGACAATGGACGACTGCGGAGAAGTGGCGCTATTCGCGGTGAGCCATTGGGAATGGCAGCACGGAGCGAGCGCGCGCAGGGCTGCATGAGGTCCATTGAGGGTTGGCCAAGGCGGAGGGTTGCGATAGAGATTCGTGGGAGAGATGGTGAGGAACTTGGCCGGAGATTCTAGATGGTGGCCCAAGCTTCCACCGAGCTTCATCCTTGGTGGGATGATACACATTGGTCCATCTGGGTCGTGTACTTATGACGAATTGGACCACTGTACTCGAAACTACAGTCCTAACCAGCTTATCAGCATTACGCGGTAGTCCTTTAAGACACTACCACTCTTGGTAGCCTATGCTCATCCCGCCGTTAAACAAGTCTTCCGAGATAGTATAGTGACGTCGTGCTACTCATATTTCGTAATTCTTCCACTTGTTCTTATCCTAGCTGATTATCTCCTTAAGAAACTTTTTACTGAAAACCTTGGTTTGAATGTTACTACCCCTTGCCGTAGGTATAAATTGCACAGCATCTGGGACAAGTAAACACGCATGCGTGCCACGGACAAGCAGCTTAACAAGATCGTGTCAAGGAAGGAGGGATCCCAGAAGCCTCGGCCTAAAAGAGACTGACTCTCAGGTGTTGCCATATAGAGGCGTTAGGCCAGCTTGATGGCTGAAAACCCTGGCAATGCCAAAAGCTCTGTGCGGCGCTCCGGGCCGATCCACCTGAGGAATGGTTCCAGGCCCTGAGCTTCCCCGCAGCTTTCCCCCACCATGACACAGGCACAACGAGACTTCCTCCGCCCACACCCTCTTGTAATGTGAAGGTTCTTGATGCGCTGAATGCTCTAAGTATACTTTTAGAGCTGGCCTATCAAATTCCATCGTCTCCTATCGAAGTGTCTGGTCCACCAGGCCTCATGGACCAAAAAAATCACTCAATATACCGAAGCAAAGCAGAGCAAAACGAAAGCATGCGACGACCGGGAATCGAACCCGGTTCTCAACCTTGGGAAGGTTGAATCATAACCATTAGACCATCGACGCGAGGTGGGTGGATGTGAGGTGTTGCAGACGGCATGGATTATATCAAATCTTCAGCAGCCTTCACCGCTCAACCACACAGCGCACTCCTTTTCAGCTCGAAAGGAAGCACTAGCAATGTACTGTAAGAGATGGGCCTTGTCGCAGAACAGTTAGATTATGTTGCATCTAAGCAAAATGTGTGAAGGAGCAGTGGGTGGCAAGTTGAAGGAGTTGTAGGGTTGTCGCAGGTTAAAAACCTTTTTTTCGAGATGCAAAAACTAAAGAGAAGAGCGGCCTTCCGTCCGATCTACGCTTAGGGGCGCAAATCAGTTGTCACGGTCCTGGCGCTGCCTGATGACTAATCAGGCAGGGTGAGTGCCTGAGGCATTTACGCCAAGACCGACCTAGTGATCGAGAGGCTCTGCTACTCGAGTCTCTCTTCTCTCCTCGTAGCAATCTACTACAAGGAGATCAAGAGGACGTGATTCAGACTTTCAACGGCTTCAAGAACGAGGAAAAGTTCAGTGCTTTTGACGTACTCGACGCCGAGGGTGTGAAATTCGATCATAAAGGCATCGCAAAAGATTTGTTTCAACAGATAGTGTCTCGTCAAAAGCAACCTCGAGAGGCGGGAAAACGTTGGTCTGAGGATGAAGACTCCATCCCGATCGACGTGATACGAGAACAATCATTGTGGAGCCAAATGAGAAAGGATATCAACGCGGATATTATCCGACAACACGGCAGCAATGGAAACCTCTCCACGACTTTAGCTGGCCGAACGCAATACGCTGTACGATCGCGCCTAGATCGATTACTCAAGACTACCGATAAGACGGATGAATCCAAGCTCAACGCTCAGCTTGTTGACTGGCCTAGACCGGACGATAATGAATACGAGGCCTTCGAATGGAACACGCCTCAGATCGTCACCGACCTTCGATCAGGCGTGGCAAGGTTCACCAAAGGTCCTCTCCAGATGGACGCATTGCTGAAAGTTTGCCGAGTCTCTCAGACTAATCCAGTTGGTGGCGAAGAAAGCCTCCGAGAAAACTTAAGGATCTGTCGAGCGGTTTTCTTGAAAGACTTTCAAGTTGATGAGGCGGATGTAGCATGGTCTGAGGATGCGATACTGGCACCAAGAATCTCAAGTGTTGCTCTTTGGAAGAATATGACGCAGCCAGGAGCGACTGCTAGACCCTCTCAAAAGATCAAGGAGATGTTTCGGAAATTGGCTGATCTTCATGAATCCATCCCAGAAGGCAGCAAGAAACTGGAGCTTACGATCCTTGTCTTGGGCTTTGATGGCCTTACCACTAATCCCTTCAACTTCCCCTTTCTCGAAGAGAAATTTCCTCGACTTTCAATGACCATAGTCCTGATGGTTGGTTGGCGTTAACTAACTAACCCTACGAATCCAGTCCTTAAAGACTGGGAATTCTCTTCACGGTCTAGATTCACGTACGGCTTTTACCAGCTCAATGAGCTTGCCAATACCGCTCGTCGGGCTTCAGTATCTCCAAGAGCTGCGGAGCTTCTCTCAGTTTGGGCAATTGTAACTGCCAAAAAGTACGACCAAGCAGGGACCAGTTTCGAGAAAGCGCTTGGCATCAACACGCGTGGACGAAACGACATGGGAAAAGACTGGGTGGAATGGAACACAAAGCGTCATCAGTGTCGGATGTGCCTATATACAGGTAGGACCGTGAAAGACCTGAAGAATCATTAGGTATCCAATTATGCCGATTACTTCTGTATTTTCTGCAGCATCAATCAAAATAGAACCCCAATGAGAAAGTTTAAAATACTTCAAGGGCCTTACAACATAGCGTAACTCTGCCCCAGCTCCGCCTTAGAAAAACAAACATATGTGGATAGTTGAAGCTATCGTCCGGACGTGTATGTAGAATTTTTAATTCGACATCCTCGTCCAGACGATAGCTTCAACTACCCATGACATGAGCAAAAAAAAAAAAAAGTTGAGACAAAGATGAAATTCTTTTCGCCAAGAACGCACTCACTACTTCCACGACTGATCTGCCGGATTCCATCAGTCCTTTTCTGATATGGATCGATGCCCCTTGCACACCGCGCGTGAAGGCCGCTCCACAGCCTCTACCATCCATCACTTAATCCTCCCAGAGGGTCTCGAGCCTAATGTGAAGGCGCGCATGCTGGTCAAGAAAGAAGTGCTTACGGATGAGGCCACTATGAAGGAATTTTAGCAACTTCTTAGCTTTAGCGGTAGCTCTATAATGGAAGTTAACGAATTGGCTTGGGTTTATATACTACGGGAGTTATTAGCTATATTTTCTTACGCCATTGCAAACCACCAATTATCCTACATCTATACGTGGTCCCGAAATATGGTTCAGCATCGTCCTCCGCTTCCTCTATTGTATATAATTATGTGGCACAGAACACGGGCGGAAAGAGTTCTATTTCCACTCTGTGGTGCACGGACCATGCAGATGGAGGGGTGCATCATCGTCACCCAAGCTCGCAACAGCAATCCCGACCATTCTCTGCACAACCACCGCACCAACAACCCCCCGCCGCCGCCCACAATGTCGTCGAAAATTGAGAAGACGATAGCGCGCCAGCAAGAAAAGTAAAACCCCCGTACCAGCCACGCAAACTCACACACAAACGCTGACCCACGCCACGCGCGCCGCAACCTTTAGGATCGCTGAGGGCCAATTCTACGAAGCGCACCAGCAGCTGCGTGTCATCGGCACGCGCTACGTCAAGCAGGCGAACTGGGAAGCCGCCATCAACATCCTCGCGTCGGGCGCACAGTTGTTGCTCCAAGCGGGCCAGGGCGGCAGCGGCGGCGACCTGTGCCTCTTCCTGCTCGACGTCTACAACAAGGCCGAGACGAAGCCCGATGCCGCCGCCAAGGCCAAGCTCCTGGGACTGCTGCGCAGCTTCCCGCCCGAGGAGCCGACCAAGAAGAGGTTCATCGGGGAGATGATCGGGTAGGGCTTTTTGTTGCCTTGAGGCCTGGACGTGGGCTGATACGGATGTAGGTGGTCAGCCAAGTTTGGCGAGTATCCCGCTGGAGACCCGGAGCTGCACCATGTGGCAGGCACGATACTCGCTGAGGGTAAGTTTCACCATCCGGCATCTAACCTGTTCAGAGCAAGCGGAGGCTGAACATGGCAGACGGCGACGCCTACGACGCGGAACGGCACCTCACCCACGGCACGCGGGACTCGCCCGAACACTTGGTCAAGCTCGAGTACGAATGGTTCAGCGAAGACGACTCGCACACGGCCCCCCTCTACGCGGCGCGGGCGGTGCTGCCGTACCTGGTGGCCGGCAACGTGCGGGCCGCGAACCAGTGCTTCCTGCAATTCACGACGCGCCTGTCGCAGGAGCACCCGTCGCTGGGCGTGCAGGACGTCAGCGGCTCGAGTCTCGACCTGCGCATCTACCCGTCGCTGCCGCTGCTCAACTTCCTCGGCCTGCTACTGCTCGCCGTGACGCGCGGCACCGCCGACCTCTTCCGCATGCTCAAGAGCCACTACAAGACCCATTTGGACCTGGTGCCCGGCTGGAACGACGCCCTCGACCAGATCGGCGAGATGTACTTCGGCATCAGGATTCCCAGCCAGAGCAACCCGCTCATGGACATGATGAGCAGCATGTTCATGGGCGGCGGCGGCGGCGCGGGCCAGAAGCCCAAGCCCAGGCGAGTCGAAGCGCCAGCACCCGCGCCGGGACTAGACTAGATGACGAGTTGGAGGGGGTGGAAAAAGAAACAAAAATATCATGACCATGACCTGAGGACTCCTGCGTGGAGTCCGGGGGGTATCTCCCATTGCCTTTTGTGCATCAAATCCCTTTACGCCCAAAAACACCATGCCTGTGAAACGCGGCGTGCTCCAAGAAATCACGCCGGTAGCGGGTCGTCGCCCTCGAACATCCACTTATCGTCATCCAGTGATTCCACCTTTGCCTGCAAGCTAGCCTGCAGCGTTGCCCTGAACTCTGCAGTCGCTCCTTCCGTTAGCCGCTCGGTGCCTTCCTCCAAATAAATCATAGTGGGCCATAGCACCTACCGTTCGGCTCGATATGCTGCTGATGCTTCCGATACGTCTCGATCAATCTGCTCTCAACCTCTGTTCCACAACCATCAGTCACGCCATCTGCCAAAAAAAAACCCTCTCGTCCCGGCCGCAAAACCACCCCAGACACTCACTCACCTCTCTCATCCCTCAAATCGTCCCTCGGCACCGGGCCCACATTCGGCATCTCGAGCCGATAATTCCCATCCGCATCGCGCGCCACGATATCGCGGCACTCGCCCTCCTCGTCGTCATCGTCGTCCTCGTCGTCGTCGCCCTCCCCCCTCTCGTCGCCACTGCGGCCCCGGCCGCCGTTACCGCGGTTGCCGCCGCCGCCCTTGGCAGCGTTGTTGTTGGTGGTGGTGGTATTGCCGTTGGGGTCCAGCTGCAGCGTCGTCGCCGACGTCGCGCTCGTGCTGGACGGGCCTCCGCCGCCGCCGGGGCCGGTGCCGGTTGCGGTCGGGGGTCGGCGCGAGAGCTGGCTGCTGAAGAGGTTGCGGCGCATGCCCGAGGCTGTGGTTGTGCGGTAGGGCGGCGGTGGTGGGTGACGGGAGGACATTGTTTTTTTATTGGTTGTTGTTTGGGAGACTGCGATGGGAGGGTGGGATTGCTCGGTGATGAGGTGGGTTTCGTGGCGGAGATGGCAGACGGTCGAAAGGTGGATGCGGAGTGAAAACGAACGGCGGCAAGTTTAGGGTTGATTACGAATGGGAGGCAAGTGTGTGAGAAAAGGCAACATGGTAAACAGCGTTTGTTGATTGCAGCGCGGGGGAGCCGCTGCGGGCGGTGTTTTTCGGCAGAACTTTGCATGACGTTTGCTGCCCACCGCGCTACTCCCCCAGGGTCCAAACGGATACGCGTGCGCCGAGTCGCGACGAGAGCTTCACCTCGACGCGAGAAAGCTTCAACACCACAAATGAGCGGCACCGACGCGGGCGGCCCCGCCGAGGGTCAACCCTTTGTTGTCGATTTCAATGTCGACCCCAATGTGAATGCGCATCAATTCTCTGACAGGCCCAGGAATATCCATCGTCCGCAGGTACACATGACGAAACGCTCCAGGCACTAATCATCCCACTGACTGCCGCCGTAGGAGATCGCTGAATTTTCTTATGATGAAGACCACCAGATTCATCTTGATGCGCGCTCGCTGAGCTACTACTACCCGCCGCAGCCCCTCGGCGCTGAACACAACATCTACCTTGACAAGGGCGTTGAAAGCTTCCGCAGGCTCGATGACACCCAGGACAGCCATCTCACCGGCCTTCTCGCCGCTATCATGGGCATGGAGAAGAAGCAGAACCAAAAGACTAACGCGCATTTCATCGCCTACCGAGGCATGATCACCAACGTGAGCACGCCAGTGCAAGCTGTGCTAGAGAACTCACAGCTGATCTCTGTCGATGCAGCTACTCGCCATGCCTTACCAAAGACTCGATGAGTGGGCCATGAACGCAACGTTTTACGATGTGGGCTTTTCTTGCCCGTGAATTTATGGTGTGGCTAACAGACCATAGGGCACGATGTAAGTACACCTAATCTTCTTGCCGTGCTCAGCTCAATGCCGGTACTCGCGCAATGGCTTCTCACCTTGCTCTGCAGCTTCATTGAGGAAGACAAGGCCGCCAAATTCGAAAAGAAGGCACGTGAAGCCGGGCAGCAGGATCGAGGCCCCGGACAGCAACGTAGGGAGACGCTGCAGTACTACTATGGTGAGTTGACAGCGGAGACCCTCCCCTTATTGGATGTTTATTTGCGTCAACAGGCTTCAAGTTCGAAACTCTCTACACCATCCCCGACATCTGGGACAACGTCTCCCGTGACGAGATTGAGAGCCGCGACGACAAGGTTGTGAGTAACTACGCACAATACTGCTCCATTGTCAAGACCGGCGTTGGCAACATCGATATGGTCATCGGCGGAGAGGTCGATTGCAGTACGCTCTCCACCAACCCCATTCCCCCCATACACACTTTATTTTATTAAAACTAGCCCACACAGTCTGGGACTCCAAGATCGAAGGCGCGAAGCACCACAACTACGTCGAGCTCAAGACGACCGAGTGGCTCGACGAGAACCGGTTGCCGCCACAGCAGTGGCAGAGGAAGATGCTCAACTACGACCGCCGTAAGCTCAAGTACTGGGCCCAGTCATACCTCATCGGCTGCCCGACCGTCATCGTCGGCAAGAAGGACACCGACGGCCACATACACATGCCGCTCGAGGTGCTCAAGACCAACAACATTCCCGCCGCCGTCAGGAACACCAGCGGCGCGTGGAACTCGGTCGTTTGCGTCCAGACGCTCGGCGCGTTTCTCGAATGTGAGACATACCTGCCCAGTTTTTGATGTTTCTTTCTCAATGCTTTATGTGGCTGACTGGCATTTGCTTTGCAGGGCTGGACTCGCACATCAGGGATTCCTCCGGTGTGTGGAAGCTGGTCAAGTACCGCAATAACTCCATGATCCGACTCATCCACATCGAGCCGACTGGCACCGGCGAGATCCTGACGGATGAATTCAAGGCCCATCGCCTCGTCTTGGCTCAGAGCAGTCTGTTGGCTCGACTCGAGAGGCACCCGTTGGCCGAGGAAGCGGACGGCGGCGGCGGCGGCGGGGACAAGATGGACACGGACGATGGCGATGGTGGTGGTGGTGGAGACAAGATGGATACGGAGACTTAAAAAAAAAGAAAACGGACAGGGACTGCATTGGACATCGGCGTTGCAACGGTGATAAACGGGGACAACCACTTGCACATACGCATTGACTGGATGGTGTGGTTCACCAATTTCTCTTCTTTTGGCTTCTCAGAGATTCTGGATAACCTTTGTGGGAAATCCAACACCTGAAAGTTAGAAATGCTGGTATTGACTGGCGAATTCTCAGGCTAGATGGAGTCCTATCCGGGCATCGGTTTAGCAATTTGTTTGATTAGCCCAAAGGTAGGAGACCAAAAAAAAAGGAAATGTGAGGTGAAAACGAGGGTGAAGACCAGAGGAACTGAAAATTTTCACAATTCAACATTTGGAGTTGCAGGCGATGTGGATCCACTGTAGCCTTTGGGTTTAGCTTACGTGGCAGTAGGATCATACCCGCTATCAGTCGTTCGTGGTCAAGTTTTGATGCTGTCACTTTTCGCACTCTTCAATTAAACTCAAGTCTCTAACTTTTTCACACTTTACAAAGCCACCCGAAACCCTACTTTACCGCCATGGATAACAGACAGAGACAGTACGATGAGGCCGAGACTCCGGGACATGAGAGCCCTTCCAATCTATCCCAGCGGAGCAATGTAAATCTCTGCGAATGGTGTTCAAAAGCATTGACCATCGATGATCTTCGTGCTGGTGGTTATATGGCAACAACCTCCGATGGAGAAAGCACCACAATCAGCTTTTCCAACAAGGCACGTAACGGATGGTTGAGGACGTATCCATGGCCACCCCCGTGGAAAAGACCAAACGGCGACCAAGCCCATAGGATTCGGTCCTCCTGCTCAGAAGCACCATCTTATGGACAGACTTACTGGGCAGTGTCCAGTGACGCTCGCCGTGTGACACCTCCGACCTTACCCGAACTTTCTGATTCCGCAGTTGAGAATTGTCACTTCTGTGGCAGACTGAAGGAGATATTCCTCGATCAGTACGGTGAACGCTCTTGGTGGCAAGATTCTGACTCGTGGCTGCAATTTTGGGTTCAGTACGAATGGGAGGGGTGCAAGGAAGCAAGTGGAACTCGAAAGTATATTTTCGATGCCATGGCCGTTTTGGTTCAGCATCCTGAAGCCTACCCCGATCGTTCTGATGCATTCAGATTCGCTGTGGGTGCGATGCCGGGTAATTTGGCATACCCAGATGAAATTTTCATTCAGCTGACCATCTGCTTACAGGAACGTGTCGAGAGTGGCTCCAGTTTAAAGATGATCCCCTGGATACAGAAGGCCCAATGTCTGAACGAAATACTTATTTGATTGAGGGCTGGTTGAAGGATTGCTCCATGTCTACATGCTGTGGATCTGTTACTCCAGGGTCATTTTTCATTCCAACCCGCTTGTTGGACCTCCAGCCCGGGTGGACAGACCATGGTACAGATACAGACGTAAGACTCATCGAAACCACTGAGAGCCATATGCAAACCGTATCGGAACGAAGTCCATTAAGATATGCGGCGCTGAGCTATTGCTGGGGATCTTCAGGACCGCCGTTACGAACAACCTCAAGAACCTTGTCTAAACACAAGCAACGAATCAAATTCGACGAAATGCCACAAGTCTTCCGAGAAGCCGTTTTCGTTGCGAGGAAGCTTCGACTTCGGCACATATGGATAGACGCACTTTGCATCGTTCAAGATGACACTGAAGATTGGGAGAATGAGTCGGTGCAGATGTCTGACATTTTTGCTCATTCTTTCATCACCATTGGTGCGGCTGCAGCTTCCTCATGTCATGACAGCTTCCTTCAAAGAGCTTCGAAACACACAATCACCATTCCATTTCAGTCTACTGTCAACCCAAAAGTCTCGGGACAATATTCAGTTCATTGTCTAGAAGGAGAATACGTCAAGCCAGAAACACCAACGGTGCCCTCCAGATGGGACAGCCGTGCATGGGTATGGCAAGAGCAGATGATGGCCAAAAGGCTGCTCGTCTTCGACAAAAAACAGCTGCAGATGAGGTGTAGTCAGTACCGCCGGCTGGAAAATGGCCACCGCTTGTCTGAAAACTACACGCTGAACAAGTCTTTCCGCGCCGACTGGTACACGTGGATCCGCTCCTACTCACAGAGAGAAATCACGTATCCCCGCGACAGGCTCGGTGCCGTGTCGGGAGTCGCAAAGTATTTTAGCAGAAGACTCGAAGAAAATGGCCGCCCGGCCGAATATCTTGTCGGACTCTGGCGAGACGAGTCTTTGGAACGCGATCTGCGCTGGGTCATCACGGAACCCGGACTTTCATACAAGGAGATGATGGAAGCATTGGACGAAGAGGCGTCATACTGCGCACCATCTTGGAGCTGGGCATCCAGAAATCAGGGCGTTGACTTCCTCTGCAAAGGGATCTCCACGACCTTCGAAGTGAAGCAGTGCCGCTTGCCGCCAGCTACCTCCGACGCAACGGTCGCGGTGAAGCCTGGATCGTACATCACGCTCCGAGGGAAGCTCGCTCGGACCCCTATCAAACCGACCGACGGTGTCGCCATCGACCTTGACGGCGGATCTTGGCAATCGAACGTAGCGTGGGAGGTTAACAGTCCTGCCTTCGGTCACATTCGCTACTACTTGGACTGGGCTCCCACAGCCGGGGATCTTGCTGAAGAGGACGCTCTCAGTCAGCTTGAACTTCTCCTGCTCGCGAAAGGATCGGCTCGTGTTGGCAGGGAATGTTCGGGTATTCTCCTGCTTCCCTTCGAAAGCTCTCGGGGATTGTTGTACCGCCGGGTTGGAGCTTTCGACAGTGATGATCGTGACATTCCGTGGTTGACGGATGTTTTGGAATCAGAAGTCACCATTGTTTAACAGCGTATGTTCTTACTAGATAAAGGATCTTGATAGGCACGGTTGTTGACCTAAATCGTCAGGGGTTTCACCACCACGTTTGGCTGTTATTGGGAATCTTCACCAACTGAAAAAGAAGTTGGCTGCTCGCGTCACTCAGTGTTCATGCCAATCAAATATTCGGCGGTCCTTCACGAGGTATTTCGAGAAGCGTGCTACAAATATGAATACTCAGCCATTTGTCATATCGAGATTTCACACTCTGTGTAGGATTGATGAGAGCCCGAGGTTGTCCAAACCTGATGGGAAGTAGGCCTGAGGGGAACAACAATCGCGCACGTGTAAATGGGCTGGACAATGCTGCCTACATTTTTCTTCCTCTGGTTTCTGACACACTGGATAGGGCTGCGGAAATTAAGCAAAAATCAGTGGTCCGTTCTGTTCAAATATCCCTCAAGTACCTTAGTTTGGCGATCACTCGAAGCTCATGTCTAGATGGTCGCGTGGAGTTTGTATCTGCTTCGACTTCCCATGTAGGAAAGGTGCGATGCCTAGCGTCGAGAGCATGCGAAATCACACAATCACATGCAGAGGGAAGACAGAGAGAAAATCAACGTTTCGGATGGAAGACCGACCTCCTGCCCTCTGATCCCTTACCGACATCCCGATCCTCACGGCCGGCAAATGCCACCGGGAAGAGAGATGACAAACGGGCGTCGACGTGTCGATAGACCGGTCAGCTAAGCGAGCAATAGATCGGCCTTCCTTCGCAAAAGCGAGCGACTATCGGAATATACCCATCATTATAGGGGTACAGCCTCACTGTCGTATGCATATTCGGTAGTCTTTGCTCTCTGTTACTTTTCGCTTATCACGGCTGAGAGTCAAAAAGAGAGAGGCAAAGAGAGAAAGGAATTAAAAAAAAGGGGGGCGATGTGAGCATGATCCGCAGGAAGTGAAGAAAAAGCAGCAGCGCAAGCGAGGATCCCCCGCCCAAAGAAGCAGAGTGGAGACCCTGACGATCTGAATGCCGCGTACAATACCTAGTGTATATGTCGGAGCATGTCTCGCCCCGGCAACATCCGTCCAGTATAGACAGTATAAGCGAGCGCGAGCGCGTGTGCGCGCGCATGCGTGAACGTTGTACGGCATTTTTTCTGTTAGACGATATGACGATCGGTGGAGGATTAGCATTGCGCGGTTTCTATGTATAGCAAATAACGGCGCACATCCCTCACACAAACCCTCTCCCACTCTCATTTTCTTTTTTTTTTCTTCTCTCTTTGGCCTCCCCCTGCTCCTTCCCCACCATCGGGCCATAGCCGTTCGGACGGATGGAATGAGGGTTCAAAGCCATACCCGCGGTTGGCCACGCGATACCCGAGCGCCACGGCGTCGAGGGCGGAAATGAACAGGTTCGTACATACCTACACCCCTCAACGCAGCGAGGCAGGATCGGCAATCATCGTCGACCACTCCGCTTCCGCCCTTACCAACATCGGAAATTCGGTAGCCAAAGCCATCGGCCCTGACGGCCCGTGGCAGTAGCCTCCGGTAGTGGTTGGCGTGGCCCGATTTGACTTGCCGTAACCGACATCAGCCCGTGCCTCGACCTCTTTCGGCCGTGAAGCCTACCGCGCACACACATATCGGGCTGCATTAGGGTTGCCGGTTCGTACTCCGGATTTGTCCCGGGCGTATGGTCTTCATTTCTCTTGCTGAAGGGTTGTGAACTCAGTGATGGAGGGGTTCGAGCTTTGGGTCGTAAGAGTGGATACCTTACCACATGAGGAAAGCGGTCAACATACCTCTGCATGTCTTGAATGTGTTCTCATGATGCATGGTGCTTGAGAACGACGGCCCTCCGCAAGCTCTACGCATGGCTGTTTCTACATCAGCACCAGTGTCCGTAGCTGCTGGTGTAGAGATGCACTCAGTGCATACTTCCAAAACACGCCATTATCGCAGGCTGTCCCTTAGTGTTTACCAGCTAGTAGTATCTCAAAGATACTATAATCCAGCACGAGTCACCCACGTGGCGCGCAGGCGCCTCTCAGGGGCCTTGGAACTCAGTGCTTCAACATCCGCGTCCTCACGACACTACAGGACGCCATAACACTCGATGGGGAAGCATCCCCGCTCTTTCTATGAATAGACACAACGAGACGCGCACCTCAAGCAGTCAGACTTTTCCTCTCGTTTCTCTCGGTATCGAAGCACCGATTGGGCTAAGCTAGCCGATGAAACGGTGGGAAGTGGAAATTAAAGAGAGAAACAGAAAAAAAAGTTTTCAATGCGAAAGTAAGAGAGCAAACAGGAGGTGGGAACACGAAAGGGTTCAAGGGCGCATGGGCCGGAAGGGACACTATTGTATCGATAAATGCAGATCTTCTAATATAGCACACGTGGGAGCTTTAATCTATCGTTGGTCGGCCTTGATCCGCCCGGACATTGGGCCGGGCGTGGTACACCTCTGCTCGGGCAGAAGAATTTGTTGGCTTTCATCGGGTAGGTTTAGTGGGTACAACACATATCATGGGGATGGAGGTGGGTTTGCGATGGAGAACGCAAGTTTCCGCATCCGTGGACGAGGGAAGGTGGAGGATGAACAAGCCTAAGGCCAAGCTGCTTCGAATTTCTCTGCGCTTCGCTCGCTCGCTACCTGCTGAACGGGTCCCCAGTTGGGCCCGATGGAATGGAGCTATGGGGTGCATACGCGATCGAATATTGTGGCTCACGAAAATGTGGACGAGTGGGGGGCTCCTTCGGCGATGGAGAAAGGAATCGGTTAGGCCGGTACGAGATGTGAGGCGAGCAAAGTGTTGGTGGCTGGTCAGCTCGCTCGCTCGCTCCGCCAGGCTCCGTGAGGAATTGGAAGCGAGACAGACGTGGGCAGAGGGGCTGGCATGACAGTTATGACGTCTGTTATGGGTTGATTCAGGCCGGCAATGGTCTGAATAGCCGTGTGGCGAATGAGAGGAAGAAAAAAAAGAAAAAAGGCGTGCAGCACTTTGCAAACATTGGGAAGGTACCCCAGAGGTGTCGGGAAGAGAACCGAAAACGTCAAAACCGTTACGAACTGGCCATATAGACAGGTTATAGTATAGGGAAAGTCGCGGCGGCGCGGAATAGGTGTAAGACATGGCATGGAGAAGAAAAAGTCGGCGAAGAACTGCCGACCGAAGGGCCGAAAATTGATTACCTCCACGCGTTCAGCCGTACGATTGTATCTGAATCATGCCATGTCGGCCTACTTGCTTTTTCTTGGTGTTGTGTGTTCTTTGCAGTCGTTGTCGTGGCGTAATAGGCGACAAGCACGATACGGGGCGAGAGAATGCAGTTCCCAGGGGAAGCCCCACCAGACAGGCGAACACAGCCGCATTCCCCCTTCGGCAATGCTTCGACACGATACGCGATTCATCAAGAGTGGGCGGGTGGTGTCGATGTAGCATTGTCTCCGCAGGTGGATGTTCCTGCAAGATCGACCGTGTGGCGGGAACAGGCCAACGGCTACGACGATTATGAGCGACCAAAATAATGCCGCGTTCGAAGGTGCTCTCACGCTATCTGAGATGTCGATGCTCGCATAGGGGGCAATTCGGCAAAAGGTGGAGGTGGATTTCTCGCGTATCAAGAGTTGCATTATAGTTGTGCATTATTGTCGGCATTATCAGACGATGGGCGCCGATTTCTCGGAAGGCTCCATGCTTCCCACTTCCCCGGCGGTGAAGGCTACTATGTAGGAAGAAGGGGGCGTCGGCTCCATAGAGTACGTAGTAGGGGGTGCAGCTCCCGCTTCTCGTGGTCGGTGCTCCGCATCCGCAGCACTTGTACCGACAGGGTAACATCAACCCAACGGCGATAGACGGTGCTCATCAATCAGCAGCGAAGGAGCACACAGACCATGGATCTGGAGCGTCGTTAGCTCAGCCGCTCAGGGTCCCGAATGGAGACAGGGTAGCCTGTGTCAGCCAATCTTCCGCTCAAGTCAGGTCCGTACAGCTTACATGCACGCATGCACCAAGCCCCACCGGAGTATCCAACCCAGATCCACCCGCTCAATTAGGGAGTCTGCTGCAGACATGCTGCGTGGATGACGACAAGAAAATGCAGCTGTGAGAAAACCAAGGCAAACAGAACGCAGAGCCGGCCGAGGCGACAAAGGCAGGGCGTGCGAATCCAGACATCCGTCCCCACAACTGCTGAGACACTTCGGGAGAGAGGGGGAACGGAGGAGAAGAGCACGTGCAGAGACCACCGCCCTCCCCGATCCCGTGCAGACCCTTCTGCGCTCTGTTGCCTCTGACGCATGTTGCATTGATAGCACAGACGCTAATGCAAGGTACGTCCCCGTCGAAGATGGAGAAATCGACGCGGCGGTGTTCCATGGGTCCCACTCCCTTTTTCCAACGCTAGAAGGCCAGGAGGAACAGCAGGCATGGCGGGAGAGAAGGGCCGTCGCGGGCGTACCGTAATTGAGAAGATGCCTTCTCGTCGTCATGCCGCCGCTAAGAGCATCGCAACGGCGGAACGGCGGCTGGCGGCGGAGCGGACGAAAGTGGCGCTGGCAATGGTCAAGCAAAAGAGCAAGCGTAGCCGCAACAGCGCAAGTGGTGGCGCGCGCGGATCACCACAGATCGCGGCCTTCTGGCCTTCCTCAAGGTCGTAGCCCCTCGGTCCCTGCTACCCGGCCGACGGCTCTCGCAACAGCTGCGTAGCGCGCATGAAAGATCGTCGCTCTTCGGCCGGACTCCGCGCACACGCTAGGTAGTGAACGCAGCCTGACGTTCGTCTCCGCTGGGCGCCGCCCTCGCCGCCGCCGCACCGCCTACCGGAGGCTAATGCGGTGGATACGCGAGAATCCAAGACAACATCCCAAGAGGGATACCTCACGTCTAGCGTCGACGCCTAGCTGTTATTGGTGTTGTAAACTCCAGGCCCAGCCAGCCACGGCCCCGAATCTGCTCACCCATTTAGCCCAGACCGTAGTGTTGTGATGCTTTCCTCATGGTTCGATTAGCTCGGGCGTCCACGCGACGCGGCCTCGCGCTCGCGATTTTGCGTGTCAGCAATCCGCGGCCCCGGAAGCTCGAGCGTGCCGGGTCATGGACACGGGCGAACGCGAGCGTGAGGATCAGGAGGGGCGGGCGGCCAGGCAGCCAGCCACCCCGTGCGGAGTATACCATAGAAGCGAGGTCGACGACGACGACAAACCACGAAGCTGGCAAATTGCAGAGTTGCGGTCGCCGAAAGCGGTAAGGGAATCGAGAGACGGTCTGGCGAGTCAAGCTCTATGCACGGCCGCCCATCGTCACCTTCTTTCCCCCGTGCTCCGGCGAACGTTGAACGCCGCAGACGCAAGCCTAAGAGCCGCACCGACGTGAACTGGACGCCATCGACCCACAACTGTCCATCGTCGTCTGCTTCATCCAGGCTGTGCCCCTTCGTCCACCGCCCAACTGATGGCTCGAGCTTTCGGATGGGAGGCGTCATTTCCAGGGTGCCCTCTCACCGTTAAGGTTCTTCCACGGGACTTCTCGATCGCGGCAGGGGGCCAACTTCTATGGACCCTTCAACTCCGTGGCTCCATGAGCCGACTGTGGCGGCGACGGCGGTGGATGCAATATGGAGCGTCTTACTTGGTGGTGGCACGGGCGGCTTGACTAATGCTTTTCCCTCTCGGTGACGCGATGATGGCGGCGCCTTGATGAATGGTGTACGCATCTGTAGAAGGCTGCAGGTTTGCCGCGCCTAGAACCCGCCAGCCTTTTTGAGCCGGTGCAAGCTGCACGTCAAACAGGCATCTGGGCCGCAAAAGCAAAGAGAACGGCAGCGGTTCGTCGGCAAGCTGTGGCTTTCAACGGGCGGGAGTCTCACAGCGAAAGTCGCGGGCGAGCCGGTACGGCGGAGCGGAAAAGCAACTCCTCAAGGCCGCATTGGGAAATGCTTGGTGGAATTGCTTCTTCTGCTAAACGGCTCGGGCAGCTCGCCGGCGCGGTGAGGAAGCACCGCCAACAACGCCCCGTTGCCCTACCGCTCTGGTGTGCGGCGCGTGCGCGTGCAGGATGAAGGAAGCCGGGTCTCGATCGTGTGGATCCCTCATTTCAAAGTGCAACGCCAAACGGGCGGATATTGCGAAAGAGGGAACCCCCCTCATGGGGAGCCGGGGACAGTCGCGTGGGCTAACCCCGCAGGCAGGGCGCGAGCTGGTCGCCGCCGGCCGGCCGCCAGCGCGGCGGTGGAGCGCTGGTGGAAGGCATGTGGAAGTTGCTGTAAAGCGCAGGCGAGCCCTGGCGGCTCTTAATGCGAAACCTTAGCTCGCGCGTGATACGAGGGTCGTGCTGGCCGCTGGCTGATCCGAGGCGGCGGGGTGCGGATCTTTCGTTCATCAAACTCGCGCTTCCGCGCGCCGTGCAGCCTGGCCCTCGTCAACCGGCCTAGCCCGACTCGGGCGCGCAATTGTACACTACTGATCGTCGCGTCATGAGAGACTTTGGCGGCCGTGGGCGCGGGCAGAGCTGAGCGCGTGCTCCCCAAGAACTGTGCCGGATGCCGGCCAGCGCTCGCGCGGTCGGGCGTACCGTGGTGTGTCTTCGGTGATTGGACGTGGAGCCCGTTGGGGGATCGGCGGGGCGGCGACGACGAAGAAGTCGCATCGCGATGCTCGTCGGCTGGCGAAGTACCAGCAGCGCGCGTCAGCGGCACGACGTGGTGTTGGCTGACGACGGCAGTTGGGCGGCAGCTCCGTCGACGTCGCCCGCTGATCGAGCGCGCGCGGGCCCTGGGACTTCTTCCCGCCGCGCTCCCGAACCCGATGCCAGGCGTGGGCCCGTCTTTCTGCACGCGCCGCCAACCAGTGAACATCTCCGCCGCGCCTGTCGCAGCGCCCATCTGTAACTGCAGATCTTCTGCCCTGTTGGGAGAGCAGCGCTTCTCGAGATGATGCCTCAGGAAGCGAGGCCGCTGTGGCCGTTTCAGCCCGCAACAGACTTCTCGACTGGGCTGCTGGCGCTCCCGGAAATGGAGCGTCGCCCGGGCACACACATGGCAGGCGCGCCGGATTTGTCAATCCTCGATGGCCTCGCGCCCACGAGCCCACCGCTTCACGTCTGATCGGTCCGGGGATTGGAGCTGCCGCCTTTTCAGACCTCATCGTGCACTTGTTCCCTGGCGGCTTCATTATGCGACGGGCAGGCCAGCCGCTCTCCGGGGCCCGTCCACATGCTTTCGAGGGACGAGCCGGCCAATGCGAATCATGATCGGCCTCATGGATGCGCCCAGCGGCGAGTCCAATCACCGAGCCGGCGCCAGATGCGCGAAAAGGTGTGGCCAGCGCGCCGCGACCTCCCGGCTTCGTGCAGCGGGGCTTGGCGCGTCCACTGGCCGTCCGATCACGGGAGCTGGGCGCGCATGCCTTGTTCTGACAGCTGGCGCCAGTGTTTGCTTTGTCGGGCTCTTGTGTCGCCGTGGGAGAGCCTGTCTCGCGTGGAGCCTGACTCGCGTCGGGGAAGAAGGCTCGTGGGGAGAGCGAATATCATGGCCTGATGGCGGTTGCTGCCCCTGGTTGGACGGGCGAACGTGCAGGCTGCACGGGGCGGAACGGCGGTGACTGACGGGGATGGGGTGCAGGGCAGCGATCGCAGAGATGGACTGGGCGCTAGAGGCCGCGGTTGCGTTATTGGCGTGGCTGGCGCTGTGATGGCGGTCGTGGTGGTGATTGACAGCTTACGGGCAGCTCCCGCAGCCAAGGGCAGACAGCGTTTCAGCCTGGGAGATCAAACGGCGGAGCAGCTGTTGCTGCTGCTGCTGCTGCCATTGTTCCTGCAGCGACCGCCTGCATGGCCCGCTCGATCCAGCCCAGCCACGCCGACATCATCATCATCATCATCACCACGCCCGGCGGAGAGCTGCTCGAATGCAAGGGGAGGAGGAGTCGGTGACGGACCGGGCCCCGGCGCCGTCAGTGCTTCGTGGGCGGCGTGAATTTGCCGACGCCGCCCGCCTCCGCCCCTTCTCGCGCGTGTGCAACCTTCTGCTCTGCTGGATCAATACGTGCCGGGCGATATTGTCGCTGTTGGCCCGAGTCTGCCCTGTGTCTGCCGCGCGCCCCGATACGGGCCGGGTGGGCGTGCTTTTGCTCGTGTAGGGGACGGGAGACGCTGCTTGGCTGCGTGATCACTCTCGCGGCGGGTCCGGCACGTCGCGCGCGCGCCCATCTCGAGCCTGCTGACGAGCGATCGCACGTCCTGATCCTGGCGGAGTCGGAGCGGGCTGCCTGGCTGGCAAGGCATCAGGCTTTCCGCGCTTTCTGCTCGCGTACGGCGCCAGAGCGCTAGCAGACGCCGCGCACGCCCGCGCGACTATATCGCCGCGGGCTGGCTCAATACAAACGGTCGGTATACCCAAAGGGTCGGCGAGCCAGCAGCAGCCGGTTGCCGCGCTCTGCTCGAGGGCGGGTGTGCGAGTAAGACGCCATTCCGCGGCCGCCACCTCCATTCCAGGCGGCCGCTCGCGCTTGCGATCGCTATTCGACGGCGGGCCAGCCACTCGCAGGGGCCTTCGCAGCGACCGGGATCTGGCGGCGCGGGCTCGGCGACGGAGGCCTGCGTGGCTAGGTACAGCGATAAAAATATCCGCGCTGTCGCAGGTAGCAGTGCTAATCTCCTGAAACGCTGCGCTGACACACCTAAAGCCCTCGCTCCCCCTCGACTGCTGTTTCGTGTGCGAACCCTACCACCACGCTCTTGCCTCAAGTTCACCTCTCGCCGCACTCGAGACTGCGCTTCCCACGCCCGAGGCAGGCCCTCGATTCAGTTTCTGTTCATTAACATATCTCAAACATCGCTCGTCGATTTCCTTCGCTTGCTCTGCTTCGTCTTGCGCCTCACCTCCCGTCGTTCTGCGTGCTCCGCGAGCCACCAGCCGTCGCAACAAAGTCTCCGCGCATCCCCCGTCAATTTGCCCTGACGTCCCATCGTTATCGTCCGACCAACCCACGACGCTCCCAGGAGGACACCATGTACTCCACCGGCCACGCCGCCATGCCGCCCCCGCAGGCAAGACAAGTCGCCCCCGAGACCTTCCTGCTGGACCATGATGCGCAACAGAGTCTGCCGCCAGACGCAATTGTCGCATTGCAGCAGGTCGACAATCGTACGCCCCGCGTTTCCGAATGCGCCGCAGGAGCCTGCTAACCCGCGCTGCAGTCAAGTACTTTCTCATCTCTGCGCCAGTCGACTGGCAGCCCGACCAATACATCCGCCGCTTCCTGCTGCCCACCGGCGAATACGTCTCCTGCGTTCTCTGGTATGTTTGCGCCGAGTCTGCCAACCCCCAACCCCGCTAATGCGCGCGCAGGAACAACCTCTTCCACATCTCCGGCACCGACATCGTGCGATGCCTGTCCTTCAGATTCCAGGCCTTCGGCCGCCCCGTGAAGAACTCCAAGAAGTTCGAGGAGGGCATCTTCTCGGACCTGCGCAACCTCAAGTCTGGCACCGACGCATCCCTCGAGGAGCCCAAGAGCGCATTCCTCGACTTCCTCTACAAGAACAACTGCATCAGGACGCAGAAGAAGCAGAAGGTCTTTTACTGGTACAGCGTGCCCCACGACCGCCTCTTCCTCGATGCCTTGGAGCGCGATCTCAAGAGGGAAAAGATGGGCCAGGAGGCCACCACCGTCGCCGTTGCAGAGCCCGCGCTGTCTTTTGAATTTGATTCGTCGCAGTCGCTTTTCGAGCAGCTGACCAAGGCGCAACAAACCAACTCGTCCTCGTTCAACAACAGCATCCAGCAGTACTCGCAATCCACCTCTCCCGTCATGCGCGCCATGGACTCGATGCCCCCGCCGCAGATGATCCCTCAGACCATGCCCCCGACTGTCCATGAGGAGCCCATTCCGATGGCCCACTTCGGCCAGCCGCAGATGACTATGGCTCCCCCCATCGCCAACATGGTCGCGAAGAGCCGCGAGCGGGATTACACTCCCATCCCCTACGACCGCAATGGAATCCCCTTGTCGCAGGTTCACCAGAGGCACAGCTCCATGCCCGCGTACATGGAGTACTCGCCCGCGCCGTCGTTCGTCTCTTCCCATTACGAGGACTATAGCACTCGTGGTATGTCCTTCGAGCCTATCACGCCTCCCCAGCACTCTATTGGTCTGGGAGCTGAGCCTGCGTACATCGCGAATGAAGACACCGGTCTTTACACTGCAATTCCCGACGTTGGCCTCTCGGCCAACTTCAACCCGCTCATGCAGCTGCCTCCGTCGAACCTCGCCGCCCCGCAGTACGGCGCCCGCCCCTTCGCTCCCGGCAACGTCTACTCTGTCATTGAGGGCTCGCCCACATACAAGCAGAGGAGGAGGCGGTCTTCGATGTCGATTGGCGGCGGAATTGCGGCGGTTGCGGCAGCGAACGCGGCCAACCCGCACGCTGCGCACAGGCCCAGTGACCTGCGCCGGTCCGTCTCGAGCTCGGTGGTTCCTGTTGCGGAGTCGGCGGAGGAGACGGGCCATGACTCACCCCAGAGTCTGCACAACGGCTACTCCAACGTCCAGCAAAAGGCCGAGGTCGCTGACGTGTCGAGGCATGGCACGCCGCTCGCTACCGTTGAGGGAAGCCCGAACCACCAGGCCTCTCAGATGCTGTCGCAGGATGACTTCTCCAGTCTGAATGGCGACTTCTCCAGCCAATCCCTGGCCCACGACGCCGTCGTCAGGCAAGCGCCCGGCGTCTTCCGCAGGGCCCGCAGCGCCACGATGATGGAGCTTGGCCCGTACCCGCAGAAGTCTCACTCTTGCCCGATTCCCACTTGCGGCCGTCTGTTCAAGAGGTTAGAGCACCTCAAGAGGTAAGCGCCCACAGATCGGCAGTTTCATGTACAGCGTGTGGATTAACCCGGCGCTTAGGCACGTGCGCACGCACACGCAGGAACGCCCATACGTCTGCCCTCTGTGCAATAAGGCTTTCTCGCGCTCCGACAACCTGGCGCAGTAAGTCCCATAGCCGCGGACTCTAATTTTGGTACAAGGCTGACATGTTACCCCCACAGGCACCGCCGCACCCACGAGCCTCGTCAGGAAGGTGACCCGATCGTCAGCTACAGCGAAGAGGAAGAGGAGAACGACGAGGGCCTCGGCCCCTTGGAAGAGGAGAGCCCCGAGGCTGCCAACGACTACATGCCGTCTCACCTGTCGGTGTCTGCGTCCCTCACCGACCTCCCCAATCCCATGGCGGCCGTGACGACCATGGGCCAGACGCATCACCTGCTCGCTGCCAGCAACTTCTAAATGCTGTGGAAGCTTCTCCTCTCCTATTGCTTTTTTAATCGCATACTAGACTACGTTCGGTTGGTTTTCCGGCACCTGCATCAAAAAGAGGATTTACATGCAGCATTTGCTGGAGGGGCCTGGGTGTTCCTTGGGAATGGTCCGGTCCGGCGAGACCGGTGTCGCACGAACTTCCAAGTGGGCCTGCTCATGACGACGCCATGACATTACTATTCCGTTTTGCTTAGCCTTTCGTTTTCGCGGCACACAGACAGTCCTTCCTGGCATCAGCGTCTGCGCGCATCCCGCTTCTTTTCCTTTTTTCTATTTCTTCTTCGTGTCAATTGTTGCTATTTGCCCTTGGAAGTTTTGGAGTGGCAAAAATTGGCGCAAAGTCTTTGACGGTGCGGCGAGCATCTAGAGCGCTTTTTTATGTCTTTTGCTTTCGACTCACCCTCTTGTTCTTTCTCCTTATGGTTATCTCTCACGGTTCGCTGTTGGCTTGTTGTTTTCTTTGGGTGGAAATCTGCTCCGGAGCTTGGGATGGGGGTCATGGACGGGAGACTCGCACGCACGCGTGCGGTGTTACCGCCAACATGGGAAGAGGGTGGAATGGATCTCCAATCGTTGCACAGCAAGCAGCGTCTTGTCCTCTATGGACTGGGGTTTTGGGAGGGATTCATGTATCATAGCTGCAGGAAGAGCTATATCTCATTTTCCCAATTAGTCAATGAGCAAATACAAAACAAAAAATTGTCTATAAGATGGGAGCCCGACATCATTGTGCATGTTGACGGTTTCATGGCGCCTTGTTTCGGCATGTGCTGTCGAGCCCAGGCGGTGTGCTGCTCTTTCTCCACGTTGTTTGATCGTTGGGCTGCATGAGGTCTGAAGCGCGAAGGGTAACACACCCTAGTCGGCGGGTAGCCCATGGACCGGTCCTCTGGGATGCAGATGCGAGCGAGATGGAGAGAGGCAAGTCGGCACGAGAAACGAGAAGAATCCACATCTATCGTTTTCAATCGGATCTTCGTGCATATGCCGGGTTGTATCCAAAACACACACACACATACACGATTCGGCTATCATGAGTTTTACAGGAGCCGAGATGCTTTCTCTCCCTCGGCTTCGGCGTGAGTAAGTGTGCTACCCAAAAGGGAAAGGCATACATGATGTGAGCGTGTCCAGGGAAAGGCACTGACACGAGCACACGTGGGAAAGGTACGGTAACTATCCACTCTTACGTGCAGCGGTAGTTCCAAACCCTGACTCCCACTCCCCCGAAAAAAAACGAAACCATGGCACACAAAGTGTACAAACGACCGGAGGAAAGAGCTCACGATAGCTCCGCGCGCCTTTTTTTCGTTTTCGCCGCGGCGGCGGCTAAGGGTCGCCGGGGAAACTTTGGTGGGATGCACAGATAGCTGATGAGACAAGGGATCGGCAGAGATGATGATGACGACGCCGGACAACTCACACCTTCTTCGGCCTCCACCGACCGATAAGCGTAGATGAATGGGTAACACACACGGTAGTGACAGCACGGAATGGAAGGGGTGGCTGGGGACGCCGATTGCCAAGAATCAATCTACGGGTTTCGGGGGTGTGGGCTTTTTTTTTTGGTGTGGGTGGTCCGGGATGGTGAAACCGCAAACCTAACTTCGAAACCCTGTTGTTATTCGGGCGTGGCCTTAAGCGCTGTGACCAAGGCACGAGAAAAAATTCAGGGCCTGCCGCCGCCGATCCGGGTGTTCGAAACTGTGGCCAGAACCCTGGGATCATGTGGGGGAGGGAAGGAAGGAAGGATGATCTTTTTCGGTGTTGGCCTTGCGCGGGTGTTTTGGGTCTCTGGGACCGCCGCCCGCGGGGAATCCGTCCCGCCGCGGTGATGAGTGAGGCGTCCCGCGCTCATGTGAAATTGCGGCAAGGGGAGACCTTGCGAAGTCATGTTCTCTTTGGTCCTGAAGGTTTACTAGCTGTAAGCGGTGGCTGGCGGCGCACCCCGGCGGCGCGAAGCTGGCGATTGAGGCGGCTTTGTTGCCCCATGTTTCCCGGTTCGTGACGGACGGACATAGGCGAGAGAGACTGCAGCAGCAAACTCGTACGAGGAAGGGTTCTCCAGAGCGTTGGATCTTCCGGGCGCTTGTGAGCTTCCGCTGCGCGTAGGGATGGATCGTGAGTGGTCAGCAGGAGCAATTGGCCCCCGTGATTGGATGGACTACTCGTATCGTATGGTGACCAATTGACAGGCGAAGCGGGAATGACCTGCAGTTACTGGACATGCATGAAGTCGGGGCCAAGTCAGCTGTGGTGGATGTGTAGTGCGCAATATCCAGAGAGCCTATTTGCGAAAGACATCAAAAGACATATCGCACCGGTTATATGATGTACCGAGTGAAACTCGTCAACGGACCCTGCGGATTCTGAGACAGAGATATGCTGGCGACCTATCATTGATAAACAACATGATGATGCAGGTGTGATTGGCAGATGCGGCTGCGGCTGAAAGAAGGGTGCCATCACGGGGCTTCCGACGCAAGAGGGACATGGTGTGGCTGTGTCCTCTACTCCTGCAACGCCACGCGGCATGGGTGCATCCGACAGTTTGAGAATCAGCCCAGGACGGGAGCCAATCAAGTGAGCAGCCGGAATCGAGCAAGTCTATGCAAGAGAAGCCCAATCAAGTAGGTGGATGCGCAACCTCTGAATGGTCCAGAAGATGTCTCTTCCGTAATCAATGCACACGCATGGACGAAATAGTCCTTTTTCTATCATATTTGCCGCGGCGTACGGCCTGAATACTGCAAAGGCGGCTGAGCCCGTCGGCTGAATTGATCCGAAACAGAAAGTGTGATGGAACACATGTATCCGAGATGTTCGGCCCGCTGGGAACTTGTAGTACCGTGGATTTATCGTGATTTGGAATGCTCATTGATGATCTGCCGCAAGAGCTGACATCTATACAGTATCAAGGCGCCGTTCATTTCTGGATCACCGAGGTGCCCATTTTGCAACGTTGAGGTTGTCTTGCGTTGGAGTCGACGCTGGAAAAATTAAGCTCGACTTCCCGAATGTAACATTGACCTGATACTTCCTACTATCTGAAGCTTCAGGAACCATGGCTCATTGAAGCCGTCAGAACTACAGTCCAATCCTAAGGGACACGGCCAATGAAAAGACGATAGTCGTATCAGAGAGACATTGAAGATTGATATGAGTCAACACCATTCGGTCTTCCCAATCTCGTATAGGGGTGCTGCAGCCGATGGCTAGCGGGAAGAATAGCAGAGCTCTAGAACATAGCGTAAGTATGCCACAACTCTTTTTTCCTTGTCAATGGAAAAAACACATACATGGGTAGGTGAAGCTATCATCCGGATGTAAACGTTAATTATACATTCACGTCCAAACGATAGCTTCAACTACCCATGGCATGAGCGAAAATAAATTCAAGCTGGCCGTTGGCTGCCATTATCTCCTGTATAGCCCAATTTAACTAAAACTTATGGTTCCTGACTGAAGTATCACGAAACGGAAAGACCAACCACAGTCACGGAAGCCCCCCGGATACCTGCAGCAACAGCGCAAAACGCAACCAAGCGAACCAGACTCCCCGCGCCATTGAACCAAGACAGTACTCACCACCAAGAAGCCCATCACAAACACAAACCCAACCCCCCTTCACATCCCCACCCTCCCAACCGCACCCATCCGACTCCCCGCCACGCACGCAGCCACAGCCGCAACCACCCACGCCGCCGCGCTCAACCCCAACGCCGGCGGCCGCGCATACCACTGCCCCTGCGCATAAGCACCCAGCTCACCACCATTCCCAAGCGCGAGATCCAGCTGCTGTTGCTGCTGTAGTTGCAACTGCTGCTGATTCTTCACAACCATCAACGCCACCCACCCCAGCACCTGCGCCCCCACCCCCGCCCCGGCCGCCATCAGCGCCAGCAGCGCCGCCAGCGCCCTGCCCAGCGCGCAGAAGTATGGCCAATTCGCTTTCCATCTCCTTCTACTACCTGCGCCACACCCCCCCTCATCATCATCATCCTCGTCGACCGTAGACAGCGCCGCCAGCGCCGCGTCCGCTGCAACCGGCGCGTGCATCTTCTGCAGCTTCGCGTCGGCCGTGGGCGGGCGCGCGGTGAGCATGCTGCGGACGGGTACTAGAGGAGCAGCGGCGGCAGGGAAGAAGCGTTCGCGCGCGGCGAGGGCGGCGGGCCAGGCGGCGATGCAGTAGGCCGTCGACAGGACGAGGGCGAAGGCGGAGATGGCGGCGGCGGCGATGTAGAGGGAGGCGGAGGTGACAAGGGCTTGGCAGAGGAGGGGGGTGGGGTCCCACTGCAAGGAGGAATTATTGGTGGTGGTGGTTGTGGTGTTGGGAAGAGGAGGCGGGGCGTGGATGGCGTGGCAGGCTGCTGTGGCTTTTGCTCCCGTGAGGGATTTGAGGCGGACGCAGGTCGGGGTGAAGGTCGTGGTGGTGGGGTCGTCGATGGCGGTTAAGGGCGCTTTGGTGCAGTTGTAGAAGGGCGAGGTGTGGATGACGAGGCCGTTGGGGCGGCCGGTCGAGGTGTGCAGTTTTGCTTCGGCGTATTCGGGCGTGTAGATGATCTTGAGCGTCAGGGCGAAGGTGATGAGGGAGAGTAGCGGTGGGAGAGATATGGCGGTTATGGAGAGGATGCGGAGGAGTAGTGGCCGTGGAAGCGGCTCGGGTGCATAGGGGTGTCGTGTTCGAGGCATTGCGGGTGAGGAGGCCTGGGATCGAAGTCGATGTTGAGAGTAGGAAGTAGCTGGTGCATGCTAGTCACACATGAAGAGGGAGAAAGCGAAGTATTCGATGGTGGGAAAAGAGAAAAGTGCGTCTTATTTTTTTCTTTTTCATAGAGGTAAAGCGGAGAGTACAGGATTGATATGGAGAAATGCTCAGATCTGGCAGCACTATCTAGCGAGGCGTTGGAAAGAGGGGATATGGATCTTGGGCATCCGAATTCAAACTCAAATTGAGCGAGGCAGCGAAGCTCCTGTACAACATCAAGGTTTAGCGTCAGACGTACAGGGGGATATGGCAGCCGATGGCTAGCGCGAATTTAATTTTCGCTCATACCATGGGTAGTTGAAGCTATCATCCGGATGTGAATGTAGAATTACCCGGACGATAGCTTCAACTACCTATACATATTCTTTTTATGAAAAGAGAAGAAGAATTGAGACATACTCACGCCATGTTCTAAGGCCTCACCATTCTTCGCGCCAGCCATCGGCTGCAGCACCCTTCTATACGCAACAGGAGTAGGTTATATGCGCAGGGACTCCGCTGGAAAATATCGAAGAAAGCTCCGCAGCGGAAAGATGTCCGAGACAACCCGCTTGAGTCTATCACGAGATGGGTACACCTAGTATTGCAACAAAGTCAGGGTAGTTGAAGCTCTTGTCCGGATGGACATTCAACTCTATATCGCAATAATAGGGGAACTGACTTTGTTCAACAATACCAAGCAAACCCCTCCTCACCTACTGGTCGAGTTACCAGAGCAGAATGCGTTGCATTTTTGAACCAGCCACGTCTGTTGCCGCTACAAATCACCCTCTTTTCTTTGCGAGAGGTGAGGATATGGGTATAGTTGAGTCCGACGACTTCTTCGCCTTTGGGATCTGGGAGTGAACGCGATCTTACCATGGCCAACTTCCGTGAATTGGAGCTTGATCATTATCAGTGCCTACCATCCGTAAGCAGAGAAAGCGTCCTGGTGTGTGTCCTCATGTGTGTCCTGATGGAACCCAGGCCTTTTTCGCCCTTTCTTCACACCCCTGTACGGCACATCAGGTGCGGCTCTCCACATCATCCTGAATAATAGCCTTCCTCTGTCATGATTCTCCAACATCCGTAGCGACTCATCCCCCCACGTCGTCCGATTTTCCATCATCTCCTCACGCGAACTGCTCGAGAGGACAAGCCTTCCCATACCGCCCTCGTCATTAAGCCTCCACCGCGGCCGGCTAACAAGAGCACCGCCCCACATGGCGCTCCAGGCTGGGTAAAATTCCTGACCCTGATAATAAACCGCCGGAGTCCATGCGTTCTTCCTTACCCAATCCCATATCATCAGCCTACTGCCTGCCTTCAGCTCACCAGGCAGTCTCTGCTCCTCCTCCGGCCAAAACGCAACCGGGAAATATGACTCGACATCGTTCCTCTTGTGGCCCGCCGTCCGCCTGATCTTACCCGCAGGGTTTTCACTGTTGTCCTTCCCAAGCCGCTCGTACCAATCATCGCAACGAACAGCGGCGCCGCGCCCACGCCGATCACGACTCGCAATATCCCTCGCCATCTGCTCGGTCTCGAACGCGGACTCGATATCCTGTATGCTTATGCCCGTCCTGCTGCCGGCCCGCCTGGTATCGGCGTAGCCGTGCGACTTCCACCGCACGTAGACGCGGCGGCCGCAGCCGCCCCACATCGGATAGTGCCGCTTGGGCCTCGCGATGCGCGACTCGACGGCGTACACGAACTCGAAGGCGGCCTCGGGCGTGGCGAAGAGGTAGGCGCGGTCGAGCGCGGCGCCGCGGCGCGCGTACTCGGGCACCGTCGCGCCGCCGAACTCTTTGCGGATGGCGTGCGTCCGCGGCGTCGTCGGCGCCGATACCCGGAACGGCGTCTCATGTAGCAAGCCCTTGAGCGTGGGCTCGATGCCCTCCAGCAGGCGCAGTTCAGGCGCCAGGTCGGGCTTCGGGGCGGGCGGCAGCTTGACCAAGAAATCGGGGTTATGATCGACTAGGACGTGCCGTATGAGCGGCTTGCTGGCGCCGTCATCTTGTGCGGGCGGCGGCGCGGAAAGCGAAGGTCTGGTGGTGGAGAATGGACGGCGGAGGAGCGTTGGTGGTACGACTAGAAGCGGGCTGGTGGGGGTGACGCTAGCGGCGGGGGAGACAGAGCGTAGTGAGCGAGTGCACAGTTGGGTCGGAATCATAGGTGGCATGATGGATGGGTTTAAAGCGTACAGAAGGGCGAGAGGAAGTTTGGGGATTTTTTTTGGTGGCCCAAGCTCCCTCGTGCTATTATTCTTAGCCTCCGAAGGTTTGACTAGGTGATTGAGCCCACACAAGCTCCGCGGCTGTAATTAAATAGGCAGTTGTACTTAGTGTCTCTTTACTCGCTAGGCTGGCCCAAGGCGTCGTACGTGACTCTCCAAAGTGTCCTGCTCAGTTGGGTCCCATGTGTGTTCTGGGACTGGCGCTGCCAGACCAACGAACGTTCCACTAACCCCAAGGCCCGGTTTGCAATGTCTTCAAGCGATTTCTCCGAGATCGAAAGCCTTCCCATGCTGCCATCGTCGGTCAGCTTCCACCGGGTGGTGCTAATACATGCGCCGTACTTGGCCACGGCCCACGCTGGCCAGAAGTCCTCGTTAGAGGCCTCGGGCGTCCACCCTTGGTCCCTCACCAAACCCCAAAACCTCTCCCGAGCGCTCGATACACGCTGAGTCTTCTCTTTCCAACTTCCCACCGGATAGACCGGAGACAGGCTATCGATATTCCTCTGCTTGCTGCTCTTCATGTGCTCAGACCAATTAATAGCTTCAATGACGCCCCCAGCGCGCGCCGCAGCCTCTTGCGCCAGCCTGTCGCACGCGAGCGCGCACTCGACGTCCAGCATGCTCACCGCCTTGTGCCTACTCTGCTGCAGCGAACCGTCCGGGCCTGGCGAACCGTCCGAGTGCGGCGAGTTGAAGCGCACGTACACACGGCGCCCGCAGCCGGCCCAGTGCGGCGGCATGCGGCGCGACGGCGAGAGCGCCTGCTCGACTTCGTCGACGAAGGCGAAGGCGCTGGCCGGCGTGGGGAAGAGGTAGGTGCGCTCGAGCGCCGGGCCGGACCAGTTGACCAGCCAGGGCGTTGTGTCCGTAAGCTTTTGGCACGCATCAGCGACGTCTTGAGGGAGCGGTGGTCGCGGTTGTCGCGGTAGTGCAGTAGACGGGGGCTTTATGCGCGGGTTGGGCTCGACGACGCGCCGTATGGACAATTGGTTGGAAGCGTTGTTGCCGACGCGCCGTATGAACACTTGGTTGGAAGCGTTGTTGCCGACGTCAGTACTTGCGGGTGGCGTCGACGAGGAGTCTGTCTCTGGCGAGAATGAAGATCTGGTCATGGAGAAAGGACGGTGGTGGTGGAGGAGGAGTGGTGGTGAAAGGATTGATGGCGAGCCATTGGGGGTGGTAACGCGCAACAAGCGGGCGCAATGATTCGTCGGCATCGTGCGGGAGTAGAAATGTTGAAGAGCTGACATGATGGACGTTGGTATGCGGAGCTTGGGCGTAGGTGGATTTTATGCCGTGGCCCAAGCTCCCTCGGCTAGCGTCAGGAACCAGAGGAGAAGATTGTGGTGGATCAGTGATCCTGAGGGAAGCTCCACTTACTTGCAACTTAGCTTTGCAGTCACGACTTGGTTCGTCTCGTTTATCTCCCGAATGGTAGCTCATTTTACCATTTCCAGTGATAGCTATCAACACTACGATTATCTCCTACAGCCACTTTACGGAGATGAAAAGGCGTTGGGAGACTGTAGTAACGGTTATTTTTTTTTATAAAAAAAAACAGGAAGAGAAGGTCCAAATCAGATATAAGAAACTTGGAGACTGTTCGTACGGCATACTCCGTAAAGAGCTTCGTACATCCATCATCATTTTTTGAAGAAATACATTTCTTCAGGAATAATACTAAGTGCAATCTCTCAAAGTACCTCTGCTTGATTCCTATTCGGGGTTCCCTCCGATGGGCTTTCCTCCGTCGCATGCGAGGCCGCGTACCTTTCCATTCACAACGGAACCTACAGAAATAGTCACATGCTATTGGAACGCAAAGCGACGTGACTTTCACTATTTGCGTAAGGGAACTTTTAAAGTGTTTCTCATTGGCTTGATCAATACCGAAAACGGCACTGCTCGGTCAAAAAACCCCGCATGAAACTACCTAAGATGCAACTGGTACAACTCGCTTTGACGTTTCAGCTAGGTACTGGGCGGCCATGCAAGGGCCGCACGCACCAGCTGCCAACTTGAAAACGGCTTTCGCGACGTTCAGCTGATGCGGGGGCGCACATCTATGCATGACGTTGGAGCCTTCTCCGCAAAATCTATCCACCTCGCAACTCCTCACCACCTACCCAGGCCAGATTTGCACAGCCAATCACGCACTGAACCCCACATCCACTACTTCCTAGACCTGTAACTGTTCACCATGATCTCTCGGCGTGACTCAAAGCATCAGGACAAGAGTGAGAGTCCAGTGGACATGGACATCCAGGCCAAGGCCAACACGAGTATGCAGAACCCACGATGATCCCTACGCAATGACGTTGCCCTTCTCTTCCCTCCTATTGATACACGCATTCGCAGGCATAAGCGAAGAGTTGAAGCAGACTACGTCGCGCGGCGGTGATGACGCACTCTATGGAAAGCGGGCAGATGAAGAGATCAAAAGACCTGCTGGTGCTTGGAAGGGCGGGTAAGCTTCCCTCTTCTCTTTCTATCCAATGTCAAATGCGCCCTCATACCCCGGTATTTGCGTATCGGACATAGATTCTGGCAGAATTGGAGGCTGACTTGTCTCCCAAAGGCACAATCAAGCGATGGGACCGCGGACAGGCATAGCCATGTAAGGATACAGAGGTTGGCAGTCGTCTTGATTAGCGCCGTTGAGAGAAATTGGGCGGCTACATCGTGCTTAAATATAAGATTCATTAAAGCAATTAAGCATTTGGGTAAGGTGATATAGAGATGATCCACCGCAGAAGAGCGGACAGCTTTAACAATTGACTTAGCGAGAAAGGTGGAGATCCAAGGAAGTCGTTTAGGAAACAATCGAGCTGAACGCTCAATCATTTCCTAATGGGGAAATTTTCATATACGAGGTCTCTTCGTACGGAGACGAGTGCCGGGAGTCCACCTTGGCATTTGTGAAAGACCGTCGTTTTCAGCAGGCCGAGACCATGTGGTTCGGCATTGGATGTCTTGGCTTCATGCGTTTTGGTTCCACTACCGCGGTTGTTAACCAGCTAAGGAAGGCCAACGATCCAACAAGATGATTATGGCGTGAAGCATCGGAAGGACCACAGTCAGAAGGCCGAAGAGCCCATCTATAAGAGCCTTGTATGAGAACCCAAACTCCCGCTTCCTCACCACGAGCAAGTACTTCCGTGCTTCCAACTTTCACAGCTGTCACCACTTCAAACGTAAAGCTGATCCCGCGCGTTCACATGCAAACATCAAGACTAACATTCATCAGCACCGGTCCGACACAATGCGCGCCCTCGCTATCTTCACCGCCGCGGCCATCTTCCTTCTCAACACAGTCACCGCTCAAGATCTACCAGGAGAGGATGTCTACCAGAAGTGCCTGGATGGTGAAATTACGGGCTGGGAGAACGACTGCTGCGGGCTGATGTGGGTGCTATGTGTCTACCCCACCAACAGCGATCTGCCGCGCTGCAGAGAATATGTCGAGGGCTTCGGCTGCACGCCGCCGCTTTAGAGCAGCCGTTGGAAACACTGCGGGAGAAAAGGGCAAGACCAGTCCTGGATGTCAATTAAAATTGAGATATTTGGGGAGGAATTTTATGGGTAATGACGGAAATGCGCTGCTGGTGTTATGTCCATTTATATGAGGAGCCTGACTGACACTGAAGAATTTGGGCCCTTGTCACTTCTAGAATTGATCTCGTGGTACGGGCGCGCTGTGATTTGTCTCTGATGCGGCGGATTGGTTCACCCTGAGCATAAGGTAAGCTACTGGAGCTAATGCGAATTGTTGATCTGAAAGCTGGAAGAGGTGGGTATGCATGTTCATTTAAAGGTATACTACCTAACCATTCTCAAAACTAGTATGTCTTTCCCCTAACCAAGACTGAAAAAAATAGTGAGTGACTCCTTGAAGGGAGTTCGAATTTTTTTTTTTGGAATGCGGAACCCGAAGTATCCGTCTAAGGATATCAATGGATTCTATCGATACTCTCGGTCTGATCTGAGATCTCCCAATGAATGAGTGGCGAATCCAAGTCTTACCGTACGCAAGAATCAATACTTCCCGCCGAATTTCAAAAAGGGAAAATCGGAAGCCCAAAGGGAAAATTCAAAATCCAAAGGAAAACCAAAGATCATCTTCTCATTACCATGCGTGCACTCAAGCACACGCTCAATCCTTCAACTCCAGCTCCTTATTCCTCGGCAGCCTCGTCTCTCCCTCCACATACGGCAAGCCAGCTTCCTCCCTAGCCATGTCATTGATCCAAGCCGAATCAGGCAGGAGCTTCTTCCCCTGAGCCAAACTGTCCGCCATGTACAGCCACGCCAGCGCATTGCCCACAGTGCTGACCTCGTCGCTGACGTGCTTGGCCGCATAGTCGGACATGTTCTGGTACAGCTCGCGGTCCGAGAAGAGGTCGTACATGTGCTGAGCGACGGCCTTGTAGTCGCCGGGCTCGACGAGGAAGCCCGACTTCTTGTCCTGGACCTGTAGCGGGATGCCGCCGGCCTTGGTGGCGATGATGGGGATGCCCTTGTGCACGGCCTCGGAGACCTTGACCTCGAAGCCCTCGCGCGTCGAGAGCTGCAGGGCGACCTTGGCGTTGGACATGAGCGCGTTGAGCTGCTGGTCGCTGGGGCCGAGGCGCATGACGACGACGTCCGCGGCGACATCGTTATATTTCTCCTCCAAGAGGGAAAGCGTCTGGTCCAGGATCATGGAGCCGTCCGGGTCGTCGACGGCGCCATGGCCGGCGATGACGAGTTGAGGTGTCTTCTGGCGTGGCCAGCCTTTGAGATGGTTCCGGCGGAGTTCGGCGTACGACGCCAGCACATCTGGGATACCCTTGGCCGGGTCAAAGCGGGCAATTTGGACAATGTACTGACGCTGAGGGAAGTCGAGGCGGTTCATGCCCTGACGGAAGGCTTCGGTGCTCAGTTCGTGGAAATAATATTCGGTCACGAACTGGTTCATATCCTTGTTGAGACCATCGAGCCAGTCGGTAGTAGCAGGCAAGTATCCGACTTTCTTGAAGTCGACGCACTTGGGGACGAACTCGCGCACTGGGTGGCTGATGAAGAGGTCGGCCTGCTTGACGTGGTTCCAGACCCAATCCCAGACCTCCGCGGTGGGCGTTCCCGGCTGATCCGCAAGATCCGAGCGAACCTGGATGTGGCTCCGGAAGATGACTGGACGATCTGGATCCACCTTCTTGGAGATCGCGACCAAAGACGGCATCTGCGGGTCATCCACGATGATGACATCAGCACCACCCTGGGAGCGTGGCGCCAGGGGGCTTCCCGGTTTGAGCCAAAATCGGTCTGCATTTCCCTGACACCATTCGTCAAGAGTCTCTTTCATGGCGTCGGTGAGGCGCTCTTTGGGATCGGCCACTCCCTGGAGGATGTTGTGGTTTGTCTTGGTGATACGGAAGACCTCGGGCTTCGGCTTCGGCACGTACCATTTAACATCAACACCAACAAGGCGGAAAAAGCGGATAAGAGCATGGCGCATGAGAGCAACTCCACCGCCTTGGGGCGTGCTGTTGAAGAAAGCAATCTTCGTCTTGTTCTGCTTGATCGAGTTCACGTACTTCATGGTGGCATCCCACGTCCTTTTGCCGACGGTATCCGGATACTGATCCAAACGTGTGATCTGGGCATGGCCCATGGAGTCGACTTCGACCATGTTCTTGTACCCAACCTGGACTCTGGGTTGGAGGTTAGGTCCAAAGAACATTAGTGACTTCCTGGCCATTGAGTCGGCCTCCTCGTCGATGGTGACGGCATCGACTGGTCCCCCATTGGGAGCTTCCAATCCATGCTCGAAGACCAGGGGCACGATGTCCAGCTCCCACCAAAGGCGCGAGGGTAGTTGTGGACTCAGCCTGACCAGATTCTTTGTGATGCCGGCGCCGACGAACTTGTAGTGATGGTCCTTCTGGTATTCGAGGATCCTGGTGAGGAAGAAGTCTGCCAGTACCTTCTCTCTGTCTTCGTCGGCCAATGGGAGGGCCGGAGTGGGAGCGCGTGATGCATAAGGCGAGTTGTCATTGCTCGGAGTGCCACTGTCACCCCCAAGGACCATGACAGCGAAGTCAATGCTGTAGGTGCCATCGTGAGAAGCGATGCCGACTTCGATCAAGCCGTGGTGGTCCTGTTTCGCCGAAAGACCTAGATAGAGGGTCTGTAAAGGTTAGTGGTCAGCACCTACAACGGGGCAGCTGCGGCTCAGCTTACGTTGAGGGCAACGCCATAGCCACCCTTCTCTTGAGCCTTTTCGACCCTCTCGAGGTGTTTTGTGGCACCTTTGGCCTCGAACTGGTGACGAGTCTTTGTATGCGCATGGGCGGCGGTGCCACCAGCCCAGGTCGCGCGGCGGTTGTGCTGCCGGTTGACAGCGTCGATTGGACGGAGTGTGTCAAACATTGAAGCAAGGAAAACGCTTATGCAACTTGGAGAGAGAGTTTGTGTGCGGAAGGAGAGCGGGCCTTATAAAGGGTGGAAGACACGTGTGAAGTAATTGCTGGTGAGAGTTGGGCGTGAGTGCACCAGACGCAAGGGTCCGTAGAGGGGTCACTCCACGGGAGCAGCGCGTGACGAGGCGACACGCGGTGCAGGGTCAAAGGAAGAGACAGGGCAAGTAATAGCGTGGCATCCCGTTTTCGCTACCGAATTAGCTATTCGAGAGGCTACACAAAGGAAGCGAAGTCACGATGACGTCGACTGAGAGTTCCTGGGGTAGTCCCCTTGGACCATCGCGATCGTAGCCGGGATCCTTGCGGAACCTGCGGAACAGAGTCACAGTGGGCCAGTAGGACAGCTCGCCTCCGCGCGAACCCGGCAACCGGTCACTGAGAATGCGTAGGCGTGCGGTCCAGGGCGCGGAGACGAGGCGCATCTGTCAGGAGATCTCAGCCTAGCAGTAAGCTTGCCAGCGCGGAAAAGAAACCGGTCTGTTGCCACCGCCGTTGAGATCCTATTTCAGGCCGCCTAGAGTGCGGTGAGCTTTGCAGCTGCAGCTGTCGTGCCGCTCCATGTATCGGCAGGCAGCCGTGCCCCCAAGGCCGTGCGGCGAGACGCGTTCGGGTCACAGTGGCGCACCGCTGCGGCGGGGCACCAGTGTCTCAGCGCCGTTAGGCGGGATTCCCGGGCGAGCATTAAGAGCACGCGTGTTTGCGGTTTCGCGTTTCGCAGCGAAGGGAGCGTCTGCCCACTGCGCGAGCCACATACCTCATCAGTCAAACCCAAGGTTCCGCGCGCGATCTAGAGCACCGCCGGGCGCGGTGATGTTGTTCGGCGCTGATGGACAAGCATCGGCCCACAAGCCTCCAGCTTGGGCTGGTTCCAGTTGGGGCCCAGTCGGTCCGCCGGCCGCTACACCGAGAGGGAAGGCAGCAGCTTCATATCAGTAGCGGGTGCGGGGATGCACGTGAGGGTCCTGTTCCAATTGGCGATGTTCGGTTGCGCGAACACGGGGTGATGAGCACGCGCCGCGGGTGACGGGGAATTTTTGGAATGACAGCGCTGGCGGAGCGGAGACTCGGCAGCGTTTGGGCGTGGGCTTGTCTTCGGGAGGGTCGGCCTGCTAGGCTTGGCGCTCGCCACGGGAGAGCTAGCCGCATCCGACGTAGCGGGTCTGGCCTTGGACCCACCTAGCACGACCGCTGCAAGTGCCCCGGGCGGCGGGCGCTACTTCTCCCGCCTGCCTCCAGCCTCTGCGCTTTGCTGGCCAGCCTGTGTCGTCTCCTCTCCCCGAATCCGCCCACGCATCCAGCGACGCCAACTCCACACCCTCGTCCATCCAACATCCATCCGATCACCACTTCCCCCGCCTCCCCGACGCGTCTGCGTGCCCTGCGCCAGTCGCCGGAGCATCTACCGACGAGCTCGCAGCTCGCAGAGATCAGCCTTGCGCCGCGACTGTGCTGAAATCTCCGCCCGCCGGTCGAGCCCTGCACCACGCGCAGACCCCGAGCTTCTCGCACCTGACCGTCGCGTCATTGGCCTCGCGCCCGCTTCCCGTCTCTACCCACTTCCGAATACATTGCCCGAATCGCATAGCTGTCCGGACGAGAGGCGCGTATCGCCAAATCCACCAGCATCATGTACAACGCTCATCGCGGCATGGTGCCGGGCGCGCAGCCCAACCGCCTGCAGGAGCTTCTTGATCAGGTCCGCCAGGAGTTTGAGAATGAGGCGGGCCGCGCCGGCGAGATGGAGCGCCAACGTGAGTTTGCTCGAGCTCCCTTTTGCTGCCCATCACGCATGCATCCTTCACCTGGTCGCCGACGCGTCTTTGCGCTTGTCTGTTTGCCTGCCACATGTCACGTCTGCTTGCCGCTTGATGACGCGCTCTGCTTCCTCCCTTCCGCCGTTTTAACGCGCTGCAACCCCTCCCCGCCGCTAGCACCCACTCACCCACGCGTTATATACCTATGCTAACGTCATTCGCAAAGTCGCTGCCCAGTTGCAAGAGATGGATCTCGTTCGCACCAAAATTTATCAATTGGAGCAGGCGCAAATCGCCATGAAGACGAAGTACGTCGTGGCATGATCTCTCGCCCACCGCTACCACTAACCATGCCGGCAGGTACGAGGAGGAGCTCCAGCGGCTGCAGAGGCAGCTTGACGCTGCCGGAGGCCCTTCCCACTCCTCCCACGTCAGCGGCTCTCAGCACGGCGGCCCTGCCCAGCCCCCGCCTGCGATTGGACATGGCCAAGGCACTTTGTTTGGCGGAATAATGGCGGGTGCGGGAGGACAGGGAGGACCCGGCCTAGCCCCTCCTCCGCAGGAGTCGCAGCAGCCTCAAGGTCTTCCTCACGGCGCGCCTCAGGGTCCTCCAGGCCTGAATCCTCCTCCGGGCCCGCCCCAGCATCCGTTCGGTGGGTACCCAGCTGGTCCTGGTGGCGTCAACGGTAGGCAGATCCCTCCGAATCCATACGCGGATGGCCGTGAGAACCCCGTTCGATTTACATCCTTCGGAATTTCAAACGGCTGGCAATTGCCTCGCCTTGGATGCGCGAGCTCCTGTTTCCCAGACGTTTTGCGCCCGGCCTTGAACGCTCTTTTACTGACTCTACATCGCAGGTTACGGTCCTCAGGGTGCGCCGCAGCCCACTGCCTCGCCTGGACCTGGAAAGCCCAGGCCCGCTCGTGGTCCTCCTGGTCCCCCCACTCCTCAACAGAACTCGGCCGCGCCCTACCCCGGATCTCCCCAGGTTCCACGCCCCACTCCCCCTCCTGGACAGCTCCATGAGCCGCCGAATGCCCTTGCGACTACCACCCCGAACGTCGGCAATACCCTGGCTGAGCTGGACCCCGAGCATGTCGACGAGAGGTTCAAGAGGGAAGGCTCGGATTGGTTCGCCATTTTCAACCCCCGTGTCCGCCGTGTCCTGGACGTCAACTTGGTCCACACCCTGCCGCACCAGAGTGTTGTGTGCTGCGTCCGCTTCAGCGCCGACGGCCGCTACGTCGCTACGGGTTGCAACCGCTCCGCTCAGATTTTCGACGTCCAGACTGGCCAGCTGCGTGCTCACCTCCAGGATTCTTCTCTTGGCGAGGACGGCGATCTCTACATCCGCAGCGTCTGCTTCAGCCCCGATGGAAAGTACCTTGCTACTGGCGCTGAGGATAAGATCATCAGGGTATGTTAGGAGACACTACATGGCTGGAATGGAAATTAACAGATTTTAGGTTTGGGACATTGAAACCCGTCAAATCAGGCACCAGTTCTCTGGCCACGACCAGGATATTTACTCTCTCGATTTCGCCCGCAACGGCCGTCTTATCGCTTCTGGAAGTGGAGACCGTACTGTGCGTCTGTGGGATATCAGCACCAACCAGCAGGTGCTCCAGCTCTCCATCGAAGACGGTGTCACCACCGTCGCCATTTCCCCCGACAACCGCTTCGTTGCTGCCGGTTCTCTTGACAAGAGCGTTCGTGTCTGGGATACGAGCAGCGGCTACCTCGTCGAGCGTCTCGAAGGTGAGGTTGGCCACAAGGACAGCGTTTACTCGGTTGCCTTCGCGCCGAACGGCAAGGACCTTGTCAGTGGTTCGCTGGACAAGACGATCAAGATGTGGGAGCTGTCGTCGCCGCCGCGCAACATTCCGGGCTCTGCACCGAAGGGCGGCAAGTGCATCAAGACTTTCGAGGGCCACAAGGTGAGTGTTTATTGACTATCCCGTGGTTTTTCGCTGACACGTGTTTCAGGACTTTGTTCTCAGCGTTGCCCTTACCCCGGATGGCGCGTGGGTCCTCTCTGGTTCCAAGGACAGGGGTGTGCAGTTCTGGGACCCCGTCACTGGCGTCGCCCAGCTTATGCTCCAGGGCCACAAGAACTCCGGTACGTCACGAGATGGCTCTGTCGGATAATAGTGCGCTTGCTAACAGTTGCCATTGCAGTCATTTCCGTTGCCCCCAGCCCCATGGGGAACCTGTTCGCCACAGGCAGCGGCGACATGCGCGCAAGAATCTGGAGGTACGTAAGGCTATAGACATTGTCATTGACAGTGCGAGTTGCGCCTCGGCTGTAAAACCCACGGGCAGCGCGGCGCATGCGCAGAGACATGCTTTTGGCTATTGTGTCACGACACCAACAACCATTAATTTGGTTGCATCGCTCTTTATCTCTGCCTTGGGGCTGCGCAATGAGATTTTGGATGGGCTGCGCCGTGGCTTGCCTTAGTCTAGTCACTAGACGATCTTCACGCATAACATCCCTACATCGCATCGCGTCAGCAAGCCATTGGGGGGATGTGCCGCTGCGCCTCATATTGCACAAAGTCATGCGCGCGCGTCGCGCCGCCCCGCGCCGTACCACGCAGCAGCATTCCCCTACTCGCCAATAATACCCGATTGATGCTTTTACCCGGCTTGTGACGCCAGCTAATCAATCTTCTTGTTTCTAGTTACGACACTTACCGCGGGCCGCAGTAAGCGACGCCAGTCCCCGTCACAAGCGATGTCTTGTTTTCTCCCGCCGACGATATTCCTCCGCCGCCCCCGACTCCCGCGTTGTGCGCACGGCGGGAAGAAAGGAGGAATCAAGATCTCATGCCCGATTGTGCAGGTGGCTTGCGTTTGACGACAGAAGGAGGCCAAGACAGGAGCGCTGGGGTCGCACCGGACTTAGCTTGACGACTCTGGGTGTCACGGCCTCCCTGTCTCTTGGTCGCGCTGGTTGCCGAAGTCGCCGGTTCGGAGGAGGGTTGGTGGAAAGGAAGGCCCGAGTGGCTGCTGTAAACTTCTCTTTTTCTCTTGTCCCCTTGTGCTCTTATGTTTCCCCCTCCTTGGGCCACGTGATGAGTGGAATGACTGGAGGCATGTGTGTGCGAAACGATAGTATTACTTGTTGTTTTTCCTCCGATTTCTTTTCTCTAAACAAGATCCGAATGACGCTTTCGTCCTGTTTATTTTGGT